ACTTTGAACACGGCACTACGTTAATTATAATCTGTTCAGATTTTGAATTTCAAGTCGTCGCTCAAGCTCCGCCCATAATGGTGCGATAAACCAGGCTTGTGCGTCAGGCCGGGTTTGCCCGGGCCGGCCTGGCTCGGGCTTCAGGCCTCACTTTCAGGAAAAAGCACGCGTGGGCTCGGGCCGGGCCGGGCTTAAGAAAAAAATTAAAATTTCATTTAAAAAATTTTCACCGAAATGTTACTTTTCACTTTTGAAATCATAGTTTTTGTTAAACTTTAAGTGCAAAATTGAGCAAAAACGTAATTTTTGTCGGAAAAAACTTGATATCCGACTAGAAAAAAATTGCGCGTTTTGGGCCAGGCGGGCCATTTTTTCTTGATGCCCCGCTAAGGCCGGGCCGGGCTTACGAAATGGTCGGGGGCCGGGAGGGTGACGGGCCGGCCCTCGCACAAGCCTGCGATAAACCAATCAGAGAGCGAGCCATCCACAGAGCATTTTTCGAATGACGTCATTCTAGTTGACATTCAAAATCTGAACAGACTATATCAGAACTGGTGATTCTACTTTAAGAAGACACATTCAGAAATATTCTCATTTAATTGGCGAACTGGTTAAACAAAAACTGGTCAGTCATTGTAGACAGGTTCGCATTGATTGAACAAACCTTTATTTCTTTTTTGCGTTTTTTATTTTTCTTTGTTGACTTAAAAGCAGTGAACATGCTCAGCTTCCTTTCGATTCGTGGTGACGTTTTCATTCACCCTTTTTTTGAGGGGAATATTTTTTTATTCTGATAATAGAGATTACAACATTTCATTTTTTTATAAAAATTAAAGATGTTGTAAAGTTATTTATCTATTTTTTCTAGAAATGTTTTTGTGTAAACTAGCATCTTTGAAGCAGTTTATTATTTAGACCTTTCAGATTGTTTGACGCCATCGAACACTCGGTTTATGTTTGCTGATAAAAATTGTTTTGCCAAAGTTGTTTATATGACTGATAACATAGTGTGTCTGCTCATTTGTTTAATAAATTGCAGTTATCAGATACTTTCTACTTTTAAACTTTTTTCCATATAAATTCATTCTCACTGGTCAGATTTATTACAGACCGAAAACTCACGAGCTTAATTGATCTCTTTTTATTTTTTATTAAAAATCGAAAACGAGCGAAAAATGTGTGAACCTTTCTTTTTCTCTAAACTTTGAGCGGGTCCAATGCCACGCCCACGCAGCTGGCCTCTTTTCTTTTCATTCTCGATTTTCTCCTCCTGTTTACTTGCTGTTCATTTAGTGATCGCAAACACTCGATCGTTTCTTTTTTTTCGTATTGCAAGTAGACTTTTTTTTTCTTATAGTTTGAAATGGGAATTCCTGTGGTTGAAGTCCCAACGAAGCCTTTCGCCGGTCAGAAGCCGGGTACAAGCGGCCTACGTAAAAGAGTTAGTTGACTGCTTTTCGATTGCAATAAAAGATGAAATTTAGGTTCCTGAGTTCCAGCAAAAGCACTATACCGAGAACTTCGTGCAGGTATTGATAGTGATTTTTTTCAATAAAATATATTTTTTTAAATTCAACTTTAAGTACAAAATTTGCATAATGTCAATTTCCATTTCAAATTTAACGCTATGAAGAAAAGTATACTTTCTAGAAAGGTCAATCGAGGTATCCACTTCGTCAGTCAATAAGTAGGATACGCGGTAATAGTGCTATCGGAGTGCACTTCGTCAGCATAATCCTAAAGTATTTTCAGCACTCGCAAATCCAGAAACTATAGGGATATTATCAGAGTGCACATAAAGAGTACTGAAATAGCTATTTTTGAGAGTACGTCGATTGACCAGTGTGTTCATGAATTGCATATATCAAAACGGAAAAGTATAACAAATCCGAAGCGGTCAAAAGCCAAGGTTTTTCATACGAAATTGAGTAATGTATTCTTCTTTACTTCAAGTGCTTGTTTTGTATTTCATATCGATTGCGTCTTGCTAGGTGTTTTAATGCCGTGTTCAAAGTAATTTCCGCGAAATGCGAAATTGTCTCTGACCCTCCAAAATTTAGTTATCTTTCTCTTTCTCTGACGGCTATTTTGAATTTCGCGGAATCACTTTGAACACGGCATAAGGCTTAGATAGTTCGAATGAACTGAAAAAATACCCTGAAAATAAGACTTTACTCAATATTTATTTATTGTTCCAGTTTTTTTTTCAAGCATTTAAGAATTTTTTAAAGAACTCTTCATCACAAGAAGAGTGTCCCAAATGTGTGTTTTGAAGTGCGTTTTTTTGAAGAGTGGTCTAAATATGTGTTTTGTAGTGCATTAATTTTAAAGAGTGTTCCAAAGGTGTATTTTGTAGTGCATTCTCGATGCGGGCCTCGGATCGAAGAAACGCGGTTCACAGCTTGTCGTCGGCGGCGATGGCCGTTTCCTGACCATGGAGGCTGTTAATGTTATCATAAAAATTGCGGCTGCGAATGGGGTTTTTCAAAAGTTGAATAATCTTGTAAACAATTGATTTTCAAGGTTTCTCGACTGATCGTTGGTCAGAATGGTTTCCTTTCGACGCCCGCTCTTTCGCACCTTATCAGAAAGGGACACGAAGGAAAACCTGTTGACGGAGGTATACTTAAAATCTCCAAAGTTTACAAAAGTTCTTTTCTCTATGCAGGAGTCATTCTCACTGCCAGCCATAATCCTGGTGGTCCAAAGGGTGATTTCGGAATCAAGTTCAACTGCGACAACGGAGGTCCAGCGCCTGACCACGTATCATATTTTTGTTAAAGTCATTCAAATGAAATACATTTAGGTTACTGATGCTATTTATACTGCAACGACGAAGATTGATAAATACTTTTCGGCTGAAGAACTTTCATGCGATTTTACAGTCCCTGGACGGTGCTCTTGAAACTGAAAAACTTTATGAAATTGAAACTTTAGAAACGAGTACGAAGTCGACAAATATGGAAAATTTGTGGTTGATGTCATCGATTCCGTCAATGATTACGTGAACTTCATGAGCACTATTTTCGATTTTGCAAAGGTGATAAAAATACATACTTCTAATGGTAACAAGGCTTGTTGTCTAAATTTCTCCTATCCACTTTAATACAAAGAGATTAAACCGCAAAATTTCACAAATTCGTTGATTTTTTTTTTTTTTTGAATAAAGCAAAATGAGAAAGTTGTTCAAACGCTTAAAAATTGAAAATACCAATCTTTTTCCAACTTTCAACCATTCTGAAGGTTTATAGATCAAAAGGCTGCTCACCGGTGAGCTCACTGGGCGAAAGTTCCGAGTTTTGGTGGATTCCATGCACGGAGCTACGGGCCCATATGTTTCTACGCTTCTCGTTGACCATCTTGGAGCCGATTCCAATGATTTACTGCGGTCAGTTATCTTTGGTTTGCAAAAATGTCTCCGTTCTCAGAACCGTGCCGAAACCAGATTTCGGCGGAGGCCATCCGGACCCCAACCTCACTTATGCTAAAACTCTGGTTGACAAAATGAAAGGTGGAGACTATGACCTCGGTGCCGCTTTTGATGGAGATGGGGTTCAAAGTTTTTTTTTTCTGCCATCATCATTATTCCTTTTGTTTAGGATCGAAACATGATTCTTGGAAAAGAAAGCTTTTTTGTCACGCCTAGCGATTCTCTGGCTGTCATTGCTGATAATGTTGATGCGATTCCATACTTTAGAAGCAAGAAAGTCACTGGTAATCAATATTTCACTATTTATGCAGTTCAAATTTTACTTACAGGGTTTGCTAGATCCATGCCAACGGCGGGAGCTGTCGACCTCGTCGCAAAGGCGAAGGGATTAGAGGTTTCGGATTTTTCTTTTTTAAAACGAACAAGGCGTTCAGGTTTTTGAAACTCCAACTGGTTGGAAGTATTTCGGTAACTTGATGGACGCTCAGAGAATCGCTTTGTGTGGGGAAGAGTCTTTTGGAACTGGCAGCGACCACATTCGGTGAGCATTTTTTTCAGTAAATTGGTACTTTGTTAGTTCAAAACGCTGGATCATGGCTGGTTAAAAATTTTTGAAACTAATGAGTTGGTTTTTCAGCGAAAAGGACGGCGTTTGGGCTTTCCTCGCGTGGCTGCAAATCTTGGCCGAACGCCGCGAATCCGTGCCACAAATAGTGCAAGCGCATTGGAAGAAATATGGTCGCAACGTTTTCACACGGTTTTGTTGTTTTCCTTCTCAGCTGTTCAATAGTTTCACGAGTTTCAGATATGATTACGAGAATGTTGACGCCGCCGGCGCGAATCTTCTAATGACCTTTTTGGAAGCTCAATTCCCGGCTTTCGTTGGCCGCCAATTGTCCGCCAACGGCGTTACTTACAAGGTTTTTGCCTTAGCTTTTAGAGAGAAAAACAAAATGTAAATTGCAAACAAGTATTTTTAGGGAGAATGCCGTTTTCAAAGTGAATCCGCGAAGTTCAAAATAGCCTTCAGAGAGGGAAAAGATAACTAAAGTTTGGAGAGTCAGAGATAATTTTAAACTTTGCGGAAATCATTTTTAGTGGCATGAGCATACTCTTTTCAAGCTCCGTGATGAAAAAAGTTTCCAGAAAATTTGGTTTTCGAAAGATTATTTGTCAATTGTAGTTTAATGGTTTTTGTACTCTCAAATTTCGTATAATTATGGCAATTTTTTTTTTCCAAACAGTAATCAAAAAACACTAGATTTCAAACCTACTATATATTTGAAAATTTCATAGTGTCATAAAAGTCGTAGAATTCAAAATGTGTTGCAGGTGGCCGTCGCCGACAACTTCCAGTACAAAGATCCGATCGACGGTTCTGTCGCAACGAAGCAAGGCCTCCGTTTGGTGTTCGAGGACGGCTCTCGTCTGGTTTTCCGACTTTCTGGTACCGGTTCTGCCGGCGCCACGATTCGACTCTACGTCGACTCCTACATTCCTGCTGATGATGCTCAACGACTTTGTGCGCCGGCTCAAGTACTTTTTTTCTCTCAAAACTACCATATTTTAAGCGAACTTAGTATGATTGAACTTATTCCAAAAGTCTTTGCAATATAAGAGTATCTTTTCACAAATGACAAAACGATGCAAAAAGTACATTTTCCGCTTTTTTTTCCTTGTCAAATAAAAAAGGTCTAAGAGCTTTTCTTCAGATCATTTCTTTCTAGATTTTTAGATCTTAAAGACGATGTAATGTTTGCGGGGGCGCATGGATTGTCAAAAAAATTCATGTTCTTTTTCTGTAATTGTCGAAAAAAATTCGGATTTAAAAAAATCTTAATTTCTTGTTAATTGAGAAGACCCGTTAAGTTCTTTCGTACGCTCATGCGTCTCTTTGATGTATGAAAATAAAACTGCAAACCGCAGTATAAAAAAAAACTCATATTTCCGTTCTCAAAATATTGGAATTGGTGTTTCCAAATTAGTTCTGCGACAGTAGCCTTTTATTGGAATGAAGCTCAAATTACTTAGCTGGTGTCGGGTTTTCCTTTATCTTATTTTGGTTTGCGTATTGCAAATGAAAGTAAATTTCAATTCTCCCGCTACCGTTGCCATTAAAATAAGTGAAAACGGCCATATTCGATAAGTGTCTATAGAGCGCACTTGCCGCTTTGCGTGACCTCAACAATTGCTTTACCCGCGTTTCCACTGCTCAGAAAATCTGTTTTCTATTGATCGAAGTGGCAGATAATCTATTTGCCATTTGCAGGACCTGCTGAAACCGCTCGTTCTGATCGCCCTCGATCTGTGCAAGATGGAGCAGTTCACCAACCGAACGGCTCCCACTGTCATTACCTAAAGATTTTCCTTTTTGTACCTGCTAATTTTATTCATTTAGAGATTAGTCGATTGTCATAGTTCTAATTGCGGTCTATTGTTTTTTATACGGTTTCATAGTTTAGAAGTGCGATTTGTTCATGTTGAAATATTGATATGCATGCACCTATAATTAGGGTGATAAAGTTTTATCTTCACATAGAGGATTGTGCGACAAGTTTCGAGAATTGTTGCAAGAACAAGCTGATGTATTTTATTGGTATCCTTATCCTCGAAATGAACGAAATGTTGATAGAAAAGAGAAAGTACCGCCCTTTAAAATCGAAATGAAATGGGAAGCGTCGTCAAAAAGAATCAATTAAGGTTCATCTCGGCCCTTACGAAAACCTTACAAAGAGAATTTCGAATCCTCTTTTTTTTCGTTTCAAGTTTCTCGAAACACCTTTTCACGTCGCGTTATCCACTCTGTTTCAATATCAACCGTTCTCCTTCTTCAGGAATATGTATTACAACAATTTCAATCCGGTCACCACGCCGATGATGAATCCGTCGATTTATGAGCCCATCGATCCATTGGAAGCGGCCGTTCGCGGAATCGTTCCTTTAGGTGGATTTCTTTTCCTTGTTTTCCGAGCTCAGAGGTTATTCATCTTTCCTGAAAAGAGCATACCTCTCTTTTTAGCGAAAGAAAAGTAGATGCTGGCGGTAAACCTCAGAAAATTTCACAGATTTGTTACATGTTTTAACAAAAGTTTAAAAAGTTAGTGAAACTAATGAAAAAACAAATTTTTTTGGTATGTTTTGCCGAGAAACAATTTTTTTAGAAAAAAAAAATCTACCATCGCAATCGATTTCTAAGATTTTTCCGATGCCTGATTCGCTTCGATAAAATGTAGAAAACTCTTAATCGGCATGAAGTGAAAAACATTTAAAAATTTTTTTCCGTCTTGAAAATACATCAGATCCTTAATTTTCGCATGAGGAGGACCAAATCGAAACTAAATTCATTCTAGAACAAAAAAAGAAAAAAATTGTTTATACTCGCGATTGCAAAACTTCTGTACATTTTGAGGCGTGAGGACGTCGACGGATGGTGGAAATGGTTACTCGGCGGCGGCAGAACCGACGGCTTCGACGAGCGAAGGCGAGGCAAGGTCTCCTGCGCCGCGGCAAAGCACAGTCGAGACCATCCGATCGCTGCCGTTGCCCAAGGTCTTGCGATTTCTGTCGGTTTGACCAGTTGAGAGAATTTCAGACCGTCAGCAAGCTGCCGGAGGCGAACTCACGAGAAGAATATCTCCGTGAGAACATCCAGCAATTGGTGAACATCGACAAACTGATCCATAAACTGCACAACCAAAGAGAGGAGGTTTCTAAAATTATTTGTTTTGTCGAATGCGGAGCTCTGAATATGATAAAAGATCAGAAGGCTTGATAGTTGAAAAGGTTTTACGCAAGTATTGAGAGCGATGAGAAAATTTATCGAAATAATGGGATATTAAGGATTAAGCTTATTTGAACTTCCAAATGTGTACACCAACGAGGGGTCGTCAACGGTTTGCTTCATTAAGTTTTATCAAAGTCTTTTTAAACTTTTCAGTCCCAGTATATAACTGAAGGTCAAAGTATTTGAAAAAAAGATGTGAAATGCTTTGAAATACGAAAACACCCAATATGTGAAAAGAATGTTAGATATTTAAAAAAAAAGAAGAAAAAATTCCATTTTATCGCTGGACTTGTTTTTTTTTTCATGGGAAGTTTGAATTTGCGCCAGGAATTATTTTTTCATCGTTTTTTTAAAAAATATACATTTGTTTTCCTAAAGGCAGATTGAAATGACTAGATAGTCTGAATAGCGAAGCTCTTTTGGAAAAATTGGAAAGCTAAAAATGAGAAAGTTTTTTTTAAGATAATAAAAAAGGCGGCGGAGAATGTGCTGGGAACAGACAGTCAGCGAGTGATGATCATCAAGAAAGAGGTGGCCGAAGAGTCGGGCTCTAGCGCTCCCCAGAGCTTTGCCAGCATGCTCAACTCCAAGCCGTCGACCGGTGAACTGCCCAAAAACAGTGAAAAGGCAAAAAAGGTGACCCTTTTGCTTTGAATCAGCAGAAAAACTGTTATTCTGTTCTAGAAGTCGATAAAATGCGAGCCGATATATGAGGAATACATACCGACGCGTGAAACGGGCAGCGTGGAGGACATGAGAAAAGAAATGGGCGACGTGGTCAACGCCGAGAAAGACCGGATCCGGCAGAAGGCGTCGGAGAAGGTCTTTTGAAGACGTGAAACAGAAGAATATTCAGAATTTCTTTAAGGTTTCCGTCAGATCGAGCGGCTCAGTGGATCAGATTTCCGACACGGAGAAAGAGAAAAGGCTCAAAAAGGTGAGCAGCCGTTTTTTATATTAGAACTTTAATTTTTATCACAGAACAAAGTTAAATCTGAAGTTCATCCCGCGGAAGATCAATACATGGAGTACGTTCCACAGGTTCGTCGCTGAAATGTTCTCAAAAAATGTTTTCATTTTTCTGTCTGTGTCACTAATTTTCTTATTGATGACCAATTTTTTTTTTCCTGCCTGAAGACCGTTCATGGGAATGTAGGAACGGCAAATAAAAAGAAAAAAAAATTGAAAGTTAGTCGATATTGCGAAATAAGTACTCAATGAAATAATGATTATTTTCCGAGAGACCACCGAGTTTTTTTTTCTAACAGAGGGGTACTTTGAAGAATCCCTGTAGAATAATGAACTTTATTGAAAACTTTTCTCAGAATGCGCTTTCGCTTTGGAAAATGTTTTTAATGTTCTGTATAGATCGACAATCAGAAAAAAAACCAAATAAAGTGAGTCTAACCGAAGGGATTCCTTGAGAGTTTCAAGGGTGTTTCAGGATGAAATCAGCTCGATTTTACATCAATATTTTCCTTTTAGCCGATTTCGAAAAGAGCGCGAAGCCCTGACATGAAACCAGAAAAGTCGGCCTTGCTTTCTCGAAAAAAGGAGGACCAGTTGGATGGGAAGAGGAAAAAGAAAAAGAAGAGCATCGACTTAATCGATTTGTGCGATGACGATTCTCCTCTGAGGAATCTGGTGCCAGACGAGCAATGGTACGGCAAACAGGAGCCGTCAAGTCGCCACAAAACTCCAGTCGCTCCTTGCAAACCTGTCAGAAAGTTCGAATTTGACTCTGATATTGCTGGCGATGTCGCTCCGGTCTATACGCCCAATCCGATAGTTCCGCCTCAGAAAAAGAAAGAAGTTTACCAGTTTTCAGAGCTATTACAATCAATATTTTCTCTTCAAGAAAGTGTTTCGGTCGACTTCGAAGCCGCACTATTTTGACGACGACGACGCTCGGCCGGCCAAAGTGGACCGGAAAAGAAAATCACCGCAGTCGGAAGACGCTCCCGCGAAAATTGTTGCTCATTTCGGTTGATAATATCTAATTGGTAGTTTACAGAAGATTCCGAAAGAAAATGGCGCGGCGAGCTCTTCTAGTTCTCATTCGAGTTTATCTACTTCATCTTCGCGTCGTATCGCTCATGAGGCTCCAACGGTGAAATAATCGAACTTTCACACTTTTATAACAACACATGAGTTAATATGTGGCTACAGTTGGTTGAGGCATTCCTAGTTTTTGTTTCAAAAAAAAATTATTAACTTCTTTTCTCGTTTCTTTTGGTGAAAATTTTCACTGATTGTTTATTTGCATGATTTTTTCATTATTTTTTTCTAGCCGCAAGCGTGAAAAAAAAAATGCGAAGAAAGTTGAGAAAACGGAATAAAACGAAATTTTCCCTATCTAACGTAAAAAGGTCACTTAGAACTACTTAACGGCCTTACGGAGAAAAGTTTTTTATTTATTGGGTAGAATTTTCATGGCATAAACCCTTCTCTCTGTTTTTAAAATTTAAATACATTTATTTTTAGTTCAAAGACATTCATACATTTAATTTAGATCCGCCTCCGTAAGAAAATTACTTGATCGCGTCGAATAATTGTAATAGTCAAACATGCATGGCTATTAAAGGACCATCGTCACGCACGATAAAACTTGACGCGAAAAGTACTGTATCGGAGGGGGCGGAGTTAGCTACTTGACATTCAAAATCTGAACAGACTGTAGATTTAATTTCTTTTTTTGGGAATCGAAGAGTTTCTAAAATCACTAATAATGATAAAAAAACTGAGAAGTATTATTCAAGGGAATCCGAAAATAAACGATTACAAAAAAAATTAATGAAATTTTCAATTTTGCCGACATTGTCCCGTGGAGCGCATTTTTAAAAACAAATTTTGCACAGCGTCGCGAAATTTGCGATTCTCGTTTATTTAAATAAGAAATTTCCAGAGAATCAGCTTTTTTACTTTTGTTCTTACCTAAAGTCATTAATCTGCAGCCGATCCCCGTCTACCGGTCAGAAATCTTGAAACCAAGGAAAATGATTCCCACACTAAATGAGCAGCTCAACCGAACGATGCAGGCCGCCACGAAGAAACCCGCAGAGCCGCCTCAGAAGATTCAAAAGGTTCAGAGAAGTAGACGAAGATCTCGAAAATCGCAATTTGCTTAATCTTCTAATTTTTGAGAACGGAAACGTGAGAGGCGTTTTTTTTTAAGAAAATTTTTCAGAAACTAGAGGTTGGAAGCCCCTATAACCGCGCAAGGCTTCACCGGGCCTTGACGTGTTATTTAGATGTGTGTAGAACCGACATTGCTCTTGGATCTTTATTAGAGCAACTCAGCACCGCCAGTTGGTATGCGTGCTGAGCGCAAGAGTGACAATACAAGTAGGCGGCGTGCCATTGGCACGCCTACATGATAGTACATATGGCATTGAGGTCAGGTCAACTAGCGTCCTGTCACATCCCTCCGCTCCAAGAAAGCTTCGTCCCGAAGCGTGAATTAGTGAAACTAAGACAACTTTTAAGGACTAGGCAATCAAGGACGGTCTAACAAAAAATACAGATATTAACGCAAGAGGACAATTGCGCTCTAAATCAGTTCTACAACACAATTCTAAGCACTAGCAGACTCTTATACAACGATTCCTACGTCACTTATTTATCTAGGAACCCAATCAAAAGACAAGGTAAAGGACGTATCCGGTCAAAGATTGAATGAGAAAAGGAAATCGAAGAAAAGAGTTTTGTAAACTACATCGGGGGGCTTACAACAAAATAAAACGAGACAAGCACGGAAAACTCTCAACACAATTGAACTAGCGATTGAAGTCGTCATCGACGAGAAAAGGGCTCACAGGCCAGGCGATATATATCACTCTACACATCCCACCATCCCAACCGTGTATCGCGTACCAACAAAGGGGTCAAAATCGCGGTGAAAAAGTTCAAAAACTTGTCAATGTGGAGGAGTCGACGTTGCTTGTGACCGGACTCGTGCACTGCTTCACTGGAGCGGCTTCAGAAGAAAGTTGTAGCCTCGCTGGAATCCCGAACACGATATGCGAAAACTGCTAGCGGAATAGAATAGGTCGAGTTCCCCGCAGAAGACTTGTAGCTTCTGCAGGCGGCTGATGGACGAGGTAGAACAGATGAAATAGGTGAATTAGTCCAAGCAGCCGGATTCTACGGTGGTACCTCCATATAACCGCGCAAGGCTTCACCGGGCCTTGACGTGTTATTTAGATGTGTGTAGAACCGACATTGCTCTTGGATCTTTATTAGAGCAACTCAGCACCGCCAGTTGGTATGCGTGCTGAGCGCAAGAGTGACAATACAGTAGGCTGCGTGCCATTGGCACGCCTACATGATAGTACATATGGCATTGAGGTCAGGTCAACTAGCGTCCTGTCACACCCCCGTTTTCAATAAAATTTAAAGTTTGGATGAGGTTTTCAAGAATTTTTTTTGTGGTGTTACACAATTTCAGATATAACTATAGTTTCGAGTAGAAAAAGTTTTCTCTTGTTTTTTTTTCAAAGTACTTCTCGATTGATCGACGTTTTTTCAGAAGCCTCCGACGCAGGAGCAGCTCTATGGCGTTTCACAGAACCGCATCGGCTCTACGTCCAAAGGAGAACAACGTGTCGCACGAACTTTCCAACCGGTTCGCCTCCGATTCCCTCGTCTCATTCTCTTACCTCTTCAGGTCTCACTCAAATCAATCAAGAAAGAGCCGGAAGACAGTCCGAGGACAAAGGTGGCGAAAGCGGCGAAAGAGGCGCCGCCTGGACTTTTGGACCCCATGAACTCGAAGGTGCCGATGACCGTCCGGATGCCGTATTTGAAGAAAATTTTCGAGCATTGCGTCAAAAACGATGTCCCTAATCCTGCAGCCAGAGTGAGTACATCAAATAACTATACAATTTGACGAAACTGAAGCGCTTGCTTGAGGCCTGTGCGCAGTTCCTTTTTTAAATTTGTGTTCTCTCAAAAATCGCTGACCATGCTATCTTCACGAAAAACCAAAGTAATCAATTAGTAAAGATCCAACTTAGTTTAAATAAAGTTTTCTATCACTCTTTTTACTAAAAAAATAAAGGAAGCCTCCTCAAAATGAGATAAATTGACTCATCAATCTCCGTGTACGATGGTGTTTTAGGCCCAAAAAGAAGAGAAGGAAGTTGTTGATAAGGTGAAGAATAGGCTCGGATATCCGGCTGCGGTCGTGGCCGCGATCAACAAGATCCGCAAAGAAGTCAACGGCGACGATGTTTTGTATGTGGCCAAAAACGGTGAGATCCCGGATTTTTAGTCAAAAGACATCGCTTTTTCAGCCGTCTCTCACGACCAGGTACTCGCCGGCCGACACTATGGCAATGTTTCTGTTGGGATCAGAAACAAGAGGGTTTTCGTACTCCGGTCATTCGCCTCATTATCTCATTTTTCAGATCACATCTGTTTCTGTTGAGAAAATGAGCGATCAAGAGCTTCTTAACATCATTTCTACGTTCACAGTCTCTATGGACGCTTTGAAAGAGAACGGGTCGGTTTGGCAGAAATTATTTATGTTTCATTTTGAAAAATGTTTCCAACAAAAGCTCTCATTCAGTTTAGACTTGTACAACTGATCTACGGACAGAAATAATTCACTTTCCAGGTATCCTATGCAAGACAGCGAGCTTCCGAATAAGGCGATTATCGCTGCGACAGAATACGACAAGAACAAGAAGCCGTGGGTCACGGAATCAGGCATCTCTTTCTGCTTCGTCCCATCTCTATCATTGACGTTTAGACCTGCTCCGCACGTGTTCGCGTTGCAACCAGGAATTCCGACTTCCTGAGGACGGCGTCGTCGTCAAAAGACCTGAGATTTGTCGCTACCATACGCGTGGCGTCAGCGTCCAGGGCAAGAGACGTACGTTTCCAGCAGGAAAATCAACTTTGTTGATTTTCGAAACTAGACCTTTCAAACCAAAAGTTATAGACTTTCATGTTCACATAAAATTCAAAATTTTCAAATTTTGTTCTCCGTTATGAGAATTTTATTTCACTTCTGAACTAACAGATTAATCATATGGTCAGCAGCACATGTCATGTCTATGGGATATTTCACGATTTCCAGAAACGTTCTCGAAGAGCCACGCGTGTTGCGGAATGGAGCTCAACTTGGCGCCAGGTTGCAAATTCGCCTCTCATCACGTCTTCGACTCGATCTCCGTCAATGAACTCAACAAGTTCTACGCGACGCCGCGGCCTTCTGGAGCCAACGACCCGCGCAGTTCGAAGGTGCTTTTTAACCTTTTTAATAAGATTGGTTGGCGGATAGTAAAAAAAAACCTGTGAATTTTTATGAGTAAAGTCCAGTAACGTTGGATTGGTGTGCAGGTGTACGCGCTGGATTGCGAAATGGTCTACACGATGGCTGGGCCGGCTCTGGCACGCCTTTCGGTGGTCGACCTCCGCGGGAAGCACGTCCTCGACGTGAAGGTCCGGCCTCAGAGCGAGCTTATCGACGCCAACACGGAGTTTTCTGGTCTCCACGAGAAGGACGTCATCTCAGCGCCAGACACCATGCAATCGGTTGGATTCATCGACTCTTCAAGTCTTGAGTCTCCAGTTTCAGTGCCGCGAGAAATTCTTCCGGCTAGTCAACGCTGAAACGATTTTGGTCGGACATTCGCTGGAAAGCGATCTCAAGGCTCTGCGCATGATGCATAACCGAATCGTTGATACCGCCCTTCTTTTCCCAAAGTTTGTAGTTTATTTTTTATAAATTTTGAAAATTTAGACTATCCTTCTCATGACTTTCTGGATCGAATCAAAATGAATTTTTAAGTAGTGTCGCTTAAAAACTCATTTATGTTTAATGATTCTCCTTTTTGAAGTACACGAAATGGAAAGAAGATGTCGCTGCGTTATCTTTCGTCCGAACATCTTCAAAGATTCATCCAGCAGGACGTCGCTGGTATATTATCTCGAGAATGACGTCTTTTAATTTGTTTCTTTTTTCCAGACATGGAGGGCCACGACAGTTTTGAAGACGCGAAAACCTGCATGGATCTCGTTTTCTTCAAAATTCGAAACCCCGTTACAGCATCTTAACTTGCCTTTTTATCATTTAACATATTATTGGTATTTCAAATCGATCTGTTCTTCGAGTCACTTTTGATTCCATTAATTTGTCCTTGCAATGCATAATTTAGTAAAATATTAAAACTCTTTTAAACTATATCAATTGCTCAATCTCAACTCAGACGTGATTTCATCGATTCGTTTAGTCTTTTTGCAATTTTAGTTTTCAAAAACTTCTCGGGGTTCCAATGCGCAGATTTTTTAAATCACTTTCGAAAGCTCTGATAAACTTGCACCTGTTTTTTGAGAACCTTTCAAAACGTTTTTGAACAGTCTATATGCGTTACAATCTTGTATAGCTCTTCTTCGTGTACTTTCTCCTTGTTTTTGTTTTATTCATTTCGTCTCTTGCAGAAAGATATATATGTTAGCCTCATAAAAATCATCAAAATTCGTGTTTTTAGGCGTTTCAAGCGGAAAAACTGCGCTTTCATGAATATTTTACTACATACCAAAAACAATAATTGCTTTGTTAGCAACAGAGAAGAGCGTAAACCAACTTTTTTGAATTAGTTTTTTAGAAATCAAAATTTTTCAGAAGAATGTCAAAAATAGCAGGTCGAATATCCAGGATACCAAAAACTTTGTGGGAGCACAAAAAGAAAACAGCTTTTGCCGGGTTTTTAGGTTATCTGGGAGTTGATTTTGCGATTCGATGGAACTTGTGAGTTGAATGGAGATTTTCCAATTTCATTTTGATGAGGTCGACAGAAATCAGAAGATTCGGGGATTTTATGCACGCCAGGCCTTGGAGTACGGCCAGCAGACGATATCGCGTGAGATTATCAGCAGGGGTTTTTCAATTTTTTTTTTTTGCAGCTGAGGTCAGACCGAGACGCGTTTTTGTGTTGGTGAACGTAGAGGCCAACGGACGACATTGCTACGACGACTTCCAGAAGAACGCGATGCCGCTGTTCAACTTGGCCGGTATCCAGGTCGACGTCGTCAAGGTCCTTTCCACGCTTTTCTTTTTTCGCAAGTCGGAATTGATTTATTTGAAAAAAAAAACAGAGTACTGTGCTGAATTCCACAGACCAAAACGTTGAGATAGTTCTGTTCAAAGAAGTCCAATTTAGCAGAAATTCAAATTTAAAGTTAGAAGAAAAGGTCTTGAAATATCGTAATTAAGAATTTTTCAGAAATCAATTAAGTTTATGCGATTTTTTCCGTGGTTCTTAGGAATCTTTGCAGTGTTCCAGCCTTGTAATTCAGCGTTTCTGTGTTTACGTTTTTTTCAAGTTACTGCATGTGAAACGAAAGAAGTTACGAATCAGAACGAGCATTCATTTTGACGATACAAAGAAGATTTTCGATCCAAAAGCTCTCAGTTTTCTCTCTGGGACTTTTCTGCGCCCTCCTCGTCTCTCGGCGTCTCTCTCTCTCTCTCTCTCTCTCTCTCTCTCTCTCTCTCACGTTAACGTCCCATTTTCATGTTACTCTCACCTCGCTGATGAGGGAACAGAGAGACGGTGAACGGAGTATATTTTGTAGATTCAAGTCAATCTTGTTTCACTTTCCTGTTCTCTCGCAGATCCTTCACTGGTAAATCGAGAGGTCGATACAATTAGGTGCCGGGTAGCAACTTCAAAGTCAATCGGTGCATGTTAATCGGTGGTAGTTTGTACGCGACCGGTTACTATCTGTATGGTACCTGGATACTACCGGAGAGGTATCGCTATGCTACCGGGTATGACTTCTGACGAGCGTATGCTTTCCGGTAACATGAGAGTAGCTGATAAGTGCCTACCCGGTACCTACTTTCATCGACCTCTAGATTCACCTTTGTCTAAACCCCGTTTTCAGTGTTTTTTTTTTTTTGAGTATATTCCGCACCTATACAGTTTTCCAGGCGGACAACGAAGTGCAATTGGAAGCTCTCGCTGGTGCCATCGACGAACAAGAAGCAGACGCGGTCTACGTGGTCGGAGGGGACGGAACCATGGGCAAAGTGGTCACCGGCATCTTCAGAAATCGGTAAAATTCAAAGCATAAAGGTAGTGGCCTAAGTGTTTCAGAACAGAGGCGCCACTTCCGGTCGGCTGTTATCCAGGAGGCTGTGATAATCTTTGGCTGAAGCGTATGGCTCCTGCCGTTTTTGGTACTTGTTGAATCGTTGAAATATCTTCAGCTCCGAAGAAATTAAGAGAACGCGAAAGACGTCAGAGGAGCTTGCGAAAGTGCGATGGCCGTCGTGGAAGGACGTCTGCAGCCAGTCTACGCCTTCGAGTTCTCCATTGTATTTCAGTTCATGGATTTCGTGTTGAAAAGTGTATCCTCAGCCTGATTCCGAGGAGCCTGTACAGTATGGAGTGGGCGACGTCGGCGCCGGCTGGTTCCGTCAGATAGAGGACAAAAGGAAAAAGTTGTGGTACTTTGGGGCTTTGAAACGAAGATGGGCCTATGTCTGGGAAATGGTCAAGGTTTGCTCTACCCGAATCTGTACGTTTTGAAACAAATATATGCAAGAGAGGTCACAAAAATAACAAACTTTTTTCTTGGTTTTCGAGCTAATAATTTATCTTTCTCAACAATAATCTGTTCTCCTCTCCACTATGTTTGATTGTCCTCTTGTTTCCGAACAATCAAACATTGCGAAACCTGCTCGGAAGACCAATATTATGCCGTGTTCAATTTGATTGCGCGAAATGCAAAAGGATCTCTGACTCTCCAAAATTTAGTGATATTTTCCTTTCTCTAACGGGTATTTTGCATTTCGCGGAATGAAATTGAACACGGCATAATAATTTTTGAAGATTTGAAGGAAAAATTTGGAAGAGTAAATGCAAACCTTCTATATCTTGAAACCATTTGTCCCTGTCATTTTCAGAGATCGCCAGAACCACTCGAAGCACAAGTCGAGTACGAAATGCCGTGCTCTGGCTGCGAGAAATGCCGTCCAAAGCCTGTCTACACGCCGCCGACCTGGCGCTGGTGGCACATTCTGACTGGAACGCCCAGGGTGAAACCAGACAAAAGTTGGTTGCAGCCTATAATAACGCAAGTCGCGTCTGTTCTTCAGCGTTGCGCGACTTCACTGGCGTTCTCAACGAAAACTGCGGCAAAGAGCAAGAATTGAGTATACGTGGCACCGATTTCCTCGTAGAAAATCAGCAAGTCTATGACCACGAAGTGAGATTTTCTTGGCGTTAAAACTGACTCCACCATTTTAGCTGTGGTCTCAACTGAGGCTAAGGATGGGCGGAGAGAATTTCGGCAGGTTTGGAGTGATCGCCGAGGGCCAACGCCGATGCTCAGAGGTTGGCACCGGAAACATAAAGTACTGAGAAATATCTTGAAGGATCGAGTCGGAACAAGTTCGCAGCCTGACTTTTATTCAATTGACTTGCTGGCAAAATCGCTCAAGTTGAAGTTTTCACAGTTTCCGGTTAGCCACCCCCTTCAATTTTGATTTTCAATTTTCGGACCCATAATGATTCAAACGGATGAATGTGTCTTCCAGGAATACATCCGCAGGATCTACGTATCAAGCAATCCGCAGACTGAGAATGTCGAAGAGAAAACTCTGCGAATCAGTACGACTCAGCACAAAATCAACGTCTTTTTGCCTTCGATGATACGCCTCGATCTCGCGGATCTTCAATAATTTTTAACTGAACATTTCCACTTTTTTCACAGCACCAATAGTTAGTTTTTTGTAGGCTTTTATCGAATTGTTATTGTTGGTTGTTAAATCTTTAACGAGCTTTTCATTACGGCTAAGAAGTGAGAATGGTTCATGAGCAAGCGTTTCTACCAGTCTTCGGCGATCCGCTTGCGCCAGGAGCCGAAGAAAAGCGGTCGGGAAGGGATGTCGCTGAACGAGGCGACTGGCATGAACCCCTGCACCTGTGGGAATCGCGAAGATCGTCGCCACGTCGGCATCTGCGCGCTGAACATCACGTCCTGCAATCGTCGCTCGTTGTTCTGAATCTTTTGGCTTTATCGTAGGTATTTTCCAATTTTCACTGGCGAAATAGGCTTCGATGCAACTTGTATTCTCTAATAAAGGTCGTAGAGGAATTCTCAAAAAACTTGTTTTCTGTAATCATGAATATCAAAAATTGGAAGAATTTCTCAAAACACTCTACTGATGGAAGATTTATAAGTTTAAACTTACGCGGCTATTGGCTACACTTTCGAGCGTCTGTTCTCGGATAGTGATAAGTTGTGAAAAACTTGAAAAAACATGCAATCTTCCAGTATATCAAGAAGGTTCTGACCAATTTTGCTGTTTTTTCGTAAGAAAGTCTCATATTAGACAACCAAAAATTGAAGTAATGCAGTTCATGACTATTTTTGAGCTTCAGGGGTACAAAATTAGAGAGCTGGAGAAGGAAAATTATTGGACCATGAATTGGAAGGAAGTTTGGAAAAGAACGAACCCCGCCGAATCGCGCCTCGACGAACACGAGAGCCAGGGAAAAGGCGAGAAGCAGTTGAAAATATCGCGACATATCACCTTCAAGTTGCTCTTTTTCTATTTTCACTTTTTTTTTTTAATAACGTGAAACAAAAAACAAGAATAAAAAATGACAGTGATCTTCATTGAGAGCCTTTCTGATGAAAATTGACAGAAGTTTTATTTTTTAGGGACCATAAAAAATTTAACTATTAGAAATTCTCAAACAAATAAAAGTTGGTGAAAAACCTCTACACATGAAAAAGCTATCGTCTCAGAGGTCAGAACGTCTTTGAAATGAGAAAACGCGGGAAAGGAGAATTTTCAGAAGTCCTTAGGAAATTTGAGAACCTCGTTCTCAGAAGAGGGGAAATATAGTTGAATAGCCGCCCATGACAAATTCTATCGCTCTTTTTTTTTTCGGAGATTCTTGCCTGGCCGATATTTTCTTCATTTCAGAACAGGAAAACTGCTCAACGAACACAAATTTCAAATCCAAAAAAAAAAATTAGTTGAAAAGTGGGATCTTTAAGCGGTTTGAAAAGACGGCAAATAGTTTCTACGTTTTTTTTTTTCAGAAAAAGCTTTCAGTTTTTAGAGAAGCTTGTATGAACTTATAAAGGCCGGTTTCGGGGGTCTTTTTTAATAGCAAACCAAATATTTTTAAATAGAGTTTCTCTTCTAAGTCTTGGCTGCAAAATCATACTTGATGAAAATAATTGGGCTAGTCTGACTTGGTCATCGAAAAATTAGTGAAGAACCGACAAATTACTACGAGTTACTACTGGATCTTCTTCAATGACGCTCTCATTTACTCTATTTTCGGTCTTTGACGGCCGCCGCTTGGGTTTTGGTCGCCGTGCATAGCCATGAATTTTTAAACTCTCCTCGACTATCAATTCTCCTATGAAAAGTTATGAAACAGCTGTGGCTCAAGATGAGGTTTGGTCATCATCGCCGAAAAAAGACCTTTGCGTAGGAAGGAATTTTGATTAGGTTGGTTTTGCATTGAAAAACTGGAACGAGAAAAAAAAAGGCTTGAACGAAGGAAGAGCAAAAAATGGTGGTGATGTTCAAAGGTGAGAACCACGCGCCGTGCTGACAAATTGCAGTCGACGGCAAAGTGCTCCGTCGCCGGGATTCTGGGCTTTCGCGCCTTCACGCACGTCAGGCCAGCTTAACCATGCAGAAACGTTTTCTGGTGTTTGACGGGGTATCCTTAAAATTTTCAATTCCTCGTCATTCGTCCTTTTTCAGTTATTGGAGGACAATGCTTGCAAATAGCCGCAAAAGAGTTGAAATCTTTCTGGAGGTTGTCTACTGAACTTCGCCGAAGCTACTACTACTACTTTTGGAAAGATTTCACTGTTCCAGCTTCGTAAAACCAAGTTTTTTTGTAATTCCGTGATTTTTGGAGTTGAAAATCGACTGAGCGTCAAAACTTTTACACACCATTCGCCATCACTTGAAACAGTTCGATCTCCTGAAAATATTTATCGATTACTCGAGCGTCGATTTTTCAAGTCGTTTCAAATGAGCTACGCATGGATGAATTTTGCTGTTCAGTATGTAAAAAATGCATGACTAAGAAAATGATCTATTTCTTAGTCACGCCTTTTTTACATACTCAACATTTGCTTTGAGGCTTTAATGCCAAAAAATTCCTGAATTAAAAAAAAATGGAAAAATGAATTGATTACTGAAAACTATTCACAGACCATAACTGTAAAAGCCGCAACTATTCCGAACAGATGCGAACAGAAAAAGAAAAAATGTTTGAACCCAACAGAAAACACGTGAAAAATTATATGGACGTAAGCTTTAAGGGTTAGTGAGAGGCCAGAAGCGTAAACAAAGTAAGGAACTTTCCGTTATGTCACTCATATCCTATGATGAATGGTTATTTTGGCGTGTCGGACAGAAAAGTAAAGACTAGAACAATTAAGATATCTCCAAATGTGAAACTCTATGTAAAGTCTAATTTTGGGATCATCAAAAGGCGAGACTTCGAGAATCTGTTTCAAAGACTGAAAAGACAAAGATAATCGCTAAATTGAAAACTCAAGACGAACGATTTTAGTTGTCCAAAGATTTAGTGAGACGGAAGTAGTTCATAGAAAATATTAGGGGCCGGTCTCTAGAGCTTTGAAGATATCCACGTTTTTCCCCCATACCGAGAAAAACACTAACTTTCAAGACGTTCATCCATTTTAATTGTTAGTGATAGAGACTGTTACCAATTCCAGTAATTTTCCACTTGAGCACTGCGCAAATAGGTAGTTTTCAGCGGTTTTTTTTTCTCGGTATTTCATTAAAATATAATTTAATGTGAATACTGTGAACGCGGAAAAAAACGATTGTTTGCTGACGATGTTCTAGGATCGGTCGTTCAACTTCAGGTTCAGAGAGACGGTTCTATCCGAAAACAAGACTTCAGGCAACTGAAGCCGACGATTTCGCAGATTAATTTATTATTAAATTATTGATTAAAGTTTTCAAACCAGTACTTCATCAAGGAAGCTGTTATTTACAGTATTTTCAAACTTTTTCTGAGCTATACATGAATAGAAAGCTTTTGTGACGAAAAGAACTTTGGTGACAACAGAAAAAATTGAAAATATAAAGAAACGAAGAAAAAAGCGAATATCCGAAAAATGGCGAAGCGTGTTGTCCATAGAGCAACGTTACTGCAAAGCGCCCTTTTCGCGGGAACTCAAGCTTTCCTTTCTCCGACTTTGAATTATTTTTTCTCCAAACCAGGAACTTCTGTACGTTTCCAAGTTCGCCGTTCGATTTGCAATGAAAAGTTCCACAAAGTACTGCTTTGAACTGAAACACCGTTTTTTTACTGCCCCTATGCCTTTAAGTAAATACAAAGTTTCATAGACCAAACGATGGACTAGACTAGTTCTAGGATTAGTTTTCAAAACATTAAGACCAGAATCCGGCAGCTTTTATAACGACAGCCCCAGAAAAAGTCTCAAAACCCCATTTGAATCCCTCGTTTAACCTTTTGTTAGTCATCATATTTTAACAGCGTGTCCGCTACTTCATCGAAGTCTGTGATGCTAATCTTTGATCAAAAAACCGGCGTGCACTCGGATTAATGAAAAGATCTTTTTGGACGACGCTTAGACGCGTGAAATTCCTTCGAACTCTCTAAGTCCTCAGATCCCCTGTAAAATCTCTGAGAATGCTCTTTGTCCTCATCTCAATTTTCCGCGAACGAAGAGAGGTATTCCAATTTTTTTCAAAGCAAGATATTTTTCAGGTATCCAACTAGACGCTAATTAATTCGTTATGAGAAAGAAAATACTTTACTTTTGCTTTTCACTTTTCTGAATAACTTTTGAAATTGAATCGAAATTTTTTCTACCTTCATAAGTCGATAAATAAATCTTTTAATTCTTTTTTACGTGGTCATTCTTTTCTATGAAGGTGCCTCATTAGGGAGTATATTGAAAAAGTTTGATGCCGCTCATATTTTCCGATGTTGCTTCCTCGAATTCCTTTTACGAGCAAATTATTCCGTGCTCCTTGAAAACAACCATGAGAACCTCTTCCAAAGAATTTTGTATGAATAATCAATCCATTCGGTTGGAAATCTCACAAAAGCGTTTCAGACCAAGGAAAAGCAGAAATCACTTCCAATTTGAAATTCATAGGGTTTTTCGCCGACGAACAAAAGAAAAGGTTTGACTCATTTCCTCAGACCAATCTTTCTTCCTTTTTTGCGATAACTGAGCGGTTTCCTGAAGTTTCCCTTTGAGCTGAACTGTAGAATGTTTCAGATGTCTTTTCAACATCAGTTTTCGGCAGCATTTATAAAGGAATATGAGAAAAACCTTATTTAAGGTGACAGCTTATAGTAAGGCTCATTAAATTTTGAAAAAAAAAAATTAAAGTTCATTTAAAAAGTGATGAAAAACATTTTTGGCTTTTTGTCACTACCGAAGAGAGAGCCAGCTTTTTTGAATTATTTTTTTTAACGATTGTTAAAAAGTTTAATCACTGAAGTAGTTCGTTTTTAGACTTAAGAATTTGGTTAGGCAGTAATAAAGATCAAAAATCGAATCTTGTCTCCCGCAACGAACAAATCTCAATTCCGAGAAACTCCTAGAAATACTAATATCAATTATCGGAAACACGAGGAAGTTTTTTGCAGATTTATGTTTTTTTCTTATCACAGTTTGAGCAAAATAGTCAATCATAGATACTTGTCTTTAATGTGGCCGTTGTTTCCGGGGAAATATCGGTCATTTCTGAGCCGTTTTTATGCCGACTAATGTCTTTTGAGCCGTAATTGAATACTTGCCATGGAATGGCGTTTATAAAAACCTCACGAGATGATTTGAAAGAACTGAATGAACTTCTAAATAAATCTTCAAGAGCGTCTGAGGCTTTTTGGATTGAAAAATTTGATCAGATTGTCTTGTCGGTGTTATCTGCTGACGTCTCCAAAGCCTGGCCCGTGGTTATGATTGAACAAATGAACTTTCTTAACCACCTTCTTTCTTAGTTTCTTATCTTCTCTTTTTGAGAGACTCGAAAAGACGGAAAGCATAATGAAAAGGGTTTTTTTTTCCTTCATGGGGAAACATTTTCAAATCAATCAGGCATCTTTGATTCTTGATTTTTCGAAGTGTTAAGAGGAACTAAAAATAGGATTCTAATTGCAAGAAAAAGGTATATTTTGTTTTGAAACGCTAAAAAGCTGTTTTCTTACCAAAGTTTTAATGAAAAAAAGGGAATAACGAATTATTGAAAAAAATTGGTTCAATAAAATTTATTTTGCGCAAGATTTTCATTTCGAATATAGTCTTCAGAATATTCTTATCCTTTCTAAAGTTATCACCTGTTTGAAATGAGAAACTGTGAAGATCCATAACTTCGAGCTCAATTGAATAGCGACTATGAGAGCCTTCATCAACTTCATCATGCAAACTGCTTCTCAACCGATTTCTTCCAATTATTTTCTAGTCTGTTTTACTCGGACCAAACATTTTTTGAGGCGTCATCCATTGTCATCCGACCGAAATATCTGCTAGAGACTCATTCATAACCACGCACGACCTTCCCTTCTTTCGCCTTTAATATTTGATTTCGTGACAAATTGAAATTCGCAGACATGCGAGAAACATTTGGATTAGGCGAATTCGAATGAGGAACCTATTTTGCGGAAAAAAATTCCAGATTGCCGAAACATTCAAAACGAATGGAACAATCACTAAGATCCGCTTGTGTTTCTTCAAATGAATAGTGCCGCCAAGAATGGAATTTTTTGAATAGAATTACTTTTGTCTTCCTCCTTTTAATTTATGGTCTTTGACGTTCAGTAGACACCTTACTGGTTTAAAAAAAAAGATCCAGAAACTTTTTATCTAGTCGTACTATTTATCCAAACTGTATGACGCGTCATGACGATTTCGGATTTCAAGTAGATTTTTACGCGAAGCGAAATAATCTCTTTTTATCCTTCTCGAGATTTTTTAGCACAATTTTCGCGATGCAGTTTTCTAATCAAAGTTTCTGATAGTTAACATTTCTTCGAAGTTTCTTTTCTTGTAAAAATAGCCGATGGTTTTTTTTCATCGAACTAAAATATCTTAAAAATTTTCTGTAATTTCAAAGTTCAACATTATCTTCAACTTTGCTGCTATGTCTCTTCTTTTTCATAGAGTTCAAGTGGACATTTCAGAGAACGGAAGCCACAAAATGAATGGAATTTATCAGAAGAAGAAGGGAGCCTTTCCGAGTGCTCCATCAATTTTCCACGAATTGCCCAATTACTGTTCCCTGGCAAGGACTTTGTTCACTTTATGATCCCACGGCATATAAAACGAAGGACGTCAGCTCCTCATATCTTCGGACTTGGCTCTTTTTTGCTCTTGAAATCGAGCTGCCACCGAGCAACCGGTAGAGCTCAGGCTCCGCCCACTTTCTGCCGCCGCCCATTTTCGACATTCATAATCTCGCATTTTTCGCGCTTTCTCCTTGTTCTGAGCTGTGCTTTCTGATATTCCTATTCCTCGAATTCTTTTGTTTTTGATAAAATTCTCGCCTCGGTTCCTATCTGGGAAGAAAACAAGAGAGCGTAGTTTTTCAGCGTTTCTCTATATAGTATGATCTCCAAACCTTTACGCGTTGTTTCAAGAAACATCGGAGTCTTGCGATTAAAAAACTGATTGCGAGGGTTATCACGGTCATCCGGAACTTCTGCGCATTCAAAAAAACTCGGAAAAACTTTCGAACAGATTCTATTCAGTTCAATCAGCCGTTTCAAAGACTTTTCCTGCTTGAAAAATATTTTTTCGTTTGACATATTATCCTACTTCTGAGTTTGTATCTTTATAGCGTCTTTTCATGGAATGGTGTGAAATTTCTTGAAGCTGAATTTGTACTTGGTTTTTCGAAAAAATGAATGAATTTTCAGAAAGGGAAAAATCGGCATGCTGAGCCTGAAGACAATTTTGCTGTTTTTGTGCCTCGCCGTCCTCTCCTTCGCCTTGGGCGCCGACAAAAACCTCGAGGTTTTGGTCATTTCACATTTAGCGATCAATAGAAATCCAGTCCGCGGCTTGAACACTTTGGTTGAAAACTTTGTTTTCTCGAAGTCGCTCGTCGGCTTGAGCCTGATAAAGGGCGATTTTTCTACTTTTCTACAAAATGCCGCACGCGCAAGTAGCTTCGAGCAGAATTATCCTATGAAAACGAAAGACGTAAAATATTTGAATCTTTGAAATTCAGGACCGAGAAACGGTGGATGATGGAGTTTTTGAAGACGGATATGTCGACAACTTCAATCGCGCTGCACGGTGAGCTTCAGAAGTTCTTCAGCAGGCCTGACGTCTTCTGTTTCAGGTCAGGCAAGCCGACGTTCATCCGATTCGGGAAACGAGCCGGACCTTCCTTCATCCGCTTCGGTCGCGCCCAGCCTTCTTTCATCCGCTTTGGCCGCAACGTCGAGTAACTCCGTCCCTTCTTTCATTCTTGTATAGCAACTGAGGCATTTATAGTCTAACCAATCAACTCTCTCGGAGTAATTTTCAACGTGTGAGGTCTTCATCCGATAATTATAATTATTATGAAATGTGGGCGTTAGCTTGGCCGGGGTATCGTTGTTTGTTGTCAATGAATTCTTCTTCCTCTTCTTTTCATCTCGGTACACAATAAAACTTTCTCCACTGTTTATAACTCTTACCAGTAAAAAGGGACTCATGAAGGTTTCGCGGCGTAGAGGATGAAGTCGAGGAGTCGCATCTCATACGGCGAGACGTGGTGGAAACTCACCATTTCCGGACTGAAGTTTTCTTCTCCCTGTAATCGGATAAGTAAGTTACATCGATGGACTTAAGATTCAAATAAGGAAGAACCAGCAGACGATGTTTGAGCTCATATGTCTCTAGCTTGCACTCCACTAGTTTGAGGCCAATATATTCTTTACACCCTTACAAGGAATTTTCGAACCGCATAGTGTTACTATTAAAAAAATAATCACCAGATGTAGTTTTGAACGCTGATATAAAATCTGGGACTGCCAAAGAGGCATGAGAAAAAGGTTATGAACGTTTAATTTTTTTTTTTCGATTGAGCTCGTTCCTTATACATAGAGCATGATAAAACTTGATTTATTTAGAAGCAAAATTTCCTGAAAAAGTCACGAAAAAGTTGGCTTTTCTGTGGCCACAAGCTGATCAATCAACGTGATCGAAGTTTTAAACTCCGGGCGGCCACGATTTTATTAGTAGATCGGCCTCATTTGACACCAGACTTGGAAATTGAGTAAAAACCCATTTAGTAGGAATGCATTCCGAAATGCCACAAGATTTTGAGACCATTCCCAAATTAAAGTTTCGGGTTTTACCCTTCTTACGCTAAAAAAATATATTGCCCGTTTTGATATTTTTGTTGTTAGCTTCATAGTTTAGAAAAAAAATATTTATCGCAAATTTAAATGTGACGATCATTGAAAAACGACTGGCTTTCTAGTTTGGATTCTTGAAAGAGGAAACTTGAAACTCTATCTCAAATTAGCCATCAGAGCGTTCCATTATCTTCTTTAGATTCAAATTCTATTTGAAAAGCAATATTTTACGGAAGCCGATTGGCCTACACTAGATAACAAATTTCTGGTTTTAATACAAGAAAATCCTTGGAAAGTTATGATATTTTCGTCCTTTTTGGGAGATAACAATGACGTGCTGTTTTCCTCATAAAGGCCTTATGAAGGCTACAATTTTTCAGAGAGAAAATTCTTCCACGAAAAACTATACCACAAGTGAAAGTCTTCATTACTAGTGTTGTCATTGATTTGAACCCCTCTTTGCTTAGCTGACCAGATAGGACAGAATATCATGTAACTGGCGTGACCACAAGAAATGAACCCCTTGATGATGAAGTTGTGTACTGAAGTTAACCCAAAAGACTGTCTGGCGTCTACTTTTTGGTCCAATTTAATTCTCCAGTTACTACGAATAATAAGTTCGATCTTTCCACTGATTAAAGAAAAATACGGACCCTGAGAGGCGGATAATAGGCAAATCTTCTAGCGAAAGCGTCGCTGAACATGTCCAAGTGCTCGAGCGGATGGAAGTGGTGAAACCTGAGCGACTTCTTATTTCCTCTTCGAAATTCGTCAATGCGTGGGTCCAGAACAAATATCCAAGAACAAAGAACTTCAATATAATTGAGCAGTTTAAAAATAGACTACTTTGTCAAAATATTTTCGAGCAAAAAAAAAAGAAAAAGACAAAAAAGAGCTTTGAAACTCTTGTTTCTGACCTGTCAGATCCATTTTCGTCCCTCGAGTCTTCTGGAAAAATCCCCACTGCCGCCAAACATTTTGCCATCTGAATCGAGGTTTCAAATTTTGAAAAAACTTTATGAAAACAACGAAAAGTATTTTGAAATTCAATTACTTTTTGCGAAGAAAGGAAATAAAGAGCAACCTCCTGATCTTCTTCTGCTCGATGATGTTCAGGACACCTTGTAGGATCTTTCATGACGTCATGAAATGCTTCAGCGGCCGGTCTTGACAAAATATACGCGGCGCCGTCCACGAACCCACGAGGCTGAACCAAAAACATGAACCGGCTCATTTTCATTTTGAAAAAGGCTCACCACAAAAAAGTTCCAGCGGTACCCGAAAAAGTGCTTGGCTTTCGGGGAGTAATTCGAGAGGAAAGACCTCAGATTCTCCACGATGACATAGGCATCGTCGTCAGCTCGGAGGTACCAGTCGTACGGTCTTTCCTTTTCTACAGCATGTCTGGAAACACAGTGAGACTGAAAAAACCTAGGTTTAAAATCTAATAAGCGAATATTGCTCTTTTTAAAATATCCTTACTGGAAAACACGCCGGATTTTCTCCCAAGAATGGTCGCGAGTGCCTAGATGAGACCAGTAGACGTGCGGAATCTCAGGCTCCATTGGTGAATTTGTGAAAAACAACAAGCCGTCGCACCTACTTGCCCACGTTTCGAATATCGTCTTCGCCTGAAACTTAGTGTTTCTTCAACGGAAATTTTCCAAAAAATCACCCGAGTTTTGTGACTTGGCGTCGCCGTGTGAATCATGCACATTATTGTGGCCGTGGTAACAATTTCAAAAATGGATAAAAACAGAAAAATTAAAGAAAAATACAAATTTTGCATGAATATTGATCGGGAAGAATGATTTTTCGCGAACGAAGATTGCGATCTCCAGATTCCTTCCTCCTTTCAAGGGTCTCCATCGCTCAATGAACCATGTTAGATATGCCATCCTTTCATGTGTTTCTTTTTTTTTTTATGAAAACACGGTTTTCAGTTGAATATTGAGGTTTATTTACTGGTACGGCTAGCCATCTTAATTAAGCACTACTTTCGATATTATATTATTTCGAATTATCGAAGGATCCTAAATCGTTAGTCGAAGTGAAAAACAAAAATAACCATAAGACTGAAGCTAACAGGCAGAGAAGTGTGAAAATCGCTCTGAATTCGATAACTAGATTGATCTCATGCGTTGCGTGTATCAGAAGCTTCTTCTAGAAGTAGTCAGTCTTCGGCTGACGCGCGCACGTCGACGCGATTTAAATCTTTCTGTAACGCAATAAAGCTCTTTTTGGTAGAAGTATGTTTGCAGATTGCGCGTCGCGCCAAAACGCTTTTTTCAATTTTCAATTTTCTTCTTTTTTATTACTTTTTTAGTTAATTCAGTTAATAAATAATTTGATAATGTTTTTTTTTCTGTGGCTCTCTTATTGAGTTCTTGGTCGTTGGTCATGAACGCTATATAAAAAATAGCAGCTATAATCCTTCTTTTTCGACAGCTTTCTTAACTTTGTAAAAAAAAAAACATTCACTCTCCTAATAAAAGAAATATTTTTTATACAGTATGAAAATAACGGTCGAAAGTAAGCCGGACGAGAATGTGTCAGAAAAACCACTACCTAAGGAGACACTTAACAAAGAGAACATTTTGAAAGGTTTTTATTCCGGTTATTCGTCTGAACGAATTTCGTTCAGATGAAGCTATGCTTGCTTTGGTTTCCTTGTCCCATTTCATCGACGAGCCTCAAAAGTTAGGGGAACAGTGCATCTTCTCATTGAGCTGGGAGGTAATCGAAGCCATGATGCCTACATTCTTGAAGGTCTCTCTTTCAAGTTGTTAAGTTTTTTTTGGAAGAATATTTTTAGGCTAAGTCAAAAGAAGAAGTTCTGCAGTGTGTCGTCAGCGAGCTCGAAGGAATGTCCAGGAAACGGATTCAGTGCGTGATTGACGGTAATTCGAGAAATAGATTATTCACAAACCTGATTTTTTCAAGTTTCCGAACAGAAGGCAGTATACTCTGAAGTTTTCTGTTTGAGAGAAAGTATACTGTCAATTTTTCTAAATTTTCCAGGGACGGAGCCAGGTTCTTCAAGCTCAGAAAGTGAAACGGAGCCGGAACAAAACGTACAATTGGAGAACGGTTTCAGCCAAACTCAGAGCCCAACAATTTGTTCAAAAGTTGGTGAAAGTCAGGGTGAGTATTTTTACGGTGAAAAAGACGAAAAAGTGAGATTTTATTTTTTACTCTTCACATGAGTTAAATCACAAACAAGCAATTCGTTTTTTTGATATCGCGAAAAAAAGATTTTTTTAAATTTGATTTTTTTACCGTTATTTCATATATTTTTGTAGTCTTTTGAGCAAAGTTAGTTCGAAGATCCGATGAAAAGAAGCAAGGAATTCCACGTAAATGTAACTTTTCTGGTTCTGTACCTCCAACCCATAAAATGCTGTCTGGGAGCGAATAATCATTTCATAAAGCGAATATCAATGTAAAAATGCTATTTGGACAAAAAATTGGTAATGAAACTCTTTTTTTTTCTTTTTCACTCCTAACTCAATCGAATTTGATTTCTTATTTCAGCTCTATAGACTAATATTCTACGAAAGCTAAATTTGATAGGATTGTACCACAAAACGTTTCGGGGTAAGGTTTGTTCAGAGCAGCGAGGAAGATGAAGGATTTTTTGTTTTGGCGAGAATAAAATTTCTATTTCCCACTAATTCACAGATTTTGGGTTTGGAATCAATATAATTATGAAGAGAATTGTGTTCTACACTTGTCTTGTTTTAGCTTCTTTTACCTGTACTTTTTTTTTGTTTGAAGGAAATTAACCAGTTTCTTTGCAGTGTCTACGGCGTCAGCCAACACGTCCGCCGCAGATTCCGGGGAAATCGACTCGACAAAAGAGGCCTCGGTGAGTAAAGGGATCGCGTGTCTCCGGAGCCGTAATTCGCCACTTCAGGTTTGCTCGGAAACGTTTTCCGACGTCGAGCTCGAATAATGGCCATTCATTGCGGCGAGCCGCTCATCTCCAGGTTTTCTTTTCACCTTTCAACTCCGTTTCTCCGATCTTTTCTTTTTCATGTCGAATGAAGTTTTGACAGACTTTGCATGGTCTACTTCTGTTCAAATGATGAGTGTGGGAAATAAACGATAGTTTCGAAGGTCAGCCTTGTCTGCGCTTGAGAAGTGGAAGAAGTCGGCTCTCGGGAAAGTAATGAAGAAGAAAAATGAATCTACACTTGGGAAACCCACAAAATTGGGGAATGTACTTTCAAATCCAGTCGAGTGTGCTAAAGTCCAATAGAACAAGCATACATAGTTTAATTTCTTTATATTCCTACGCGGTACGTTTAGATACTATCTAAATGCTATTTCTATTTTCGTGGGCTTAGGAAGTCTTATACAAACGGGTACCTGAAATTGTATTTTATTATTTGAACTCATGAATAAAGCCCCGATCGACTATTGAAGCTTAAAATCCCTAATTCGAATCGATGAAAAAAGAACCTAGACTGTAAATTACTCAAAAATATATAACTTATCTTTTCTAGAGATCAACTAATTTTTTCCGTCGCTAATGCGCAAGATGATCAAATATTGTAGTTTGGTAGCATTTCGAAGTTACCACAGAATTTTATGGAGCGTGAAAAAAGTTTATTGGCCGCGCAACTATAATTATGTAAACATCAAACGTTTGAAGGCGATAATTCCTCCCACAACGGGCTCATCTCCACTGGTGACGTGTTCAAAAATTAACAAGTTTTCCCGCCATAATTCTTTTGGCACTGTGCTTCGAACAGCCATTTCTAGATGCCCTTTGCGTCCTTCGAGGGAAAATATGCGGAATAATGACGATTACGTCGAAAGGTGGCCTTTTCTGATTAGGAAAGCTCTTAATGAACTAAAATAAGCATTAGATTATTACGAATTTAATAAAAGAAAGGTTTAATAAATAAAAGAATAAAAAGAAAGGTTTAATAAATAAAAAGAAAAAGAACCTTTACATTTTTTTGACCTTCAATTAGTAGTTTTGAAAAATTTTTTTGAAAAATCAATGTTAGAGATGAAATTTTTTTAATTCAATTTTTATTCTTTCATTCATGACCATTAATTTTTTTCTTGAATTTTTTTGTACGCTTAGAGCAAACTGCGGACGCGAAACATTCCTTTCAAGCCAAGGAAAAAAAGGAAAAATAAGAGCTCCCGTCGCGAAATGTCAAAAAAAAAAATCTTGAATAACATTAATTATTAATTTTTTCAATGCCATCTTTAAAAAAATTGAATAGTTTTTTTTTTGCCGGAAGTACCTTTGAGTTATTCCCGAAGTTAAATGATTTTCCCGTTACAGTTTTTCTGAGTTTCCTGTGTCCTTTCGATCCAAAAACCAGAGATTTTCTTTCAGCTTTCATTTTTTGAACATTCAAAGTAAGCAGAATAACATTCGGAGGATTTTTGAACTCATCCATACGCCTAATTCAATTCTCAACTTTTTCCAAAAGCGTCCAATAAATCCTTCATCTTTTGCCCGAGGGATTTTTCCGTTGCCTTCAGGAGAACATTGGTTCCAAAAAAAAATCTAACTTTTTTTTTCTTTTTCGGGTGGTAACAAAAAAAAGCAGACCCATAAGTCTTAATATAGGTCGAAGTGTGCTTTTATTTTTGGAGATTCTTTTGACGCCGAAAAAGCAATCGTAATCTCGAACCTTCTACCCGTTTTTGGATGCATTTCTAATGGAAAGAAGCGCGTCTCAACGGGCTCTACGTCGTTATAATTTTTTCAGCTTCCTTTCTTCCTACAGTAATCTTTCGTTCTCTGACATCACCAAAAGCATCTTGGATGGAGTTTTCCTGATAATCCCCAAGTTTTAAGTTTTTTGATCCAGTTTTGTGGTACTTTCTAGTCTTCTTTTTCTTCAGCGTTTGTCCCGCTCGGTCGCGGGGTCGGTTTTTCAGTGGTACTTTCTAGTATTCATTATCAATTTAGTTTCTTTGTCGTGAAGCTGTCGAAAAATATTCTTCGATTTTTATTCGTCCTTCTGGCTTTGTGCCAAATTTATTACCAGGAAAAATGCTTTTCTCTTCGATATTTGGCCTTAAAAGAGATGAGTTCGCCCGTGTCATTCTATTTCAACGAACTTTCTCCTTTAATGAAGATGAATTATTCTCAGTTTTTGCTTCTGTTCATTGGTCTTTTTTCCTACATCGGGAAAGAAAAAAAAATTTCAGTTATCTTTTTCTTGTCAAATTGATAGTCTGTGTAAGAATTCTTGCGGAAGTGTTAAAGAAGCACAAAAATGCTTCAAAATAAGTCTCAAAGTTGTTCAGTACCTGTTCGGGACATACAAGATCTAAATCTCTGAATGCCTGAAAATTGTTTGAACAGGTTATGACAAACATTTACAAAAATTATTAGAGAAATAATGTTTCACACAGATAAAAAAAGTTATGAAAAAAATTTTCAAATATTTATAGCGCTAGGCGACTTTCAAGACGAGACTCCACAGAAAGTCGTCTGCTTTGCAGAGCCTGAATTTCAGATGAGGAAAACTGCAAAAGTTTCGAGTATCTGCAAGAAATGAGTAAAAACTGTTTTTGAATTTCACTGGAGTCTGAAGTTTGAAAGCCCCTAAAAAATCAGAAATTTTTTTTCTGAACACTTAGTTAACTTCCTCGTTTCGAATATTAGGATGAAAACGACTTCTTTGCACCGGAAACAGCTCGTTTGCAGATGTCAAACGCACAACTTGCGCTTCTTTGTTGCCAGTTTTTTCTGTGATTCGCCTCGTTCGGCGGAAGTTCCTTGAAAATTTGCCTGAAGTTCTTAATTTCACATTTTTCGTACGCAATTATAGCTCACTTCTCAGCTCTGAAATCTCAAACACAAAAAAATTTCTGATAATGGTATTCAATTGAAATTATTTTAGATAGCTAAAAAGCTCCTTTCCTGAAATTGGAGAAGATCATTCAAATGTATTGCAAAAAATGGATATTTCTCCTTATTCTACAAGTGAAAACTTGTTTGCAGGTTGTGATAAACGTCGACTTTCTGTTGAAAAGGTGAACAAAAGTCATGAATATATGGCGGCGAGTAGCCTTTTCCAGTGTTAGAACCTGTTAAAAAAAATCTTTCTTCCCGTTTTCAAATGAACAGATGCCTACAAGACAACAAATAACATAAAAACGGCTCTTCGTTTCGATAATTTTTGAAAATAACTTTTTTCTTTTAACCACCTCGTTTCCGAACAAAATATACTTTGAAAAAAAATCTATATGGCCACGAAACGATAATAAATGCCTTTGAATGATTTATTCTTGATTCACAAGCCAAAAGATCCCTTGTTTTTCTCTAGAACTGACCTTTTTCTTCAGTATTCCGGACTCTCCAAAAGAATCAATGCTGTTATTGTTACGTTGTGTCTTCATCAATTATGGTAAGTAAAATGCGAGAGAGAAAGAATCGGTGAGCTCCAATTCGAACGTGAAAAAGGCCCATTTTTGCTAGTCTTTTGAAACGCCAACAATGAGCTCGTTAAGAATTTTGGGTGGCCCATTTTTTCTGTTTCCGTTTTTTTCTTTTTCTTCGCGCTTGTTCTGTGCCACAGCTGACAAGGCCCATTATCGAAGTTTTGCTGGTTCTTGGCCTCGAGAAGCTGCAGCAATTGCGCTCCGTTGTCACGTGGGCAAATTTATGATTTACTGGGGTTTTTAGGAACATTAGACAAGCTAAGATGATTGAAAATGAGAAATTAGTCCTGACTTGTCATTTTCTCTTCGATTTTCATGTCATAAATGGTCAAGCTTATAATGCGTTCTGAGTGATTTTTGATCCCAGAGAATCCCTTGAGCTGTCAGTTTAGAGAACCTAAAATCTTCTTACAAGGAAGATAATTCTACTATGAGGTTGGGATTTTCCGAAAAATTGTCCAGAACGCAGAGGCCACCTCAAAGTCGAAGAAACATCTCTATTTCAGGGCCCTGCAGATCTAGCAGTGTTCTGGACGAATTACAGGAAATTTCCAACCTCAAAATAAAACGACCTTCCTCATTAGAAAACCTTATCTCGATCGATTCTGGGGCTTGAAAATAAATTTGAACGTGCTACAAGTAATAAAATATTGAAAAGGTGTTCAGTTGAAATAAATCAGGAGAAAGAAAGTATTTTCTTTTCAAAATCTCAGTTGTTTAGGATTTCATTTAGCCTCAACTTCAAACAGTCTGGCTTATCTGTGTTGAAGCTGAACTACTAGAGCTCTTACTCGACCGGTCAACTCAAGGAAAAGACTGAATAATTCTCAGCAACTTCAGACGTCAAGTAGAGTTTTTCTTATTCTGTTAGTCTTTCTCGGTGAACGACTAAAGGAATAATTACTATACTCCTTTCGAAACTAACTTGCGACAAAAATTTCCATTGGGACATTTGGGCCTTATCTTTTCTCTGGTTATCAAGTTTATCGTGTGAAGGCGGTTTCTCAGGGGTGAATTAATTAGATCCGAAGTCGACACTTAATGACGATAAAATTGACTTTTTCCGAATTTATTTTAAAGCTCTACCGTTTGAAAAACTTGAGGTTGTCCTTCAAAAGAGCCCCATTTAAATATCGCAACTTAAAAATAGTTTCGAGCAGCTGCGCTGTGACGCACTGACCCGCAAAAATGCCGGATGCGACGAGGAAAATCGCCCCACGAACAGAAGTATTTTTAGGGAGCCCAAAAACTAATGAAAAAGCGAACGAGCTCAAAGTAATTACTCACATTGGCAAACTCGTAAATACATGCAAACCTCGGCTCGGCTCGTTAGTTATATGGGCTTTTGAAACATGTTTTCAACTGGAAAAAAATTTAACTTTTTTTTATAGTCTACATAGTTTGGTTCCTTCGTAATCCTTCTCATTTTTTGTGCGCCTTCAATGGTCGGAAAAAAGTCCAAAACAAATGGTCGTGGGCGGGCGGCTCTTTGAATCGTTCAGCTGAGAACCAATCTGGCGCAAAGTTTGTTGTAAATTGGAATGACTGAGAGAAGAGTTCGAAAACCTTTGAGCGTTTCTGAATTTAGCCAAAGTGGGAGTCCCGCAGAAGTCTTTATCCGACCTAAAAAGAACGAGAGATTTTTTTTTCACGAAAAAAAGTTTGAAAATAATTAATTTTTGTGAAGAAATCAGCATTTGAAGTTCAAAGTTCAAATCAACTTTCTGATTTCGAAGAAATTGAACCAGGAAAAGCAACAAAGGAAGTCATTTTCCTTTGCGGGTGAGGTTTTCCTGAAAATTGGCTTGAACACTTCCTGATGAACCCGATGAAGGTCCTGCAAGTTTTAGCCTGTACAGCTTCCTAGTACTTGAGAAAAGCCACCTCAAAGACAATGAAAACCCTCAAAATTCGTCAAAATATGCCTTTTTCGAGTTTTGAGCCCTTATTTTTCGGAAATTAGCAAGTTGTGCAGGTTGAGACTTTCAGAATCTTTATCTGGTACATCAAGGAGTGTTCTGGCCGATTTTCATGAAGTTCACAACCGCAAAGTGAAATCACCTTCTTTCTGAGCAAGAAAATACTCACAGGAGTCGGAGGTTTATTTCTTTTCCTCAGAAAGTATAGGAAACTACAAGAAGTACTCATGATTCGACCGAAAATTTTAAGCATATTCTTAAGAACTTGCTCGATGTCTATAAATAGTATCGTTTTGAGAAGAAATGTTTTCTTTCGAACGTTCTACACCTAAAAAGGTAAATAATAGTTCAGCCTCTTCGAGACACTGGTTTGTACTTTGACTTTGACTTTTCAGAGATCGTTTTTCCTCACTTTTATTCTGCGAAAGGATACATTTTTGCTTTCAGGTTTTTCCTTTAGGTGAATAGAATTCCTTGAGAAACTACTTCCCATATTCCCAGAATGAAAGAAAATCTCTATTCTTCCAACATAGATACAATTTTGAAAGTTTCACAACTCCAATACCATGGACGATTTAATCGAAACTCAGAACACTGTAGTTATAAATGTCTCTGAAATTCTACGCCTAAGCAATTCATTTTATTTTCATCTCGTTTTCTCGGGTTTCCAGGCAAATAAGCAACGCCGAACTACTGACATTTCTCGAGTAATGCCATGTCGAAAAATAACGTCGTTAAAAGTTTGTTTGATTGTCATTTCCCGTGGCGAGTGATTAATTCAGGAAATCAACTTGATTACAAAACGAATGCTTGACGAATTTCATGAAATTGGCTTGTAAAAAGTCCGAAGCTTATTCATAACGCTTGACTAGTCCTTGAGTTAGTTGAGAAATGATGCTTGGTTTCTGAATTCAGGCCTCTGGATCTTTTGCTGCATTTATCAGATGTTATGCCAGACATTTGCAGCTGCTCAAGCTTCAAGAAATTTGTGGGTGTCGACCTCTCAGTGGCCTCTTGAGTTGTCTGACAGATGACGTCCTCTTGAAACTATTAATGGCATTCGTCAGAGGGGGACAGGAAGTATTAGAATAGGTGGTGTTTCATTTTAGATTTCCTGGATGGTCCGAAAATGTTAGCGAGAGCATCCGGTTCAGCAAATTTTTGTTGAGAAAACGAGATGTTCTCACGTAGCTGTCGTGAGAAGTTCAATGATTGGTGAGTCAGTTTGAAAAGTGGCTGTTCTTTTTCACTTCTAAAACTGAACTGAGTTTTTTCGCTTTTAGTTTTCTACATAGCATCCGTTTCTCAGCAGATGTATTTCTAATTTATCACCTCGGGTGAGTCCATCAGTCTTTGAAAGATGACGAAACTGGGCGGTTAGGAATGGGAAACTTCTTCTCTGTCTTCGTTGACGATCTGGAAGCTCTCATTCACAGTTTTCTAGCAACAGTTTGCGGTTTTCAAGCTCTTGCATCATCTCCTTCAAGGCCGATATTTGCCCCTCTTCCTGTCAGACTTTCAGACTTCTGGTTTGACAAGCAAAAGTTGCTGGTACAGTTCAAACTCGAGATTTCGTCTAGAAGATTTGATTACGGATGATGAATAGGGAAGTAAAGTTTGAAGACGTCTCTTACAAGAAAAACACATTGAGCCTTGAAGAAGCTCGAATTTGGCTGCGAGCCGTGTCGCCTCGCGCAGCCGTTTTAGCATGTTTCCTTTATTGCCACGCACCGCTTAATCAAGTTCCCACGCTTCACATCGCCACTTAATCAATCCACCCGCTGTTTTTTTGTCGAAAAAGGTCGCAACAGTGAAATCATGAAGGCGTGCCGGCTCCGCCTACTTGCTCCGCCCATTTGCCGTGGAGCACCCGAATTTTTCATCGGCGTCGCCGACCTGCGTTCACCTGTCGTTTTTTTCTAATTTTCGAAAATCTTTCCCAGAACTCTCAAATGGTTTCTCTCTCTCTCTTGTTTTTAGTCATTCTGTTGGAAGTCTGTGATTCTTCTTCTAAGTGAATCGGTGGCGCTAATAGATTCCACCTCCTGAAACGTTTCGGAGGAGCCGAATTGGCTCGCATAACAAACTGCGCGTTTATACGAGAGAAAACTTATTAATTGATGCTCCGTTCAGTATTCAGAAATGAGATCTCGTTTCCCTTTTTTTTTAGTATCTATTAGTGAGAAGCCTCTACCAATGTCTTTCAGAAAACGGAATAAACATGATTTTTGTTTCTGAGAAGCTTGTTCCAGCTCTTTATGATGTTTATACAGAACGAAGTTGGTTGAGGCTTTCAGGGATTACGCATTTTTATAAATAAGGTTCTCTGAAAAATTAGGCCCACACTTTTTCTGTGCCATTTGGGGTTAAACCTCCCCCTTTTTTTTAAAAAAATAATCCGTGTGAAAAATCTCAACAAAAAAACTTCAACTGCACCTTGTTGGTTTCTCAGCTACATTCTCCAGTTCAAGCCTACTATTCCCATTTACTATGACAGTACCAGTGAAAAATAAAAAAATAGATCAGAGAATCTAGACGGTTTTTGAGTAAATGATAAAAAAAAATTAAAGGAAAGGTTTGGTTTTTTTTTAGTTTTAATTTTTTCGCAGTATAAAACGGAATATGATTTTACGAGAATGATTCTCTCAAGACAACCTTTTTAAAAATCGAACTCATTCTCGTTATGAGCTATCAAAAGAAGAACTCGACGATTTCTGAAAAAACTTTCTGGTCACTTTTTGCCCATGGCTGTCATCCCACAAAAATTTCACTCTAAATATATTCTTGGCTCTTTGCAAAGGCTTCGCCCCTTCTTGGGTCAAAAAGATCCGATTCCCGTTTAATGGAAGATTAACTTTTTTTCCGGCCGTCTATCCCCTTCAAAAACTTGAAAACGATTGTTTTTTCAGTTTGAGAATGTCAATAGTTTCAGCGTTAATTCATCCTTTAAGCGCTTCTGAAAAGTTTTCATGAGGCTATTGATCAATTGAATGAGCTTCCAAGCTTTGATCAGTTCAAGCTTTTCAGACTCCTCTGAACACGTTCTTACCGATTGTGGATAATTTTTGTAGATTCAGGTTTTTTTTCCCAAATCGCTCCAAGTTTATATCTTTTATGCAGATATATGAAAGGATGAGCCAAAAGAGGCCGCTTCCGTCTTTCCAAATTGGATTATGCCTTTATACAGATCTAAAGTCTACGATTTAATGCGATTAAGGCTCGCGCCCTTTTCTTTTTTTTGCACAAGTTTGTTTTTCAGAATAACTGAAAGCATCATAAAGATTTTTTAAAAACATGAAATGCTCAAAAATAGCCGGTTTTTTTTTTCAGGGGCGCTTCAGGTTTATATTTTTTATTTTAATTCTTAACACTAGAGCTTTTTTTACTATTGTTTTTTGTCGTACACGTCCACACGTTGACGCACATTGAAAAGAAAAAAAAAAATGTAAACGTGATATTTGAAAGAAAATCTAGAAAAGCTGTCACTTCAGGGTTGAGGTTTCTAATCAAGCATTCTCCTGTTCTTCAAAAAGATATTTTATTTCATGTTTTGAAATAGAAGAAAACTTATAACAAGGGGCGAAATTGGCGGTTGGAATTCAAGTAGAAACTCTTGACTCAGTAGTTTCAATTCAAGTGTTTTCTCGGAAAGCAAAACACCTGTAGGTTGAGCAGAACGACTTGAAACATTTAAAATTCAAATGAGCAGCCGAATCTGGACAGAAAATGCTCAGGTTTCAGGAAAAAGAAGACGCTCTAAAACAATATCCAATTCTCCGGTCCACTTTTTTCGCCTCCGCACTTATTGTCCTGAACCCAACTTCCTCTGCTCTTTTGCCCAGGTTTTTCTATTCATCTCAATCGCTTCAATTCAGGAAAAAAGTCACGTTTTCTACGAATGATGGATGGAGGATAAAAAGAGTTCGGAGAAAAAGTAACGTAGAAACCTTATTGGACCCGCGGCACGTCATCGAAGCCATTTCGCTAGCCCAATTTCTGGATTCCACTCAAAACACCACTTTTATTTTTGTTCCGCCTACTTCCTGATGGTTTCTTGGCTTCGAAAGGCCTTGTCATCGCGAGAACTTCCGGCCAACGTGGGCGCCCGACTGGAAAGCCTGTTCCCAAAGCTCATATCCTTTTTTCATTCCAGAAAAATACTCGGCGATTCTTTCTGATAGACTCAATTTCCTCGGTGTTGATCGTTTATTTCAGGAAATGTTCTCTGGGGATTCCTTCCCACTGGAGCTTGATGTAGCTTACTTCAGTGTCGGCGATTTAGAAGCGTCTTGAATGATGTGATTGAAAACCGAGGTCATCGAATAAACCACAACAATTTCTTGTTGTATGACATTGTTTCAATAGTAACCTAGAGAATTTTCAAAGTCAAAATTTGGGATGCAAACTTGGGCCATTCTAGGCCCGGCCAAACAGTTTCAAGAAGTCGTTAATGGAGTATGTTTTTGCAAAAGAAAAACCTTTGATCGTTTCGTTGAAAAAGGTTTTTTCATAGGATTTCAAATATCTTCCGATTTTTGGCTCACTTGGAACCAAATTCTTTTTTTTGAGCGTGTTCTGATTTTTGGCCAAAATTTTTTAGTTGAGGTTTATTAGACTCTGTTCTGTGAAAAGCCCGATTGCCTACTTCCGAAAATTTCCGGCGGTGCCTTTTTTTTTCTGAAAAAAATTGTTATTCTTCAAGAGCTCCAGTTTTATTTTTGTACATTCCAGAGGTACACTCTTTGTAGTTGGTTATATGTCTGACTAACCTCAAAAGTATCGTACATATCTTTGTAGTCTCCAAGGAATCAAAAGTATCTGCCCATTTTTGTAGGGAAAGGTCGACGGTTGCAGAAGTTCCTAGTATTCAGTTGTTAACGGGCTTCCAGATCTACGGATTAACTTTTGATGCGCCAGTCAAATTATTTCAGTCTGTAACTCTACAAGACACTTGAAAACAATTAATTTATCCCAATTCGGATACGAGAGCTGATTTTTCACGCTCGTTGAGTTGGAGCAGCTTTGATGCATTTTCTGAGCTTCCTTTTAACACGTTTTTCTTCCAGCGCTAATTCAAGCAGCAATAACAAGCTTCCAACTACATTATAAAGAATCCTGCGAATTAATTACACAGGCTTTATTCCATTCCGCAGCCGCTGAGCCTTCCCGGAACAATTTCCAGCTCATTCAGGATGTTCGATTCATTGTTATCGGCCTGTTATTAACATAGTTCGAGGCTAGTCTCAAAGTTTCGAAGGTTACTGTAGAAGAACGTTCTATTTCTCGCCGGAGATAGCATTGAACCAAATATAACTAAGAAAGAAGGTATATCACTGAAATTTGGTAAGACATTTAATTTACAGAACGAACGGCCAGAGATTTTTAACCTGAAAGGTTTTTGAGAAAGTCCCCTTTTAATTTTTTTTCACTTTTATTTGGCAAACGATTCCACAAGTTTTCTTGATATTCTTCTATTGCCTGAGAAATTGGTCCGGTCGTTTTGAAAAACTCAAAAGCTGTGCAGTTGTTTGTCAAGGTTTCCACTTAGTACATTAAAAGTATCTCTCAGCTCATTTTTCAAGAAAAAATCCAAACAAAAGAGATCTTGAAATAAAAATGACTCGGACCTTCGCTTCCCACTTTTTTTTTGGTTATCTGTTTTCGAAGGCTAGCGCCAAATTAAAGTTTTCGGTAATTGACTACTGCTATTGGAGGCGTTTGAAAAAATAGCTCATTTGATTCGAATTTTCGTGTCCATATTTTGGCAGGAACAGAACTTCCAAGAAACCCCTAATAAAGCATTTCGCGGCTTTTCCTCAAAATACAGCTGTTTTCGCGCTTCCACCGCATTGTTCTTTGTGGCGGTGTTGTTCTGGCAAGTTCCGAAGAATGTCATTAACCTCGTCTACCGTGGCCCCTCACCAGAAGGCTTTCTTTGCCAACAAATCCACTTGAGGAAATGTTCCACTTTGGCACCTCTTAACCCTTTTCATTAGGTCTCGTTCGAGTGGATTAGGCTGCAGTTACGCGTCGAGCGAAATTATTTTTGTCAGCTTTTCATCGAGGCTTTTTGAACGCATCGTCATTATGACGTTATTATAAAAACATTGACGTCGGGGGCTCTTCTAAAAGTTCAAAGTTGACAATTTGAACTCTTGGTTGCTGAACGTATAGTTCAAATGACTGAAACTGGGACCTTTATGACGTTTATCAATGCTTTCTTAATCATTATGGTAAGGATTTGGACAAATGCAAAATTGAAATACAAAGTTTCCATCGTTTTTTTACTGTTCTGTTGAAATTTTTCCCTGGCCGAACAGCAAGAAGTTCTTTTTTGACTTCCTTCGAATATTCTTTTGTTTCTTCTCTCCCCTAATCAAAGCCAAGTGTGGCCCTCCTATTTTTGAAAACGCTTCCCGACTTTGACCATAAAAAAGTGGCCTTTCTCGACAAACAAGGCGAATTTCAATTTGTTGAAAAATGGGTGAATCGCGTCGGAAGTTATGGGCAACTCGGCAAAGCAATTGAACCCATCTTTTTGCCATTCATCCATCCATTTGTCTGTCGTTCCGTGTTAATTCCACGCGCTTGCCCATTTCCTTTTTTATCGAGGCGGAAAGCCTGAATCATACTGGAAACTGAAAACAATTGAATTTGCAGGTACCCCAGACACGTTTTTGTCAAAAGAATGAACGCCTTCGAAATGTTCGTCTTCTTGTTCGTCGTGCTCGCCGCCATCGTCGCCGCGGTCCCTGTCCAAGGTTTTGCTTATTTCCTTCTCACTCAGAAGTCAGAGAAGAAGTTTCCTTCTGCAGAATGAGTCATACCTGCTCTGAATCAAGAAATATGCTGACCTTCCGTCTTAGGAAGTCTAAGATCTAACTAGGAAACGGTGTCAGCTTATAGCGAGACTTGTGAATGAAGCTAGGCTAATAAGAGAGCTGACCTTTTAGCCTGAAACATTTAGCTTTGCGGGTTCCGTTTCAATTTTAGTAGAAGCCCAACGTCTTCCTAACAATCCACTTGAAAAAAGGTTCCATACAACATTTGTGTAAATGTCACTTTGTATCACACTTGAGCCTGCTGATGCAAAAAAATTTTCTTACCGGTGAACTAGTGAAACTAGTGAAATTTTTAAGGGAGAACACTTTGATTTTTATGTCAACTTTAAAAAAAAATCATTCGATTGTTCTAGATTCATGAATTTTCATCATAATTAAAAAGTGAAACGATTTTTTTTTCATATTTTTTTCTTGATACATCTTCCGGGAGGTACAGTGTATTGCGACTTCATTTACCAAGAAAAAATCTTTCAAGACTTTTTCCGGCTAAGTATTCTGCGATCCACGGTGGATCCACCCAATCAGCCTTTCAGAACGATATTTTCTCATTTTTTTTTATTAATTTCCTACATTCTCCAATGGGTTCTATGATGAAATCTGCAGACTCGCGCAGCTTCTGACAGATAGCTTAGAGTCATATCCGCCACGAACTTTTAATTAAGGCGCCCATAAAAAAATATATTTACGAGTGTCACGACGCCCACGTTTCCCTCTCTTTCCACGTCCTATCGAGTCAAGGAAATAGTTAACGAGCCGAATAATTTGTTTGAATAAAAGTGAAAGATTGCTTTTGAGGGTAGATACGGAAAGTTTTTTTTCTTGCTGACGTTAGTTTTTGCAGGACCCCTGGATTATTCACCATACGTGCCAACGTCAGAGGAGGAGTTGCAAAGACTTATTCCTTCAGGTACAATTTTCATTATGAAAAATTACCTTTTGCTCCAATAAGGTTGTTTTCAAATTAGAGAACTTGAAAATTCGTTCAATTCAACTAACTTCAAAAAACAAGCACACCAGCTGCACGCGGTTGCTTCAACCGAAATATTTCTTACTTTATGTATCTTTTTTTTAACGGGCTAGCATAGAAGGTACCACTGTCTTCTCATCGATAATCTCGAAATTGACCTTGTGAAAACTCACTGTTTTTCGGATTTTTTACTTGATTCGGCGGTGAATTAACACGGTGATGACTCGCCAGTAAGAAGGAAAAGAGTTCTATTTTTGAGAAGGTAAAAAAATGATAAATTTCTGCATTCTATTCGGCTAAATGTGAAGAATCGAGGTCAAATGGCTAGACGTGTTGCGGTTCGATTAGAACTCACTTCTGTTTAGATATTATACAGCTTTTTTTTAAACATTAAAACATTAAAACATTTTGATTAGCGCTTTTGAAGCTACCAATTTGCAGCCGTTACACGTCAAGTCTATTGGCCTGTTTTAAATTTTTCAAGTTGAAGAAAAATCAAATTGAAAAGTCACAAAAATGAAAATCTTGCAGAAGAGCTCGCCGAGCAGCCGATGATGGACAAAAGAGCACAGACGTTTGTGAGATTTGGCAAGAGGGCGCAGACATTTGTTCGGTTTGGCAAGAGAGCACAGACCTTCGTCCGATTTGGTTAAACGATTCGGAAGCCTCTAGCCGTTTTCCAACTCTGATACCTGTGTTCCATCCCACGACGTGCCACGATCTCTCCGACTCCCTCAGACGAATCTCTTCTTCCCCATTGATAAACCTTATTTGTTGTTTCCTGCATATGTGATAGTCGAAGAAACCATTTTTCATCGTATTCACCGAGAGCACACAGAGAAGAATGAAGTGAAAGAGGAACGGAGTCGGCGAGATGGATATAGTGTCTGAGGAGACTTTTTGGGGCTACTTTAGGGGTTTGACGCTTTGTTGGCTACCATAGCAGTCGAGTCGAATTAGTGGTCACTTATGCGTTCTCTCGATTTAGAACCTCTCAAGTGGTCACTAGAGTTTTTCGCAGCCAAGTGGAGGAAAAGAGAACTGTTATAATATATTTTTCGCTAAGATGAGATTGGAAACCCCTGAAATTTCAAGCGTTGAGGATAATGTTGCATGAGTAATTCTTCCAAAAATACCATTTTTGCTGAGGCGCCAAAAAAAAAAAGCAAAGCTGAGAGTGAGGAAGTCAGGCCGACAAATTGGATTTCGCGCACCTCGCCGTTTCAAGCCGTCGGCCCGCCAATTTTCGAGTACTCGTGGGCTTTTCGAACTCGTCGTCGCCATGATGGTGATACCGGTCAGCCAGCACAAACTCATCAAGATCCGCCGCGTGAATCGCCAAAAACTCATCAAGATCGCCCTCGTCTGCTCCATGCTTGCCTGTTGTTGCAACGTCCTCGGTGAGTTGATCAACTACATTTCGAAAACAAAAATTGAACTTTCTAAAGGAATCGCCTTTTTCCCTTATTTAATTTTTTTTTTCTGAAAAACAGTTTTTTTTTAACTTTCTAACTCGATTTTTTCTCACTAGGGAACTACTCGGACTCGGGTACCCGTTTCGAGTTGAAACTTTGGTGGCTTATAGACCCGGGTAAGAGTACTTGAAAACAAGAGAGATTATCTGCTAAACCCCTTAGGCTTCTGAGAAAAAGCTTTTTGAAAATGAACAGTCTAGGCTTGAAAATTATCAAATTTTTTCTTTCTTCCTTCTTTTGGCTGGAAAAAAGTTTTTTAGAGTTTATCATAGCCGAATCATTCAAGGCGATTGTATTAAAATATAAAAGAAGGTATAGAGCAGTATTCCGAAAATTTTAGGGCCTAATTTTCACATTTTCTACTAATGTTTTCTCAGTTCTCTATTGGGTTTAGCAGATGTTTCTTTTGTTTTCAAGTATTCTGACATAGGCCTATGAACCACCAAAGTTTGAACTCGATCCGCGGTTACGAGTTCGAGTAGTTCCCTAGTCAGAAGCGAACTGGGAAAAGCTGATAAGTTTAAAAAAATTATTTCGATCCTCAAATTCTTGAAAAAAAACCAGTCATTTCAGTCATTGAAGAAGAACTCATAGACTCTAGACTTCTTCAAATTGACGAAAAATTTCCCCTTATTCTTTTGATAAACCAAATTTTTTTCGAATAATGGCGGCTATTTACTCTTAAAAAAATGTGGAAATTTTTGTCTGCCTCTTTGATAATTTGATTCTCTTTCGTTTGATTATTTGCAGTTAGATTCCGAAGAAAAAAATCTAATTTAAAAATTTTTTTCGAAATTTGACAAAGACGCGTATTCAAGGCTTTCTCAAGCTGTGCGACTTTCAAAAATAGAATTATTTGAAACTTGAAGTGAAATCTTCAATTTCTACGGAATTGAGAAAAATCATCATAAAAGCTTGAGGAAGACTTTTTTAAAATCTTGAACTGTATTCTAAAAATTCAAAGAAAAATATCTCTTTTTTATCGAGTTTGTTTGAAGTTTTACTGAGTTTTTGGAAAAAATAACTGTTCATTTTTATTTACTGACTTCTGCTTCCTGTGTGCTTCCACGAAGCATGAGCTGAGCTTTTTCCGTCAGAGTAAAACCCAAAAAACATGATATATAATTTATTACCATTTACACAACGAAGAGATTTTTTTTTTGCGTTCTACGGAAGGGATTTTCTCCAAAAAAAAAAGAGTTTATCAGGCTCATCGACCAACCATTGGCTGTACACGTCGGAAGTGATCAAGTACTTTCTGCACCCGAACCGGACGAGGACCTTGACCGACTCCGGCAGTCATCCGGTCTACTTCAAGAACGCGACGATGGGTCCGTGGCTCTTCTGCTGGCTCGACCGTCAGTTCTTCCGAGGCCATCCTGTTCTAAACCTCGGCTTTCAGCCGTAACTGAGTTTCATTGCAGCGCCGTCCACTACTTGCAGGACGACGACCCCAGTGACGTCACCACTTCCATCCAACGTCCGTCATTTTCCTACTCTTTTACGTTTTGAAAAAGAATTCATTTAGACTTTCAGACTTTTGGGAACCAGGCTACGGTCTGTTCTGTTTCTCACAGTTGTCGCAAGCAACTTGGGAGCAAACAACAAGTTCCGAAGATATCTCAAGACGAAAAGCCTTTTACAGTGACATCTCTAATTTTTTTTAAATTGTTTATAAACCTAATGTCGATTCACTTTCCCAGAGAATCTTAAAATATTTCCCATTTCTTTTCCCACTTTGGTTGATCCTTTCCAGAATCGGTGCGACGCGCATTTCTGTTCATGATAACCGGTATGCTTCTGGACGGAATCGGCCTCATCGTCTCGTTCATCTGTTTCTGTCTTCCCAATCCATACGCCATGCTTCTTTTCTGCTCACTTCTTCATATCAACGCCGGTATCCAATTTGAAATCAATTTCCATACCGTAGCCTAGGTAAAACTGACCGACAGCTGAGGTAACCGGATGATTGAAAATGGAATCGTGTCGTCCAAACTGGCTTGAACCAGGGATCATAAAGATAGACTTATCCACAGTACTGCGCGTTTTTCAAACTTTCCAATTTGCTTCAGGGATCGCCAACTTTGCCTGCATCATCGTCTACATGTCAGCCGTGTCAAAAGAAGTCGGCAACAAGATTTTTCCGGCCTCGGAGATGGACGACCCTCTCTTCTACATTGAATACGGCTTCTCTTTCTGGCTTATCAAGGTGTTTTTTGCTAAAAACTATTTCAAAAATCCGCTATTTCAGACGTCGTTCCTGTTGACAGAACTCGCTGCCTTGTTCGCCATCGTCGTTTACATGGCGAAACGAGATGAACGCACCTTTAATCGTTACAAAATACGATCGCTGCTCAATTTCAGCAGGGTTTTCACAATATCTACACTTTGGCTTATTATTCCTACTTTTAAGCTATCTGGAGATGAGCCAGAACTAACAAAGACGCATCATGAGAATGCGAGGTACTCCAGAAGAACAGGGTAAGAAGAAAAGTTTTTTTTAAAAATTAGTACGAACTATGAAGAATTCAGAAGTCATGTGGCGGAACTGAAATCAAGTGTGCCGGAGATGGACGACATGCTAGTGGAGCCGAAAGTCCTACTGACGCCAACAAGAGGAAGCTTCCAATCTCTCACATCAACCCTGCTCCCAGACCTTCTGGCTAATGTGAGTAGTAGCTGTCAAAAACGACAACTTACTAAACTTCAATCAAAAAGTTATAAAAAATTGATAAACACTTTTTTTCTTAATTATACCAAACCCTGCTGATCAGGTCAGTTTCTTGTCTAGTGCTAAGATGGTCCTTAGGTCCATGCTAAATTCTTGAGAAAAACCCCACTAAAGTTCTTTCAGACCACAGCCATAGTGAAGCGTGTTTCAAAAACCCGAGTATACGTAACTGAGTTGCAGAACGCCTCCTCCCACTCCCCACCGCCAGCCAGACTACCTCGACCGATAACGACGTCATCTATCACGTCTTCAACGACGGCGACTCCGGCCAGGCCTCCTTGGCGACCGCGTTCTCCGCAACGGTCGTCGTCCCACAAGCGGATCCAGCCCCTCCGGCGGTTCGCCATCCCTGTCAACTCGCCTCACTTCGCTCCTTCCGACAATTCCAAACAATAAATTTACCAATAAAACTCGACTTTTTCTCTGGTAAAATATTTTCATTCGCATTTCTTTTTCTATACTTCATAAAATGGAAAACTCAACACATTGTTGCTCCCGTAGTTTCTCGTTAAAGTTGGAAGTCTTGCCTAAGCCTTGACAAAATCGATGTTGTTCACCGACGCGGAACATCGGTGACAAAACCTCGTCTGCAACAATTTTTCGATTTCTTTTCCCCGATTCAGACTGATTACCGGCTCGTTAGATATCCATGGAGCGAGTTTCCCACTCATTTTATGCATCTCTTTCTTTCCTGAATTTTAATTTTAAAAATGGAATTTTGAGAAAGAGGAAACCTTTCTGTAAGTTTCCAGTGGCGATCATCAAGTAGTATTGTCCCGAAGATATTATGTGGACCTGAAATTGTTTTCGTGAATGTAACAATTTTAGACCTGCGATCTTCTAAAAAAAAACTCGGTGAAAAAACGTAATCATTTTCCGCTGGCACAGGAATAGCAAAACAGGGTGAAAAGAAAAAGTTTACATTTTTCTGGAGTCAATTAATTGCAAGTTACGGTAAGTTAAGTAGGATTATTGAAAAAAAGAAAAACCAGGCGCTTGTCCTCGCTGCTCAGGGCGAAGTTGTCGAGTTTCCACTCGGCGCCGCAGATGCCCCGTCCGTCGAACCGTTCAGCGTAGGCGTCTTTCAAAAGGAGTGAAGAAGCCTGGATTCTGGTGACTTTTGAGAAAGTAATTCGGAATGGAACCTTTTCGAGAACGACGTTTCTTTTGGCGGAGTTGTGCGAGAGATATGCCGTTGAAGGGGTTGTTTCCGAGAAGTGACATTCAAAAACCGTGTCATTTCCCTGAATTTTGCCTAGTAGCTGACTTCGTTCATAAAAAAAAATTATCCACTGTTCCTCAAAAACAGCAAGAATAGATGGAATTTTCGAATGAAATATTTTTGCTCGACCGGCGCGCCGTACCGCAACAGGTTGTGTCTACAGTCCGAAGGTTCACCAGTACGATCCCCGCCGCGTCATAACCAAAAAGTTTAGAAATTTTGGTAGTGGGGAACCACGGCTTCACAATCCCCAGCCGTCAAACCCAAGAACGGTTTTGTCACTAGAGCCAGTCCACTGATTCTCACTGATATCAGGACAGGACCTTTTACTGCTCAAGCGGAAAAAAGGCGTAAGAATAAGAAAAAGATTTGTTTTTTGTTCAAGAAAAAACTTACCATTTGTCGGTCCTTCGAAAATCCTACGCCAATCCATTCATCATTGCCTTCGTTTTGAAGTCCCGCCTTAATTTCAAAAAAATCAGAGATTCGGAGTGATGACCCCACCTCGAGCTCGATGGTGAGAGAAGTTCGATGATGTCGCCAAGTCACGATAGCCTTACAGTCCGCGCTGTTCGTGCAGCCCTCAGGAACTCTGAAACCATTTTCTAAGCTCCTATTGTAAAGGAAAAACGATTGATAAATGAGTTTTAATAAATATCGTATTGAAACCTACCGCCAACAGCCGCGGTTGACCCCGCAGTCGCTGACGTGCGTCACGTGGATCGCCGTTGTCAGCTTCAACCAAAACTTCAAAACTTTTAAGTTGAAAAAAGTGATTCCGATCAAGTTATTCGATCTGTATCGTCTCTTCTCTAGCTTGAAAGAGCCAAGAAAAGATACGAAATTCGAATTTTTGATTGTAAAAGGTCACAAACTTTGTCTATCAAAAACGGTTTCCATAAACTTCGTTTCAAAACGCGCATTTTATTTGTTTCCAACAGTGCTTAGAACCTGATAGAACGGTTCGAAAAAGTAAAAATGTTAGAAATGAAGAGTTTTCTGTAAGGCGAAAAAAAACCCTCTGGCCAGTTTTTTTGCCTTTGAATCAAACTTGGAAACTTTTTCGATAAAATATCGAAAAACCGACCTGTGCAGTTACGAACAGAAGGGCCAGCAGCGATTTGAACGGCATGATCATTTTTCCAAAAGAGTTCGAGTCACCATTTATAGGGCGAGAAACCAGTCGCCTCGTCTTTTGTTTTGCCTTTTTTGTCCTCAGCTCGTTCGCCACGAAAAGCGGAACATGTTCACACCTTCCTCGACTTGTATTCTAATCAATTTGAGTTCATAATTCTGATTCAATAGTCATTTATTAAGAGTTTGATTCAAAAACAGAGAAATGGTACGAATATACAGAGAGCGGTCGACGTCGACTAGTTCGCCGATCCTTCGGCTTCCTCTTCTGGCGCGTCTTTGCACTGCGTCTCCAGGAACTGGCGCACGCCTTCTGTGATTCCGCCGTCCGCCTCGGGGTGCTCAATTGGAAACGTTTAATCTCTGTGCCGACTCATCAGTGAGATAAAAGAAAGTAAATTTCGCTTTTCCTGGAAAGTTGCAAAGAAGTTCCTACCTTGGCGAAGATTTCGAGATGAGCTTTGCCCTTCCAGACAAGCCCACATCGGAAGTTTTTGTCGTTCTTGGTGAGGAACTTGAAGATTTTCCCCAAGCAGTCGTGAACTGAAAAGTAATGTATCAATGAATCGGGAATAATATTTCTGGAATTCCATTAAACAGTGTGCTAACACCTCGGAGACGATCAAACACGAAAGAAATTTCAAATTAGAGAGAAAAATTTTTATTTTATCTCCACAAGCTGGGAAAAAAACTAGGTATAAGTCTGAATCTCTTTTTTTTTCGCATACTGAAAATCCTCATAAAGAATTTTATCCATTCTAAGGTGAAGGAATATTTCATCATAACGGCAATACAGAAATGTTTGAATTTCTTTAACTTTTTTTTTATCTTGGAGAAAACTCAAAAAATAGTGCGGCCTAGATGTAAACAAACAATCTGGCAAAAAATTCGGTCTTTTCTCAATCGATAGTAAAAGCAAAAGCTTCTAAGAGCTCATATTCGATGTTTACTGCTCACGTGAAAACGTGAAAAACCTTTGCTGAGAGTGACGAGCGGAAGCGGCTTCATCATCTTGGAGACGTCCTGCATGGTGTAGATGGCGGGTTTGCCGAAGTCGCCGTTGCCTTTGAACCATCCGATGAGCTCCTGAACTCGTTGGGCTCGTTGCAAAGGCGATGTTCAGAAACGACGAACGTTGCTGGCGTTGGTGAAGAAGAGCTGAGCCCAGGTGAAGAAAGGAAATCCGGCGCCTTGAGGGTAGGTGGTGAGCACTTGAAGAGGCACGTCGTGCGGCACTTCTCCGTACCGGACAACCTCGATCTCTGGGTTCTCGGCGCTTTTTTCCTTCGGCGGCAGCGCTTCTGACTTGTCCACTGTCACGCTAAAGAGGTCACGTTTCAAAAAACTGTTTTTATTTTTTCCTTCTATTCCAAGTTTCTAAAAGTATCTATTTAGTCATTCATCGTGACTTAGAAAAATCCGGCTTGTCTGTCTTCTAACTTCCCTTGTCGGCGTAGTCACAGAAAGGTTGATAATCGAACTTAAAACAAAGACCGACGTTGAGAGATCGAGTGAGCACAGAAAAGCCAAATAATATCGTTTCGTGGCGAATTAAGTATAAAATTCTTTCTCCCCCTTCATGAATTCAATCAGGATTATCTGAAGTTTTCTCTACTTTTTATCTCGTTCCAGAACGATCGGAAAACAATCAGTTTTCATTGGATGAATTACCAATAATTACTTTGAAGCACTACTTCAGACTGGTTTCAATTGATCTTCGAACCTTATACTGCACAACCTGATTTTCCATACTATTTTGTGATCTCCGAGTTCCAATCTCGTAATTACTTGCATGTTTCCCAAAAAAGAAGAAATATTTTCAGAGAAGTGAAAGCTCACGGAGTGCATTTGACTGCGGCGTAATCTGCGCAATCGACTTCGTATCTGAAATGAAAATTTCTCCATTCCTTTTCAGAGCAGAAACTAGCCTGACTAAAATGCGGTAAGATCCGAACTGATAAGCCATGAGCTGATAGAACGGTCCTGTGGAATGAGCGCCGCGAGGCCTCGTCATACGGTACTGAAACGCTTATTCCAATATTATGTTTTCGCAGAAGATTTTGAGAAAATTAAAAACCATTGTGAATGCAATTTAGTAGAAAAATCAGAAACCTATATTACCTTCAAGTTTTGATCAAAAGTGACGTGGCCGATTTCCATCAGATCCGACGCCTCCATTCTGAAAATAAACTATTTCCTTCTTTCTTTTTCTTTTCCTAGTTCCCAAAATTATAAATCATGGCTTTTATAACAACTCATCAATGATTTGAAAAAAGTGAAAGAAAAAAAAATTAATTTTAATATCTTACAGCTAAACTTTTCGATCAAAAACTCTGATAGGTCCGCTTCGATTGAAAATTGAAAAAAGGTTTGAACAGCCAATCAAAGTCATTTGTCTTGATCGAGTTGTCTGGAGTTGATTCGTAGAAAATGATCTCGATGACTTGCCTGGTAAGCAGTACTGTCTGGCCAACTCGTTCACAGTCGATGCGGAAAAGACCTTCGCCGGCTTCCTAAAACTTTCCACCTTCTTGAATCGCTCAAAACTTCCGAGAACCTGACAAAACGCGAAGATTTTCTGAAGATTAACGGCGTCGGTGATGAAGTGAAACTGGGAGAAGTCGAGCGGCTTCTTTTTCTTCTCAGAGAGCAGTTTGGCGGCGATGATCATGGCGTCGAGTGAGCCTTTTCGGACCTGAAAACACGTTCATTATTAGTTTTGGAGCTGAAAGTAAGACCTTCATATGGTTGACGTCGTAGATGACGACGCCGTGGTCTTGTTGAAGTTTTCCGCCAGGCCAGTAGAACGACTCAACAGGCATTCCTGGCACCTGTAACACGACATTAAGAAAATGGAAAAGATGGTGAATTTCAAATCTCAACGTTCCGAGTTTTCAAAAACTCAGCCGAGGCTGTGAATCGTTTCTTAGCAAGATAAAAGTCTACCAAAATGGTCGGTGTTTCGTCGTTCAGATACCACTGATAGGAACCAACTCGGTCGACATATTTTGTACTTGTCGGTCCTCCCTGAAAAAGAGAAAATTTTTGGTATAACAGAACCGAAGAAAACTATGGGTATTTTTTTTTGAAAACGTTTCCTTACTGTGGATTCTAAAAACTAAATCTCTATAAGTTATATAACCAATATTGTTAAAAATATACTTTAAAAAAACGGATTTTCCAGGAGAGCACCTAAAAGGATGAAAATACAGTTGAAAAAAGTCACTGTTTACATAGCTCTAAAAACCATTCAACTCTAATTTTCATAGGGAAAATGTCCCCCTCTTGATTACTTAGAAATCTTTGCTAGTTTCCTAATCTCCAACAAAATCAAATATTACGACAACAACAGAAAAACAAACTTTTGCGGAGAGATTAACCAGCGGAAGAAGACCGTAAGGCTCTTCCTCAAGACCTTCGAAGAGCCAGAACCCGTCGGCAGACATACTCGGTTAGATAATTCTTCGGAATGCTCAGAAGCAACGAAATCGGCGTGGATCGATTGATCGCCTCCGGAAAGAACCAGCGCTAGCGGGGGAGTCCGAACGTCACTTTACGGCGGAGACTGCCCCCGCCGTTGCTCAACCCAGCGTCCACAGATACATTAAACTCCCAGGTCTCATTGTTCCGTCCAAACATCCTGCATTTCGAAAATCTCAGAGTGCACAGTACTTTAAATGGAGGTCCTCATAATTTCTTCGGAAATTCTTTCTGGAACTTTTTAAAGCGCAAACATCTTAGATTACACTGAAAACTTCTTGTCGCCATGAACTTCAAGGTTTGAGATCTTCGTAAAACTTTTCGATGCTTTTTTCGTCAGCCAAGAAAATATTTCTGATCAAATGATATTCAAAATCCCATCCAGAAAACGGTAAAAAGTTGATATTTCCTTTCTCATACAGAAGCTTTTTCCAATAAGTTTGCACATTTCAAAAAAAAAAAACCACTTTCTAAACTAATGGTTCGAAAAATTGAGCCTTTCCCCATTTCTAGACAGAATATTTCACATTTTCCTGGTTCGAGCCTCCAAAAAAGTTTCTCAAAACAAGAATTTGTCTAGATACAAATTTTAATTTTAAAAAAAACTAGAGCTACTCTCTAATGAGGCCGTGAGAGAAATCTTGAATCAGGCTTTTCCAATCTTATTCTGGAAATCTCCAGAATACGAAATAAACGTGTTAGTCAAAGCCTGGACGAAAGTTTCTGAAATAGAAAAAATGGATTTTAAATAATACGGCCAAGCCTTAAAGTGTTACAATTAGAAATCCAAGATCAGATAAAAAAATTCAGATTCAAAATTTTTATTATTCTCTCATAATCACTGCTCAAAGTTCAAGGAACAGGAAAAAAAAAAACTAGCCAACCGGATTAAAACGAAGCCGCTCGGATTGCTCAGCTGAAATTTTGATGATTTTAAAGTGCGCAGATTGGCAGAAAGTGGAGACGTCTCGGCTGCTATGGAAATGTGCGAAAAAGCAGGGTCCGGCTGATCGATTATCACTCGCCGGCAGCTCCTTTCTTGTCCGTTTTTTGTCCCCCCAAAAACGCTGGTTAATTGAGTTGGTCACGTAGGAGATTTCTGACAACAAGCAGGTTGGTTTTTGATGTGGCAAGGAGAGGATAAAGGTTAGATATTGATAGTGCTAATACATTTTTTGTTTTTTCCGAGATAAAAAATTGCTTCCTTGTGTTCAAAACTCTTGTCAATATCAGAGTAACAACTTGAAATCGTAACATCCAGAAAAAACCTATAATTGTGTAAAAAAAAACTTAGCCAAAAACACGTTGAAACGTTCATAAAACTCTCAGAACGAAGTTAATGGCTCTCCAACATATTTTTAAGTTTTCATTCCACAAATTGAAACCCCGAATAGTAACATTCTGAAACGAGATACGTATCAAAATACCAAAAATAGCTGCTGTTGAGAAGTTTAATAGATTTCTTTTTTCTAAGTTTTTGAGAATTTTTTGATGTTCGTTCTCTCTTTTCCAAAGGACGAGAGCCGAATGTGGCTTTGAATAAAATAAAAATCAACTCTTCGGTTCTAGAACTTTTTTTTTAAATGTTAAGAAATTTCCAGAAAGCAATATGTTTTTCTTTATGAAAACCCGTCGTAAAGTGATGCCAAAGAGCTCAAAGACAATCCAAACCTAGTTCAGGAGCTCAGAAACGACAAAAGAGCCTAGATGACCAAGTTCGGATCAAATGGAGCACGAATAGTTCATTCTGAAGAGTCCAGCGCGGCGATGAACGAAGCCTGCCGCTGTCTCAGTTCTTTCGCCGACGCCTGTAACTTCACGTCTGTTAATTACATCTTACGTCGGAAGACTTGCCGTTCTGGATGTCCAGAGAAAACCAAGTTTGGCTTTCAGGTCCTCTGCGTTGCCGAGTCAGGAAGACGACTACGAAAGCGAGTTCGGCCGAATGATCTACACAATTTCTATACTTCTGATGTTCTCCTTTGTTATCGTCCTGCTCATGATCAGATCAATAAAGAGCAGTTCGAGTAGGGTTGAGGTTTTGGAAGTCTTATTCAGCCAGTCGAGGAGAAAATTCAGATGGATACGCTTCTAGATGCAATGAGATTCCGAGAAGAACTAGATATTCGTGAAAGACAACGGCGACGTCTGATGAAGGCAAAAACGAAGGTTTGTTTGATGAATATTACGTGATCTCGAAAATTTGAATCTTCTGAGGAACGTTATTTCATGTATTGGTTGCAGTTGTCTCCACCTACAAAATTCTACTTTTTTAAAGAACAGCTGAGCGGAAAAAGCAAATTTCTTAAAAACTAAAGTTTTGTGAGGGTTGAGAGTTTCGGAAACTTCACCTAAAACGTGATGAAGAATATATCCAAGATTCAAGTAAACTTACCTCTTTCATCAAAGTTCAAATTTTGCTGTCAAACTCCGCAACTCTGAAATAATCTGCAGGTGACGGCCTGGCTAACCAGAACCCAAGGAGAGAAAGTCTGGAAAAGTCAACAAGCGACGATGCCCCGGAAGCAGACCAGGTGAAGTTGACGCTTTCATCTCACCTCGTCCGTGACTCCTTCAGCATTTCCACAATGTCCGACATACCGGAGATCGTGGTGACAGAAGACATTTCTAACTTCCCGAGGTCCCGAACTCCAGCCTTATCATTGATTTATGATTTTGCCGAAGGCTCAGAGGCCAGCAGGTTGAGCCCAAAGAAATATCCAGGAATCATACACACTTTCAGAGCAAATTCAAGAATGAACGACGGCCGAGGCTCGATTTGCTCCTCCAATAACGGCACCTTGAGTCGAAATTCGTTCAGCATCGATCTCGAAGTCCCGCAAATTTCTTACGACCAGCGCTCCTACAGTCAGAGTATCGACTCCTGACAATTTAATCTTGAGAAAACTAATAATTTATTTATTGAATGAAAAACACGCAACGATGAACCCGGGGGAAACATGAAACAAGAAAGTGCATAACAAAATCTTCAAAAGCTACATCTAACAAGAATAAAAAGAAAAAGACTGAAACCTATGAGGAACTGGTTTGCCGAAGGAAGTTCTGAACGTCAAAGACGTCATACTGCGTCTCGTCCCACATCTCGGCTAAATTCCACTCGTCCTCTGGCTGGCCTCTGAAAAGACATCTTGTGACCAATCCATGAGGATCAAGGACTTCTTGGCTCGTTTCTTTGGCACCGGCGCCGCAGAAGAGTTCGACTTGCTGTCGTCGCCGTCCAAGGAGAACATCTCCATCAGTTCGGTGGTCTGCATCGAGCGGAGAGAAGTGTTGTCGGCTCCGATCAAGGCCTGGGATATTTCAAGGTGACTAAAAATGTAACCCTAGCCTTACTTGAGCCGTGTTGATCTTGAACTTGTGGAGGCTCATCACCTTCTGTTCGACGGTTCCTTGGGTTATGAGCCGGTAGACGTTAACCTTCTTTGTTTGACCTAGTCGATGAGCCCTGTAGTTCGATAAATGCATAATCTTTAAGTCTTTGATATTTGAAGAATGTAGTTTATTTTGAAAAGAAAAGTGTTTTGTTTTGATAATGACTTGTGTTAAATATTCTTCCAGTAGAATAAATAATTTGCTTCTGTGAGATGATATCATGACGAGAACTAAACTGACCGATCGATGGCCTGCAAATCCTTCATCGGATTCCAATCATGGTCGAGGAAGATGACGACGTCGGCGCCAGTCAGGTTCAGTCCGACGCCTCCGATCTGCAACAGAGTTCTTGGAGTCGTAGAGAAGGTCAGAATCTGACATGTGTGGTTAGGACGAGGACGTCAATCGATACGTCAGTGTTGAAGCGATTGACGACGTTGAGCCGTTCTGAAGGCGGAGTGTCGCCATCGAGAACCAAATGGGACACTTTGTTCCCGAAAACGCCTCTGTAACTTTCTTTTTGAGTGCATGAACAAGAGAAATGTTCTTCCATATATTAAAAAAAAATGATCAGGAGATCAAAAACAGCGTCTGGCTTGATAAAAAAAAACGCCTTTTTCCTTTCGGGCTTAATTCAGGACTCACTTTCACAATTTTCGTCAAATGAAAAATTCGATTGATTGCATTAAAATCACATAAAAAACGAAGATGATCGATTGACAAGTGATTTCCGAACTCAAAAAATTGGAGAGAATTCAGTGAAACAAACGTTTCAAGGGCTTTTGAAACCAAAGCAGCCGAAGTTTTCCACTGGCAGAAAATTAACGCTCTGTGAGATTGTTCCAGTGTTTCGGACGGCAGGATCGCGTCTGAATTGATGTTCTTGAAACTAATTGAATAAAACCTTCCCTTTCTGAGATTCCGTTCAAATTATCTTTTTTTTTCATTTCCAAGTGACTTTAAGATCAAAAGCAGATAATTTTCTTCATCTTTTCGAACGAACCATCGACATCTTCATTTTTGGCCTCCTCCTCGGACTGACAAATGCCACATTCGGTGAGAAGCTGACCGAGGGCATCCAACTTTCCGGATGAACAGCCATCTTTTGCCTGAATACGCATGTCAGACCGGCCAATTAAGATTCTCTACCAAGTCGCGGATCCGCTGAGGGGCATTCAGCTTATCCAAAGTGTTCAGAATCAGAGTAGGATGATCGACGAGTTTCCGCAAGGCGATGAGTGCATGAAGCGGCGCGATTCCGTTGCCAGAACGGAGGGCTTCTTCGCTCGTTGTACACCTGATAAATGGATCTTCAGGTACTCCGACACGTGAGAAACAAGATTAAATACCCTTTTTATCGTTAGCTTGCAAAACTTCATCAATTAGACGTCTAAACCTCCTCTTTTCGCAAACACTTACGCTGTACACTCTACATGATGATTTTCTCAAGCTAAAGTAAAATGAACGAGGTTTGCTACTGTTCAGTTGGTTGAGAACTTCGAAAACTGAGCAATGAATCACAAAAACAAGTCTAGAAAGGATCAGTGGTTGCTTTTTACAAAGCTTTTTTGAAATACTTGGTTTTTCTGTCAACTATTTAGAACGTTTCCGTTTTTGACTCAGTTTCTAGAAACTAGTTTTATTGACGTTCTTTTTTCAAAACGACACTGTTTTACCTATCAACGAGGAACCGATAGATCTCCTTTTGTTCTTCGCTCAACTCGCATTCGTAGTCTTGGACATTCTTGTCTGGCAGTTCTTTCAGAACCTGAACAATTCGAACTCATCTTTGTCATCTACAACTTGACGAACTTCGCTCTTGAGTCGCCGTAGGACAAATGGTAGGATTAACCTGTGAAGTTGATCGACTGCTGCTGAGCCGTTCTCAAATCAAAAAAAAGTCATTAACAAAAAAACTGAAACCTTGATATCCGCTTCGGAGGCCTTGTTACTCCGACATTTCAGGATTTTCTTGAGGAACTTGGCTCTGAACTGCCGCTCGTTTCCCAAATATCCGGGCATCAGCCAGGTGAACAACGCCCACACGTCTGTCGGACTAAATAATTTTCCATATACTTGTTTTATCCCCTCCACGGAAGCGACCTGTTTTGAATTGGAGTTCCTGAAAGCAACAAGCGACTTTTAGCCTTCAACTCCATCGCAACTTTCCAAACCTAGAAAAAAATGGTGGGGAATTTGCGAATTTCCTTTTGCACGGATTTTTACGCAGCGTAAATGTGCTAAAGAACTTGATTTTAAAACTATTCTCGGAACTCGCGGGATTCTTGTGAACTTGAACTGTTCAATAAATGTGACACAGAAGGATATTCTTCTGAGATTTTTACGCCTGGGCACATACGCTGCGTGAAGTGAATGTTCCAGCCTCGGAATAATTAGTGGGGAGACTATTTTTTTGATTCTTTTTTTCTTTTTCTTTTTGAATCAAAAAAAATGCAAAGCTTCCAAATATCTACTGTGCACTCAACGGGGCTGGGAATGTCCGTTTTCTAATTTTCGATTTCAAAATTTTTGAAAGTTTTTATTTTTTGTTCCGCTCAACTCTAGATAAGCTCAAAGAAATGCTTCAAAGAAAACTAACCACAGTTTTTGGGTTCCTCATAACGTGGCCCTCGTCCAATACAACATAGTTCCAAGTCTTCTTTCTAAAAAATGGAATAAAGAGAAAATAAGAGTTTTTGTAGACATACTGTAAGTATTGGTTGGTCTTGAGGTCTTCATAGGCGACCACAATGATCTCCGTCTCCAAATTTCTCACTGCGGACTTCCTAGCAGGAGGTCGTACCGGGAAGAACCTTGATCGACAAGTCAGGTTTTATTTTTTTAAATGTTGAACCTTTTCCATTCTGCACACCAATGGTCGACAAGGGTTCTAGGGCATACGATCAAGGAACAGCGTGAGTTTTGGGGAATCCCATCTGGAAAGAATATAGTTTAATCATACCTAACTTAGAAAATAACAGAAGATATGTCTGAAACTCTCTTTCGGCACACTCTTACGCTAATGTTTTTTTGCTCAATAAATACTTTTACAACGGTCAATGAGCTTTATGGAAAATTTAACAAAAAGAACCTACCGTAATCGACAGAGAGAGCCAATGCGCACATCGTTTGGAGAGTCTTGCCCAAACCCATGTCATCTGCGAGAATCCCGTTTAAGGAATACTTTTTCAGGAATCTCATCCAAGTGATTCCTTCCTGAAACTTCAAGATAACATGACTCATGAGGCGAATTATGAACAATTTGGTAGTGACGGAGTTCGACGTCCTCCGCTAGGCCTACGATCTGTTGCTTAGAGACGTGAGGTAGTCTTGCGGGCGACGCCAAGACATGGATAAAGTCGGCGAGTTCGATTCGCTTGCGGTTCAGCTCTTCGCTCAGTCCCACGACTTGATACGAAGGGTCCTGAAGTTCTCAAGACTAAGGAAGTCTATGAAGAGCTCCGGAACCTCAACAACGACCAAGGGAACGAGTCGACGGAAGGCTTCTCCAGCGGCGTCGCGAATCTCGGCGAGCTGGTCTGTGAGCATACAAAAGGCAAGAGGACAGAGAAGGGTCGCCACTCCGGCCACCGAGTTCTCCATCATGGCCAACCTAAATGAAGCGTCAATTCAGAAGATTGTTCCGAAGAGTCGCCAAACCTTAAGACGGCTTCGGCGGCGCCGCGACGATCGTTTTCGCTGTCAATATTCGCAGACATTTCAGTCAGCCGATGCAAAACCAAAGAAATCGTGTCTCCAAGTCGTGACCTCGCAAACGTCTCCACGGCCTTCGCCCCAGCAAATCTGAAAAGCAACGCCCACAAGGAAGGTTCTTCAGCGTGAAGTTTGGAATTCACCTAACATTGGGGTCCGGACTAGCGAGCAGTTTGAGAACGGTAGCAGAAGAGGACTCGGAAAGTGAGGAGACGACCCGCGACCACAGACAGCCGTGTAACTCGAGGCGAGACAACAACGTCTCAAAAGTCTCCGATGGAACTAAATGAGACACTCAACAGACCATCATGTCCTCAGTTTCATCGAGATCGAAGTGACTATAGTACTCAGGGACTTGACTGATGGAGAAGTTTGAACAAATCTGGACAAAAAAAAAGTACTCTGCCAGCAAAAAACGGCAACCTACAACAAGAATCAACTCTGCATTTTTGCTTTCGGCCGAAATCTCTTCGTTCGTTTCGCCAGCATCAGAACGGCCAATCCGCTCCATCGTGACGATCAGAGAACTGTCCTGGAGACCCCTAAAGATGCGATTTCTGTGGATAAGCGCAAAAATCGAATCCTTACGGCTTCGGAATTCGAAAAGGACAACTCGAGAACGACTCCATCGCCTTGGCCAGAACCTGGAAGCTCGAAATCAGGAAGGCGGAGGAAACAGAAAAACTTTGACGAAAGGTTTGGGCTGTCGTGTAGAGCTGTATATCAATAGGAGAGGGATGGATCCACGGAAAATCTGAACAAAATTTTAGTTATTTGAATAAATTCGTAGGAATAAATGCCTCGGCGGCTACAGCTTCATTATCCTCGTTCTGCATGGCTTCCACAAGAGGACGAATCTGCGATTTTCGCAGGTTTTCAGGGAAACGACTTGGTTAGGTCAAAAGAACACACACACAGATTTTCTCTCAGAACTAACTTGTGGCGTCAATTTGTCGGGTGCGCAACCGAAGTAGAAAAGAGCCGAGGAGATAAGAGCGTAAACGCGCCTTCAATTTTGGAAGTATACTCAAAAACTGATTCATTAGATCTGAAACTCACGTTGTATTTATTCTGACCGTGGACTTTGTGAATTTGATGAATTCGCACAAGCTTTTATACCGAGAGTCGAGAGAATCCAACTGATTCTGGCTTTTCGCCTTCGCCCGACATTCCTCATAAGCAGTGCTGCAATTTCCGTCTCTTATTTCCCTCAAACGAAATTGAAAGAAAAATGGTATATCAGATAGAAAGAAGTGGTGGAAGAGCTGTTTTTTATTCGAACTTTTCGTTTCAATACTCGAAAAAAACCTGCTCATGACCTCCGCCGATGAAGTTTGGTCAAGAGAGAAAGCCTTGCGGTTGAAGCCCCGTACAGAGCAATAGTCCACGAACTCGTTGCACTCCTCAAATCGAGAAATCATTTAAAAACGATGATTTATAAGAAAATTTCAAAGTGCTCCAGATTCTCGGCACAAGACTTCCTTCCAATTCAATTCTTTTTTTTTCAATTCTTACTATTATATCTGATGAAACTCGACGGCTATAACCGTCAGAACGCTTTTATAAAGTACGTATTAAAAAAACTCCTATTTCCGATTAATTCATTAAACTGCTCTGCGCACCGATCTTCATTTCTTTCGGTTTTTTCAACTTCATAATAAATAGTAAGATATTCATTCGGAAAATGCGTTCGGAAAAATCTTACGTCCTTCAAAAAGCGTCTTCTCGAATAAAGTAGAGTAAAACTGAAAAAAAAAAGTGGGAAAATGAGGAATAATTTTCCCTGTTTTCCTAAATAAAGAAACTGCCGGAAATTCACTCATAACTCTGAACTCAAATTTTCTTGATGTATTGAGGTTCTATAAAAAAAAGGTTTTTCACGGGGAACGAATTCTCAAAGTAATAATGGCGACTTATAGTCACATCCAGTTTTCAATCAAACTGAGGAGAATCCCTTTTTCTATTAAATACGGTTTGGAATGATTGAAAAAGCCGCAAACATTTGTGAGTAGATGGACACTGGTCGTGAGCTCGTCGAAGCTTTTCGGAGGACCCCGCAGAAGAGCGTCGCACAGCGAAATGACGGTCATCGGGGCATCGGGTTGAGTTCCTCTGCAAAAAGATGGAGATGAAGTGGGAATTGCGACGTGGGAACTTGTTGAGAGCTGCGCGGTAGAGAGCGGCCCATTCGTTGACGATCAGCGCCGCTCCGAGGTTGTGCATCAGAGAGGAAGACTGCAGATACGGAGCGAAAAGAAGCTGCACCGACTTCGATCTGGAACAGCTCACTTCACGAGGAAACATGACAGGAAGGTCAACAAATTGTTGCATTAAAATCACAGTAAAGATTATTTTTACTGCTGTTTTTCTCTCTTTCAATACTTTTTCTGTCTCTGTTTATTTCTGTCGACAACAGTGCTCTACTTCAAAAAGTAATTCTGAAAAAAATTTGAAAAGAGTAAAAAAAACTTGAAAAGAGTCTGAATATTTATTTCTCAAAATCTTAAAAGCTTGTTCAGGCTGCAACTACGCGTAGTATTCATCAAAACTTTCTAACTGTTCCTGAAAAGTTCATAAAAATCAAACATCAATGAACACTTCCGTGAACTTCCACAGAAAGAATGCCGATTATCAATTCACTATTGTCAATGGTCAGAAAGAAAAATACCTTTTCCATTCAAACTTAGGCCAATGTTGGGCTTTACTTCAATTTGAAAATGCTTTTGAGCTTATGAACATTTACAAAAGCCCAGAAAAAAAAGGATTCAAAAAAGGATGATCAAACTGGAAAAAAAATGTATCATTTATCCAACTTTCTTATGCCGTGTTCAAAGTGATTCCGCGAAACCCAAAATAGCCGTCAGAGAAAGAAAAAGATAACTAAATTTTGGAGAGTCAGAGATCATTTTGCATTTCGCGGAAATTACTTTGAACACGGCATTATCTAAAGAAGCTGAACTTCATTAAAGAAACCAACACAGGCTGTCCATCGAGCTCCTTCTTCGCCTCGTAGACTATTTCCAAAATAGCCGCTAAAAGTTTGGCGCACAAAATTTTTCTCGTGACATAGACGTTGTCCTTCTCTCTGAACCGATTCAAAACCAAACATCGTAGATGGGTTCAAGCCGACTTTTCGGAGAGGAAACGCATTTCTTCACTGCACATGCGTTCCTGCGGCGTTTTCGGCGAACTACTGCTACCGTCAGTGCCAAGTTCGAAGACATCTGGACAGAAGAAAATACGCTCTCGGGAATGTCTTCAAAAATCACTTATTAATGGATTCCGATGATCGTAAAGGATACAGCACATCCAACGGCCAATGTGTGAGCTCAGTTCATCTTCCTCAACGAGAGGAGTACTAAAAAGGAGTTATCAGGTCTTTGTAAAGCGAAAATACACACTGATAAACACGCAGAAGCTTGAGAGCGGCCAAAAAAACCATCTCGATGAATACGGTGTCTTCGCCTGGGGCAGCAAACAGAAGGGCGCGGTAAAACTGTTTGAGAATCGAGAAGGCTTCCTGAATTTTACTATCTGCGAATAAGGTTTCATTGAGGGCATTCCACTGTAACTGTAAGTTGATTTTGGATGAATTTGCTTGGAGCTTTTTTCGATTCCGGAGCATAATGTATGAAAAAAAACCCAAGAAAACAAAATTGGTACACTACTTTCTATGAAACTTTCGCATGTGGTTCAAGGATCAAACCTGTAGTTGGCCCCAATCCAGAGAAAAAACTATCTCTTTTTCGGATGCAACTTCACTACATAAACAAGCAGAAACCCCGGAGGATTTTTTTCTATTAAATCTCCAATGATGGTCAGTAGCACTCTTTGAGCTAATACGTCATAATTTTGCAAAACGGGCGTTCCACGATTGCTACTGCCGATCACCCGATGTTTATTAACGATTCGGAATATCCTATGCATCTAAACTGTGGCTCAGCGCGTGAATCTGGCGTAAATACGTTGGACTTAAAAAAGACCTATTCGTGGCTAAAAACTGCGTTTCGAGTGATCCTGGAGTTAGACGGGCGAAAGACACTAGCATCCGCGGGTGCTACTGGACAACATGAGAAAGGACAGTTACACGAAGAAGAGAAGTCCCGAGGAACCTTGGCCTGTAAGACAGCGTGGCCGCGGTCGAGAGCCGTGTCGATCAGAGCGACGACTTTGGCGCTCCTTGTCGGGAACGCGGCGTCGAGCATAGAAGACACGATCATTGTTTGTCTTCTGCGCAACATTCTCATGAAGTCCGCAAGAGAGACGGAAAAAGAACCGGTCGAGGTAGGCGGCGGCGTCGAGACGGAGCCACGTCTCCACGATTCCCATCAAATCCACGCAGAGAGCGTCCAAGCCAGACCGCAACTGTCAAGTAACCAGTAAAGTAGTGACTTCGAAGATTCTCCACCTGTTCTTTCTTCGATTCGATTTCGAGAAGTCTCCAAACGTGCTGCAAAACCCTGTCCACCAACAAATTTTCCTTTGAAACGCCATTTTTCGTCCCTTCCTCCCTTCCGACAGAATAAGCCCGATTGGCCAGAATCGAAGAAAGCGTCATTACGGCACAACATACCACCTGAAAATTGTTTTTTCCATTCTTCTTTTTTTTCGGTTGGACAGGTGACTGTTTCTATCTTTGCATATCGGAGAGGTCTCCAAAACAATTACATTCGTTGAGGTAAAGTTCAATTGCTCGGGCATAGAAATGCTTGACCCCTGAACTTTTTTTGGAGCTTTCCCGAAGAACTTGAAGTTTTTTAACTTCACCTAACTATGCAAAAAAAAAAACAATTTCAACAAACATCATCGATGGGATCATCCAAGGAACGGACGACGACATCAAAGCAATTATCAAAGATTTGCGCTTCGAGTTTGGCAACGGCAAAATAATACTTAAGTACCAACAGAGCACTCTGTCGCACGTTCCAGTTCTGAAAAGAAAAAAGATAGTTATTCACAAGGCAAAGGTTGAACCTTGTCGCCTTTGAATTCGAGCATTCGGAACATAAAAGCGAGAATTAGTTTCCTTCGGCTTTCATCCGTCACATTGAGAATGTGTCCAATGGCTTGCGCACACGTTTCTCTCACCGGAGCCGTCGCATTTCTACCTGAAAACTCACAAGAAAACATACGATCAGGAAATGTTTCCATCAGGATGAGAAAAGAGAGAAAAGTCTAGTTATCAGAAAACTTTCAGCGTCAACTTTATCGCTTTGAATAAAGATAAAACGCTAGGACCAGTATTGAAACTTCGAAAAAAGGAGCCGTGAGAATTCTTTAACCAAATCTTGACTTTCATGTTTTTTAAGCAAATTTCCCAGCTTCTGAACCTCGGACGCGTTTCTTCGACCCATCCGTCTCAAAATGATCCAAAAAACCATTTACGTATATTTTATAAGACCAGGTTGCAATAAATATAATAGGCCAGGAGTGCAATAAAAAAATTAATATGAATTAACCCCAAAAGATCAAACTACATTTTCGAACCAACCTGACATGAAATCGTTGAACTGGTCAAGGACCAAAACTTCGAGGAGCAACTGAATGGCAGCGTCAACGATTCGCGCGGGAAGGCTGCAAGTGGATATTCAGAAACTTTTCCTGCTCAATTAAAATGATTGGCCGCTCCATAATTCAAATATAAGGGATGAAAATAAAAAAAGGATTATTGTTATTTTTCTATTTCTCAGCTTCTTACTCACTTGGGGTAACACGAAGAGACTATTCGGGATAAAGCGATTGCGGCCCCATGTCGCAGTTGCCAACGATGGTCGCCAAGAACTGGGAAAAGCCTGCAACGAGAAAAATAAACAGTTTTTATTTACATTCATAGAAATTATTATAGAGTTCTTTTATGCAGAAAACAGTGGAATACATGAAAAGTTTAACGAGAACGATCGAAAAGAAAAAAAAATTGTCTTCAGGATTTCAACAAGAACAAACTTATTCATTTTCTCTGTTACACGTACTTTAGGAGCCTTTTTTCTGAACACCGATTATAAGCATTTTGACATGTGGTTTAAAGTTTCAGAACACATTATTAAATGTTCCTTATGATGTTGGAAAACAGCTTTGAATCCATCATATCATCCGGATAATGTACTATTTTTGTCGTAGATATGTAGAGGGACGTGAAAAGACCAACTCCTTGACGAATCGCTCGAATCTTTCGCGTAGGAGGGTCTGCATGTCGTCGGTTTCGCCGCCGTCGCTCGCATTTCCGTTCTCGTCCGCCTCTTGTTTCAGTTCGGTCGCAAAGTCCTTCAGCAACACATGATTGATCTATTCTCACGAGAACAACTACTGTCAAGCTGGCGATTTCTTTCTGTACCGGCTCGGCCTCAAACTTTCGCGGCAAGACCTCTGCATCTGGCAAGAAACGACTCTGAACACATTTAGAAGCTGGAGAATCTTCTCAAATTTCCACAGAAGGAACATCTAAACGGTGAAAACCTCGATAGGCGATCAAGATTCATGAACTTAACGTTCACGTCAGATATTTTCCGAGAAGCTCAATTCAAGAGAGAAAGCTCTTTTTATCAGAGAAAAAGCGGCTCACTGAGCTAAGCCCCGTGGCGTCGATTAACTCCAGATGCTGGTCGATAATCCGTCTTTGCTGCTTGGTCGACAACTTGGCATTCACGGCTAATTCTGCCTCGTTTTCGCTGAAAACATGAGAATAAGACCAATTGTTTGTAGATACAATGTATCCATTTAAATTCCTTTTCGTGAAAAATAATCTAATTTTAAACATTTGATTCTTTGTTATTATCATTTCTGAATTAAGAGAAAATGGAAAATCTCCTTGAAGAAAATTGCAAGTCTTGCAAGACTTTGAAAACAGCAGCGAGGCATTTTAAACAAGCTATACATATTTTTCGACCTGATTCATTATTTTTCCCGGGTAATGCTACCATTCAAAATCATTTTGATAGTTTCATAGTTGATTTGTTTTAATCCGAAACACATACCTCAAAAGAGGCTTGAACGTATTGAGGATGTAAGAAATGTCGAGAACTTGTAAACCGGAGGCCAACGTCGGATCGCCGTCGGAGGTCTTCAACTCCAAGTTCCGGAGAACGGATCTCAAGGCGTCGCCGGCAGAAACTCGAGCCTCCCACGACGGCGAAGTGATATGTTTGAAGAGGATCTGCAGGTCCAAAGATGTTCCCACCATTTTTGGATTTGATTCAACATGGATATTCGATCAAACAGTTCATTTTAATCGCTTGAAAGTGACATGTGTGGAATTTCTCTCAGCTCAGATAAAAAACTAGTTTTCAAACCCTTGAGAGAAGAATTTATAAACAAAATAAATAAAAAGAGTGGAAAGATCAGATCGTCTCTACCTGGGAGACTTTCTCATCGGCAATCGAGTACTTGCCGAACGCGTGGATCGCCTCTGCGCGGACCGTCCGATTTTTCGAGTCCAACAAGGAGCCGATGTGTTGAAGACGAGTGTCACTCATTCTTCCACATACTGCATTCCTCAATGTTTCCTCCCAATTTCAAAATTATTGAAGTCAAAGCACTGCTGGTCCACGGTTTGAGCGTGTTTTATTTATCTGCAGCTTTCTATAGGAAAAAAAAATTACAAAAGCTTTATTAGATAAGGAAGTTAAAATGGGGGCGTATGTATACATAAAAGGGAAAAATTGAAAAATAAAATAGAAACTAGCATTCCAGGACCATAAAAGTAGATAATGTGGAAAGTAAAAAAAAAACGCATAGGTCAAGTAAATGCTGCAATCAATTGGATTGAATCGTTTACTGGATCTGAATGCCCGAAAGCTCGATGTCTCCAGCGATTTGGAGTCCAGCGATGTCGTTGGGGTCCGAACGATGAGCATACGAGGCCCAGCGCTCGCCGTTGACGAAGATCTGCAATCAGACAATGAAGTTGTTTTTTATTCGAGTGATCAACTTTTTTCTTCTTTCAAATAATTTCTCGATTTCTATCTTCAAACCGATTTCGATGTAAAAAAGAACTAAAATATTTTCCTAATCTATAGTCTACCTGGAAAGCGTACGCCTCGTTCTGGATGGCAAGGTCGAAGCCAACTCCCTTCTCGAAAGGAACCTTGCCCTCGCGCTCCTCGTTGCCCCATTCGTTAGCCTGGAGCGAGTTGCGGATGACATGCTGAAAAAATGAAAGCATTTTGGAGCTTTTAAGGAGAGACTGCGAACCTTCTCGTCGAAACGAGGATTGAAATGAAGAGCAATGTCTCCGTTCTTGCGAAGAAGGTTCAGGTGGAAGCGCTTAGCCTGCAACATAGTTATAGTTAGAAAACTGTACCGAAATGTCGCAAGCTAACCTTCTTCTCAACAGTTCCGAAGACAAGAAGAGTCTTGCCAACAGGAAGACCGCTAGAAATTCCGCTCTCGTATGGGACCGGCTAAAATTTTGTTTTCAGGCTTGTTGTTTCTTTCTATTTACGGACATAGTACTTTCCACCCCAGTGGACGTGGTTGAGGTAAAGATCTCCATCGATTGAAAGATGAGAGATGGAAGTGAGTGGAACGCGGTGCTCAAAGTCCTTGAACTCCTTGTGGTCGACGATGACCTGCAATTTTTGCCTTTTGTGAGTTTGGGCTAGCAACAGCCAACCTGGAAGCGATCGTCATGGGCGCGAACTCGGATGTCGAATGAATCTCCCTTCTTGATTGGGTTCGACTTGCGTTCTTCCTTGCCCCATTCTCCGTTGGCGAAGGTGTTCAGCACGATCTGAGTCAGCCATTTTCGCATTACTCATATCGACATTGAAACGAAGAAGAGGCCTATCGATACCTTTCCTTCGTCGAAGCGCACAGAAATGTGAAGAGGAACGTCGTTGCCGGAGAAGTCGGCCGCCTTGCTATGCAAGTTGATGGTGAACCTGGAAAGATAGTCTGTATTTTTGGTATCCCAAGTATCACTCGACAATCAAATTTTCGATAAGAAAAACTATCAATGCTTCTGATAATGAGCCCATTTTTGTTTTCCTCAGTTGTAAAAAAAAATTAAACGTTTGCGTTCTTGAGTATTTTTTGCCTATCTCGCGTTATTTTCTATATAGACCCTTCAAAGCTCCTCAAAAGGGAAAAAGGTTAGACCTACCGTTGAGATTCATCGATGGTCGATCCCTTGATGATCAAGGTCTGTCCAGGCTCGAACTTCTCTTGGAGGACGCTGCGGTAGGGCACCGGCTGAAACCGCGAACAATAACTGATTTAAACTCAGAAACTCTTTGGAATTGGAAATTATTTTCATTTACCTTTTCGTCATATTCTTCCATGTGCCATTTTATCACGTTCAGAAATGTCAGCATTTAAACGTTGATAATTTTAAGCATACGGAAAAACTGAGCAGAATAAGCGCGGATGGCATTCGCTATTTTCAGCAAAAGAAGCGAGAAAATTTGGGGGTCAGAGACTCATGGATTTTCCGATAAAACTTCGCCTTCGCTCTCCTTGCACGCGAGAAAATTGCACATAAACAAAAATTGTCTTCCTTTATATATTTTTTGCTCAAAGTTTCAAGGCTTTTCTTTACTCTAAAAAAAATCTTATCTGCTGACAGAAGAAAGAAGTAACAATACCGCAGCGTTTTTAATGGGCTAAGTAGAAGCGACTATACTTTTATTGACAGCGCCTCATTCCAGATCGTGAGAATAACATCATTAGGAGCGAATGATGTTTATTACCATCTCATTCTCGCAACCGTTTCTCTCGGTAGAAAATTTATTACGGAGATATGGCTGGGTGCGCATCGTTCGTTGGATAATCTCAAAAGGGCTGGATGGAAAAGCGTCGAAGATAATTTCATCCTTCTTTTTATTATATTTCAACAAATATTCATTGAATAATATCAGACCTACAGCCTTATTCCAGGTGCACCAAAACCTTTTCTAACTAACCTTCTGATTCTCATACCAACGTAAAATAGCCGGAGCTGAAGCCATTTTGAAGAATTGATTTAGAAAAGGATGCGCGGTGAGCAACAACAATCTACACGTACAACGTGAATGCGTGCGTCTGCTGGGCGATGCGAGCTGTGCGAGGCAATATGACTCAGCAACCTCTTCCCTCTAGCCCTGCCCCCAGCCGCAGCAACAAACTGTCAGCGAAAAGTGCACATGTGGAATGGTGAGAAACCCACATAGGGCGACGCGAAATAGTAAAGCGCTGCGCGGAGAGCTCAGAGTCGACGCAGAGTTTTCGCCTCGCTCATATTTTCTTTTTAGAAAGCAAACAGGACGAAAACTAGCAAAAGGAAAAGAGCCCGCTCTCTTGTTTATTTGAACTTTTTTCTTGAGTATACATGGTTAAAAGTTGTACCATGTAAAGGGTCTGAAACGCAACATCGTATACTCCATTCTCAGAATTTTATTGTTTGCTTCTTTTATGTGTCGCTATCTTGTTGGCATTCACAATCACCCTGAAATCTGTACATGCAGGGACAGACCTTGAAAACTTGACGCAAAATTTTACGTCACATCAATGTTGTTGTTGAAACCAAAAAAACACTTTGTTTACGCCGAAAATATGGGAATGAGATGTTTACTTGCTGCGCCAAACAAAACAACCCCCTTTCATGTTGTTTTCGCCCTATTTCTTCGAAACGGTGACTAAAGATGATGAAATTTTCGATGATACTTTCATCAGTGTGAAAAAGCTTCTTCTAATAATTTTCTTTTTAAATATTTAATCTCAGCTTTTCATTAGAAACGTACCGTATTCAGACCTGCTAAAATTTATGCACTTTCTAAAAAAAAACTCACGTAAGATTTCACTTCTTCCGCCATTTTTGAACTGACACGGGTGAACAGTTATCTGAAAATGAGTTTTTGGAAACCTAGAAGAAAATTACATCAGCAAAATTTGAAAAAAAAACGGCCGAGTGGAAAAAAAAAGAACCAAACGAAAAACTTAGGCGGAAACCCTCGAAAGATGATAGAAATCGCGATTCGAAGAGGAGAAGAGAAAAAGACGGAGTAATTTCAATGAAACGCCACATGCGGCTGGGCTGTTTGCGATCGGTCGCAACGGTGTTTGTGAGTCGAATACGCTCTGCCAACGTGTAAGCGCATACTCTGTTTGCTACTATTGATTAGAGGAATTTCCTCAAAAAGTAGAAACGCACAATTATATCAAAGTTAATTCCAAATAGGGCGTCTGAAGAACTTTCTTACTAGCTGGGCCCACGCCAAACGGGAGAAACAACAAATGACAAGGCGCCGTACGCAATGAAAAGTCTTCGCATTTCATCTATGACCTCTTCCTTGCATCAGTGTTCTCTCTGTGGGCGTTTCGCTCTCTTTCCTATCTCTCAGCTCTTTTCCTTTTTACGAACCAAGGACAAACAACGTTGAAATACTCAATGAATCGATGAGAAAGAGGAGAGATCAACAAAGTGTATGAATTTTTACAGGAATACGATTTTTCGAATTTCTTTTTCGAAGTTAAGTTTGAACTCGATATTTTTTCGAAAAATAATTTTTTTTGTTTGGAAATAAATGCAGGTACAATATCGATTGCTCTACTTTTCCGCAAGCAAAACAAAATTAACAAGAAAAACATGACTAAAACTTGTGTGCAAAATGATTTTTATTCATTTCTTAACTATTCATTGACACAAAAACTTTTTGAATAAGAGTTACATGGCACAGAAGTTATAAAAAGTATAACAAATAATAGCAAAGATTTTACAAAAAGCTCAAAAAAGCAACACAAATCGTTAATTAGTAGAGCGCATTTTGATGGTCTATCTAAAATTTCGTGGAATCAGACGCTAATAGGACTATAGCCAATAGCTTTTTCTTCACTTCCTAGCTGCGAAAAAATGAAGAAAAGAAAGAAAGAAAGAGTTTGTGAGCATATCCCATACCGTCAGGGCTTCAGGGGTTGAAATTTATGTAAGAAAAGGAAAAAAAAAGGATTTAAATACAGGGAGTCTTGCGCTCCCACGTTTTTTTTCTCGTCATATAAAATTTTTGATGCAAAATGAGTCATAAAACTTCGATCGCTTGGAACATTTGTGAAAAAACACAACATTGTGAAATTTATTTTAAAGAAATTTAGTGAAAGACTAAAAAGCTACGGTTTCCCAAAACCTGTTATGTTATTCTTTGAAAAAAAGTGAATTGTCCAAAAGAAATTAATTACTTTTTATATAATTTTTAAAGTAATGTTGAAAAAAATTGAGCGTATACATGCGGCTATATGAAAATAATAGTTCCTTGAAAAGCTGGAAGAACAACTGAACTATCGATAATATTTCAACAAAATTGGCCTGTTTTTTCTTCATAAAAAACGTTAAAAATTCAAAAAAACGTCGAAACTAAAAATTATTGAAAAAAAAAATATACAAAATTGGACGTACAAAAACTGGTAAGATAGAAGCGCCCAAACTTAGTTATTTTTTTCTTTCTCTGAAGGCCATTTTGCATTTCGCGGAATGACTTTGAACACGGCATATGCATATATATGTAATACCGTGTTCAAAGTGATTCCGCGAAATCGAAAATAGGCGTCAAAGAAAGAAAGAGATAACTAAATTTTAGAGAGTCAAAGATAATTTTGCATTTCGCGGAAATTACTTTGAACACAGCATATAATAAAAAAAAAATAGCAACGCATGACGTCATTTCAATGTAACTTTTGAAACTGGTTTCGAAACAAATGCTCTTCGGATAACCTGTTCCTTTAAAATGAGTTTGTGTCCTACATTTTTTCAAAATGCCCATACCGCCTAATAACTTTTTACCCCGATGAATGCCGTGTTCAAGTAATTTCTGCGAATTGCAAATTTTTTCGACTCTCCAAGACTCAGTTATCTTTTCTACTCCCTGACAACTGTTGTGAATTCGAGAAATCAATTTGAAGTAGGACCGAAGGCCGAAAAAAGATAAATTCCTTCGTAAGTTTTTTTTTTTTCAATATTTTTCAAATTATTTTTTTAAGTGAATCCTTCAATTAAATTCGCCGGTTTTTTTTTCAATTTCACAACAGTTTTTGAACGCTGTTGCCGTGTTCAAAGTAATTTCCGCGAAATGCAAAATACCCATTAGAGAAAGGAAAAGATCACTAAATTTTGGAGAGTCAGAGATCATTTTGCATTTCGCGGAAATTACTTTGAACACGGCATAAAATCTGAACGGACTTTTCTTCAAAAATATTTGGCCGTTTTTTGCACATAATGAGACGAGTTTTTTTTTAAATTTCAGTTATCTCAGTATTTAGAAAAATCTAAATTGAATGTTTCTCCTTCTTTTTCTACTTTCAATTTTGCTGCGTCCTTAATTATTTTCAAGCCAAACAAATGTGCAGCGCTGCACGGACAATGTGGTCCTCGATGATAAGATTTTTCGGTAATTCATGATGTCTTGTTGAGCGATAAAATTTTTTTTTTTGAATATATACTTGAAATTTTTTTAAAACAGACATTCATTTCGAAAACCAAACTTTCATTTGAAATATGTGATCATTGATAGCTAAAACTTAAAGGCACATGCTTTTTCCCGCTTCCACACAAGACCATGCCATTTCAAATGATGGGCGGGCAGTTTGTTCAATGCTGTGCCAGGCCGCTGTCCGCGATCAGATTTTTCTCGAACGCTTTCAGCCTGACCCTCTGGGTGCCGTACGCTATTTTACAACTTTACTCTGTCTGTCTTTCCTGCCCCGTTCAGCTCCCATTGCCCACTTCTCATTCGCTGTCTTTCGACATTTTTAATTTTCCTTTTTTTGTAAAAATAACTAATTTCTTTCAGTAGTTACCAGACCTCACAATGGCACCAAGAACTAGAGTTTTCTTCGACATCACCATTGCTGGAAAAGCTGCTGGCCGTATCGTTATGGAAGTAAGTTTCTTTTTTTTAAATCTTATTTTCACTGTTGTGAAAATTTTGCAGCTGTACAACGATATCGTTCCAAACACGGCTGAGAACTTCCGGGCCCTGTGCACTGGCGAGAAGGGCATCGGAAAGTCTGGCAAGCCTCTCCACTTCAAGGGATCGAAGTTCCATCGTATCATTCCAAACTTCATGATCCAAGGAGGAGACTTTACTCGTGGAAACGGAACTGGCGGTGAATCTATTTACGGCGAGAAGTTCGCTGATGAGAACTTCAAGGAGAAGCACACCGGACCTGGAATCTTGTCTATGGTTCATTAACCTTCATATAAATTTTTTGATTTTGCATATTTTCAGGCCAATGCTGGACCAAACACCAATGGTTCTCAATTCTTCCTTTGCACTGTGAAGACTGAGTGGCTCGACGGTAAGCACGTCGTTTTCGGCCATGTCTTGGAAGGAATGGAAGTCGTGAAAGCTGTCGAAGTCAAAGGGTCTCAGTCCGGAAAGCCCACTTCTGAGTGCGTCATTGCCGATTGCGGACAGTTGTAATGATCTCTTAATCACCTTTTTTTTATAAATTATTTTTTTACTGGTTATGTAATGTATCGATTGTAATTTTGTCCCTTTCGGGTGTAACAGCTCCCCGTAAATAAATTTGTTGTGGAATATTTATGTATGTGGTCGAGCAACTTGAGCACCGGTTATGTACAGTTAAGGAAGGTCTCCACGTTTTGAAGTTGGAGCACTTGTTTGCTGACCATGTCGTAGTCGGAGACCTGCAAGTATCACATTTAGCCATTGTAGAAGTATTTTTTGGATAATAGATAATAAAAAGTGATTCTGAAAGACTAGTTAGAAAGGAAAAAGCATTTTACCTACTTTTTTACTGTTTACTTGAAAAAAAATATTACAGAAAGTCTAAAAACGCCTTTTCTCAAACTGTTTCATGTCGAGATCATGACCAAGTATTGGCTCAGGCTAGCGATGGATCAGCTATAACTAACTGTTTTATTTACTTACGGTGGCTTCGTCAAACATCCAGTACGCATCATCGATGTCAATTCGCTTCTGTACTCCAGATTTAAGGTCTTCTGGTAGATTAGGGAAGAATCTTTGTTTATCATTTAAAAACGATGGTGCGTTTTGTTCCACATCGTATGTTGCAAAAACATTTCCCTGTGAATTGAAAATATTCGACACATTCTCAACAAATTATATTTTACCGAGAGCAAAATAACGCTGCCATTGTTCAAAGGAAACGCGGCTTGAGGATAAAACAGAACGCGGTCGTGAAGCTCTTTCGGGTAGCCGTCAGATTCACTGAAATTTTATAGAGTTTCATTGACCATCCTGTGAACCAACGTGAAAGTAACACCGTCAAAAGTGTAGCCATAAATTGTTCTCTCAACGAAAAGAAGGATTTTTCCGTTGGAAGAAACGGTGGCGTTGACAAATTGCGGTCCTCGAGGGAATACCTGAAAAAATTTGATGAAGATAGGCTGATGAAACCATTCTGACCGATTGAATAGACTTTCCTTCGTCGACAAACTTTCGGTTGCGCAGCGTCCAAACTTTGTTGTCGCGAAAAAGAAGCCATTCTTGATCGTTGACTACGAAAACACTTTTCTAATCTTCTAAACTACAAAAAAAAAACCTGCGACGACAGAATCGACGAGTTTTGGGCATTTTGAAGGTCTTCCTTGGGTTTCTGCTGTTGTTTGCACGTCCTGCCCTAGTCCTGAAAGTCAGTAAAATATGTTCTAATCATAGGTTCGAAATCTATAATTAGTTCTCGTTTGCTCTCTAGGTTGGTAGAAATCAAACCGAAATGGAGGAACATGAGGATTAGGGCTGAAGGAAGCAGCATCATGTGAAGGAAGTCACATATGCTTTTGAAAAATCGAAAGAAACGAAGAAAAAAAGCGCAGGGCTGAGCGATGGGAATAAACTAAACTTTTGAGCTTGAACAGCTCACAGTGAGCTCACCGAGTAGTCGCAAGTTTATTTTGAAACCATATTGAAAATAACCGACTTAATTTTTGGAGATACTAGTATTTTTAATTCCGAAAAAAGTGATTTGAAATAAAAACCAACAATAATTAATTTTCTGATTTTTTCAATCGAATTTCGACGAAAGCTTTTTGCGAAGAAAATAGAAAGTAATGCCGTGTTCAAAGTGATTCCGCGAAATTCAAAATAGCTGTCAGAGAAAAGAGAAAGATAACTAAATTTTGGAGGGTCAGAGACCATTTTGCATTTCGCGGAAATTACTTTGAACACGGCATAAAGAAATAGGCACGCTTGAAAAGTCGGCCGGTTTTTTATAATGACTATTCTTTCAAGTTTTGAAAGTTTGAAAAGGTATTTTTTACAGTTGTAAGGTTTCAATGGTTTAAAAGTATATACACATTGCTCTATAATATGAAAAATATTCGAAATCTGATTTTCAAAAGTCTTATCATTAACTTTTCAAAATTTTTTTCTTGAAAAAAAAGTCAGAAATGACTCATCGGGAATTTTCTAGCGAAATGAAAAATTTTTTAAGTCGCAATTGGGAAAATCACCGACCCTTAGTCTGAAGGTTAAAGGCTTCAGATCATACGGCCGGAAGTTCAGTGAGAGAAATCACTCAAAACAAAAAAAACCATAAAGTCGACGAATGGCAAGTCTGTCGGTATTCGGTACACCATCAAGTGTTCCAAAGGGCAGAAGAGCCGGCTTGAAAATGGGGTGCATTATGGATCTTCAAGTTATTCGAATGAGTTATCCAGAGAATAATCTCAAAATGAACCCTCTGTAGAAGTTGTGCGACAGACCAAGCGTATGACCAATCTCATGGAGCAACGTATGGAATAAGGATATGCCTCTCTGCAAAGAATTCAGACAGGGAGGTTCATATGCTGCAACCATTACCAGCAAATGATCGCGATAGGCCCATAACTGGTTCTTGTCCAAATAAATTCGGCTTTTGATAGGCTTTGATCCACTCGCAGCAACTGAATTTTTTGTGTTTTGGCTCGATAAAATGAAAATAATCTATTTTCGTTTTTCAAAGATTGAAGGCAGATGGCCGTAAACACGAGGTCTATAAAGCTCGAAGTAAACCTCGGTCAAATTTAGTATACGGTGTTTTTTGTAGAATAAAGAAACTAGCTGGCGCGGAATGGTTAATTTTCATCAAATCTAGAAAATTGTAAAACTCAGAGCGAAAAAGGCTTTTTTTATCCTCGAGAGGAACTAATTTGATCCGTCCGCTGTGATTTTTCGGGAGAATAACAATTGAAAAGCCCAAAAAGGTTGTAATTTGCAATAATGTCTCTTTTCGACGCACTATTCAACAGATTGTTCGGCGCGTCTTCGAAGGAAATGACGACGTCGGCTTTATTTTCGTCGTGGACCTCGTTGAACACGATGCCCGTTGCGATTCGCCATTTTTCGAACGCCTCGACACTCGCTCCTCTGTGTGGTTCTCTCAGTTGGAACCCAAAAAAGGCAGCGAAAACCTGACTTGCGCCGCCGTCAGGGTCACCGGCATCGAAGTGACGTTCCAAGTCAAAATCTTTTTCGACCACAAATCGCTCTTTTTCAGAGCTGAAAAGAAAGTATAATTTTTGAATTGCAGATTCGTCGTAAAAGATCAAAATACAATGAGTTATTTCACCTGGAATCATTTCTCCCTTGGAGAGGTCAGCATTCGCGCAGCGATACTCGTTCATTTTGACGACCGTTGGGACGTCGACGACGCCGGACGGGTACATGAGAAACGACGCTTGGAATCGCCTGAAAGTCCCAGGAGTTTTGTTGAAAAATAATTCCTCTTGAGTTTACTGTAAAGCGTCTTGAAAGTCCTGCTTGGTGAGTTCTGAAGTTTTCGTGCTGATTTGTTTCGACTTGCTGGGCGCGAAATAGCCAAACTTCCACAAATATCTCTACAAATTAAAGGATTGACAGATATATGGCGCTTACTTCGAAAAATTATTTTGATTTCTCATAAATTAGAACTTAAAAAGATCCATAGCGGGGGCGCTCACTTTCCTTCTGCAAATTAAGCCTAGAATAACTTTCCCATCAAAGAAAAATAACTTTTACATTCACATTTTGTGAATCTACGGACATTTTTATCCCAAAGATAAAGCACCTGAGCTTCATCTTCCAGCTGTTGCTGGATGTTGGAAGACGCGATTTCGCCACTGATGCCGGGGATTCCGGCTCGAACGGCGGTGACCAAAAGCAGACCCAAAACGGCCGTCATTTCAGGGACAATCGAAGACGCAGTAAAGTTGGACGAGAATCACGACAAATTGTTTTGTATTTTCGCGGCGTCGGCCATTTGGCGAGAAAAAATCCATCGAGAGGTCGTTCGCTGTAAAGACGATTCAGATGATGAGTCAAAATATGAGCTCGAAATGGTAGCAGAACGGTTCTGCCAGAACCACGAAAGCAAGAAAATTGAGCGAAGTCGCGACATTCAAACCAGTAAAATCTCTTTTAACAAGAGAATGTAATTTTAAGTCTTTCAACTTCATCTTACAACAATCATAACTTTAAGAAAATGATTTTGATGGTCTGAAACCGATCTTACAACTCTGAGACAGCACCAAAGTTTTGTGCGCTACAAATACCATTCAAGGAATCGATTGAAAGCAAATTATTACAATAAAATGCAACTTTGTTTCAGATGATTGATGAACTGGACAAAATGATAATGTGCAGATTCGTTGGCAGCGATACCGGACGCACTGATAACATGGCAGGAGCTGCCGTTACGTGTTTTGTCGCACTTCCACAATCGTCGATTCCAGCGTCGTTTAAAATTTATAACCTCTTTTTAACTTTTTGTCTTCGGTGGCGCGAAAAAAAACACGAAGACAAATTGGAACATTTCTTGAATACGTTTTGTATGCAGATATGGATGAGAAGCATTTCGACTACGACGATGAAGAATCAGTGGACAACGTCGATTGGCATCAAAAGTCTAAAAATGCTCGTTTCTCGGAATTCTAAAATCTGCTGCTTAAGATGGAGAAGCATGCTTTTTCAAGTTGTTCTTTCATTGATTGTGATTGGAGCTTGTACGGGTGCTCTTGTGTGGTCTTTCATCCAAGGTAATTCGATAAACTATAGATTTTCAAAAGATGAGTGTTCCAGGAGAATCTGGAGAAAGTCACGTCGACCACTCGCGTGACGCTTCCAAGAACTTTTCAATTTTCGTCGACCAGTACACGGAGAAAGACGGCGTTTACAGGGTGTCTTATCGACCTCCAGATGGCGACCATGTCGGCGTCGCGGTTTGCTGTTTCCCATTTTCCGTCAACATGTCCAGCTACAGAGAACAGTAGAGTATCAGTCTTTCTGGATTCAAAGCGACAAAAATCATTCCCTCGTCCATCAAATTTCGCCCAATCTAACTATTTTTGCCTTTTCCACTCATGCGTATTGGGTCAACGGCGAAGGACAGCAAAAGGCAAGGTTTCAAAAAAAGATTATTCTGAAATTATGATCAGAAATGCGAGCTTGACACGAATACCAACTACGCGTCCTACATCAAACGTCTCGGTATGACTTCTCTAGTTCGACATCACTCTGAAATCGTTAGTTTTTCCACGTAAGAAAATCTTGAATTTTCAAATTATGAACTTGACAGGAACAAACACATAACTTCGATCGGGTCTTCATTTATCAGGGTAATCCTGACGAAGTCGAAGTCATAGACGTCCGGCAAACGGCCTTCCTCGTGACAACCTACGCAGATGCTCATACTGGTTAGTAAATCATGATTTATAGAATTTATTATAATCTGGATGACCTTGTTCTATTTGTAAATTTTTCAGGTGTACTTCTGGGCTGGGATACATACTTCGCAGCCGATGGCAATAGTACTGACCTTATTTATGAGCTTTCTTATGAATATGAAGAAATGGTTCCTCACTCACCTGATCCTATGTGGTTTAATCCACCAAAAGAATGTTCTCCGTAATCTTTTATTGTTACATTCTTGTATAGCTAAATATTAATTTTGTTTTTCATCTTGTTTCGCAAAAAAAAAAACAATTAAAAATTCCAGACATGTTATGGTGTTTTTGGGGATATTTTGAAAAAAAACCTTTTTCGTTGAGAAATGTATATTTAAACTGCATACACCCAGTTTTACGGACGAGGTCGCAGCGAGAGAAACGCTATATCGCGGGGGAGCCGCGAGCTATATCGCTCGCCTCTCGGCGCAAGGTCGCTCACATCTCGCTGCTATGTCGCTCTTTCAAAAAAATTTTTTTAGCTCGATTGGGCTTTTTCTTGATTTGCTTTCTATGCTTCATACTTTTTATTGGGTTGTACATGATAACATATCGGTCTTTATCAACCTTCTTCACTTTTTTTATTTAATATAAACAATATATTTAAATGAAAAACTTGAGAGCATTAAAGAAATTTCCAAATAATTGATGATACATTTTCGAATTCGAAGTAAACTGAAAGTATGTACAAATCTGAAGAAGATTGAATTGAGGCGAAAGAGTGAAGCTTCAAGTAAGAATAAAAAAAGGACAATATGAGGAAAAAAACATGTGTATCGTTTATTTTTTTCATAGGAAAAATGTGACTAGGAAAAGAGTAGTTTCAATAAAAAAACAGAAAAAGTAAACCGATTGTAAGCTCGTAGATGATCTTTTAAAAGTTCAAATTAGATAAAGGAGGGAGGCTCGAAATGAAAAATGAAAGAAGTTTTTGAAAAAAAGAAAATTAAGCTAAACAATCAGATTGACCCTAAGTTCCCTTAAAAATGTTACTGTAAGCTTTGACTTGATAGTTTTCGGCATATCCTTCATTTGCTGCGTCAAGAACTTTTCTAAATGATAAAACCGGTAAAAAAGAGAAATACTGAAAAAAGTCCAACCTTGAATAAGAGAATAACTCACAGGAGCGACTGTATCAAGACAGCAGTTCGTGCTTTCTCGAAATCATGCCTCATTTCTTCTTTTCCTTACCCATCGACGCCAAAGTGCAAATCATATCTTCAAGCAAAAAAATGGATATACTGTTTCAAAAATAGTTTACCAAGAATCTTATTGATTGTATCCAAAAGCAAAGTTTCGGTGCCATCTCCCACGGATCTTTCTTGACTTTTTATTGATCGAAAAAAAATGTTAGATGTTTTTTTGAAGTACTAATAACCTGAAATTATTGGTTAAAACATGAAAAAATACGAAAAAAAGGACTTTCAAATTCAAGAAAGGTGTGCAGTGCCGTCAAAATATATACAAAAAAACGCTTTTTTTAAATCACAACTTTCTTTAATGGGATTTCACCCTTTTGAAACTCTCTGGAAATATGATGACTGTTGATTGTAACACCGTGGTGAAAACTTAGAAACACAGCTGAAAAAAAGTTTCAGAAAGATTGAGCTCTATACGAGGAAGTTGTGAGCGAAAAAAATATTTTTTTCCTCTTCTGACGGTACTGTATGAGCGTTACATTAGTTGTAAAATTAACATTTTAGAAATATTAAGTGAAAAAAATAGACATAAAAATCAGAGAGAATATAACACACGAAAAAAATTAAACAATTCAAGTAAAATTTTGATGGCACGTAAATAGTGACCAATCGATAATCCGCGACCTCGCGCCGATATCGCGCCGGGAGTTTGCTAGAGCTGAGCGAGATGGCAGCGAGATATGTCGCTGCTATGTCGCGCCACTCTCGCTGCGATATAGTCCACGAAACTGGGTGTAGATAAAAGAAATAAAAATGAGACCTCTCCCGTAAATCGCGGAGACTACTATCGATGGAGCGCACAATGTAAGAGAAAGATCCTTTAGAGGCCACTTGACATTTATTTTTCTGACGCTTGGAAATTTTTTTTTCGAATTTGCCTTTTTTGAAAGCTTTACTATTGTTTTCTTTTTTTAGAACAACAGTCCAGAAGCCTTGATATCATATTATCGAATTGTCTTTTTTTCTTAAATATATTTTCGAAAATTTATTGCGTTTTTTTCCTTGAGGTTTTTTTACTTGAAATAAATTTCTTCTCCAGTTTATAGTTCCACTTAAAAAAAATTTCATCTGGATCTCAGTTCTAACGGTCTGAATCGAGAAAAGAAAACTTTGAATCTTTTCTTGCTGTAGGACGCCTTCATTCAATATTTGATTTTCACTTCACGCTCGTATTTTGAGAAGTGACAAACTATTTTCAGTATGGATGATGAACTAGAAGATTTTTATGAGAACATTGTAACGTGTTTCAATTGCACTCTGCAAATACAGAAGTTCGTGCACATTAGATGCCAAGAATGCGACGTCGACACTTGTCTGCCGGTAAGAATTTAATAAAAACCACATTTCGTAGCCGTCTCACCAACGTTGAACGAGTTTATTTCCAAATTATCGAAAAAATCAGGTTTTTGATTTGAAAAGATCAGTTTGGATCGATCGAATGATTTTTTTTAAATTTGGCTGAAAACTCTTCTTCTTTTTTCAGTGCTTCCAGTTTGGAGCGGAGAGCGGCGCCCACAAACGTGGCCACAATTATTTGGTTGTGAATCCTTCGGGAAAGCCGACGCACAACGGCGGCTGGAGCTACATTGAAGAGCAGAAGCTTTTGTCGACCATGCACCGTTTCAAAATGGGCAATTGGGGCGAGATCGTCGAGAACATGGAGTCGAAGCGACGGTCGGCTAGCGAGGCCCAGGAGTACTTCGACAAGGTTTTCGTTCGCGGCTGGATGGGACAGTTCGCGATTCGCGAGAACGACTGGCCACTCATCAAGCATCGGATGGTCGCCAACAAAACGCTGATGGAACTCGCGTCGCCTGAAGCCGACTCGATCCTGCGACTGCTCGCCATCCGCGACGCTCTCCGAAACTACAACGGCTACATTTCCGACGACGACGCCAATCTTGAGCGCAAGGTGCAGAACATCTTGGAAAAGCACTTGGAAAAGTTTTTCTTTTGTCCATCTCCTGGCCATCATACCTATTTTCAGGTGCATTCAGGGTGAAATCACGGTGGCCTACCAGCACCCAAAAGTTTGGCCGAAAACAGTTGTGGAAACATTGAGTGATGATGATCTCGACGACAGCGACTTCGAGCACGCAACGAAGAGCACGAAGCGTGGAAAAACGGTTTGTTTTAAGTCCTGGGTGATGGAAAGGCGAAATTTTTCAGCAGGCTTCTCTGGGAGAGCAAACGGGCGGTCTTGAAGTCGAGTTTGACAGCGAGGACGAAACTTTGAGGAGGAAGGTGAATTCTTTTCGAAAATAGTTAACAATAAGTTTTCACGAAACGGTTTTCGGTTTTTGATGCTGATTATTGGACTGTGTTGAATGATTAATTTTTACAAAAATCACTAACGCCATATTTTGAAGCTCTTTTGAGATCAAGGTCATTGATCACGCATCATAATATTTTTCGGCTAAAATATCTTTTTACAATATTTCGAATAAACAATCTAAAAACCAATGCTAAATGGTATATACGAAGTAAAGTTGAATATTTTTTTCTTGCAGTTCAGGATGAAGAACGGTATCTTATCTGTCTAATAATTGTATATAAATTTGAATTTCAAGTTGTTTTTCCAACTCATTCAGTCAATTTCCAGAGTGAAAAACAGCGAAAGGAGACACCAAGGAGTTCGAAAATGTCAACACGGACAAAAACGACTCCGAAGAGCAAGGAAAAGTACAATCGCATTGAACGGGCCTGCAGTAGCAGTGAAGACGAAGACACTACGAATAATGGAGACGAAATGGACGACGGAGTCCAGAAGAGCGAAGTCGACGGCGACGACAGCTCTGAGCAGGCCGAGGAGTCCGACGTCAGCGAATCCGATGAATGCACGCCGCCACTCAGCGCTTCGAAAAGCTCGCGCAACGCAGGGAGACATGATCGAAAGAAAAACAGCAAGAGGCGACGCCCCAGGAAAGTCTTGACCAAAAAGCAGCGGCGACTGGTCGACTATCGGAGGAAAATGGCCAGGAAGATTCGAAAACGCGACTTGGGCCTCGACGCCATCAACAACCTGTGTCCGAAGTCCGTTATTCAAGAGCTGCGCGACGAATTCCCAAACCTCGCGTTACAGGAGAAAGGGTCGCTGAAGGAACGGCCCAAGATGCGACAGGACGACCTCAAGTTCCTGGCTTACAACGTCGACCGCGAAGAGTTTGAGTACGAATGGTTCAACGAAGCCGAACAGCTCATCAGTCGTCTCAGCATCAATCCCACAACCGAGAAAGACGAAATCCTCGACATCGAGAACGACATCAAGTTCGTGAGGATACAACACTACATCCGTATCCTAAGCGCTCGGAAAGCCAAGAAGCGAGCCATCGTAGAACACGACAAGATCACGGAGTTTTTCAACTTCATTCGTACGATGCTCAGTTCCAAAGGTCGCACGATGGCTGAGGTCATCGGAGAAAGGTCCAAAGTCGAAGCCTTGCTGGCCAGGATGCAGCAGTTCCTCACCAAAGAGGAGCACAAGGAGTTCACAGAGACTCTCGACCGCCTCGAGTTGCTCACAGAGAACATTTCGCGTCTGCAGGAACTGCAAAGAAATGGCGAAACAACTCTGAAAAACTACACTCCCGTCATTAACAGTTCGATGAAACCAAAGAGGAGAAAGTCGAAACACGAGAACGAACAGCGAAGAAAAGCTGATCTCCGTTGGCAGGCATTCAAAAGACTTCATTTGAAGGAATAGCTTCAAGTAAAGTATTGTGTTTGTAAAAAAAAAATCAATGTACAAGCTGTCCATTCTTTGTAATTCGTTTATGCGCATTCCAATAAAACGATTCATGATGAGACATAATTGGCGAGAAGATTACATTAGGGAAATATTTATCCCGCTTCGTACACAAAAATAAATATGACTCGAAGAAAGAAATTAGTTCTTGGTGAGTATTTCACGCGCATTCTCAGCGACAATGTTCTCCATCGAAGTTACGTCCTTTCTCCAGGCAGTGATTCTGGAGGCCATAGTCAGGATCTGTAAGAATTTCCGGGCTTCAATGTTCATTTAACATTTCTCAGCATACTTAGGTTTCTAAATCTAATAAAAAACGTTCAGTTAGTGATGAACTGCTGATCGCCCAAAAAGGTTTCAATAAGCTATTTGTCGAAAAATATTTTATTGTTGAAATACCAACACCTTTTTGCACAGGATACCTGAGCTTATAAATATTTTACATTTATTTCAAAAAAAAAATTGTCCTTCAAAAATATCTTCTTCGGAATTAATGATGCCGTGATAAATTTTTTTAGAAAAAAACAGAAAAACTATGAGAAAAATTTTTTTCTGAACAGTTTCATGTTTCAAATAAAGATTTTATGAGGAAAAAAAAAAATAGATTTTGGTTCTAATATCACCGCAAATCAACTATAAAAATATGATTCAAACAAGAATTTGCAAGCAGCTTTGGACCTTTCAATCCAGTTCAGAAATTTAAAAATTTTATCCCCAAGTTACCACGTTGAAATGAGCGTTTGTGGCGGGCTGCACTATATAATTGTACGAAAATTCTTGCTTCATAAAGGTTTTTTTTCTTGAAATGTTCAAACGAGGCTCTCAAAACGTCTAAAGGCCAACCTGCTGTGCATCCAGAACCCGCGGCTGAACCCAAGTTATTTGAACAATTTGTTCAACTTGATCAATCGCTCCTTGGACAAGTCCTTTGCTCAACGCTTTCATCACCAAAAACTCAACCTGATGAATCAAAAAAAATTGGGGGAAACTGAAATTTATAAAAACCTCGCTGACATTAACTTGACACTTGGCTGCAATTTCTTTGAATGAAACGTTCCGAGCTTTAGATGGACGTGCGAGAGCAATCTAACAAAGCAACTTTCACTGATCAGAACAGGGGAATAAACCTCCATGATCGCAAGAAGACGAATTTTTCCAATGAGAAACTCTTTCTGTTTTTTGAGATCGTCCCAACCGCTCCATTGAGGCTCCAAAGCGTAGAACTTGGTCAGATCGCCGCTGTTGAACGCAAGGAGAACCTTGAATAAAAAAGAAAAAGACCATTTCGAATTTTTTTTTTGCCTTACATCCGTGATCCAACGTTCGCTTGAACCGTCAAGTGACTTCAGAATAGGATGGGCGAGCTAAACTCAATTTTGAAATAAAAACTTCAGGGAAGTAAAATTTGTAAAGAAGTCGAGATTGATTTTTAAAATACCCTTCTCAAAACTTAAAGAAATTTATAATAGGCATTCATCATTTAAATTTGTTGATGTCATTTCGCGATTTTTTTCACAAGAAGAAATATTCGGAACCTCTATTCCTGATGAAAAACGGAACATTGACCTTCTCGCTCGTTCAACTTTTTCATACAAAAACTTACCAGCTCTCCGAAATTGTATATGTTCTCGCCGAGAAGAGCGGCAAAGCCAACCAAAACAGCCTGACAGTGTCTCTCTTCTTTGGTAAGGATATTAGTGTCTTCGACTCCGAGGTATCGCAAAGCCTCGCGGTAGTACCCGGCGAAATCCCCGAGTTCACGCAGATACAGAGAAGAGACCTGCAGAGAAACTACGTGAGAAGAAAAAATAACCTTGGTACCTTGTAGAAAGGCGCGTGGACTTCGGTGACGCCAACAAGGCTTTCAACTTCTTTCTGCGTAGAGTCGATAAGCTCCTATAAAGTGAATCCGATTAAACTATACCTTCTCAAATACAATTCTCAAGAGGAAAATCTTAAATAAGTTATTCACTGAAAAAAAACTGACCCGAATGAGCTTAATATCAACAATTTGGTCATTTTGATCCTTGTGCAGAAGTCGAAGTTCAATCTGACCAGTGTGTAGACGAGCTATGGCCACCTATTTTTTTTTTCATTTACACAAAAACGCATTTGTTTAATCTGGAAATTACCTTGTCTTTTGTAACCGCCTTCTCAATCTTGCTCAAAAAAATCATAGGCACCTTGCTTGTCTTAAACTTTTTAATTTAATTCTTGAAATTTATAGATTTATAAAAAAATACCTTTTATTATAAATGTACTTGGCGATTGGTATAGATATTTCGGCTAACTGTAAAGTGTTGATTCGGTGCTCAAACTCCGAGATAAAACTGAGATGGAGACATTTTGATAAATAAAAATTTTCAGCACCCACTTTTCATAAAATTCTTGAAGATTTAGCTTTGAAACAAAGGCCGGTTTTGCAAGCAAAGCTCGCACAGCAGTTGTCAGTTGATGCCAAAGTCTAAAAACTTTATTAAGTTATAACTTTGAAACAAAAATCTCACTTTTTAGAATAAAGATCCTGAAGCTCTTTCCAGTTGTCAGCTACGTCTCCTTTGGCTGAATTTCTATTTTGGAGCAGATAACTCTCAACCTTTTCAGTCATTTTCTGAATTTTAATAGATTATTACAGTTAGTGAAAGCTGAATAAAAGTAAAAACATCTGAAAATGAATTTCAAAATCATCATCTTAATCGTGCACGCGTTGCAGAAAGAGTGTGCACATCCTGCAGATGAGAAACCTTTAAATTTTTCGGAAAAAACTTCTTCGGTCAGTTGGCTGGGCTTGCGGGACGATTTTGTTCTTTCAAGTGGAAACTGAATAGAAGCTAAGATCACTTAAGTATAAACTAAGCGCCGCCGGATCTCTCGAGACACTGGGAAAAAACCGAAACTACATCACTCGGGTTTCTGAATTAATTAGTACATTCTGTTAATGTAATTTCTTGTGTGAAACATTCTAGCTCGTTTATTTGAAAGAAAGTTTATTATTTATATAAACATTAGCCGCTTGAGGCATAATCGGAACGAAAAGCCACCTTTGGAAAGTTCTGCACGCGTTAGAATCTGTTATTTAGACACTTAGACACACATCAATGAAAATTTATTTCGCTTTCTGCACGAGATTTATTTTAAAACCATTTCAACCTATGGTAGATGAACCGTTATTTACACTTTCAAATTAAAGATCGATTATCTTATCATATTCTCCAAGAAAGATAAGAGCTCCTCTTACCTACATAGAGAAGTGTTTTTGCCCCTTGCCTTGTATGTCTAATTTAGAATTTTAATGTTTCTCAGAACTCCGCTTTACACTTCATTCATTGTCCTTGGCCTGAGGAAAATGAAAAACAGGGGGCGGAACTTGTTTTACCTCACTCTTGCTCGCAATTGCAACTTCTACTGTCTCCTCTCATGACGTCTCCTGAATTGATTGGTCCTTCCGTCGCTCACTTTTTTGGTTTATTAATTAGGATCGTTCAAATTAACTTCTCAATTTAGAACGACGAGCTTCTTTGTTTGATCCTCCGCCACCGCCGCCGTCATTAATGAGTATCGCCGCACAGCCTTCTGAAGATGTGCCGAGAACATTTTCTGCATTCCATGCCAGAACCTCTGCCTTAGAGGTATTGATTAAATATTTATTTGAAAAATGTCTTCATTACTGAAATTTCTGTCCTTGCAGACTTTAGAAGGCGTGGACCTTTCTGGGAAAACATTTTTCATCACTGGAACAACATCTGGGATCGGCACGGAGACTACACGAGCTCTTGCTCTAAAAGGAGCTCATGTGGTTATGGCAAATCGCAACATTCTTCTCTCGGAGGAGCTCAAAAAGAAGATTCTCGCAGAGAAGGTTTTTTTTATAGTTTTGTAAACGTGCTAGTCATCTCTCTTGACATCAAACGTATAAGTAGTAGAAATATTATTCAAGGCTGACGCGAAGATTGACCTCATCACCTGCGACCTCTCCTCGATGCAGTCTGTCCAGGCGGCGGCGAATGAGTTTCTGGAAAAACACTGGTCCGTTGGTTTGATTTATTTCCGAAACAACAAGAAGATGGATTAATTATCGATTTTCAGGCCGCTGCATGGACTTATTCTCAACGCCGGCGTTTTCGGACCTCCAACGCCGACGACTTTCGACGGATTCGAGGCGACGTTTGGAGTCAACCATCTGGCACAGTACCTCCTGCTCACCATGCTGCTTCCGATCCTGAGACAGACCGAGTCCTCGCGAGTCGTCTTTGTCTCGTCAACATCCAGCAGTCATACTGGAGTAAATTTCTTTGTTTTTATGTAAAATCACTAAACATTTTTCTTTGAATATTTCTCAAGAAACTAGAAGGCTAGATTTTCAATAATTCTGAGTTTGATAAATGGATAGCACTACACTAATTGATTATGAATAGATGCTCAAAGTCAAACCTCAAAAAAGGAAAAGTGTGATTTTTTTTTCAGCTGAAAGCGTCTCAATCTTTGGAGGAAAAGCTGGATACTCTCACCTGTAAAAACGGCGCTTCTACTAACTCTTATAGGTGGGAAAAGTTGAGAGCAAAAAAAACAATATATCTAAGCAGTAGTTCAGATACCCTCCAGCAAGTTGAAAAAGTTTTAAATGGGATTTTTTAATGACCTAAAAAGTATTTTCGCACGCACAGTACTCACTTTTCATTCGACTTTGTGTTTTGGTCTCTCAGGATTCACTCAAAGTTTAATCATTGATCAACTTTCCAGACTTTATGCCTATTCGAAAATGTGCAACGTGCTAACCGCTTTCAAACTGGCGCGCGAAGAGGAAAAGAATGGAATCTCTGTGTACGCCCTTCATCCAGGGTCCATGATCGCCACAGGTTTTGTTGATTTTTATCTCTGGTCTTCTAGCATTCCGACTTCCGATATTTTTTTATTTGGAAAATAATGGTCTTCGGATCGTTCTTCGTTCTGAGACCTCAAGGAAACAGTGGGAAGATTAATTACGTTGGATAAGAGAACCTGGCGAAAAGAACGGGAACCAAAACGGGCGCTTCAGATATTTCTCGAAGCTATGGGTTTCTGAGCAAGATCCTGACGACGGTCACCAAACCTTTCACCAAGAACCTGGAGCAAGGAGCAGCGACCACCGTCTACTGTGCATCTTCTCCGGAACTTGACAATGTCAGTCTCCCTCGAAAGTTGGCTTTCCCAACTGAAAAAGAATGTTCAGTATTCTGGGAAGTTCTGGGTGTCGTGCAAAGAGGACGAGAAGTCTCTGGACGTGAACATCGCTCGAGATGAGGAGCTACAGGACGCTCTCTGGGCTCGCTCAGAGTCTCTTGTCGAGAAGTGGCGCAACTCTCAGAAACCGATTTGCACTATCGATTATTGATTTCACCGTTTTTACCTAACAAACGTCGTTTAGTTTCTTCAAATTGTGCCTTTTTCGCTTCTTTCCATGACTTAAACACGTCTATGGGTTTTTGAAACGTCTAACATTCATTGCTGACTTCGTCATCTTGGCTCCTTCGTTACGGTTTCTCTAATTTCGATAGTTTCTCAATAAAGCCAAATGACACGCATTCTGACTCGATAATGCAGAATTGCTATTTTCGGTTTCGAGGTCGTTGTAACAAACAATCCCGGCCAGATTTTATCTCGACAAGTCAAGGCTATTTTTCTTCGGCGCTTCAGAAAGAACTTTGAAAATTTTGGCAATTCTTAAAATCCAGAGATCCCTAATACATCAAGAACGAATCCAAACAGACATCTGAGAAAACGGCGAGATAAGCGGCGTCCCGAGACGAAATAGGCTTTCATCCAAAGTCCCTCGTCGGCAGGTTTTTGATTGGCGTAACTTGTGACATTTCGCCTTTAATGGGCTGCAAAGCAACTGTCGTCTCGACTGGATATTGCTCAGGTTAGATACATATGGTTGGGTGATGCGACGTGCCAGAGCTTGTGAGTTTGCAAGTTCTTGACTTTTGAAAATTCAGCTGTGAATGCTGTATCGAACAGTTGCAAAAGTTGTATAAAGGAAGAAAAATATTAAGATTAAGTCTAAATTCTACTACGTATGTTTGCAAAAGTTGTGCCCTGAAATTAATTCTTAGATATTTTGTAACTTTTTCATTGTTAATCGAAGTTTTTTCTTCACGACAAAAGAGGAAAGAAAGACATAATCATTACTTTGAGTGAAAAGTTCAACATCGGTACTTATGTGGGAATAAAACTGCGTAATTTGAAGGAAAGATCAAAGACGCAGTATCTGAATTTTAAAGCATGTTTGAGAGAAACTTGAGGTTCCTCTCTACGCCTTAAATATTTTTCTTGAAGACACTACGTTTTTCATAGATTTTTAGAGATAATTTCAAGAAAGTAGTTGTCCGGATTTGAAAAATGACCTTGATGAATTATTGACATTTTTGCTGGTTTAGAAAGAGTAAGCTTTGAGTCTTTTAAGTTCCTTGAAAGTTTGTCAATAAAATTGGAGCGTTTTCAGGCTTTACATTTGAACAAATTCTTCCGGAATGACGCAAAACTTTTGCACCGTAGTGGAATTCTTGTCGGGAGACGATCTTGGGTCGACACGACCCATCGTGACGCGAAATACCCGTTTCTGGACGGCTACATTGTTTTTTCGGCACTCGCTCACTTCATTGGCAACCGGACCGAACGAGAAGCACATGTGAAGAGATGCTTAACCCGAGAGGGGGCGGTCCCCGACGGCTACCTTGTTGAATAAGCCAATTGCCCACGGAGATCTTTCTGAGACTTTGTTCTCCTCAGGGCCTACGGTAATCGGCGTCACCTGATGACGCTCTCGCGGATCGTCGCGACTGTGGCGCTGCTCGGCGCCGTCGCCGACGCCTGTCTCGCCACTCAGCCTGGCGACACAGTAACTACTACTCCCAGTGGCGCCGTTACCACGGTTTCCACTGCTACCACTGCAGCTCCTCAAGGTCAGATCCATTTATTACGTTTGAATTTACTTCTGAAGTAATCTTTTTTTTCTTTCACAAAGCACTACATTCAAAACTTTTCTACACAATTTCTCATTTTGAGGTAGCCACAAGAGATCGAAACTTTTAAATCTAGGACCTTTTTGAAACCGTTCTCAAATCTTTATTTTTAGCTCAATGTGCATCTCTTGAAGTTGTTAAAAATGAAAATGAATTTATCATTCTTGTACCTTATGTGATTTTTGTGAGAAGCATCTTGAAATTGTTTTTTACAAGAGCTTTTACGACTAGAAAAGATAAAATAAAGCTGAGAAAGTAAAAAGAATTTTCGCAATGACAACTGCGGATTTCTAATATTACTCTCTTGGACCGGTAGCACAAGCTAAACACGCCTTGGACGTTTCTGAGCATTCCTAGTGATCCCTTTAGCGACGTCAGCTCTCCTAAGTGCTTTGCCAATTTCCTTCAATTTTTCTCTCTTCCATTGGGAGTTCGACTTTTTAAAGAATGAAAATTCCAGTTTTATAACGTTTCGTATTTGCGAGGTTCAATTAATCTCTAATTGAGAGCAAGTGACTACAGAGATATATTAATTGTGTTGACCACGTTTAAGTAAAATTTAAATTGATATATTCCTTTGAGGGTGATTTCCGTCCATGTTTTTTGGAAAAAACTTGTTGAATTGAGTTCAATTTTTTCAATTTTTTGTGGAATCAAAATAGCAGATAAATACTGAATACCTGAAACAATTATACTTTTAACGCTGTAAAGTTCGAACTCAATCTCCAGGTTGTCAAGCGTGTGCACAGGGAGACGTCGAATTCACGCAAGGCGACGGCGGCATCAATATCAACACGATGGGAACGTTGGTGGAAGGCTTTCGAGCCGAGTCTGACTCTTTGTCTGCAGGTTCGGAAGCGACCCGACCTCCGGATGCCTCAGTCTGACCGCGAGTTGCACCGCCGACGTAGGTTTCAACGCCTTCATGCAGTTCAACGGAAACCAAGGAGGTCCAGCCGAGAACATGAACGCCGGCAGGGTATGATTCCTACTTCATCGAGGCTTCTTTTTCGAGCAACAAGAAATTTTCCCGGGTTCAAAAAGTTTGAAATAGTATCTCTTTTGGTGAAAGAAAATTTTTGAAGTTTTTTTTAAGAAGGCGAAATATTTTTCATGGACTTGAAAACAAAAAGTTACTTCGTGAAACTCCAAGCATCAAAAATTCTCCCTCCGAGTACGTAATCCGAAACTGAGCTTACTGGGAGATTTTCTAAGGCAAACATCGCAAATCTGGTTCAAAATTGGCAATCACTTAGGAACGCCAGTGATTCCTATAGAGTTAGAAGAAAAAATAGCCTCTATAGGGAAAAATTTGTTGATTTCTTTGAAGTAAAGTATATCTTGATACATGATGAAACACAAAAAAACAAGAAATTACAAAATGTTTGGAGCATTTCTTCGAGTTTTTCCTAAAGGGTCTTCTATTTCTTTTCAGATTTGGAAGATAAAAAAGACAAACTTGATCGATTCATCCATTGTTGATATTTTTCATTCAAAAAAGCTAATTTATAGAATTTTTCGCATTTTCTTCTCGTTGAGTTTATAAAAATAGCCGACTAGAATGTCCCCTATAGAGGTCACTTTTGCAAGAATCAAAAAACATCAAAAAATTAAGAGCTATAGCCTATGGGGTACCGAAAAAAAAGGTCAAAATGTACGAGAATTGCTCAAAAACTGTTTTCTAACTAAATTATTTAAGAAAATATTTTTCTCGTCTTGCTTATGATAGGATATCATCTAAAGAAGGCAGATTCGAAAGTGTGAAGAAAAACTCCGTGAAAACGTTTCCTACAAATTCTCGCCTTTTTTCACAATACCCTATGGCACTTATTGGATCATTCTTTTTATTTTCGAGTATTCATTCCAAGAACTTCCTACCACAGGAAATTGAAACAGATTTGCGATGTTCGCCTCAGACAGTGTCCTAGTCAAGTAAATCTGCGGACTCTTGGTGTTTGAGATGAAGATCGGATTCAGACTGTGAGCGCGCAGCTGAACTGCATCGACGGGCAGTGGGTCTACATGAGCATGGGCATCTCCCGATTCGTCACGTCCGTCTCCTGCCAACAGGCTCCCGATGTATGAGCTCTGCCGTCGACCCTCTGGCGTCGTCGCCGCTCCGAGCGGTGTCAAGTTTATCCAGTTTTCCCCCACCTTAAAAGAATTTTTCCGAGTAACTCCTCGATAATTCTATTATTGTGGTCTCCTATCCATACTTTTTCCAAGAGATCGATTCCATTGTCGATTTATCAACGGCTTGATTGGTTTTTACACTTCATCGACCGTTTCGAGTGCTTATTTTGAATACCTGTCTGACCAGGTGACTGAGGTGCAAAATCAGCTTCTGAAAAATTTATTGAAGCGCAAGTTTTGATTAATACAATGCAATTAATAAGAACGGTTGATCTTTTTTTTTTGTTCTCCATTTTATCCTTTTAATATTTTTTCCTTTAAAATTCGACTTTAAAATTTCGGCTCTCAAGGTTTATTCTATCATTTTTACGATTTTCTGAAAATCTTGACAAACCAAGCATTTTTCTCGTTTTCATATACACGTTCATCTTGATATTTGATCGGAGTTGTGTAAAATTTAATTGAACCTTCAATTGAAACTCGTCTTTTTCCGATACATTGGTCCACATTTGGGTTGTGCGCCTCTGTCAAAATATCATCTATTTTGAAATCTTGTAACAAACATTCATTTTGAAATATTGATCTTTGAAGAAAACTCGCAGAAATTCAAAATTGTACAAGAAAAGTCTTTCATGCAATATATCAGTCGACGGTGCTCTCTTTTTTGTATTTTTTTATCGTTTTTCAGCGGTAATAAAAGATTTTTTTCTTACGAAGGTCTAAATTTGATTTCAATTGGGCAAAAAAGTCAGTATGTAGAAATTTTATGGCCTGAGAATTTTTGAAGAAAAAACGGAAAAAGTTCAAAAACAGTTCTGCCCATTGATGCAGCTTCTCTTGGACTGTTCTTTGAATTTTCCTTTGTGATTTCGCTTCCCTTCGTAGCTTTATCAGAGCGTGGATTGATCATGTGGGGAAAGAGCGAGTCGTCAGAGTTGCCAACGGAACATCAACACCACTCGGGACGTCTTCTCTGTTGGAATCGTCACAAAAAGCATCAGAAAAGCAAACAAGTACGAAAAAGAGACGTTTTCTGGCCACAGGAGTGTCCAAAAGACGTTTTTTGATGGGCCAAATTCGCCAAACGGACAGGGGGACCTGTGTAACCACTTCGTCGTTTTTCTGCCTCTTTTCTAAGTTTTGAAATTCCACTTTCCTTTTTTGGCGTTGTTCATTTGAAGCATGACTAACACGAACAAGCTGGTCAGTGTCCATTTTTCCGATTTTTTGGTGACGCATCTCGATAAAATTTTAATTGTGCGATTGACAAATAGCTCACTGTTCATCACAGTAATAATAATTCTCAGTTAAAACTGAAAAAAACACTGATAAGTCATTGGAACTAATATCCTTCAGATCTAATTATGTTCTATAAAAAGTATGTATGTATAAAAATGTCAAAAAAAAAGAAATGTTCTGCAAAATCGTCAGTCGGAACAAGAACACGAAGAAAATTCTTCCACAATTTATTTCGTTTTTCGGTCATTCTCCTTATCAATTGACTTTAAAAGTCGCCTTTTTAGATCACCCTAATGTCAAAGTTTGGCGAAGTTTTTGAGTCATTCTTTGAAATTCTATCTGACAAAAATTTGTCCAGAGTTTTCAAATTCGTCGAAACTCGTTCCGCCCCACGGTTGTCTTTAACAAAAAGGAAAATGCCTCTATAAGGGTCACCCGATCTTTTCATACCAGTTGAAGGAGGCGTTCTTCGGCTGCCGTCGCCATGAACGTCTGCGCCACCTTTTTGCTGCTTCTCTCGGTTCTTGCCGTCGACGCCAGGAGGTCTTTTTCTATTTTGATTTTTGTGTAATTGTTCATTTTTCTTATTTATATGTTAATTCGCTTCAAAACGCTTGGATTTTTCACAGAATGGCTTCAAGGTCTTTGAACTATAAGTCCAAAGATGGAGAGACCTGTGCTAGTTCACGTGAAGTAAACGCCACACAAATCAGTTATAATCTGACTTGCATTTTTCTTTTCACAAAATCGTAAAATAGGGAGCATGAAAAGAGTTCTAGATGTCTTTGCAGTAATTCAAGTTAACTTTCCTCTTTGATTTGTTTTACCAAATTTTAAGTAGATACATTTTATTATCAGATAAGCACCACGATAAGTATAATCGACTATTTCAATCCCATATAACTTTTGCGTTGTTCGAAATATATATTTCCCATTTTTCAGTAATTTCTAGTTGTATAGCAAGTTCCAATTTCATCTGAAGCGTGTTAATTACTTCTCCATTCTTTCTTTATAAAAATATATGAAACAAATTTGAACGCTCAACCATAAATTAGTTCGAAGAATCACTTTTCGGTCATATCTAGTGTACGAAAAAAAAAGACCTAACACTAAACAAAGGAGAAAATTGTTGGCGACCGCTCGTCGATTGGTTTCTCCTACCAAACAAAAAGAAATAGCGATCTGTGGCGATGCTTTTCTCATTCTCCCGACACTGTTGGAAAACACAAGAAACTTTTCTGTTGCAGGAAACGCCGATCAGCCTACTTTTCACGGCCTCAGCAGGACAGTTATGGACCTGGTTCCTATTGGCAGAGCAACCAGCAGCCGTACGGAGCCGGCTGGCAGAATGACTGGTATGGCCAACAGCAACAACAGTACTACCCTGGACGTTACTACCAGCCGCAGTACAGACAGGAAGAGCTGTACGAGACGCAAAGGTCGTCCTACTCCAGGCCTTCTTACTCCAGACCTGAAATGATGCCACCATATGAAACTCCAAAGTCGTCTTATTCGAGGCCAGAACCAGTACCTATTTATGAAGCTCCGAAGAGTTCCTATTCAAGACCAGAGCCAGTGATACAAACTTATGAACCCCCGAAGCCGTCTTACTCAAGGCCTGAGCCAGTACCAACTTATGAAGCCCCGAAAAGCTCCTACTCCAGACCTGAACCAGTGGCAGCACCTTACGAATCTCCTAAGTCGTCATACTCAAGACCTGAGCCAGTAGCACCTTATGAAGCTCCCAAACCTTCTTACTCAGGAACTGGAGCGGTTGAAATCCCCAGGACTCAGCCTCAACCTGAGTATCCAAGCACACAACTTTCCCCACCTGAGCCTCAACCAGCTCCACCTCCACCATCGCCAGCCGACGAACAATTCTCGCAGCTGACAACGCTGCCTTCAGTGATTCCAGCAGAACCACAAGAAGTGGATGCGGCGAGGCGTGAACAGGAGATCTCGCGGATGGTCCGCGGCAACGGTCCGCCAGGCGTCGACGTCTCTGCCGCACTTCCACCACAGGCCGCCGTTCCAGACATCCCGCCACCGCCCTCTCGCTAATTTCATCACAATCTTCCGATTAACGACAAAAGCTTTAAAATGTTCATAGTTCATGCATGTTTCTTGTTGATTTCTTCGAAGTAAAGTATGGATTGATACACAATGAAACAGATAAAAACCTCAAGACATTACAAAATGTTTGGAGCTTTTCTGATAAAAAAAAAGGCATTCAGGTGTTTTTTAATAATTCACTTTTGTTTCAAGAGGCCCCTTTCAGCTCACGAAAGTTTGACAAGACTCCGGAACAGACTAGAAAAAAGATATTTTCGGAAATTATAGTTGTGTCTTGTCGCTTAGACAATAAAGGCGGATTTATGCTCAACAAGTTCAAAAATCGGTAAGTGCGAGGGAATGTGAAGCTCTTCGGGAAACGAAGACATCTTCATAAAGCAAGAGAGTCCAGACATTGCCTCAGAAGCCAATCTGCAGAAATTCATGTCAGCTGGACGGCTTTTTTCCCTGAATTTCGGCCTTACTTCTTCAACTTTTCTCATCATCCATCTTCCTTTTTCATCAGATCCCGCAATGATTACTATGCGGGAGTGAACCCGCTATTCAAGATTTTCAGCAAGATGCAAAGCCATGGCCCTAGATTAGATTCAGCAAGAAAAGTGAGAGATGAAATTTGAGGTTTAATTTTCGGAAGAAAATGCCACCACGGAATGTTTTTCTGCCGTTCAAACATGCATTCTCGATCAATTAGACAATTTTTTCATCGGTTTTCTTCAAATTGCGAGAGAACCTGATCTCCTTCAAACGTTGCATCCGATGATCAACGGAATCAAGAAATCTCGGCTTTATCACCGTTCTTCGCTTTTTTTTGTCCCCGATCTGCGTTAATGTTATCTTTTTGGTGACGCAACAAGGCCACTCATTCAGCCAGAACTGATCATGTTAATTTTAGCGTTTCATTGTTCTATGTTCGAGAAAAGAGAAACTTTCGCCAGATTTAATAAAGCGGAAATGCTCCTCAACGTTTGATTATCAAAGAAAATTAAACAAAATACAATACCCTGGAGGTCTGAATTAATTTGCAACTCGCTCAGAACGACTTGAAACAGACGTTTCTCCACTTTTCCTGACCAGCGTGGTCATAGAAAGAGAGAAAAAGAATTAAAATGGAAAAATTGATGTTAAGAGAGAATTTGTGTTTAATCCAGAGAAGGGTTCTTTGCAACTCCGCGAAGAAGGTTGTTCTCCTCACCGTGTTTTTTGTCTTACTGCCTTTGCAAAATTTTAAATGTTGTCTGAAACCGTTTTGATATTCTCTTGAGAAAGATAGACGTGAAAAGATAATAACGAGAAACTTGCCGAATCCTAATCGGCTTCCGCTTTGTTTGTTCATATTCCAGAGAATTAATCAAAAAGAAAAGTGAAAGCTTCAGACATCACCCTGCGAGAATCCTACCGAACTTTATTCTTTGCGGGAGCATAAAAATCTTCAAAACTCAAGATATTTCAAGAAGCTTCTAAAAAATAGATTTCACAAATTCTGAGATGATAGTTTCAAAAACGTATCAAATATTTCAAAATTCTTCAACTTGCTCGTAATGAAATACCAGAATTTCAAGAATCAACTTCACTCCTCACACAATAAAAACGGATTGCGAAACGGCCATCTGGAGCTTTTGCATCACTCCGAGCCGCATAAAAGGCCCGGTTTCGTCAGTTGATGATGCAAATCCCTCCTTTTTTGCTCTTATAGTTTGACTTTCCCCCTTTTTAGAAAGTTTTTAGATCTAGTCCTAATATTTCAGAATCTCAGTTTTTGGAAATAATCTGCTCAAACTGTAAGAATTTTTTTTATCTCAAGAATTTCATTAGATCCAACCGACAAAGTTTTATTATAAATTCAAAAAGTTTTACTCCTGAAATTTTTTCTCCTCACAAATCCAAGTCAAAAAAAAAAATTTCTTATGACTTCTTATCAATTAGAAGTCCTTCAAGATATGAAAAAGGCGAATAAAACCTCAGTAATTGAATTTGTCGGGAGCAAGCCTTTGGCGCATCGATCCCCGGCTTTTACGTCTTCTGATACTCTCGAGAAACATTTTTTATTGTTCAGTTAGCTTCATCGCCCTTCAAACTACGAAATGGCCGATCCGTGGGTTTTTTTTTTTCACTTTTCATTTTCTGTAATTTGAGACGGCTGATCAGTGGAAAACAAGTTTTGAGCTTTTCTATAGTTTCCAAAAACATTCTTTGTAAAGTAAGCTTTATTGTCATTGCACAGGTTAGAATACCAAATTATGAACAAAGTTTCACTTTTTTTGCAAGTTGGGTTAATAATAATAATTATTCGAAATGAGAAAAAAAGGAACGTGGTTTAGAGTTTTGGAATCAGAAATAAATTAACTTCAGAACGCCTTTCTGTGATGTCTCTTCTCATTTTTCTCCACAAATTCAGTAACAAAATCAATAAATTGTTTATTTATATGAATCCGTGTTGAAAAAGCCTCGTAGCCAAGTACATCAAAAAGACAAGCAAATGTATGTCAAATTTGCTGACCTGAGCCGCAAAAAACGCGAGAAACGTGCTCCATCGGTCGGGGTCAGCGTCTGCGTCTCCAAGCTCTGCATGCTCTCTATATTGAGTCCGTCCAACTTCTGTTCGATATTTTTGTTTTTTGCTCCTCCCTTTGCTTTCGGCACGTATGCTTCTGTTTGCTCTATGCGATTTCGATCTTTTAGATCTTTTAAATGTTTTTAGACCTACCTAATGGTCTATGTAAATTTTGGGCTCGAAACTTGAAACTACGAAAATTTTGACGCTTTAAAAATTGAGATTATTTTTTATCGGATGTGGCACCGGAATGTCTGAACAAAAATTAGAAGGATCAAATTTTATTCTAATTTTCCTTGTAAGTTTAGTGTAAAAATCGTCTCAAGTCAGCGGTGAGAAGAACTAAATTCGTGAACGCTGATTTTCAGAAATAGTATCGAGTTTAATCGTTTTCAATACCTTCACTAAAATATTTAGAGGGACGTTTCGAGAAATACTGCGAGTTTTTTGACCTTGAACTTTCGGTTCCCTCTCCATTTCACGCAAAACTTTTCCTTTCAATTGTCAAAACGAAATAAAACATTTTCTCAAGTTCCTTGATTTCTTTTCAATTTCTTTTTTTTTACTGCTCTTCATTGCATTCATAAGTCTTGTTCGAACAAAAAAATGAGCTACAATGGGAATAAGAATTTGGAAAAAAAGTTTTTCCTGTTCCTTTTTTTAATTTTTCAAATTTTTTTAGAAAAATTTCTGTGCACGAAATGATTCTAAAATAAAAAGATATAATAGCACAAACTTCCTTCACTATCTTTCGCTGATTGTTATTTTTATACTGTATTCGATTTGAAACGGGAAGTTGAGCTTGCACTTGGAATGCCTAAAAGCGTCGCGATTTGAACTATTCCACCATCAAGCGTCGTCCCACTTGCAAACACAAGTTTCCAAGCCAGAACGAATCAAGTTTATGAAGCATGCTGAAACTTCAACCTAGAATAGCAGACAAAAACTCACTTCGTTTTGCCGTTGAAGTTCGAAGTCCGAGAGCTAAATATTTCTTCCACCTTTTTTTGGCATCGAATGAATCTCACCTCCAGTGTTCAGAATGGCAACGACGATCAAGGAAGTCTTCTCGGAGGTGTCGCCGATCGTGGAGACGAGCCACGCAAAGGTTACGGTAGTCGGAGTCGGACAGGTCGGCATGGCCTGCGCCTACAGTATCCTCCAGCAGGTTTTTGGAAACTTGTATCAGTTCAGTCATCTTCTTGACATCTAGAACTTGGCCAACGAGATCTGTCTGGTGGACGTGGTCGCCGACAAACTGAAAGGCGAGATGATGGACTTGCAGCACGGCTTGGCCTTCACGCGCCATTGCGTCGTCAAAGCCGACACCGGTTCTGAATCCTTTCTCTTCTAATTGAATTCTTTCCTTCACAGATTACTCCATCACGGCTGGCTCGAAACTGTGCGTCATCACGGCCGGCGCACGACAACGTGAAGGAGAAACTCGGTTCGTTCTGGAGTCCTACCGAGCAGGATAGACACTTTTGAATCGGTCTAAAATCAATGGATGAAAAGTTTTAACGCTTATTCGATATCTGAGTCTAAAAAATGCCGAGGAGTTCTGTAAAAAATCCACAAGGGCTGAAAGGAAAACTCAACCTGTCTATTTCAGCTTCTTTTTTTAATAGATTGTGTTTATTTTCTCCCAAAAAAGGGTTTTCAAAAAAAAGTACAAGTTGATATATTTAAATTAGAGCTCAACGAAACCTTTTTTGGCTCACAATAGGAAAAAAAAAACTACATCTGGTGAGTTTTATCTGATGCAGAAGTCCTACCGTGAGATCATACCGAAGTAAGAAACCCATTCTGGAGAGTTCAGGCTATCACTTGTCCAAAGGAACGTCGAGATTTTCAAAGGAATCGTGCCGAAACTCGTCCAGTACTCCCCGGATACGCTAATTCTCGTCGTCTCCAACCCTGGCAAGCCATAGCTCCCCCCTTAAAATGATTGAAGTTTGATTATCAGTTGATGTTCTGACCTACGTCACGTGGAAGCTGTCGGGTCTGCCTCGCGAGCGCGTCTTCGGCTCCGGAACCAACCTCGACTCGGCCAGATTCCGATTCTTGCTCTCGGAGAAGCTGAACATCGCGCCGTCGTCTTGCCACGGCTGGATCATCGGCGAGCACGGCGACTCTAGCGGTTTGTCAGAAACGTGAGGCTCACTCTCCCGTTTTCCAGTGGCTGTTTGGTCTGGTGTCAACGTCGCCGGAGTCACTCTCCACGACGTTAATCCCAACATTGGAGAGAAGGCTGACAATGAAAACTGGGAGGCCGACATTCATCAGCGCGTAATTGACAGGTGGTTTATAAAATGAAGCTCAGTGAAAAGCCAAAAACACCTCTAGAACTTATTTTTTCTTGGTCTTTTTTTATTCCTTTATGTGTCATATTGGATCATTCCGCCAACTATTATATTTAATTAACAAATTAAAATTCAGCGCCTACGAAATAATCAAGCTGAAAGGCTACACCTCCTGGGCAATCGGTCTTTCGGTCGCCAAGATCGTCCAAGGCATCTTCAGCAACTCTCGCAACGTCTACGCCTTGTCTACCAACGTCAACGTACGTAACTAGATCTTTCTAGTCTTTATTGAGTTCTCAGGGCTTCCACGGCCTCACCGACGACGTCTACCTCTCTCTTCCAGTGGTTCTCGGTGCCAGTGGCATCACGCACGTCGTCAAACAAAATCTGGCGTCGCACGAAGTCGAGAAGCTGCACAAGTCTTCGCGTGCACTCCTCGAAGTCCAAAATGGACTCACCATGTGATTTCCACATTTCCAGAAAATTTCTCATGTAGCCTCCAATGTACTTTGACAGTATTTATGTTTGTATCGCATAATAAATTATTACGGTACTAATCACTGGAAGACGTTTTTGAATTGATGACGTGGCCGGCTGGCTGCGTGATGGGAAACAACGGCAACATGAACGGCGAGAGGTTTTTGCATGCCTAAAACCCAAAAAATCGTCAAAATATCTAAAAAAAAAAAGGGTTCAAAGTGAGAAAAAAAAATTATACCAACTTTATGATAAAGTTACTTTTTCGAATGTCTCAAAATAGACATCATTCGCCAATTTTTGAAAGTTTTTCGCCTGTCTATATCCTCTCATCATTCATAATCAGAATATTTGAATTGTTCAAATATAGTCAATGTTTCCCGACTTGAAAGGCGAGGGAGGCGGGGCAGGGGCGGGACGCGTAGCGTGTGCGTACGCGGTTCTTGGCGCCAGTTCAATTCAATCGCCGCCGACTATTTAAAAAAAGCTCGGCCACCGCTCTTTTTCTGTATTTTCTTTTATTTTTTGATGCACACATGAACATAATCAATAAATAATTAAAAAACAAGTGAAAAGAGCAATAAATAAGCTCTCTGAACGCTCGCTAGCGGTTGAATTGAACACGTGCCAAGAACCGCGTACGCACACGCTACGCGTCCCGCCCCTTGCCACGCCTCCCACGCCTTTCAAGTCGGGAAACATTGACTATATATCAAAAAGCTTCAAAAACTCAAGCTCTGAACTCTCAACATTTTGAAAGCAATCTTTTTCAATATCCTTTCGTAGATTCATGTAAGAAAAGCGATCATCGAAAAACAACGAGATAAATGATTTTCCATTTTCGGTAAACCGTAAATGAAATTCTTTAGAGTAATACTTCATGAAACAGCTATAACCTTGAAAAATATTTTCTCTGAAGACTTCAATTAGGTTGTTTCATTTTTCGATCTTTTGAAGATCATCTCTACCTGAACTCGTGGGTATTTTGCATTGGGACGTCGGCCTCGAGGTACTCGACTTGCCGCCAGGAGATTCTCAATAGAAAACGGACATTTTTCTCTCGGCTGCAAACCGTTCAATATATTATCAGAAGAAGAAGAAAAAGCATGGACATAACTTTATCAACATGTCTTCTACACACCGGAGCCCCTAAATTTCTGAATATAAACTTACCAATGAGCAAGTTGAGTCAAAAAAAACCTTTTCTTTTAGAAAAATTTGCCGAAGTTATTGCAACTCAAATCTGTAGAAAAAAAACAACGAAATTTTATATAGTCAATGTTTCCCGACTTGAAAGGCGAGGGAGGCGTGGCAAGGGGCGGGGCGCGTAGCGTGTGCGTACGCGGTTCTTGGCACGTGTTCAATTCAAGCGCTAGCGAGCATTCAGAGAGCTTTTTTTATCGCTCTTTTCACTTCTTTTTTAATTATTTATTGATTATGTTCATGTGTGCTTCAAAAAAATAGAAGAAAAATAAAAAAAGAGCGGTTGCCGAGCTTTTTTTAAATAGTCGGCGGCGATTGAATTGAACTGGCGCCAAGAACCGCGTACGCACACGCTACGCGTCCCGCCCCTTGCCCCGCCTCCCTCGCCTTTCAAGTCGGGAAACATTGACTATAAATCCTTTGTTATTGAAAGCATCGATATAGAACAAAAGACGATTATATGCAAGAATAAGTAATGCTCGGGGATCGGAAGATATCCCACCTTTTCGGATTCCACCAGGGAGTCCAATTCGACTGCGGGACCGTTTTTCGATTGCTCTCTTTTCCGCCATTTTGCTCTCCGATTTTGAAACCAAACCTGGAAAAGGCCTGGATAAATTCAACGGCAAAAAAAGAGATGATTTTCTCAATAATAACGAGGATCTTTCCAAGATTGACACTATTTTGAAAAAATTTTTCCATATTCTCTGAAGTCGCAGTCGATAACTTTTGTTCGTGATTTTCAGTAGGTACACTCTACATTCTACATTCGAGCAGTTCTGCAAATTGTAGACTTAATTGAACTCAATAAGCTGAAGAAAATAAAAAAATATAATCAAATACATGATTTTATGAAGATTTTTTTCTTCAAGACATAAAGTTTTTTTGAATTCACTCTTTCTGTGGTTTGAGGAGATTACCGTATTCGAAAATGCTTTCGCAGGGAACGCGAGGTCGTAAAGGGAATTGGAGAAATACTGGGGCCAATCCTTCAAAAATCCTCGGTTTCAAACAAATTTTTGGCTCTTCTTGCCCAAATAACATTCCGCCAACGAAATTTTTTTCTCGTGGACTACGGTAGCCAAGCTCAACTTCTGATCAAAAAATGACGTCTTTCATTCAATTATAGGTGCTCAACAGAGGGAATTCCGACAGCTTAAACGACAAGATGAGGAAAACATAAAGTACTTGATTTCTTGATGTCAATTGAGACAAACATTGGAAAAACAAAACCAAAAACTTTTTCCAGTTTAGAAAGAAGGGAGAGGAGGATTTACTGAGTTTACCTGGCCCATATATATTTTAGAAAAAAAAACTATATAAAGTGATCAAACCCTGGAACCACAATTAGCTAGAGTAACAGGTATGTTTCTTTTTACCTGGACGCGACTTTCGAGCAGATCGAGGCGCATGGCTAGGGCTTCCCTCATGAAGACGTCAGGGTAGTGGCTGGCCTCAAACGCGTTCTCCAGCTCTTCCAATTGCCAGCCTGAGCCTCGTGTTCGTTAAAAATCGAATCCACCGATGAAAACAAGTAAAATATTTTTTTTTCTGTTATAGTCCTGTATCCGTTAAAGCTACTCAATTGTGACGTTCGAAATGTTTTCTTATGTTTGTTCAAACTCTCTCTTCAAACGTTTAGATGAGAATCTGGTTTTTTTTCCTGTCCAACTTTCAAGTTTTTGATGTAGGAATTTATGAAGTTCACGTTTAACACAAAATCGGATCAGAAACCAATACTGTCAATTCCGAGAAATTCAAATATCTAAAAGTAGGAATTTTCAAACGTAACAACTTCAATAAATCTACATCAAAGAGAAATTGGAGATAACGAAAAAAAATTATAAATGAGTTAATATTATTTCAGTATTCAATCTTTCAAGATAAGCTTGAGATTTCTGTGATCAAGAATAGATGCCATGAAAGATGAAGAAACGAGATTCAAAAGAAAGTTCTTCAAGTCGTTTCAAGATTTTTCTGCTTAAAATTTAGATCATTTGGTTGGGTCGGCTCAGGGATGAATACCATTGTCAAATACCTGTTTTCATGTTGCTCAACAAAGACTTTGTGCTTTTCTAAAAATGGCCACTGTTATCTTATCTTATTCAAACAAAAATCCACAACTGAAGAGCAACTTGAAATGAAAATTTTGACTATTCCTTTTCTTTTGCTTGTTTAAAACTCTTTTTTTCATTCCGTGAATTTCTTCTATGATTATTTTGAGGCCACCACCAAGAGCACCATCTGTGGGCTCCAGCTACAAAATCTGCTATTTTCTGAACTCTTCATGGGGCAACTAGATCAATTGCGCGCAGAAAAACAAAGAGATCCTTTCGAAGTTTTCCCTTCATTTTTAAACTTCTATTTTTCTGAAGGCGGTTGTTCGATATAGCCTGAGAAATTATTGTTCACCGCCTAGTTTGTTACATTCATGACTAGAACAAGTAAAAGATATTGATTGATTGATTTATCGAAGCTTCCAGTTTCAGGTAGTATAACCTGTAAAGTTGGTTCGTGTCCGTCGTCGTTTGGCGATAGTAATAGGGTCAGAGCTCTCGTCTGAAAACTAACGATCTGTCGATTCAGGTGTCTGAACAGACCTGTGAATGCGTCGACTTCGTCCTCGAACTCTTCTGGAGACGGGGTGAGGTCTCTGGACGACGTCGTACACTTCTCTGGTGAGATGTTCTCAGCCGGCGGCGTCACGAAGCCTGGAAAGAGCAAACAACGTTCTGAAACTCTGATTTTCGAACCTCCACTACTGAATTGCTTCCAGTACTCGTTCCACACGCTGTTGATCATCAGTTCCTAGAAAATTGTGATAACTATAACAAGAAAGGTAATAGAATTCTCTTCAAACTCTTCAGAGCTTGAAAAAAAAAAGAAGGAAAGAGCCGAAATGAAAAGCTGCGTACCATGATCCAATCGAGGGTAGGACGGCAGCCGAGCCGACGAGCCAATCGCAGAAAATGGGCGGAGTCAAGACGCGGAGCCCGATGGGCCAATTAACATGCTAATATGACGTGATTCAGCCCAAGGGAGCAACTCCGCCAACTTTTGCAACAAGTACTCCCAAACGACTTCTTTCTCATTTAGAACTCTATTTTTACGGCTTTTTTTCTGAAAATTATTGTCCATGTACTTCGGAAGCAGGAAAAAGTTGATAAGTGAGGCTTCGAATCCCAATTTTGAACTGTTGAAAAGTAGAGGAATAAAATAGAAATAAGTTTATCGAATAGTTCTAACTGTAAATGGAGTTCCAAACATCCGATTGTTCTCTAAGAAAAATGGTCAGGATACTGTAAAGCATTACAAAAGTTTTCCTTATACCTTCTATTTGACTGGCTTTTCGAAACTTTCCTCATGTGAACACAACTTTTCCTTTTAGCTTCAAACCCATTATCAATAGCATAGAAACGGGTATTTTTCAATAGTGATATTTTTATTCTTCAGGAAGATTTTACTCCGAAGCAAAACACCAACCGAATTTCACAAATCTAGTGCGAAGCTACTATTCAACTGCTTACTGTAACTAAAAGTCAATTATTTACCATTTACTCAAGCTGCAGCTCCCGAATAAATGAGGCGGAAATAATAATTAGGAATTGGATCGGCGTTTGGCCAAAAATTTCACGAAATGGAATACGAGCGGCTAATTTCGATGCATTCGATTATGGCCCATTGCTTCGGTGACCAAATATGAAATTTCAACGCAAATATGATGAGCTAGATGCGAAAAGCGTCGAAGTCTTGTTCAGTTCGAAAGGATGCACAACCAGAACTCCGTAGATAGAACCAATTTCTCATTGTGATTGGTTATTTATCTGGCGAAAGCTCTGAGGCACTCAATGTACAGACTGCCTCCGCAAGATCCTAAGTCAGCCAGACCTAGAATGTTAAACTGTTGCGCAACAGCAGAACGCCTGGAGAACATGTGGTGCGCGCTGGAGAACGTCCTCATGAACCATACAGACTCGAAATTAAGTAGACTTTGAAGTATCTTTCATCCTGTTTAAATCGAGTTCGATGGTTCATGGTTAATTTATAACAGCTTGTACGTCTTTTCAAAGACGCAGATGACTCAAAAAGGATCCCCCTTATTTGTATGAAATAGGCTCCTGATTCTTCAAACACCTCTGCAAAATGTCTTTAAGAGACCAATATTCAAGCCTAAAATGATTCCAAAAACTGAGAGTCAATAAAATTCACCGCGAAGACAGAATAAAACAATAGGATCCCATAAAACATTCGCAATTACTAGAGCGACCCAATTACCAGCGCCAGCGTTTTTTGGCAACAAAAACCGTGTTGACATATTGGTAGGTTTTCGCGCATTATGCAAATTTGGGCAGTCGCAACACCGAGTGCGTGAGCATAAGATTTATTATCTCGCTGACAGCTGACAATTCACGGATCCATTACCATGGTGCCTCTTGGGATCTGTTTGGCTTCACACGATCATTGCATCAGCACTCTGCGATTCATCATCTGATTTGTATGTGGGAGGTGAACTGTTGCAGCTTCTGCGGAATCGTCTCGTTCCCAACCGAGCCTCATATTCATGGTCAAGCAATGAACAAAAACTTAGGGGTTTGTTCCGTTTCTCCAATGAACACGCCGTTGGGATTTTCCGTAAAACATTATATACCCTAGTTTATATGTTTTCCAAACGCAGTCCTGGTCACTGTCGGCTAAAATACTCAAAACAAATCACGCTCTGACCGAGAAAAACTTGAGTTTTAGTGGGAGGAAGATAAAAGAAGGACGAGTCTGGAAAGCAATCATATCCAGCGAGATCATGTCCACAGATAGCGTCGTTCAAATGTTTTATCCCGAAATGAAGGCTTGCTCGAGGCAGCCGATTATTACATAACGCGACGGCAATTCGAATCCCCAGTGGCCGCCGTCACTTTCGTCGCTTAAACAATCGAGATGTAACTCTCAAAATGCACAAATCTCAAGAAATGCTATAGCCGCCGGACGATGAAGGGCGATATTTGAAGTTGAACCTTTCAAATTTCATCCACTATGGAAATGGAAATCGTTCCACAATATCAATCCACCCGATACATTTCAAATTTTTAACTTAACTCATTCTATAAACTTTTCAAGTTATCACCTCAGTTTTTAAGCCTCCTTTCTAGCATTAACAAAATCGCTGATTTCATTAAATTCGGAAGATAGAAACCTTCGATCTCTTCAGGGAATATAGCTTAATACATTAAAAAAAAGTCAAAGTATCTGGCAACAACCCTTTAAAGCAATCTTCGTGAGAAACTTATGAAACTTTTAATTTTGGTTCTATGAGCTCCCTCGATTCACCACAAAAAGGTAAAGATGATAGATTTTTTTTAAAGCTGCAGTATAATCATATTTTGTGAAATCTTCAATTTTATCCTTTAAACCTCTGAACGAAATAGAAATTTTTAATGCGAGTTTTTTTACATAGTAGTTTCGAAAGGTCACTCGAATAAGTCGTCCAGAAAGTCGTCGATGTCTTCATCAACCGTTCTTTCCACGTCTTGTACGACTGGAGCCTCCCAAATATCGGCAGAAACAGATTCTGTTGGTTTTCCTGCTGAAACAAATATTCTTATTTTAAATTACTTATCGACTCTGGAACAAAACGAGTGTTAAGACCCTTCAAGGAAATATTGAGAAACGTATAGGATTTGGGAAAATTTATTTAATTAAAACGCTAAAGAAGAAATAACCTACCTTTTTCGTTGGAAATTTGTGGTTCTTCCTTTTTTGGGCTTTTTTCTCGCTCCGTGTCTTTCGGCGAATCTTTTCGCTTGGAGCCCCATTTTTTCGAAGATTTCTTCTCAACTCTTCTCTTTGTCGAGCTGTAGTTGAGCATCTCCGAACACTGCGGGCATAACCGCACCTTCACTAGTGCGTTTTTTCGCTCTCCATTTTCAACGTAACCAAAGTTGACCTAAAAGAAATTATTTTTGAAACATTTCATAACCAGTTTGAAAACTTTATTTGAGGAAATTAACATATCCTTCCAATCTAGTTTTAAGAAACAGAAAATAAAAACAGAATCGCCCGGCGAGAGCAACCACTTTTTGGGTTGTATCCATTTAAAAAGTAACATTCAGACGATCCTAATTTTTTTAATCTCCCCGAGTTTTTTTATTTTTTTATTTCAGTATCTTCGAAAAAAAAGTGAAAGAAGTGGAAAAAAACGAATAAAAAGTATCGAATAAAATTTTATGATGCTTGTTGGAGAACACCATCAAAACTGTCATGAAAAATATTTTTGAACCGATAAAAAAAATAGTAAAAATCGCGATGAAATAGTTTTAAAACTCAAAAACTTACTTCCCAGCTTCTCAAATCGATCGAGTCTTTGCACTTTTTATTGCCACACTCGAACTGCCCCTTAAAGACAAATTAATACCGAATAAACAATTTATTAAACCTTTCCTTCTCGAACTTCTTTTTCCGTCCTCCATCGCATGGCAACCTTATTCTTTTTAAAGTAAGTTAAGTCAACAATGCAATACTCTGTTGAAAATATGATTTAAGAACTTTTCTTCTCGAAAGTCTGACCTTTGAATAACTTATCGTAGTATTTCTTGGCCATTCTTGCTTCCCAGCTGTCCGAAGTTCTGGATTCATCTTCTTCAGACCACAAAAAGCGATGATTATCCTCAAACAATTCTTTCGGAGATTCGAAATTTCCAATAAATACCTTTAACACATCGTAATCTGTTCTTTCATGTGAAGTCGATGGTTGTAAAAGTTTGGTCGATCCAGGAAAAGAAAGATAGTACATGTTAATTATTTCTTTGTGGCGCTGATAGGCGTTTAACGTCATGAGGCGGGACATCTGCCTGATTCGCTATTAAACACAGAACAGCTTTTTTATAATACCTGTGAGCTCTGCCATGTTCGTCTTGGAACCAATGCTTGCCTTCACTTCTTTTTGGCTTCGGGGCCTTAAAAACTAGTTATTTAATAAACCGAAAACTAACAACCTCTCCAGAATACTCTTTTTCGAGAAAATCTGTTCTTTTACGTTTTCTCTCGGCGTCACTTTCGGCATCAAATTCCGATCTCAAATCGTCAATTCCCGTATTTGGATTCCTCTTCACTTTATCGAAAAAATCCATCTAGAAAACTTTTTTAGAACTGAAGCAAACTTTAATCAAAGAGTAAAGAAAATAGACGCCATTATAGATAGCACTCCCAAAAGTCTCCTCTTGGCGCATTCCGCGTGCGTGCGCGCGCCAATTCAAATTTCGTCTCTTGGACTAGATTTACAGGCTTCCAGTATATGGTTCTTTTTTTGTATAATTTTTTTCTTACTTATTCATTTCCAGTTTTTTTATTTTTATTTAATATTGACTCATTTAGGGAATCTAACTTTATTTAAGAAAGTTTTTTTCTTGTTTTAGCGCCAATTCAAATTTTTCGCCTTCACTCACTTGCACAGGCGAATGGGGAAGGTACCATAATGTGCCCACAAATATACCTCTTAAAAAAAGAATCTTGAATATTCCATAATATGTCCATCGTGAGACGTCGAGCATAAATTTTTAGCTCTAGCTGACCAGGGAATGGTGTCTAGTCGCAGTTGGATTTCAGAATGAGACCCAGTCCACTAAATGAAGTTTTTTTCATGCTGTTTCCAAATCTGTTCTCAAAAAAATGCCGCGGAGGTCCGTGAAAAAAAGTTTTTTTGGAAAAAGTTTTTTTGAGCGGAGATACGATTTTTTTCAAAGCTCCTCGCATGATAAGGAAATTTGCTGCTGAAAATTCATTCTTCGTTTCTCATGAGCGAATAGAGAACAACGTGTACAGCTTATACAAATTTCAAAGGAAGTCTGAAAACAGAATGAATAAAAAAATTAGAAAAACCGAAATGACTAAAAAAATAATAATAATAAAAAAACCTGGGAAGCATTTCCAGGCTACTCGGTAGCAATCAAAAAAATTTCAGGTACTCTGCCCGTATATCCAGTTATCATAGATATGATACCCGTGTAAAATTAATTGGAAGTTTTTTTATGCAAGAAAAATTATTCAAAAAGAACCATATACTGGAAGCCTGTAAATCTAGTTCAAGAGACGAAATTTGAATTGGCGCGCGCACGCACGCGGAATGCGCCAAGAGGAGACTTTTGGGAGTGCTATCTATAATGGCGTCTAAAGAAAATATTTTAAATGTGAGTATGCGCTTTAAAAGGTAGCAATTGAAAAATCGTTTTGAAAAAGAAAACGCGAAGGCAGAAAAAGGATTTTAAGATTATCCATTTCATAACGGTTATATACTATTAAATTTAATTTCAAAATTAGCCAATTTTCTTTTTGCCTCTAAGCAGCATCGCAAAAAATGGTCGATGCTTGGATGTCTGGAAAGAAGGCTCTTTTTTCGAGTTTCCTCTGGAGTTTTCCTCTTATATGTGAATCTATGAAAATCTATCCCCATTTGATCATATTGATTCGATTGATTATACTTCAGTTCGTTCACCGTTTGCTTGAGAAAGTTTTCAATGAGGCTTTGCAAACCGCTTGGTCTTGACATGATCCAATGTTACCAAAAGAATATGTAAGAACAAAAAAGGGTTCCTGTATATTTTTTGCAAGCTAGCGGTAAATAAACCATGCAAAAAAAAAACTGATTATTTTGCGCATTCCTTATGCTTTCATAATTAAACGCAGTGTTACAAACCTTGCACATGTCTTTCGCCTCTCACGTCATTTTCTTCGATAAAAATTCATTAGGTTATAAATTTAATGGCGTGATCAATCGAAAAACCCTCGAAAGTCTCGAAGTTCGAGAAATATAAGAAACGATAATTTAAGAAAAAAATTTTCATTTTTTCAAAACATGTTTGTTAACAATCAGATGACTTTTTTTGAACCACCGCCTTTTTTTCATTGAAAGCGCCATTATGCGCAATCAAAAATTTAAAACCGTTGTTTCATATTTGAAACTACAATAGTACAATATTAATTAATAGATGTAAATGAAAAAAAATCTGAAAAGTGAAAGAGACGCACTGCGATGGGCCCGTTACAGTAAGGTCAGTGTTGGATGTGCCTTTAAGTTTGCCAGTGCCAGTGACGATCGCGCGATCCAGCTGTCTTTTGAACTCTCTTTTTTTGTGTGAGGTCTCTTTTTTAATTTTTACTGTAATGATCCCGTTTGCAGATAATTGAAAATTGTTACAAGTTTATATTGAATTTTTCTCAGTTAGTTTTACGATTTATTCGTAATTTTTTTGAATTTGTAGTTAATCTTCCATCAAAAGATATCGTTCAGTGATATCTTCGATCTATACCGTCTGTATGGCTAATAAATCACTAGCTTGAGGCTGTACGCAACGAACATTCCTACAAGATTATCGTAACGATGTATAAAAAGGCTTATACCTTTTTGTAGAAGTTTTTGTTTCAAGCTAACGACGAATGAAGCTGTTTTTTCTCTCGGTTCATGTCGCATTAAAAAAAAGCCTGTAACCTATTTTCATAGACGCTAAAGCTTTGCGTCTTTTTTTTTTTGAATGCCTATTTGAAATCTCACTATAGATGCATTTGAATTGTTCGAACAACTCAGATCAGCACCTCCTAACTTTTCCCATTTTAAAAGGTTTAGAAAGACGTATAAATTTCGAATCACGTTTTCCATGCTGATAGCAAAATATATCCTTTTCCGAAAGTTCGTTATAGAACATTCGTCTACTGCCCAGTATATCAATATCAAATTCTTATCACAATGCCTGGCTGCTGTTCTTATCAAACTTTCACGTGTCCCAGAGTGGCAGGCCTTAGAAGGGAAAATGAGCTGCCTTCAATCCTAACAGCAGTGATAGTGCATCAATTCTCTCAATTAACATGCCTTTTTTTTGAGACATGAGCAGAGACTTCATCCTCTCACCTAGTCACATTTCTCTTTTTTCATTTCAGTGCTCCAAATTTATCAATTTTTCAACCAACTTCATTATATTCTGACGGATTCTGATAATCATTAGTTAACGTTCCTCTCTAATTCTTTTGCAAACGGAAAGGCTGACTGACTGGTTTTTGTGTGTCTCCTGTGTGTGTGCGCGATTGACCTACCCTGTGACCAGCACGGATGGAGGGCAAGCAAAGTTTGCCTGTGTGTCCCTGACCTTTCCTTCTTCCACTCCTCTTTTTTGTCGATATCGCGATCGCAGAGACAGCATAAACATTCATCGCGCCCACATTTCTCGAATCACATTCTTCGATCGCTCGTTTTCTCGACTCTAAAAATTCTTTTTATCAGCCAAACTTTTCAGGTATCGCTTGAACGAACTGAAGAGTTCGATTTCAAGTATAGGACAACCTTGCGGACGGACGGAAACAGGCCTGGAACAGCCCTTCTTCGACAAACACGACAATGGAAAACGGAATGGACGCACATATGAATGGTATGATTTTGTGAAAATTGATATAACTGTAGGTAATCTTCAATTACCATTAATGAGGCGATTTTTTATTGATTTTTTTTGAATTCACTTGAAAATCTTTGTCTGCATGGGCTTGTGATTTTTTTCAAGTTTCTTATAGGCTGCATCAATGTTCCTCATAGTTACCATCTAATGACTTTTTCAATAGATATGATTTTTTTGAAAATTTGGACCTTGAAAAGTTTGAGCAATTAACACTTATGAGTGAGATTCCAAGTAGATCAAACTGGTTTATAAATATTTTTAAAGATAAAAAACATAGAATATCTTCATTGCTATTGAAAAAAATCTTTTTGATTTACGTTGTAAGGATTTTTTTTTTTCAAATCAATCTGTGAGAAAAGTTAAAATTTTGAAGGAGAAACAAACGGCCATGGATCTGCGGTGAACGGAGCTGAGAACGTCAATGGCGTTGTCCAAATGGACTACAACACTGATTTCCCGACCCTTCCTGATGCACCGGCGACTACCGCGGCAATCCATGTGCCGAAGAAGCCGGCCACCGTCTGGAAACGCCCCAATCTGGCTGCCAAGGCGGTAACGATCACGTTCCGCCTGGCATCGGATGAGCGCTCCAACAAGGTCAAAAGCTTTGGCAACACGAGCGAGGAACACAAGAAGGCCCAAAATATCGCTTCTCAAACCGGTAAGAAGATATAACTTTGCCAGCTCTAGAAAACGGTCGAATTGACGCAAATCGTTTATATCCACTCAAAAAGGATTTCTTTTACTCAAATTGTTTTCATACAAAAATTTCAATCAACTTTGGTGCTCTGAAATCATATTGTATCAAAAATTTTAATGTCTGCTTTCTTGTTTTTGTGAGAAAAAGTTGGCAAAAACGCTTCTATGTATTCACTCAATAATTGAACTTGGAATATCTTCATGGTTTTTACTTAACGCACTTCTCGCCCACGTATAAAAAAGCTTTGTAAAACTTCTGGTGAAAGAGTCTGTTTAGAATTTTCTGTCTCATGTTTTGAATAATTCATGATTTTAGGAACAAGAATCGAATTGAGTGAGTCGAAGGACGGAGAATTGACGGTTGTGGTGAAGGGAGACCGTGCTAAAGTCGAAGATGCGAGAGCTAGGTTGGTCCGTGACCTGCAGACCCAAGCCACGCGAGAACTTGACATTCCTAAAGACCACCATCGTCATCTCATTGGAAAGGTTTTTGAAAAATTCAAGATCAAAATCTAAAAAAAGTGGTTTGATATAGGAGGGAGGTCTTTTGCGGCAACTCGAGCAAGAAACAAACTGCCGCATCGTGATCCCCGGTCGTGACACCGACTCGCAGACCATCAAGATCACTGGACCTCGCGAAGGAATCGAGCGAGCTGTTGCCCACATTAAATCAGTTTCGGACAGAGAGGTTTACAAAATTTGATAGTGCTAACGATTCTTATAACAGTGTTTCAGTCAAAGTTGGCTACTGAGCATATCCATTGTTCGAAGCAACTTTACCCCTTCATTCGCGGACCTTTCAATGAGAATGTGGATCGTTTGACCAGCGAAACTGGCGCAAAAATCAACATTCCTCCCCCTTCAGCTAATAACGAGGTGCTTATTTTTTCATTTCATTTCAAGTGTTTATTCGCCATTCCGCAATCAGCACGACAAATACAAAAAAAATAAAACATCAAAACAATCAAATAAATCTAACAGCTGATCTGTGGAAACGGCTGGAGGAACGGCTTATAAAAATCTATTTTTTTTTTTTCAAGTTTTTTGATATCAAAAAATTATTTATCTAAAATTTTAGGTTATTGTGATCACGGGAGAGAAGGAAGGCGTTCTCCGCGCTGCAGCTGAAATCAAGAAAATCATTCAATCGAAGAAGGACGTGACCAGCATCACTTTTCAAATTGCCCGCACTCAGCATCGCTACATCATCGGTCAGCAGCGCAGCGGCATTCACGAAATCCTCAAGCAGACCGGAGTTGTCGTCGAGGTTTTCCGATCTTTGTGATTTTTCTTTGTTATTAATATGTTTACAGGTTCCCAGCGAGGAGTCCAACTCTGACATGATCACGTTGATCGGTGAGGCGAACAAGTTGGCCACTGCCCTGCCTCTTGTCGTTGAGAGAGCCAGTTCCGTCATAACTCAGCAGATTCCTGCCCCTACTTGGCTTCACAAGCACCTCATCGGACCAAAAGGGGCTACTCTCGCGGTTCGTCTTATTTCCGATAATCTCGAAACGAAGACTGCTACAGAGCATTGTTCCCAATCGTGCAAATGTACAAATCGACTTTGACGACAAGGGAATCATTTTCTTCGAAGGCGCACCACAAGAAGTCAAGGTTTTCATTGACTGATTCTTGCATTCACTATGGTATTATCTTTAAAGGAGGCCCAAAACGCTCTTGCGGCCCAAGTCGCCCGTCTGCAATGTGAAATGGCCATTGAAAAAGTCAAAGTTCACCCGAGTCTCCACCGTCATGTCATCGGTCGTGGAGGATCATTGAGTATCTTATTTTGCTAAGTCATTCGAATTTTTTTTTCGTTTTCAGTTTCGAAAATCAAGGATCAAACCGGCGTGCAGATTAACATTCCCAATGAGAACACCAACTCCGACGAAATTGTGGTCGAAGGAAAGAAAGAAGGCGTAACGAAGGCCGTTGCCGAAATAAAGGCGATAGCTACAAAGATTGTGAGTTTTTTCTTTTTCTCCATAATGGAAATATTTTACTTATTTTGTATGTTAATTATGCATAGATGTAAAAATGTCAAGCGTTTTTTTTTAGGAGAATGAAAAATCTCGCGACATCATTGTTCCTCAACGTCTTCACAAGCTCATAATTGGAGCAAAGGGAGAGAAACTGCTGAAGGTCCGCGACGCTCACCCGAATGTTTCGGTGGTGTTCCCTGATCCGAAAGAGAAGTCGGACATCATCAACATCCGCGGTGAAAAAACTGAAGTCGATGCTGTCTACAAGAAGCTCTCCGCGATGGCTAAGGAACTGGTTTGTTGCCAAAAATCTAGTTAATCGGTTGATTTTAATAATTTAGGCTGAAAGCAACCATCAGCAGACAGTTGCAGTGTTCAAAGAGTTCCTGAAGCACATCATCGGCAAGGGAGGAGCCACGATCCGAAAAATCCGCGATGAGACTGAAACTCGTATTGATCTACCGGAAATCGGCTCTGGAGAGGACAAGATCCTGGTCACCGGAAAGCAGGAGAACGTCGCGAAGGCTGTCCAACAGCTCAATAAGATTCAAGAAGAGCTGGCGAGCATCGTAGAGAAAGTCTTGGAAATCCCGCAGAAAGTTCAAGCCAGACTACTTGGCAACGGTCGTCGTTTGATCTTCAACATTGAAGAGGAATGCGGAGGCGTTCACATTCGCTTCCCCGCAGAAAAGTCGGACTCCACCAAGGTCACTGTTCGCGGCCCGACTGATGACGTCGACAAAGCAGTCAAGCTTCTGACGGCTCTCGCCAAGGACAAGGAGCAGAATTTGTTGGAAGAAACCGTCAAGGCCAAACCCGAGTTCCATCGTTTCCTAATTGGAAAAGGAGGCGCCAAGATCAGCAAGATTCGCGAAAACTTCGATGTTCGTGTTATGTTCCCGCGAGAATCAGACATTGACAAGGACCTGATCCACCTGCTCGGAAAGAAGGAAGACGTTTTGAAGGTTAAAGCAGAACTAGAAGAGGCGATCCGGCAACTGGAGGAAACCGTCGAGCAGAAGATCGACATCGATCCCAAGCACCATCGTCATTTCCTCTCTCATTCGGCCTCAGTTGTCAGAGAGATCCAGGAGCAGAATGGAGGCGTCATTATTTCGTTCCCCAACCGACAGGCCGAAAGTTCGGCTGTGACCTTGAAAGGCTCGAAGCAATGCGTGGAATCTGCGAAGGCGAGACTAGAGGAGATTGTTGAGGACATGGAGAAACAGGTGCTACTTTCACTTCATTTTGTCTATTATTTCTATGAATTTTCAAAGTGGAAAGTTAATTTTTGCAGGTGCGAATTCAAGTCTCAATTCCTGCCCAGCATCACCGTTCTCTTCTTTCTGGACGTGGTCAGAAAATCCACGAGATTCAATCTCGCTTCAACGTCCAGATACGGTTCCCGGAGCGTAGAGATGAGAGTACTGATGACGAGGAAGCTAACTTGGTCTCCATCTCTGGAAGAGACACCAAGGTTTGTCGTCTTTTCCGTCTTCATTGGGCATAATCTATCATTCTTCTTAAGGTCGAAGAAGCCAAGGAAGCGTTGCTTGCTCTGGTCCCCATCTCGCGCTCTATCGATATCCCAGTCGATATGCATCGTTCCTTGATTGGTCGTGGAGGAGAATCGGTATTGTTGCAATTTTTGTGCGATGTGAATTTATTTGTTCATAGGTCCGCAAGCTCATGCAAGATTATGATGTTAACGTGGCGATTCCCAAGGACAACCAATCGACAGAGATTGTGGTGACTGGCCAGGCCGACAACGTTGAATCAGCCCTTGAAGCTCTCCGCGAAAAGTTGGCCGAATACGAACTTCAGGCCGAAGACAGAGTAAGAAAACACTTTTATTCAGTCATTAAAGATTGCTGTTTGCAGAAGTTGAAGGCCTTCCAACTCACGATCGATATTCCAAACGAATATCACACCAAAGTGATCGGCGCTCGTGGAGCTACCGTCAACGCCCTCCGTGAGAAGTACGGTGTGCAGATTAGCCTGCCACGCGGAGAAGAAAAGAGCGACCAAATCATCATTCAAGGTCTTTTTTTCTGAAAAAATAGTAAAAGAATATATAACTTCTTTTTAAAAAAAGTTTTTGTCAGTGATGGCTGACTCTCCTTTGCAGATTCTGACATTTTTTTCCTTTAGATTCTCATTTTCTCTATAAATAAAATTCTTTAATAAAGCTGGCATATTCAACTTGGGAGAGGTTTCAAGGGAAAATATTTTCCTTTTTATGTAAACACTGAAAAGAAAAATACTTTTGAAATTCAGGTGATTACTAGGTCTTACTGAAGACGCTCTGCTAAAATATTCACAGAATCTTGCTTTCAATCGACTCAGTTACTAAACTTGTAGGATACGAGGAAAAGGCCCGCGAATGTGCTGCCGAAATCGAAGGAATGATTTCGGAACTCCGTTCGCTCTTCACACAAGACATCAGCCTCGACGCTCGCTTCCATCCCCGCCTTATCGGTGCTCGCGGAAAGAACCTCAAAAAGGTAGTTTTGATGATGCCACGTTCAATGTGAAAAAATGGCGCAGAGAAACAGATTTTTACTGTGGAAACTATTTATTTTTAGATCTGTGCTTTTTTTCATATTGAAAACGGCCTTTTTATTTTAAAAAAACTTTTCTTTACAGGTTATGGAAGACTACCGTGTCGAAATCCGTCTTCCACGCGGCGGGGCTGAAGACCCGAACTTGGTAGTTGTATCAGGAAAGGACGAGAACGACGTCTACGACTGCATTGACTATCTCCGCGCACAGGAAGAGGAATATCTGCTCGAGTCTGTGGAGAGAGTGAGTAAAATTGTAATTGTTTTTCTTTTGATAAACGACATTATCGTAAAGTTAGAGAGATCAATGGTTTCCACATATTGATAAAGTTCACTATAAAATATGTTTCAATGAGAAGTATAACAAACAGGTAAAAAGATATGTTTATGTTGAATATTTGATTTATTTTTTGCAGACTCAATATCTCTCTCCACGTCACCAGGACAATCGCTCGGCTCCTGCTCCGTCTACCGTGCAGATCAGCGGTGCCCCATGGCAACTCGACATTGGCAGCTCGGAGCAGTTCCCAGATATGGGAGCTTCGACCGCTCAGGCCGGCGCTGTCGGTGGAGCCTGGGGATCTGGCCGTCGCTGGTAATCAACTCCAACTCTTTCTTCCAGGTATTTTCACTTTTTCTTGTATTGTTTGAAAAAAAGATTTCCAAATTCGATTTGAAAATGAGCTCAGCAAGTTCAGCTTGTTATTTTTCAATGTATTTTCCTTTAAAAACAAAGGTCCAGGTTATTGAAATCTTCTCAAATTAGTTTGTGCCTAACCTTCACATTATTTTTTCTTGGAACTTAGGGTTTTTAACTGCTTGACCCAACTTGCTTCAACGTTTTTTTGGCTCTATGGCAAATAATTTTTTTCAATATCGAAAAGGCTGAATATATTTGAACTTCTGATTAAAGAAATTTTTCCAATTAAAGGTTTGAAAAAAACGGAATTTCAATTTTTCAGCAACGCACCTGACAACGCCACCATCTTCATTGTTCCTACGGCCTCCACTTGGGTTTTTGGGTTAATTATTGTTAAACTTGTTCACAATAATCCGTGGTGACCTGACCAATTTTCACGTTTTATCTTCTTTTTTTTTTTAAATTTTTTCAGTTCCCTATTTGTTTAATTGTCATACCAAATACGAAATGAGTGATTTGATTGTGCCTTTGATTAAATTCCGAGGAAAAACGTAGTAAGAAATTTAACTTTTATTTATTTAATTTTACCGCCCCCATGTACGTATGATTACTGTTGTTTTTAACGGGAATTCGTTGTTCAGAAGTCACGGCTGCAACTTGATGTGTGATTTAACTCCTTTCATGTAATTTAAATTAATGTTCCAGAGATTTTTAAGAGGACTAATAGAGTAATTTGTTTTCTTTTCTTTTTGGTTGGCGTTGGATTGTCGTTTTATCTTGATCAGAAGTAAACCTGTTGCTCGAACTCGTTTTTAAGTTCACAAACGTCATGAAGCGAGACATATTTGGCTGGTAGGAGGACACGATGAAACGTTGTTGTAGATGGACAACGAGTCTCCTTGGACAACAGTCCTTCTCGTTGGATCCGCGTTGATGGCCCTGAAAGCGGCGCTGATTCCAGCTTATGTGTCCACGGATTTTGAGGTTTCCTTCTCGGAAAGTTCCGATAAAGAGTATATAATCTCTTTATGCGTGAAAGACTCGAAGAAGAAATTTTTATGGAAATTTCTCCATATAATTAAAGTAATCTTCTTAAAAGAGGGGCAAATGGAATTATTGAAAGCTGGAAATTTGAGCGCTTTTTTTTCCTCATTTCGGTTATAACGGAATTTCTTTTTCCAGCATGATTTAAATAAGAAATCTTGAAAATTCGACAGGAATCTTCAAACTACACGCAAAAATATCGTGATGGTTTGAGTCCGCAGTTAAAAATTGTGGCCTAAGCTAACACGGAGAAAGTTTTTTTGCTGAAAAAGGTATCACCAATTTTTCAAAAACCTTTCGTTATGATGTTTGAAATGCACTCCGACAGTTGAGGGACAAATTGAAATGGAGCTCAGGTTCACCGAAATTGGATGGCGGTGACGTGGAACCGGCCCCTGCGGCAGTGGTACACGGAAAACACTTCCCAGTGGACTCTCGACTATCCTCCTTTTTTCGCCTTTTTCGAACTCGGTCTCGCCAAAATCGCGTCTTTTTCAGGGTAGGCTTTCCTTTTTTCTCTCGAAGATGTTATCAGGGATACTTCAAGCTTTTTTCGAAGTCCTAATTCCATTTATGTTTGACTCTTCAGAAGTCGTGTGGGATAAGGTAGACAAAGGGGTTGTTTTCAATATTTCTGAAACTCAAATTAATTACATGTCTACTTTTATTGGAATTTTTTCTTTTCTATTCGAATCTTATTTTTAAATCTTCTTCAAATCAAAAAAAGTATAAATTAACTAATTAATATTAACTTTCATGCCATCTCTATTCTCAGGAAAATGGCTAAAAATCATTTTCCACTTTACAAAACGCAGCCTCAGGTCTAATAACTGAAGTAAGTTCACGAAAATCTTCAGTTTTCAGGCTGGGAGACGTTTTGCAAATATCCGAAAAACCCATTTTCAATGAGCGAATCCTGTTTTTCCAGCGCATTTCCGTCATGTTCACAGACATCTTCTATGTAAGTCGAATTCAATTATCATACTCTAACGCAAAAAAAAGAGTTTTTTTTTGGTAACTTTTGATTGTTGGTTCTATAGCGATTCCCTTGAAGTTTTCTCTTCGTTACTATTTTCTTGATATTTTGGATAGCCCCAAATTACTTTCAGTTGATGTCTTGTGCTCTGATTGCATTCAAATCGACTCATCTTTTCGACGGATTCCCCAGAAAACTTCAGTCTTCAGCCAGGTTCGTCCAAGCTTGAATTGCGAAGCTTTTCTCAGGCTTGAGCTCGTTTTACCAGAAAATATAACTTTTTACGAGAAGACGTCAATCACTTTCCATAGGTACTTGTTCATTTTGTATTGAAAATTTATCCAAAATAGTTGTAGGATAGAATTTTTAATGTTGAGGGCAAAGTTCGAAACTGGGCATCACATAATGAATTTGAAGAACATCATCCTCAGCGTTTGTTTTAAAATGTTAATTAAAAGGAGCCCTACAGAAAGCATTATTAAAGTTCGCTTCTCTTCTTTCTCAATACTTCAAACTTAAGTTTTTGAGCAGTGACGATTTTGAAAAAAGTATTTTCAATTTGGAACAGCTCCTAAGATACTCAAAACTGAAAGAAAGTTTGGCAACCGAAGTTCAGAAAGAGTAGCACGAACTTCAAAAGATAAACCAAGTTTTAATTCATTATGCTTGTAAGATCAAAGTCTTTCGTCAGAAATCTCGTTCTTCTCGAGTTCTGGATTGTGCTTCAGAAAGTGCTGCTTCGTCCTCCTTGCCTGCAACCCGGCCTTGTTCCTCGTCGACAGCATCCATTTTCAGTACAATTCCATGATGACGTCACTGTTTCTCGTTTCGCTTTTCTTCGTCAATAAACGACGGTTCCTTTTGGTTCGGTTTGACATTGATTTTTGTTAATTAGAAAAAATTGACATCTTGGAGTTGATCGATATATTTCAAGTACGAGCTTTTACTGGGCTTTCTCCAACTTTGAATGGTTTTCAGGGCGCCCTGTTTTTCGGCATTCTCCTCAATTTCAAGCACATCTACCTTTACTATGCCTTGGCTTACGTCACGCACTATTTGTGGAACTACTTCGAAATTGGATCGTTCTCAATTTCGTCTGTCCCCATCATGATCAGACGAGGTAGCAAATAAAATGGTAAAATTCGAAAAAATAGAGAGAAATTAGATTTTCATGAACCTCCGGCGAAGATTTCTAATTTTTGAACCATTTTTCAGACAGTATTAACATAAAAGAGATTCAACTAGAGTCTGAGTTTCAAAACGTTCATCAGTGTTTTTCTGATCGGAAATAGTTCTTGACACTTTTTGCAGTTTCGTTTTTTTTTTTCCAAAAAGTAAATGAGTTGCAGGAGTTTCGTTGGGAGTTGTTTTACTCGTTCCTTTCGCGACGTCTCTCGGTGGTTTTTTGGCGGCTGATGGACTTGTCGGATTGCAAAATATCTTGAAGAGATTATTCCCCGTTTCGAGAGGTTTCCCTTGATCTGAATTATCACAACCTGCCGTTTGTTCTTCTGAATTTTTCATACTTGCAAGCCATTCATCTCCCCAAGCGAACATATTTTTTTGATTCCTAGAAAAATTTTTCTAAAAAAATTTTTTTAAAAAAATTACGAGAACAATCGTACATTTGCCAAAAAAGAAAGCGCCTGGTCATAAGTAATCCTGCAGGTCTGACTCACGCCTTTTGGGCTCCCAATTTCTGGGCCCTCTACAATCTGACAGATCTTGTGCTCTACCGCATTTTGACCTTTTTCCGCATAGGAACCTATCCAACGCCTACGTACACATCTGGATTGGTCCAGGTTCTTTTTGATCAAAAACTCGTGAAACGTGGTTTGGGAGCAGGAATACGACCACAGCGTGCTTCCCAGCGTGTCGACCTTCGGCAGCACTACGACGGTCCTTCTGACGTCGTTGCTCGTCTTGGGACTCTGCAAGCGACGGGCAGACTTCAGCGTCCACCTCACACTTGCCGCCTACGTCTTTTTCTTTTTCGGCTATCATGTTCACGAAAAGGCGATCCTTCTGATGACGGTGCCCTTAACTGTGGCCGCATTCAAGGTTTTTAATGTTTTTTCCAGGAAAGATAAATATGAATAAATATCATAGGGCATCTTTTTTTTCAAAGTTTTTTGTAACTTCCATTTCTAATCATGGTTTCTTTTCACTGGAGCTTTCAGATTTAGCTGCACTTATATTTTCAATTAGACACTATATTCATCACTCCAAACGGCAGCCGCGTTACAAGCGGCTCATGCTTCTTTTCGGACTTTATCTTTTTTTCATTTTTCTCTTTTATTTCACCGATTTATAAAAAATCTAGAATGGCCCAATAATAGCCATATGGAATTTTCGGAAACAGTTTGTTCTAAACTACCCTGAACCACGTACCTTTTGAGTTTTTTTTTCTTCGTAAGTTTTGGAATTCCGGTTTTAAACTAAATTGAGGTTTAAGAGACCTGAAATTCGATCGAATGTAGACTTTCCTGATTGAACGATTGAAGAGCTAAAGAAAACTGTTTCTGATTTCCGAATCTCAGAACGTCGATTACGTGCCGCCGTTTGTATTTCTGTCGGTTTTGTCGTCTTTTTCGCTGTTCCCGCTGCTGTTCACGCCGTTTGAAATAATGATCAAATACTCGGTAGCCCTGTGTTATATTTCACTCGTTGTCCTACTTGCCAAGTCGGTTTCCATTTATCAGCCTGTTCTTTTCAATCAGACCTCTTTTCCAGAAAATCACTGATGCTTCCACGTACTTTCATTCTTCCAAACTGGTCACTTTTTTATTTTGCTTTTCTCACAGCTGTTGAACTATACGCCAGTTTGATTCACAACGTAGGATTTTCCTTCATGTTTGCGAATAATTATCGAGTTTTATTTTCAGTGGATCTGGTCCGGAAAATACGAATTCTTTCCTTTGATGGCGATTTCTGTTGGGAATGCACTCGGAGTCTTGTTTGGATTGATCTGGCTCTTTTTTATTTCGACGCAATCCAGATTTTCCATCCGTCGAGCCTTCGCCAAGTGGAAATGCCTTTGTGAAGAGGTCAGTTTTGTGGGCAAACTATGAGAAAATGGTTAAGCCAAGTTCATTCTTAATTTTCATTTTGCCTGTCTCAATTACCACAGATAAACTTTTTACAGATACTTTTTTGTTAAATTTTACGGTTAACAGGTTGTAACAAGCTTGTTTATTGTGTTTCCAGAGTAGTAAAATCTTTTCAATCGACTTCTAGAAAGACGGGCTAATGGGGTTGTGACGCATGCATGCAATTTTTCAGTATTTCGAGAAATCCGAGTAATTTAAGCAACTTTTAAACTACGATATCGCCTCAAGCGAAATTTTCAAGCTGTTCGATGCGTTCCACATGAAAATTTGACTCAAACTGGGGATCTCGCACACGCTAAAAATGTACCTCATCGAATTTCTTTCTGAAGAAAAAACTCTTTTTTGAAGCTATAGATATCCCAACTCCACTTCAGCAATTGATCCGCGACGGCGCGTACGGCGTGCAGGAAATAGAATCTGAAGACGACGTGAAGATCGTCGCTGGCGCAGATATTTCAGCGTCGAAGACGAGTCCCAACTACGCTATCGTGGCTCTTTCCGTCTTCTCTTATCCCCGACTCGAGGTCGTTTTTTTGGTTTTTGAAGTGGCGAATCGTGTATTCGATATGATTATCCACTGAAAATTTCTCAAGTTTTTGAATTTAACACGGTTAGATTTTCTAGTTCTGCCATTGCACAGGCTCGAGGCGGGACCAGCCAATCAGAATCTTTGAGTTTGAGAGAAAAAAAAAAAGTAAAATTGTGATATATCAAGCAACAAAGAAGTACTGACTTAGGTTTTTCAGCACTTGAAGACGTTGTCAGAGACTGTGGTGCTCACGACGCCATATTTCCCAGGATTCTTGGCTCTTCGAGAATCCGCGGCTATCGTCGACGTCATCAAGCACGTCATCGCTTCGAATCCCCAGTTTCGGCCTGACGTCATCCTCTGTGACGGCAACGGACAGTTCCATCCACGGAGTTTGTTCATTTTCTGCTCCAATCGATAAAGATCATTTCAGAGTGCGGTTTGGCTTGTCACATAGGCGCCAAGACGGGAATCGCGTCGGTTGGCGTCGCGAAAAATTTGCTCGCCAATGTGGTTTATGACGTCACGCCAGAAGAACACCGGGCCAAGGTCGACGTCATCATCAGAGAAGTCTGCCTTTTTTCATTTCTTTCCGTGCGGCGTAGAGGTCATTGAAGTCGTAATCGATCTTTGTCCGAAAGAGGCATTTTTCACGCTTCGGAAATATCATTATTCTGCGAAATTTCCAAAATATAAAAAAAATACTTCAACAGTTTATTCGCCCCCATCAAAAAAATATTTTCCCACTTAGTTGGATAACTTGCAACCGAAAGAGGCCGGATGGATTCCCTTTGACTTCATTTCTCCCGTACTGATGAACGTCGGTTGGCTTTCCGCGTCCAAGGTTTTCTGATTTTCGTTCTCATCATATCAAGTAAAATTCGCTTCAGAACAAAGTTTACATCTCACCGGGCTACGGTATTGACCTTGCGACTGCAACGAAAGTCGTGTTCATGTCTTCGCGAAACTCCAAAACCTGCGAGCCCATCAGAGAGGTTTGGCGACTTTTTGGTGTTGTTTGAGAACATACTAGTATATACTGCGCGCAATTTATGTAGTTCTATACTACATTCACAAAACCTTCCTAAATTTCTATACTACATTCGTCACGACTCGAAAACAGTCTTGCGCTCTTTTTATGCTTTTCATTGTTTTATGAATACTTCGGTTAGAGATAAGAGAGCGCAGAGAGATAGAAGTTTTTTTCAAAATGATACCTTGCGAATGCCTGAAGGTGTAAATAATTTTCAAAAAAAATTTTATAGTCCGTTCGTCGCGACTTGAAACGGCTGTATTTCTCTGCGCCCTGTTTGTCTCTCTGCGGTGCTCTCGCGTTTACGAGCTGTTTTCATTTTTCTCTGACCTATCCGGTGAGAGATAAGAGAGACCCAGACAGGCATAACCTTTGAAGTCGCGGCGAACGGAGTATTCTCTGAATTTGGCCGATATTTTTAGATAAAATTTGCTCCATAATAAGTTTCTTTTAGGCGGATTTGTATACGCGGGAGCTACTGCGAAAGGAATTTGACTGAAACAATCTATACAGAAAAAATTTTGTTAATGTTTTTCATTCTTTGTACACACGCGCAACGTTTCAAAAGAAATTGTATCATAAGAGTTAATTATTATAACTGAATGTAATAGTTATCAGTAATTTCTACACGAGACTTATCGAACTTTTCGGTTATTTTGTTGGGTATTTTGGAAGTTTCTATCTTTCACGAAAATATGGGGTTTTTAGATGGAAGTTTGGAGACTATCAATGGGTTCCTTGCGAGTATGACTTCCAAAAATTACATATTTGTGATTTTGATTCTTTTAAACATGATGCTTTAAGCTAGGATATCAAACTTCATCGAATATTAATGTTTTTGTTGCTCCTTTGTTGTTATCTCTGATTGTTGATTCATTCATTCATTTCTTGTCAATCTAGCTGTTACCCGTACGAGAATGGGCTACGAATGAACAAAGGTTAACAAAGTGGTTAGGCAGAACAATGGTTCGAGAGAATCTACAACCCGTAGAAATAAAAAAAATAACGGCGATGGTGATGAGAATCAGAAGGTGGTCGCCTATAAACAATCTGTATCAGTCTTTGATGCCGAGGTAGATTGTTTTGGGGGCGTAGGTGCCTTCAAGACAGATCAGCCGCGCCTTCAGAAGCACGTAGAAGATAAGCGTCAGCAGCGAGGAACACGCCGTCATCGTTGCTATCAGAATCACCTGCAATTTCGTCCTTTGGAAAGGATATTTTTAAGTGAGATTTGCTTGAAACTCAACAACTAGTTGTGAACCGAACTCTAGCCGAAATCTATGAATTTGTTTACCGCTTCAAAATCGCGAAAGCATGACTCTGATCGGTAACGCCCCGTTTCCCTCCTTGCCCCAGCACTTTGTAAAGTCAAGAGAATTTCGGAGCCTTTTGAACTCTTCGCGTTCGAATTCTTCCGCATTCGGCGACGTTCCGCTTCAACTCACCCATCCTTGTATGGCGAAGCAACATTCGGTATTGTGATGACCGCAGCAGTCGAATTGGTGGAACGCCGAGGCCTGCGGACATTGTCTGTGACTGAAAATTGGAAGGAAATCCATGGAAATTCCATTATCTTTCCGAATAATTTATGAATGAGTTGGGCAACGCGGGAGGCTTCGAAACTTGAAACTGACACATTTTGAGTGAAGTTGCGACACCACTGGCCGAGGTTCTTGTCGGCCCAGCTGCTCGGCTTGGTCTGGTTGGTCGGCGACGTCGGCGAGTACGGCAGCGACGGCCACACCACCTAGAGTTGTCACTTGAGAGGTTAGAATGGAGGTCGACCTACCATTGCGGCGGCGACGGTCGGCAGCAGCAGCACAACGCTCCAGCGCCCCATCTTTCGACTTCAAAACGATATTTTCTGAAGTTTAAACAGTAAGGAACAAAAAAGTTCAGACATGCAAAATTCGTGAGACGTTTGGAAATTCGAGAAGATTGAAATAGATTAGGGAAATCTTTTTTTGAAAAAAATATTGGGAATCTATTGAAAACTTTCAACGAAACCATCTTTGTCTGGTTTTCTGGATTCTTTCTTGTGATAAGTTCTTTCAGTTCTATTTTATGTCACCCATTAAATCTGTTCTTTTCTATAAACTAGCACGAAATGAAAAGTTGAGAAAACAATTTTTGGCGAATCGAAACAATACATTAAAATAAATTGGTCAAAAGATAGTTCACGAAAGCATTAAATTATATCTGAACGCAGAAAGAAAATATTACAGTTCTTTTCAAGACAAAGGCCATATTCACTTTAAATTCTTGAGAACGGACACTTTGTTCTCTTTATCACAAAAAAAAACGCCGAAATAATCAACAATTAACGGGTTCAGAACAGTTTTTTGAATAGATTGAAGCGGGCAACGATGTCAAATGTGTTCAGTTCAGATTGTCGAGTATACTAACGAGAAACGATCTTGTAGAAGATAATTATTTTTTCGATTTCCAGAAAATGTTTTCTCAGATGGTTAACTACAAAAAACGGAATACTATAAACCCTTTTCGAGAAAACGAAACCGTCATAGAAAGGGGCGGACTCTAGACAGCTCTATTTTTCGATGGCAACGCCTTGTTTTTTGGAATCCAGTCAAACAAGAAACATTGGTTGATAAGGTCCATTTTTCAACTATATAATGATTTCGTTTTTGAACTGTAAAGATTTGAAAAAAAAGAGAGGGAAAAAATCTTGGATCTATCTTCTCGATCTGACATTGAACATGAATTATTGGCAGAGGAAGACAAGAAAAAATTTAAGGACATGTTTTTAGTGTATGCAGAAAATGTGGGCGTCGAGCATATTCTTTCAAGTGTTCACAGATTTGTGCCATGATTAACTTGGTTTTAAATATCTACTTATTATGGTTCTATGTTTCTTTTCTTACACAAAAAACTTTTTTTTCTTCACAGGTGGGGTTAGTTAATCCACCTAGTCAACCTAGTGGTCTTTTTCCCTCCCTGCAACATCACCATACCATCCCGATGTTGCGAAAAATAAACAAATTGATTGATAAAAAAAAATTGATTGATCTCTCAGATATATTTCAGGACTTTCGACCATGAGAAGAAAATTGAGACATTAGAGATATAGGTCTATTTTGATGATTTAATTGAAACTTTCTATAGTCTTTTTTCTTAGTTTCCTTTTACCTTGAGGATTTACCTTAGATATCTTCCAAATAACTTTCTCCAATATTTTTTCACGGTTCACTGCAAAATATCTTCGAAAAACGACCACTTCAACGATTTTTGCAACTAAAGAAAATAGAAAAGTGCGGTGGTCGACAAAAATTGGTGTCGTTGATTTGCAGACGCAGCCGCGGTCATAACTTTCTTTCGACTGCGAGGAAAAATGGACGGAAAAAGGTGAGATCGAAGTAGTCAAGGTCTCTGGAGTTCGGCGAACCTTGTTATTGCAACCAGAATTGAGACCCCAACAAACTGATGACGACAAAAAGACAGCGAAAAAAAAAAAATGGAACTGACGTTTCTAGACGGAAATTTTGAAGAACAGATATCTTGGAGGCATTCCGAAGTTTCCAACTTAAGTATTTTTGTTCAAAAGAAAATCCTTATAAAGATAGTAATTTTACTTTGGGATTCGGAACTTCCTGAAATTAATTCAGAACGTTTTTCGACCTACCAGAGAAAGGTCCAGAAAGTTTCAACCTGCAAAGCTTCCTAGTTTTGGAGCAACTGGCTTTGAGCTTTCATTTCTCGAAAAGTGAGAAGCTAGGCAGGTTGAGACATTCAGAAACTTCTTCTGGTACATACATCAAGAAGTATTTCGATCGAACTTTAAAAAATTCCCACTCGTCAAGAAAAATTACCTTCCTTGTCAGATAAATAAAAGCTGAACGCTTCGAGAAAATCTAATTCTAGACTAAATTTCCTTCCATCACCATCAATCGAGTAAAAAAAAAAGTGAATTTTCGATAGTATAGTTCAAATTTTGAAATAAATAAAAATCCTTCAAAGACTCGATCAAGCATTTAAAAACTGCTAGAACGACCAATCTGAACGTTCAGATCAATAAAAAAACATTTTAGATCTCAAGAATCGATATTCTCGAGAAAAAGAAAGGAAAAGCCGAAGAAGCGGGAGGTGAATCTCGAAGTGGCAAAAGGGATATCGACGTAGAGGAGAACCAGCGACGACACGAAAAAGAACGGGTCTTGGATGGTCGGTAACCGCGTCGGTCGCTCCGGGGTCGAGATGCGTCTTCCGACAAGCATTCATTATTTATTTTTGTCATTTCATTGAAATTACTACCCTGAAAGATTTCTTTAGCATCAACTGACAGCGGAAAATAAACTTGTCCTCATCCAAAACTGACTGTCAAGAAATCAAGTGAAGTTATTTAGCTGGTATATAATTCAGTTAGAAGTATGAAAAAATTAATAATTCACTATAAAATTCGCACATTTTCGAGGCTCAAAAACTCTTTGATTCACGATGTCAGGATCCAGAGCGTCTGAATTCTCCAAATTAGTATTTTTTGAAAAAAAAAACTGCGTTATTCTGGAACTAAAGTGTTAAACCCAAGAGTATTTCTCTCATTTTTCTAATCATCTTGAAATTCCCATCAAGTTTACTTTTCTCGAGGATCATTTATGATTATTTTTATGAATGAAACATAATTTTTACCTTTTGAAAACTTCACTCAGAACATCTAAGCGCTCACAGTACAAAATGAGGTAATGACAGAAAAAAAAGTGAAAATCCGAAAAGAAAGGAACACGGACGCCGCTCCCGAAGCGGACGGCCACCGCAGGAAAATGGACTCGCTCCGTTGCGCTTTCACCGATAGCGAAAGCAAAGCCGTTGCGTAGACGGCTATGGCATAAGCGACGCCTTTTTTGATTGCACAACTGGTAACGGGTCCGTCGAGCTACCGGTTTTCTCGCAATTCATACCGCAACTTTACTATTTGCCCAAACACAATTAGCATCGTTCGAAAAACTGGATCGCTTTTAACCATTAAACCGAATACGATAACAAAGGAAGTTGACCACAACTAGATCGTTTAAAATATCGTAAGAAGTGCTATTTCAATGAATTTGCCCCTATTTTGAGTGTTTATTTGATCCTGGTACCACTGAAACTTTCTAGTTTGGAGCTATCCCTTTACAAACGATTAAAAGACGTCCTGATGTAGTATATAAAATTGCTGAAAATATCAATCTGCAACACTTCCTGAATTTAAAGAACAGACGCCTCGAAGGTCGCTTTTCTGGAAACTGCATGAAAAAAAGAAGTTTTGAGCTTTTTTCATATGAAACAATGAGTTATGCAGATTGCGACACAGCAAAGATCTTTTCAGTCAATTTTCAGAAACTTCGGAAGTTCTAAGGAAAATATTCTTGTCAATAAATAGGCTGAGACGAGAACTTCTATCTGTATTCATCGATCACTTCACTATAACAAACTTGTGTCAAACTTTAAATATCTAGGAAACAATTTCAGCTCATCCGCCAAGTAGAAATTTCACTTTATAACAGTCGAACAACGCGTGCGCAAAGCCTTCACAAGGAATCAACAGGAAAATCAACAAAAACTAACCAAAGTAACAAATGAAAACGAAACAACAAATTTACTCTTCCATCTTGTCGAGCACCGAGTCCATCGCATCAGACAGCTTATCAGCACGTTGAGCTAGAAATTATCTCACAATGTTTCGAAAATGAGAAAATTACACTCACAAGTCTTTTGGGCCTTTTTCTTCTGCCTTTTCACGGCCTTCTTGATGAGCCTATTCAGCTGAACGTTTCCATCAATGGTCAAGCTGGAAAAAACAGTCACGAATCGTTAAAAGAGGAGGCAATCGCTTACTTCTCCGGAATAACGGCCTTTTCTGTTTCCACGGCGGCCTGCTTCTTCTTCTTCCCGCTCTCAACTGTCTGCTTCTTACCTAAAAGTCCAGAAACTTAAGGTTCGCATTCAGATCCAAAAATACAACCTGCGTCAACTTCCATTTCATCGTCGCTCTTCTCATCGTCGGAACTTTGCACAACCACGGCATTACTTCCTTCGACTTCCATCGGAAGTCCTGCAACAGAAATGAAGGATCTAGAGAATGAATGGAAATATACAGAAATTTCCTTTTTTCATTTTAATACTGTTTTCATCAGCAATCATGCGCTATAAGAAAACGCAAGAAAATAACGAATTCAAAACAAAAAAATTTCTAACGACAATTGATATATGAAAAAATAAATTTCAATGAACTGATGCGTAGTAAAATATAGCTCATTCTGCTCAAAATTTTCACGTTTTTTTTTCTGCCGGAAAGGCGTATACCAAATTTGATCCGCCGTTCGCTTCAAGACCTTCGTTTTTCGCTGTGTTATTAGCAGTTAGGGAGAGAAAAAGTTTGTATTGATTCTATATTTTTTCTGATGTTGTTTTAAAAGGTAACCTTCTCGCACGGAACGCACTATATCTTTTTTCGAAGGAAACTCATAAAAACTACAAGTATCCCTCAACACTTGGAACGTACCCTCGACAAGTTTGTTCTGCTCGTCGTTGATGTCGTCGAGGTCAAACTCCTTACTGAACTGCGAGACAATCTCAGCAGGAACAATCACCTCGTTTGCCCTGAACGAAGAATCATTTCGAAATGTGGAAACCGAGAAAAGTACGAGGGAGACTCTGGCGGATGCGTGTAATATCGCAGTTTTCCGGTGTTCCAGTCGTTGAGCACGTGTTTGGCCGCCGCGTTGATGTCCGGCCGCGCGCCTTTCTTCAACTTCCCCATTTTCCGCGCCAGGAGAGCCAGAAACTGTTCCACCAAAGTGTACTCCGGCAGGTTGTAGTGAAGCATCATCTAAATATTACAGTAAGAGGATTTTTCACCGCTTAAAAAGTTCGAGCCCTCTTAAAACGTCTGAAGGAGATTTTTTATGTTTTTTTTTTGTTGCTCAGTTTGATTTTGATCAGCACCTAATGAGCATCTATTTTTGAAATCAGAAAATAAATATGTTCAATGGATAAACGTTTCGAAATGGTTCGCTGATAAACTAGAAACATCCGACTGTTTACGGCTGCATTTCGATAGATTTCCAAAAATATTTGAAATTTCTAACCGTCTCCTTACTGCAGCGACGTAAGATCGCGTGAACAGGTCCGACAGGATCAATGAGAGAATCGACGCTGACGGCGTTTTTCAAAGCAACCTGGAAAATATACAGCGCGGATTTCAGAAAACCAATCAAAAGACTGAAATACCTCAATAGGATCCAGGTCCTTTTGGCTCAATAAAACGACTCCGGGAGAATCAATCAAACGGATGTTTTTATCGAGTTCGACCTCTTGAAGTTCTCTTGAATTGAAAATATAAGGACTTTGGAAGCGATCAGAATAAACTTGGTGATGCCTGGCATCGCGCCTACGTTGCATGCGCGACGACGTTTCAAGCTGTTGATGACGCTGCTTTTTCCGACATTTGGGAAACCTTTCAGAGAATAACTATAATTTCTATCCACCTTTCATACAAACCGACGACTCCGACACGAATCGAAGTCTTGATGTCCTTGTTTCGGCAGTAATTGGCCAAGATTTTCATGACAATATCTGCTCCGACGCATTTTCCCGTCGCTGTGTTGTTCAGAGTGGCACTGTTGAAGCGGCCCTGAAAACAGAAACTGACATAAACGAAAATCAGATCAATACGAACGAGATTGGTTTTTTGGTCCTGCGTGCTGGCTTTGAAAGCAATCGCTGGCGACTGTCCACGAAGATACTTGAGCCAGTTCTGCACGTTTTCTCGAGGTACAAGATCAATCTAAACTCTTTGATAATGAGGGGAAGATAATTTGTTTTAAAATTGCCTCTAACTCTCATAGAAAAAAAAATAGAAAATTCAAAAAATTCATAGTGAACAGCGTCCAAAATAACGGTTGTAAAAACCCTTTTTAACAGAAGTCGAATTGTAAAAAAAAGCTTTCGTATAGAACAGACTAAAAACCTGACAGAATATTTTTCAGAGTTTGATTAACAGTTGAAACAGAAAACGCTTCCCTCCTTCTTATAAACTTTTTTTTTTCCTACTTGCAACGGTGAAAAATTTTTGATAACGGAAAGATTCTTAAAAGTCGAAGCTTTCTACATACCTTGTTCAACAACAAAATAAGACGTTTGCCGCCGTTGATGACCTGTTCTTCAACAGACCGACTGCGACTTCCGAGAGGGTCCCGCGCATCCAAAACCTATTCAAAAAGTACAGTTCAGCCTTCATTTTGCAACCAAAACCTCGATGATAACATCTGCCATCTCTATAGTTTTTCGCACCTCATTCGCATAAACTTTGATTGTTTTGTCACTCATCGTGTCAATTTTTTCATCTGTTTCATTAGATTTTTTGTTCTCAAAGTCCTTTCCCTAAAAAAAAAAAGTCATTTTCTCTCATGTTCGGATCAACTACCTGCTTTGCTGCTTTCGCTCCAAGCTCTTCGATCGTGCTCACAACTCCTGCTTTGCGTTTCTCTCCTCGAGCTGCTTTCGCGGCTTCCTAGAAAAAAAAAACGCATAGCGACATGATGTTCGAAAAGCAGTGAATTAACCTTTGCAGCTTCTTGTCTGGCTTTAATCTTCTCCCTTTCCTGTTCAGCTTGAATTAATATATCCTCCTTGAAAGGACATGAGTTCGGCACACTAATTGTTTTTTCTCGGATTTTCTTCGCTTGACCTGAAAATATCAACATATAAAAGAAATTTCTGACATCAACTCAACCCGATTTTTTGGCATCTTTCTTCACTTTGCGATTATGATCCCGTACCTTTTTTTCGATTTTGTATCGTTTAGCACAACTCTGGCGCTTGCTAGCTTTTTCTGAATAATTTATTCTTATGAAAAACTTCAATAGAAAAACTTACTCAAACAATATTTCGCCATAGTAAAGTGACACCTGAAAATGTTTAGTTTAGGTTCTGTGAATTTTCTGGATTACACGTAGTAAAGAACAAATTAACATTTTTATGCTTTAAAATTTCTCAAATAACAATTTATCAATAAAAAACATATAAAAATGATGGATAAAAGGTTACAAGAAAACGAAAGCCTCGAGATGGGAACACTAAGAATAACTGACGAGATAAACGCGAGCTCGGTGGCGGTACATTGACTAACTCGCAAAAATGTCGCTTTTTTCTAAGCGCGATCCCGCATTTCTCTCGGCGCGACCTCGCATTTTTCTCGGCGCCATCTCGCATTTATCTTGCATTTCGGAAATTTTCAAATTGCGAGAGAAATGCGAGTTCGCGCCTAGAAAAGTGCGAGCTGGCGCCCAGAAAAATGCGAGACCGGCGCGAGAAAAAATGCGAGATGTTTGCGAGCTCGTCAATGTACCGCCAGTGTCTCGCGTTTATCTCGGCAGTTATTCTTATGCCGTGTTCAATTTGATTCCGCGAAATGCAAAATGATCTCTGGCTCTCCAAAATCTAGTGATCTTTTCCTTTCTCTAACGGGTATTTCGCATTTCGCGGAATCAAATTGAACACGGCATCACTAATCACTAATGCCGTGTTCAAAGTGATTCCGCGAAATTCAAAATAGCCGTCAGAGAAAGAGAAAGATAACTAAATTTTGGAGGGTCAGAGACTATTTTGCATTTCGCGGAAATTACTTTGAACACGGCATGAACACGGCAGGAAAACGAAAACTCTTTTTTCAACAAGTTCGCTCTATGGCAATTAGGTCCTAACACGAATCCAAGGTGCACTGGATCTTTCCAGTGTAAATCGCATTCATACTTCTATTAATTTATTTTAACTTTTGTAAAAAATAAGACTAATTTAAGCTCACTGTTTTTATCATATGTGCTGCGAGGTAGACGAAAGACTTGATCTTCAAAAATTTTTTTGTTTGACTCGTGGTTCAATTGTTTGTAATTTTTCTATTTTATTGGTCTCTAGATCTAAATTTTGTTATTTTTGGATGGCTCCTGCTGCCTCAGCTGCCCCAGCACAAAAGCAGTCCGCTTCGGGTAAGGAAAAGAGCTTCAAAGACAAGGACAAGCCAGAAAGCGTTCGTAACAGGTGACTTTCTTTTTCGTATCTTTTTAAATTTCAATATTTCAGTAATATTGTCGCAGCTAAAGCGGTTGCGGATGCTGTGAGAACATCTTTGGGCCCAAGAGGCATGGATAAAATGATTCAATCAGGAAATGGAGATGTCACCATTACAAATGATGGGGCTACAATCCTCAACCAAATGAGCGTGATCCATCCTACAGCTAAAATGGTTTGTAATTGAAGATTACTGAACTAATGTTCTCACTAATCTTAAAAAAAGAAGCTTTTTTAAGCTCGTGGAACTCTCGAAAGCTCAAGATATCGAAGCTGGCGATGGTACTACAACTGTTGTGGTTATGGCTGGTGCGCTTCTGGATGCCGCTCAGAATCTCTTGCAAAAAGGTACGGTTTTTTTTTTGCTAATATTAAAAAAAAATTTGGTTTTATTAGAAAACAATACTTTTCAAGCAGATATCATTTATGATTTTTCTGTCGTTTTTGCACGTTCCTATCAATTTCTTCAGGAATTCATCCTACGACCATCTCGGAATCTTTCCAAGGTGCGGCCGCGCAAGCTGAGCAGATTCTAGAAGAAATGAGCTCTCCCGTCTCACTTGACAATGACGAGTTGCTCGTGAAGATGGCAACTACTTCGTTAAACTCGAAGGTATTCGTAATAACTGAACTTTCGATTGGGTTTATTTCGTATTTTCAGGTCGTTTCTCAGCATTCCTGGCTTTTAGCTCCTATGGCCGTGAACTCTGTCAAGAAAATCATCGATCCCGCCACGGACACAAATGTTAATCTTAAGATGATCAAGATCGTCAAGAAGATGGGAGACACGGTCGAGGTTCCTGGCTTCTGTGATTAATTCATTCTGATAGTTGCTTAGGAGTCAGAACTTATCGATGGAGCTCTTATCGACCAGAAGTCGATGGGCCGCGGCGGTCCAGTTCGCGTAGAGAAAGCCAAGATTGGCCTTATCCAATTCCAGTTGAGCCCTCCCAAAACCGACGTCAGTGTTTCAAAACTTTTTTTAACGGAGAAAGGGGCTGAATTCTTTCAAAAATTTTTTTAAAGATGGAAAATCAAGTCATTATCTCCGACTACGCTCAAATGGACCGCGCCTTGAAGGAAGAACGACAATATTTGTTGGATTTATGCAAGCAAATCAAGAAAGCAGGATGCAATGTTTTGCTCATTCAAAAAAGCATTCTGAGGTTACACTTGTGATATTTCGCATATTTTATCAATTTTTTTTTATTTCAGAGACGCTGTAAACGAGCTTTCTTTGCACTTTTTGGCAAAGATGAAGATTATGGTCGTTAAGGACATTGAGCGAGAAGATATTGAGTTTTACTCACGGGTTGGATCTCTTTCCATTTTCCGATCATAAATCAAAACTTTTTAAAGCTTCTTGGATGCCGTCCCATCGCCTCTGTTGATCATTTCGTCGCAGAATCACTTGGATCTGCTGATCTCGTTGAAGAAATCTCGACCGGAGGTGACGGAAAAGTTATCAAGGTGGCTCTTTGATTTGTTTTGAGAAGTAATGTAAACCTCGATAATTTTTCAAAGATTGCTTGAGGTTTTCTCACATTTTCAAGGCAATAAAAGAAAAAACGAAAAATCATATCTAGGTGACTGGTGTGCAAAATCCTGGCCACGCAGTTTCCATTCTTCTCCGCGGCTCCAATAAGTTGGTTCTCGAGGAGGCTGATCGCTCTTTGCATGATGCTCTATGTGTGATTCGCTGTCTCGTCAAGAAGAAGGCTCTTCTACCAGGTTCATTCTTCATCTCACTTTCTTGTTACTCTTAGGTTTTTCAGGTGGTGGAGCTCCTGAAATGGAAGTCGCCGTCAAACTGCGTCAGTTGGCTCAAGCTCAGCACGGCGCTCAACAATATTGCTGGAGGGCCTTCGCAGATGCTCTTGAACTTGTGAGCTAATCAGCTTTCTTGTTCTCCATATCTTTCAATTACAGCAAGATTATTATTGCTTTTCAATCTGGAAAGTTCAGGAAATTTTGTTTCAATCCATATTTTTTTAACAAAAATTATAGCTGTGAAATATTCTTTCTTACAAGGGAGGTTGGGAATTTCCTGAAAAGTGGCCAGAAAAATTCTTATTGTACCATATGAATATCCGGAAAGTCGACCTGCATAACTTCCAAGTTTTCGATAAGGAAGTTCAGTCGATGAAACTTTTCACATAACGTTATAGGAGAGTGAGAAAGTATTAGCATCGTCTTGTTAGAGTTACTTTTTTCTTAGGTTCCATACACGTTGGCTGAGAACGCCGGTTTGTCTCCGATCCACACGGTGACAGAACTTCGCGCCCAACATGCCAACGGCAACTCTGACTATGGAGTTAACGTCAGAAAGGTCGGATTTGACATAAAACCTTCTTTTGTAACAATCCTTTTAGGGCTACGTGACGGACATGCGGGAGGAAAACGTTGTTCAACCATTGCTGGTCACCCTGTCCGCCATCAAACAGGCCGCCGAATGTGTTCGCTCCATCCTGAAGATTGACGACATTGTAAGTTTTTCTTTTGTTCTTCTTAACCGGATGTTAAGTTTGAATTTCCAGTAATCATAGAAAGAATAAAAATTGAGTGTTGTATTCGCTCCTTTTTTAATATCTTACCTTTACTATTACTTTTTTTTAAAAATTATATCATAAGTTTGCCAGAAAGGCTCAGAAGCTCTTTATTTTCTATTTGAAACTCTAAATGGATAAATAACTTCATTTTCCAGGTGATGGCTGTTCGCTAATCGTCATTACCCGACATACTCGCTTTAGTTCTTGATGATCTTGCTTCAACCCATTGCAAATTTCGATTTTTGAACGTGTGTCGTTTGCTTAATCTCATTCTCGGTTTACCCACTTTGCTCCTTCTCCTTTTGATACTCTTTTATGTTTTGAGTGTTATTGCTTGATTGTTTTGCAGTTTCTTGTTTTGTTTGCAACATAAACCACGATGTATTCTCCGATGTCAACCAAAATTTACACACGAATGCTAAACCGTTAGATATTTGGAAACTAGTTATAGCAGTATTTTTCAGAAGTTTTATTGTAGCCGTTTGAGTGTCATCGCGTCGAAAAGGCTCCACTTCGTCCCATTTGACGGAATGACGAGAGATCTTGAGCGATTATGCAGTTAACCGGCGAAAAATAGCTGAAAGGTTGTTGAAACATTTCTGTAGCGGCATCATACTCACCAATTACGTGATGAGCTTGCCAGCGATCTGTAGTTAGATGACTTTTTGGATGTCCGCTGGTCGTAGAATCCAGGAGTGATGATGTAGGCGTTTGAAAAAACGGCAAGCAAACTAGAGACGATGAGCACAAGCACAAAGTTTCTCATCGTGGTTACCTAAAACAAGTTCCTGAGAGCTCATCGAAACGAGCAGGAAGTTATTATGTCGGGTTGGAAACGTGGAAATAACAATGGATGGGTAGCAGTGGAGGCAAACTGAGTCATTTCCCTAATTAATATATATGTAGACGTAGAGAAGACGTTCCTCTTGGGATAATTGCTCAGAGGGGGAAGGTTGATGGGCGTAGTCGATAACGGAGAAGTCTTTTAATTAGTTTCCAGCTGGCGATAAGTGAAGAAAACCTTTTTTTCTGCCGCAAAACCCATATTACGTTCCGTTTCGAGGGCTTCTGGGGACTCAAAATGTGGGAAAAGAGCCACCGAGAACACTTTTAAACGAGCCAGTCATTTCTCTTCTTAGTTTTTGAACCAATGGAGTCAAAAGGAAAAGGAATTTCGTCTGAAAAACTGTTTCTAGCGTCTAAAATGTTTGAAAACTTTAAAGTTCGCAGCATCAAGCCCACAAAACCTTTTGACGGCTTTTTTTCAGAACTCAAAATACGTGAAATTTTAAACCGAAAACGTGTCAGGTAGCTCGAATTACCTTTTCGAGTTCAATTTGACGTTTTTAATTTACAAAGCGCAATTTTCTGAGCCACTGCGGAATGGAAAAGAGAACCTTTTTTTGTCAGAAAATGATCTAAAAAAAACTGTTACTGTATTGTTTTCATTTTTTGTTAATTTTTTTTTCAAAATCCAGAAAAAGGATTCCAATAAACCGAATCGACATTAGTTCATTCGCCGATGAGTTGAGACAAGACTTGAAACGTAGTGAAATAGTGTGGAAAAGGAGAGGTTTAGACATCTTTGCAATATTTTTGCCCCAAGATATTGGGGAACGCCGTACACCTCACCCGCGACGACTCGAAGTAGTCTCTTCGTCTGCGCTCTCTTTTCTCTCACTTTTGAGGTCATATAAAATTAGAAACAACAGATAAAAACGATATTTTTGCTGAGAAACCTAGAAAGATCAGTCTTTTTCTCCAAAAAAAAAAAAAAAAACGTTTTTCAGTTCCAACTTGCTAGTCATTTTAAAATTACAAAAGAGAATTGAACCTTAGAACGACGTAATTCCCGTTCAAACGAGGAGGTGTCAAGAAAAAAAAAAACGGAAATTCGACGAGGAAAAGGGCGGCTTTATCATATCCTGAGCTTTTTTGCTTTCTCTTTCGAAACTCATCCAGGAAGAAAATGCAACGATAAGCTCTAATATTTGAAAAGGGCTAAATTTTGAAGGGGCAACCTAATTTTGAGAATGTTTTCAGTTTTTAAGTTAAAAAAAAAAGGAAGAGAAAATGCCGGTTTTTATGACATTGAATGGTCTCAACTTAGAAGCCAGTGATCGCACATATATTGTCTTGAAATAGAAAAGCTTTCAAAACAAGACCGACCCAAAACGGCTTACGCGTGAAGGCATTAGAAAGCATTCGAGCAACTTGCTGGATTCTAACTGAAACGCGACGCTTCAAGCCATTCCCTTTGCGACCACGGGACTCGGAGTCAAGCAGAATGAAATATATAATAAAGGATTCAGACAAAGGGAAGCTAATGATGGTTCTTGCTCAACTAAAAAGGGCAGTCTGGAGGCGTTAATTAACGAATAACAAACGTGATGACTTTCTGTTCCAACTTCAGGAAATGAAATGTAGATTTTCGAGGTCACATGATCAGTTGAGGGAAGGAAATACCGATGAAGCAAAAATGTGCCAAGATTAGAGAGTCGAGGCTCGATATGGGCGGAGCCAATCTGGGGCGGCCGCTCGCTAAGCTGAGTAATTGGCTTGTGCCATGGAGCGAATGGAATCGCTCGAGATGAGCCGTCGGCTTAGCACGTTGCAGAAGAGAAAAGACAATTTTTCTGTGTTTCAGAGGTTTCAAACAGCTATTTTTTGAGCCACCACGAGATTAAATACATGTTTTTTTTCTAATCCAATTTCGGATAGTTAAATCTTCTTTGAAACTGATAGGAATGGCTCAAAGCGTCACGGTTACAAAGTGGTTTCGACTTGAAGTTCAACGAGTTGCTCAACTACTTTCTATACCCAAACACGCAGGCAGTTTCAAGTCGGGTGCAACCGCTCTGCACCTCGAGTACTCTGCACAACTGCATATATTTTGAAAGTCTTGCGAAAACTTGAAACCAACGTTGACATGCTCTTCCTCGGTCAGGCGGCTTTCCTTTCAATTTCTTTCCTCCTTTTTATTTTGTTCCCGACTCTCAACGACTATTTTATTGCCCGAGAGAAGGCTTCGTTCAACCGCCGACGGAAGCTTGCGTATTTTTAGGCCCATTAAAACGCTTCAACGGATTTCTGGCTCCCGAAACAACTGCGACGCCCGAATTCGTAAAAATATCATGGTTATTTCTGGTATTTCCAGCTTTATCGGGATGGCTTGAAATAATATATTCATATGAAGCTACCGCAGACCTTTCTCGAGATGTCTTCTTGATCAAAAGCTGCCATAAATATGTCTATTGTTCTCTAAAAAATTGTTTTTACATTTGCTTCGTCTTCTCGATGTTTTCGGCTAAATTAACAACAAAATCTGCAAGGAAAAAACTTCCTAATTGAAAAATAGTTCTTAATTGAAAAATAAAAAAAAATCTGATAAAATAAGTCGAAAGTGATTGCGAAAGAAAAGGTTGTGATAAGGATCGGATAGTTGAAAATCCGTATTTCATGGGAATTATCGCCTTTTCGAAATTATCTCAAATTTTCATTAAAGTCCTAAATTAGTTTGTATTTTTTTTAACCGAAGATGAATAAAGTCCACAGAGTTGAAAGAAAAATGAAGTGGGCCACGCCTAACTTCCGCACTTCCGAGAAACCTCAACAATCTTGTCGTGAATAAACCATGAATACTGCAGCGACTTGTTGCTGAACAGTTGATTCGCCCCCCTTTCGGCGAATAGAGTATGCAAGAAGACCTCCGCGAAGTTTCACACCATATGATCTCAGAGAAACGGGGTGTCTGAGCTTTTTCTGCGAAGTTTTTGCAACGTCCGAAGCACGCCACATTGCCCCCGCTCGACCCTTTTTTCCGGCCAAGACGTCCGCTTTGGTGAACAAACACGTGGTGGAGGAAAGCGTGCATTTACTTGGAATGCCTCGAAATCCATGTGCTTTCACTTTTTGAAACTTGAACTCGAAGACCAATCCACCTCCACATCGTGAGAAGCTGTGTATAATCAAGGTCTATATAATTGTACCTATAAGGAAAGTTTGAAACTTCAGTACTTTCAAAGTATTCCTAGAGCATATCAGATGAAGAGCATAGAAGTCAAAATTCGCGGAATTTTCTGAATTTTGGGAGCGGATACAGCGGAGCTCTAGTTGCTTGCACAGAGTTCAAACAACCGTAATTTGGAGCGTCGGTTTTTTAAAAAAGAAAATTTTGCAGCTCTCCATCTATCACCAGAAAGAGCGTTTTGATCAATTTTCAAGTTTTGTTCAGAATTTGAAAAATTGAATTCAAAATGAACTCACTGTCAGAAAATTTTCCATAAAAACCTGAGGAAGATGACTATGAAAAAGACTATGCCTCACAGAAACTAATTTTTGAGCTTTACAAAACCTTTCCCAAGGCAATTAGGCACTTTGAAAGAAAGCTTTTACGGAAAGAAATGAGAATTGTCAATTAACTAATCAGAATCAGGTGCTTCATTAAAGGTAATCAGTTTTTGTTTTGAAGCAAAATGTGAGACTCAATAGTCAGACTTGTTTTTTCGCTGAAATATCATGAGAACAAAATGAGCGGCTTTCTGATAAGAGTTCAACTCTCGAAACATACGCGTAAAATTAGAAAGAAGCAAAGTTCAAGAAAAGGAGTAGACATGGATGTTTTATGATACTAAAATGAACAACTAAATGAATATAAATTAAGTACCTCTGGAGAAAAAGTCGAAGAAGAAGAGGAGGCGAAAAAGGAAATAATCACGATGAGTTACCCATAATAGATGAGATGAGGAAAGACAAAAAAAAAGCAAGACGAAACATTCGAGTTGACTCTGCAGAATGTGAAAGAATAACCGATGGGGAACCTAATTAAGAAGATCAGAAGAGGCAAAAAAGAAAGTGAGTGACTGATTAAATTCACGAGTAATTCTTTGCGGAGTGTGACGTCAAATCGAGGAAAGAGTATTTTTCTGGCACGGCTCCAACAGAAGGACGTCGCTCGATCTGTGGATTCTGACGTTGTCGACGCCGCAGATGCCGTCCGAAACACCGAGGTTTTCACAGACAAACGCGATCTGCAGATTTTTCTTTATATAGCTTTTGTGAAATTCAGGTAAAAAGAAGTGTTCAAAGTTAGCCTTTTTGTAAGATTATTATTAGAAAAACAAGATTGAAAAAAAAATTTTTACGGTTTTAGAAAGTTCAAAACTGGCACACGAATAAAATATTCGATCACTTGGAGGTATAAGACTGAAAAGAAAAAACAAACTTCGGATAGTTTTAACGCTGAGATGGGTGAGATTTCCTTTATTACAAATAATAGTAAAGAAAAAAAGTTTCAGAAAAAAAGCACAAATTTAAAAGCCCCAAGATCGCTTCCAATAAAATTCAAATTGACCGAAAAATCTCGAAAAAGCCAGAGGCATAAAAACGTTCCTATTTTTTTCTGAACTCTAAAGTTTAATAATTCCTTTTTACAAAAAACCTTTCAAGTGAAATTTATTTTTCTATCGGTTTCGAAGTACGTGTAGTTCCAGAATACTCACGGCGATAGTCCCGGCGGCACATTCGAATTTGGAAAATTGCCAGACGACGGGCGTCTCTTCAGAAGACGTCGCAAAGGGACACGTCACTCCAGAAGCACTCGAACAGCATCCGACCAACCGTGTCCCCAGACGGAACTCCAATGCGTCAAAAAGGACCTATAATTGGAAGTGAATATCAGCTGGATGATTTTTGGAAGAAGCTACCCAATCTTCAACTTCAATATAGTTTTCCAATTATGGCAATTATACTCAATCAATTTTTGTAGGCCTAGTGAAGGGGAAATATTGTATTATTAAACATGGAAAAAGCTGACTAAAACGAACCAAATGTGGTTCAGACATCAAAGTCGGTGTTTCCATCGCTGAAACTTGTCCGGAAGGTACCATCGATTGGGCGAAACTCGACAAACCAACTGTCAAAATAAAAATAAAATGGAGATTGTTTTTTCACATTTATAATTTACACAGCTCATTATGAGTAAAGATAGTTAAATCTAGAATTTTGTTCAATTTGAATTTAAAAAAAAGATGAACCTTTCTGGATGTGGAAACGATGTTGAGGGGCGACGGAGGCAGGAGCTGTCCAATGGCATAAAGATCGTTCGAAAAGACAGCCGCCCAAGGTTTCGCAGGAACTTGGAACGGACAGCGATGGCAGTCTCTAACACATTCATTAGACGGCAATATTAGACTATAAAGTTAAAATTTCTCCTTTTATATTGTTTTTTTTCCTGGTTTTCAATATCTTCTTCTCAAAATCATCTCAAGTTTCCGACTGACCTTTGTTCGAGAGGATGCGTAGGACTGACGGCGAGCGGCCGTCCGCGTCTCAAAAATCTCGCGATTCCTTCAATTTTCGGAGTGACCGTTTCCGGTTCAGAAGCTTCCTGAAAAGAAGCCGTTTGTTCTTTTCTGAGTTATCCACAAAACCCGAAGCTTGGGCCGAACAATGGGAATAACGACTTTGGTGGATGTCCGCACTTTTTTGCTCTCTCGCACAATTTCTTTCATCGGAAGTTTCGGCATCATCGGTGTTGGCTGCAATAAAATTGTCTGTTGCCTCAATTGGCGTTTAGAAAAGATAATTGGCAGAAAAGGGGTAAATAGGCATCATTTTGTCTTTTTTGACCTTCACTTGTGGCTTCGATAGAAAATTCTATGACAAAGAACCACTGGCAAGAGAAAGAGTTTGACTCGAAAAGTTTGGATTTTTCTGAAAACTGGGACAGTCTTCAACGTATAGTCAATACATCCCGACTTGAGAGGCGAGGGAGGCGGAGTAATGGCCAGGACGCGTAGCGTGAGCGTACGCGGTTCTTGGCACGAGTTCAATTCAAGCGCACCAGACGATAGAAAGCTCGGTCGGCGCTCTTTTACAGGGTGCGCAGAAATTACGGACGCAAAATTTGACCTGCCCGGATGCCTTTCATCCCTATTTTCATTTGTTCTTTTTTTGTTGATAGGATTTGTTGAACCTTTATGCATGTTTTGATATATAATTATTAAAAAAATTTATTATGATTATACAGAAAGACGAGTCAAAGTTTCATGCGCACTGAAATTCTGAAATTTCATCAAGACGGTCACAGCAACTCTTTCATCTCGCAATAACTCGACGCCCGCTCGTCGTTGGTGTCCAAGACCATTAAACGTTTCAATGTGCTCGGCACAACAGAAGAGCACTCAAGGAATGGACTACCGGCCACTGCTACATCTGCAGAAATTACAAAAAGATCCGCGACTTCATCAGTCAAAATCCGAGAAGGTCTGTCAGGAAACTCGCTGAGAAGATGAATATAAGTTGGACGAGCGTGCGGAAAATTTTCACGGATAAACTACATATGGAGCAGCTCAAGATACAGAAAGCACACATCCTGAACGATTCGGAGAAAGCCACAAGGATCGATCGAAGTCGCGAGTTGCTTTCTCACGTTGCGCTGGCGGAGCTCCTCGACATCGACTTCAGCTATGTAAAAATTTTTACGTTTGATGAAGCCGTGAATCGTCAAAACTATAGGATCATTGCCTCCGATGTCCAAGCTTTCAATTTGAGTGAAAAAATTGTCAGTCTCATGAGCCATTCTTTTCCGGTCATCGTTTGGGCTCCAATCACGCAATGAGCAAGTTCCCTTTGGTTTTCGTGTCGCAAAACGTCAAGTTCAACGCGTACAACTATGAAAAAGACGTTTTTCAAAAGGCACTGCTCCCATGGACCAGGTGACACTTTGGAGACCGGCCATGGATTTTCCAACAAGACACAGAGGCCAAAATCCTCAAACAGTGGTGCAACAAGGAGCTTTCTGACTTTATGGACACTTCAGAAAAGCCGCCCTATTTTCCGGATCTGAATCCTCTGGACTACTCTGTATGGGACCGTCTGGAGTCCAAGTCCTGTACTTCACCACATCAGAAGATCGAGCCTCTAAAGGCCTCCCTTGAGCGAGAATGGGCCCTTATCGGCGTCGACCCCCACTCCGCCGCGTCATCGCGACTCCCAAGCTTCTTCGGGTCTGCATTCGCAATAGCGGCGGTCTTGTCAAAAAAGTTTGATGCTATTTTGTGGTTATCGATCCAAATAAACTATCCAAAAAAAATTTGAATCAATTCGTCAATACTGCGGTACATTTACAATCAATTATATTTGCGTCCGTAATTTCGGCGCACCCTGTAGTATCTATTCTACTATTTCAATTTTTTTTCGAGAGTTTTTTGTCCTATCATTTTATAAATAGCGATTTTTCAAAAGTTTAAATGTCCAAAAACAATCTCAGACACTAAACAAACAAATGAAAAGTTACGGAACTGACCAGTGGCTTCTGTTCTTTCGTCTCTATCAGTTCCTCGTCTTCTTCTTCCGGCTCGTCGTCATCAGCGGAAACAAAATTCGGATCGAGGAAGTTGACCAAATCTTTACCGAGTAAGTCTGTCAACGCTGAAATAACGCTTTTGATCCCTACTAGACAGTAGAAACTCGCGATTTTCGGGGCTGGCTGGCCTGGGTGGAAGCGCGGCGACCAGCGGAGCAGCCGTCTTTTTCACCTCATCTGTTTTTGGTTTCCGAGTGGAAGTCGACAAGTTCTGTTGGTCGACCTGATCCACCGTCTTCGCTATCAACTTGTCAACGTCTTCCAAATAAGCTCTTCTTTCTCTTAAACAAACAAAATTTTTTCTTATTCAACATTTTTTTAAAAACTTCTAGGAAAGCTTATGAGAGGCTTGAAAAAAACGCTTTCAAATTCAAAGTTCATGATTTGAGTCAAACATTAAAACTCGTATTCTTTCTACATTTTCAGATTAAAGACATCTAATCTTACTCTCTATTTGCCACGATTGAAAATTCCGTCGAGCGTTGCGGGCTGAATCTATTTCTGATCTGGCAATTTCTCTGATACTTTCCAATGCTACAACACGAAAGTCTTATTGGATCAAGGGTGTTTTAAAGCAGTCACTTAGTATCTGTTAGTTTAAAGCTTCTTTTTGATACCTTTCAGACCGTTTTTTAGAAATTTTTAGAATTTCCTGATCCCATGACTAAAAGTAAATTATAGATTCCGTAAAACGTAAAACGGAAAAAGTAAAGTCCGTGTAAAATCTTCACTCGAAGTGGTCGCTCTCATTCTGAGGCTTCCACCTAGAGGACGGTCTCCAGGCTCCAGCTACTTCTACTACCCACTAGGACTTCTGGTTCGCCACAGGCGGTTGTTCGTTATAGCTTTTAAAACTGTGCTAGTTCACCGCCTAGTCGATTATATCTGACAAAAACAACAAAAAAAATGTTTTGATTTGATAAGTATTAGGGAGGAATTAAATATTTTCAACAAAGTTCCATAAATTGTATTTGAAAAAGAAAAACTTACTTGTCATTTTGCGTGGTACGAGCCAATTCGTTCTTTCGTGCGAGTCTTTTTGATGCTTTCACCTGAGTTTCGATTTTTTTAAACTCTCATTTCGGGTTTGTCGAAAACTTTTTTTTTGCTGCTGCCGTTAGAAGAGCTGCGCCTTGAGGCGCTGACCTGCTGCTGAGCAGTCAAGATGACGTCCTTGCACTTGGAGAATTGCACGGCGACCTTGTCGATGATGACGACGGCGTTGGCAACGCCTGGACTCGCGTTTTCCACAACGAAGAGTAGCTGAACAGCGAGATGAGGCCGTTCAAAGGGAGACTGACCCGAATGTTCTGGTTGGAGGGCACTTGCAGTCGGTAAGAGTTGTAGGAAGACTGCTTGGCGTGTTTGGCGACGGCGCAGTTTGCAGGCGCCGGACTTGCGTCGCCTTCGTTTTGCCAACAGAGCTTCAGCGTCGCTTCGGCGTTCTGCCAATGTCTGCAACCATTCTGAATCCCCTTCTATGGGATTGAAACGACTTTCCTTCAACTTCTAATCCAGACTGCTGTAACTTTATTTTTTTTCTATCGATAATTCCGACACATAATAGTAAACTTCAGCAAAAAGCGGGGATATTTTGTTTTTTTTTGTTGTTGCGTACAGTCTGTACGCTACAGGCTGGATTATACTACTTGTAACTCTCTAAGAATGAACTGAAAAACTCTTTGAAAAATAATCATTTTGAAAATCTAAGCTGCACAAAATTTCCGTTTAGAAAATGGAAGTAAGTTTGGTGATAAATTATTATAAATCAAAAATTCATCTAAAAAAAAACACTTGGGGAATTTTTTTTAAAACTAAGTTCATATCAAGATACTTTTTGAACGTTTCTGCAGAAATACAAAGCAAAAGCTTTTCCTTGCAACGAGCTTTTTACTGCGCGAATTATTACTTTTGTCGATCCGAAGTCAACTTCAAAATGAATTCACTCATGGAAAAACCATGGGCGCTTAATCGGATACGGCGCTTCCAGCTATAACGGCTCTGGCATCGACGGCCGCTTTCGCTTTCGTGATCCCCGCCACTTTTCCCCAAACGCCACTCTCGATTTCACCTCGCGCGCTTTCCGCCTCCACTCACCTGGTGATAACGACGATGGTGGGAAAGAAGCAGCCTACCTGAACTTGACGATGACGTCGGCCTGCGAGGAACACATGGTGCAGGAGACGAGCGACGAACGACGATCCCCCTCGACGCGCATCGCGTAGTTGCCGCCTGCAAGCCGCAGCGTTACCCCGGTCGTCGACTTCAGAAGTCACGGGGCGGCGGATGGCTTTTGCCGACGAGGAACGTCCTGCGGAACTCGTTGACGTCGAGCTCGTCGGCCGAGAACACATTCCAGAGATCGGCGTCGCGGCTCGAGGCCCAGCAGCAGTCGCCGGAAAAGTCGCAGTCGAGTGGCGACCGGAGACACCATCCTGAAAAAAAGACTGAGAAATTTTTTGAATTTCGTCGTTCGTTCTTTTTTCTATTGATGGTTTTCACATGATTGGCGAAACATTTCGAAAGAAGGAATCGGTAAAACGTCTCTGCCTTTTTATCTGCTTAGCTGGTGATATTTGAAATTTGAAATTTAATTAGAAAAAAACAATTTTTTTAAGATACTGGAAAGAAATTTTTCAAAATCTTTAAATTTTTCATTAGCCTTTAATTTGTCGAAGTTGCTAGAGAAGAAACAAATAATGGTTTTTCTTGACTCTTTTTCAAAAATATTTTTTTATCAATTATAGTAATTTTTTTCACGGAATCTTCGAATCTTCCTCAGAAATTACGAAAATTGGAAGTTTTTCGAATCTATCTTTATAACTAACTCTAGACAAAAAAATGTCTTTTTAGAAAATCAGAAATATTTTTAAGAGATTTTTTTCCGTCTTTCAAGGTCATCAAAGTTGCTGGAGAGAAAAGCCTCAAACTCACAAAGATACGAACTATTTTCAAAACTTAGATGATTTACAGAACGCACGAAATGCGATGAACTTCTCGGTTAAAAATTTCTTTTTCAAATCTCAATCTGGTTAGTTAAATTAGTTCTAAGTTCAATCTTGGATATGCTAAAAGACTTCCTAAAGGCTTCAAAAAAATCAGAAAGAAAAAAACTTAAAATATAAAATTGTAGAAAAAGAAATTTTGTGTCTCCAAGAGTGATTGAACATCAGCGATCACGAAATTCGATGATATACGCTTTCAAATCGATCATCAAAAATCTTCACCTTATACGAACTCTATTGGATACAAAAATAAATTAGTCCATAAGAAGGGATTGAAAATGATAAATTTTCTAACTTTGCGTAGCATTTCCAGCATAAAGTGTGGAGAAGAGAAATAATCCTAGGAAAAATTGAAATATCGTGGAAGCTCCAAATTTTCATATTTCGTGGAAGCATCGAAAATTTAAGGTTAGTAAAATTGAGAAACCTAATAATGAAGTTTCGATAGTTATCAAACATATAAAGATGAAAATATCAAAAGGTGTCACTGAAAAAAGAGTCACTGTGAAAAAAACGACATTTCTGAATAGCCTAGAAAAAAAAATCAGCTGACCTGTTTGAAGGATTGCAAGAAACGTCAAACTTTTGAGAAACATGACGGATCTTGTGTACGTTTTGTGTACACGGCGACGACGTGTTGCGATCCGAATAAGAAAGTGGGCGGAGCTTCGACCCGTTCCTCCTTTGGCGATTTTTGTGCACGCGGCCTCCGGTCATCCTTTTATGGTTTGCCGGGGCATTGGAATAAGGTTGTGAGAAGACAGTCAAAGTGCGTGGAATGAGGTTGACCAAGCCTTTCATCGTACCGAAATAGTCCAAATCGGAAGTCGAATATTATCCGAGAAACCAGCTACACAAAAAAAAGACAATTTACTAATTTCACATCCGAAACTTTGAGATATCAAGATGACTATGTCGTTATCCAAACTTTTTTTAATTCAAAATCCTAGACTTTTTCAGATCATATTAGGCTGTTTACTAAGTTTCTTTCTTTTCCCAATGGTTTTTTCAAAAAACATTCTCAACCAAAAAAGCGCATCTTAGAATTCTGTTGTTATAGTATTTACTAGTACACAATCTGAAGTTCAGGTTAAAGTTTATTTCATTCCTATAACAGTAAACAGTAGAAAGATACAGCATTTTTCTTTTTAACTCGAATAATATCGATTTTTGGAAAGTTTTGCGAATTTATTTTTTATCTTACTTTTTCAATCTCATCATTCAAACGAGTTACATAAAAAGTAAACTGATGTCGTGTAGTTTTTCATAAAAGTTTTTGTTTGCTTCCAAAAAATTTGAGAAATGAGTTAATTATTTAGAAGCCAGACCATACAAATTTATGATTGGCCAACATTGTTGAAACACTGCGCGTTCTGTTTTCGTTTGATTTTCCCCATATTTTCCCTATATAATACATTTGTAATTATATATCAGATTTGAGGTTTTGATAAAAGTTATAGGCATGACATTAGCAACCGGCAGCTACCGTGAAACTCGATTTAATTAAATTTAATTTTACAGCCTTTTTTCATCAAAAAATGTTTATAGCACCAGGGCAGTGGTTTCTATCCACTCTCAAATTTTCTGTTCTTTTGCTATCCCTCAAGTTAATAAAAAAAACAAGTACAACAAAGGTCACTGCAGCCATGTGTCAAAGCAGAAGTGGTTCAACTGAGTTTTTCCGGACTAAAATTTTGAGAAAGGTAATGAACTGAAATGACAGCTTGATGAACTTCTGGAGGCTCTCTGACGGCGTCAAACGTTTAGACCTTCTGGAGAAAAAGTTACTGATACAGACCATGTCTGTACTAACACCACAAAAAAATCAAAATCATCCTCAAAGCCGTTCATGAGAAAAGCGTCCAAATGTTCAGCGACCATGTCATTGTCATTGATCACTGACCAAAACTTTTAAAGAAAAAAGATTTTTAGGCTGGCTTTTTGTTTAAAAAGTCAGCTTGCCTACTTTATCTGTACTTCCATCATCCCTCGTTGTCATGAACTACAAAACATTGAATCATAAATTTTTTTAGTGAAAAAAAAAATTATTTCTAAGAGCGGTTGAAATCGAGTTAGCTGCCTTTTTTGACTATATCATTGCTCGTTTTGAAGTTAGGAACTCCAAAATTAACAGTCATGCTACCAGATAGCTGATGATAACAGTGGAAAAATTGTTTGCTGTTTGAATCCAAATTCGAAAAGTTATATACACCGAGAAACTTTCAACCGCAAAAAGAAAGAAACTTAGTAAACGACCTAATAAATAGTCTGATTAACTAGAAAAAAAAATCTAGGCAGTTGTAGGCTGAAAAAGAAAGTTTTTTCAGTTTGCGGTTACACTTTTCAAAAAAAGGGGACATTGTTGTAGGTGATATGCGGAAAGGCTCAAAATGCTTCTTACTCCTTATTTTTACAAGAAAAAAAAAGAAATATCTAAACGATGTCCACTCTTTAGAGATTTCATCCTAAAAATTTTCAGGTCCGTTTTCAGAACAGATGAAGGCAATCAGCTTCCTTGTAAAAGTTTATTCGAAAGTTCAGAGTTGGAAATAAGCGATGAATTTCTCGTTTGGGAACCGTCCCAGCGGGAAATCTGAGCAACTACCTTGAGAGGAACGATTTGCCCGGATGATGTCACGCTTTCACTGCGGCGCCGTTTTTCGGACAGGTTACCAGAAGTGAAAGGCAATTGTTGCGTCACGGACCTCGGCACTCGACTTGCCGAGATCCTCCTGAAACTCCCCGTCGCCATGCTCTCCCTCGATCCAAGTCTTCTCCTGCTTCTTCCCGTATTGTGAGTCGTTCTTTGAAGAAATACTCCTTTTTATTTCGATTCTTATAAGAATTACAAGAGATCGAAGACAGTACTATGTACAAAAATTTTGATGGAAAGTTTAGGAGCCAGTTTTTTTGCTGGAAGTTTTTTTCATTTGAAAAAAGTTTTTCTGAGGGAAATACTTATTAAAAAATTTCTTTTTGGTCGTATACTAGATGATGGTAAGGCGAATGTTCAAAAATCTGAAGGATGAACAACAGTTTCATCAATATGTCTCGAAAAAGTGAAAAAACGCCTTTTTTTTCTCCGCTCCTTTGAGATTCTTTTTCTTAAACACATTCTAGATCATTAATCTGAAACCCTTTTTTCCCTTATTAAAATATCTTGCAAAACCTGTCAAAAGACACTCGGAAAATAGTTTAGAGGAAAAATTTCACCTGGCACCCAACGCCAGAGCTTCTTAGATCCCAGAAGTATCTCTGATGCCTTTCCAACAAAGTTATAGTTTCCATCTTCATGAATATGCTAAACCTTGAACGTTTACTTCAGAACGAACACCCAGTTCCTCGGTAGCTCTCTCTACGGAGCTCTCGGAGCCTACAATGACAACGACATGTGTAGGTACATCTCCTGTCCTTTTGGCCAATACTGCTGGAACGGAAACTGCCTCTCATCAGGTACTTCGATGGGATCTCGGTAAGTTATCATCGAAAAATGCGCTATTTTTTATTATTTTTTTTTCAACTTCCAAATAGTTGAAACTAATCGCTCGATATTTCAAAGCTCCCTCAAACAAGAAACAAAAATTATAACCAAAAACCAAACTTGGCTCAAGGAACATGGGCGGAATGAGCGGTTTGGCAGCGCTGACATCAGCCGCATCAATGTACAACCTTGGCGCGATGCCAGGCAGAGGTTCGCAATTCCAAACTCCACCACTGACATCCGGTGCAGTTATCCAGTAGCTTTCGCTTTACACTCGATAAAAAGTTGAAAGCTTCTCATTCGTGATCTTCAGGATTAGGTTACGCTGGCTATCCAACTGGAATGGGAGGAGCTGCTCTTGGTATGGGGTACGGTCCTGGACTTGGCAGTGTCGGAGGTCTGTCAGTATTAAACGTTCCTAATTGCGAAAGTTTGAAAAGCCCCTAAAGAAATCTCAAAAAAAAAGCTTACAAAATGTCGCGTTTCGAGTTTTTATGCGATACCTAGATAGTGATTTCAGGTCTCCAGGCGTGCAGCTTAATGCAGCAATGCCTCAATGGTCAAATTTGCGTCAACGGCTACTGCAGCCGAAGCAACGTGGCTTACCAAGGTAGCCAAGTGCTGCCATCCGAAACAAGTTGGCCCCAAAGAAAGAATATGCCGAATTCTTTTAAATTTCAGCTTGCATGACCGGCGCCACATGTCCCGTTGGACAGTACTGCATCAGCGGAATTTGTATGCAAAACCCCATGTCGAGCACCTTTGGTAATTATATTAACTATATTCTCGGATCAACTTTACCGTTTGAGCTTGTCATAATGGCATTTCTTGCCCCATGGGTATGGTTTGTCAAATTGGCAGGTGTATACCGAATGGACTCCCTGGGATGTATCCGACCTACGGAAAAAGATGATTAACTCCTTTTTTTTCTTTCTATTTAATGCTCTTGAAAGTAATAAAAGTTTTATCTCATGTACATGCGCTTATAGTTACTGTTAGTTGCAAAATTATCGTTTCCCGTAAAAAAGGAGCGTTATTTCAAACGCTCTGCAAGTGTTATCTATACAGAAAAAAAAGTCACGTATTACTATTATCAAAAAAGATAAAACGAGTAACAAACGAATAAATAAAGAGTTGCGAAAAGTTAAGCAGGTGTCGGAGAAGTTTCGAGGTTTCGGTGGACCATTTGCTCTTTCAAGATCAAATGAGACACCTAAACAATCATAATGTCTCTCTCGATGTGAAATTAGATAAAACTAAATAAAAGAAAGGAGCAATATACGAACCTTGTTGAGAGTCTCAGTGAGCTTGTGCACATTGCTAGCCCAGTTATCGAGTTGTTCAACGTTGGCTTTGCGCGCCCTGAGGTTAACAACGCGAGAAGGACGATGCAACTTGGCATCAATAATTTGACCAGTCACAATCAAGTTGCAGACGAAGGATTCCATCTCCTTAATGAACTTTTTGAGAAAAAATATATGAGCGGAACAGAAAAGATTGAAAGTCTAACGGAAAATTTTAAAAAGTTTGCGAATGGAAAAATCTCGAAAAAAAAAATCTAAGTCTATAAAAAATTGTAACGGTGGACCTGATCCAAGTTTCCTGAAAATCTCGACCGGTTTTTTTGGTAATTAAAAAAACTCTGCTTTAATTAATACTTTTATTTTTTTAATCTAAATGTTCAAATTTTTTTATACATATTTGAAAAATATTATGAAGAAAAAGATTGAAATTGAAGTTTTGAAAAAAATAATATAGAGAACTTTTTCAATTTTTTTATTACCAAAAGCAAATTAGTGCTCAAGTTTAACGAGGAAATTTTCCCCCAAAAGTCGAAAAAAAAAAACAAGAGTTTCAAATATACTTACGTCTATCGGGAAGTCCAAGAGTTCTGCGAGACGATCAAAAGTTATTTGAGTGTAGTACTTCGAAATCATCCTCATGTTCTGCAGAGTCAACGTAAAAAAAATTCCAAACTACAAAAAAGCTTCTTACATGTTCACCAACTCGAAGATGAAAATCGTTCCATCGTTTTTCTCCTTCTTTTGAAGAATCGAAAATCTACATGAAATGTGTAAAAAGATTTCGGGAAGATTACATACTCCAGTGTCAGGCGCTGTTGGAGTTCCTCGGCGCAAAAGTTTTTCATAAGACTTGATGATCGTACCCTTGTAAGAAATCAGTTCTTGAGTAATGAAAAGGTCGACGATTGCCTTAAAATTTTCGCTTCAACCAGAGAATAAACTTATTTAAAAACTTTATGTTCAGGCACGAGCTCCAATTCCCGTTGAACAGCTATCCGATTGAGAAGGTCCCATTGTTCGTTTGAATGAGGCGCAAGAAGACAGAAAACAACAGCATTTCGAAGTGTTGCTTTGGCTTTCGCTGAGTCGCTTTTCACCTTCGGGGTTTCGTAAATAGCACTTGAATGAAAAATGAAATTTAGTTATAATTAATAATAAAAACCGATAATATCGACAGATATCCAAATAATTCTCGTCATGAAGTCCGATCTTCACCATTTGATCGTAGTATTTTAGCTTCAAATCTTGAACCTAAATTTAGTAAAATTGACGCGATAGCTTACAATAAAACTACCGCATCTTTATCTGAATTGAAAAAAACTTGATATTAATTTTTTTCGAAATGATGGTGGCACGAATGAAGTCAGAGCGGGCAAGAGAAAAAGCGGATTTGCTCGAGCAAGTATTCAACCTTTAAAAAATTTTGAAATAATGCGATGGCCAATTTCCACCTTCTCTTGGATCTCCATGGAACCGTAAGTTTCCACTTGAAGCTCGAGCAACATAGTGGCCGCCTCTTCCAATTTTCCTTCTTTCTCCATTTTCTTTACAACCATCGAAGTCAAACGAGCTCGTTCCACTTCTACGTATATCTTTAAAAAAAAATTTCCCTGAAAACTGGGCATACTAACCTTTCCCGCGGTCACAGCGCGAAGCGTCTCAATGAGCTTCATTTTAGTTTCTTCGGTAGGAAGCTTTTCAATCATGGCCACACAATCTCGAACCTAGGAACGAGACATGATCCAAGCCAAGAGAGATTTGTCACCATTCTCGCGATAGCTACTTTTATCAAAAGACGCTTTTTAGAAAGAGTCAAAACCGTCTCATTCAGTAAATCCCACTTGCCGCCTTCAAAACAAAGCTTCACCTGAATTCAAAGTGTCAGCAACTTGAAAAACTGAATTTTTTTCCAACCATGTGTTGTACAACGCGAGTGTTGCTCCTCATGTCAGTGCCGAGTCTTGAAAGTTTCTCAATCTGATTGAGCGATTCCACCGCACCCAAAACGTCTCCTTTCTGTGCATAAAACGGAATAACTCGAATTTTAGAATTAAGGAACCTTAGCAATCGCGTCCGCTTTCAAAATCGCCTCGTCGACTTGCTTGGCGTAATCGACCTCCATTTTGAACAATCTGCCATCACCAACCTAAATTTCCTTTTTATTTCATAGTCTGAAATTTCATAAACCTGCGCTGCTAAATGAGCCATAGCTTCGAGATCCGATTTTTCCCCAACCGAAATCGGATCAACTTTAACGGGTTGTCGCTCCATATTTTGGCTCTGAATCAATATAATGAAAAGCTATAAACTGTCAAATACATTAGGAAAGAAAGCAAAAAAAAAATAATCATCCTCCACTCACACAATTCAAATAAAAAAACCACAGATTTTTACCCTCAAAGGAAAACCTATATTTTGTTTTTTTCAAATACTCTATTGCTTGGCAATGAAAAAAGCAAAAAATAAAGAATAAAAAAATTCGGTGGAATAAAATAAGCAGATGAACGAGTTAATCAAATATTTATATATTCAAATATTTTTAATGAAATTCAACTGGATCGTGAATTTTTTTCGAATGAATGGATATACTTGTAGCGCCTCAAAAATTAATTTAGAAATGTTATCTTTCCTATTTCTTTTTTTTAATTAAACAAGGAAAAAACACCTCTGAAAAAACAAGAAGCTTTTTATTTAACTTTTTCACTGAATTCAGTTAATTTTCAAATAATGACAAATCGCACAGACATAGGACAGGTACAGTATCTCCCCTCCATTCGAGACGCGCTTTTTGGCGGGAAAGCCAAATACGCCGTTTTGAGCCGAAAATCCCTCGAAATAATCAAGAAAGCTCCTTATATGACTATATTTTGTCTCAAACAAAAATGTGTGAACATCGCGAAAATCAAAAAGTTTTATTGAAACCGTCAAAAAAGATTTTCCCTGCAATATTAAATTTTTTTTTCCATCTCGCTATGCCACTTTTTGTAATTTTCATTCGGTTTTCAACACAGTCGTATTGAGGACACATTTAAGGCCGAAGGCGCTTACAAAAAAAAATCCACAACTTGTTCCCCATTTTTTTTTGTTGTATGATACAGTGCGGGTTTTTCTTTCTTACATCGAGCATTCATCAATTAACCTTCTGTTTTTCAGCAAGTGATGTTTTACGCGCAGTTTGTCCTTGCTAAGAAGGGGCCTCTAGCAAAAATTTGGCTGGCAGCCCACTGGGAGAAAAAGTTAACAAAGGCTCAAATTTTCGAAACCGATGTCCCTCAAGCGGTAGAAGAAATGATAAAGCCAAAGGTGTGCTTTTTTATTATGATTTTCAAACAACGAAAATACAGGTAAAAATGGCGTTGCGCACAACAGGACATCTATTACTCGGAGTTGTCCGCATATATTCGAAGAAGGCGCGATATTTACTGGCAGACACCAACGAAGCCGTCCTGAAGGTGACTGTATGATTTAAGTTGTTTTAAATGACTTTTTTTTCAGATCCGTTTAAACTTCCGCCACGGTTTCAACTTGGAAATTGAACCCTTATTGATGGAAGATTATGATGTTAATCAAGAAGTTAGTTTGGAGTTTAGTTTGGGAATGCTCGTTGTTTTGTTAGATGTTCGAGGAGATGAACGTGACGATTCCAGAGTTTCTTGAAGCTGAAGCACAGATCGACTATGAAGTGAGTCTTTTTTTGACCTCATAAATAAAATTTTATTAAATTTATTATTGCGTAAAGTGGCCGAATAATTTTCTCATATCATGCCGTGTTCAAAGTGATTTCACGAGATAAAAGTAGTCGTCAGAGAGTGAAAAAGATAGCCGAACTTTGGAGAGTCAGAGATAAGTTAGCGCTTTGCGGAAATTACTGAACGCTGGATCAATTTCAACAATCAATTAACATTTTTAAACGTTGGACGAAGAAATTTTTGGAAAAAAAGTTTGCAGGCCAATCAGTGTAGATTGGAAGACATCACTCTAAAAGATGACTATGACATGTTTGGCGACTGCTTCCGTCATCAAAAGTTGCTTGTGAGTCCCTATCCAACTCAATAATTTAAATACTTCTTCAGCTTGATGATTTTGGAGAAGAATCTGTCTACGGTTCTTTTGAATCATCTTCTATCCCTACTCCAATCGAAAGGCAGCCATCTTCACTGATAATGGACAATGGAGAAAGCTCTATGCAAATAAGGTTTTTTTTTTCTCGTTTTTCGATTATCTCATTATTTTCTTTTAGGCCCGATGGCGATGTCGTTCTACAGGAATTCGTTAGCAAGGTAACAGGAGAACATGCAGGCTTCGCCTTTGAAGATGCTGGATTTGCTCCAGAAGATGCTCATCTTTTTAGTATGTTAGCCGACGATGTGGAGATGCAAAGAGAAGAGATAGACAACTTCGGTAAAAAGTTTTTTTTAGAATAAAATGAATGACTTTCAGTTTTCCAGGAGACAGTATTCGCAAGCCGAATAGCAGCGTTCTGCAGGAGAAACAGAAACAAGGTGAAAATTTTCAACGCGTTATGAAATTTGAGCTTTTCTTCAGATTTCAACGAGGGACGGTCCTCCTTCGAACTGCAACCTCTAGATCTCAACCGACTTGGAGCTCGCGCTAAAGGAAAAAGAACCACAAAAAAGTAGAATATAATAATCTTCTATCATTAAGTTCTGCTTTTACAGAAGGAAGCTTGTAATAGACGATGCAACGAACATCCCCAGCGAACAGTTGAAAGATGACATGCAAAATTTCAGGTAAAAGTTGAATATGAAACGCTGTTGACAATTTTCTCAGTGATATTATTGTACCATTGTCTCTTGCCCCGCCAACGAAGAAGTTGATGAACATTTGTCACACCGGAGATGTCAATTATCTCATGAATACTCCGGGGATGGATATCGGTCACCATGACCTTATAAAGGTAAACCTTCTTTCTTTTTTATTTTGTTTATTTCTAGGTTCTAGGCATATAAAGAGTGCCTCGTTCTACGACTTCATAAGCCTAGCAATGGCCATGCTCCTGTCGATGATCCTTGCGAGGAATTGTGTCTGAGTGATGAAATTTTACCAGATGGAAATTATTTGGAGGTTTTGTCGAAGTTCGAAGCTAGTTTTATTGTGACTGTTCAGGACACAAGAATGAATGACTACGCCGATTTTGAGGAGGAAGGATTTGCGGCCGAAAATCAGTCGGTGATAGAAGCTGTCAGAGACATTTCGGATCTTTCTGTTCCGCAGAACAGAAGCGCCATTGGGTTCAATTCAATTTTACATGAAGAGGTTATCAATTTTTTTTTCTTTGTTTTCTTAATTGATTGTTACAGGAAAAAGAAAACGACCCGTTAGAGCCGCAAGCGACTCCTTCACGAGGATGTTTGGAGGTAACTTCTAGGAATATTCCAAAGTAATGAAAAAAGGAGTCTCTCTCCAAAAAAAATTTCCATAAAAATACTGAGTTCTCAATGTATCTCTCCGTTTTAGGCCTATGGATTTGGGAAGAAAACTGTGGACGAATGCAAGTGGATGAAGCGCACTGAGACCATACTCAAGAAGATCTCGACGGAGATTGAGAACAGCGGAAAAGTTTGAGTTTTGACACTTCTTAAGCTAAATTTGAACTGTACAGGCTAGCTTCTCAAATGTTGTGCGTTCAGTTGGAACAAGAAAAAGTGCTGCAGAACACTTTTATGCTCTACTATCGTTAGCTAAGTTGCAAAAAATACAGGTAATATCATGAATTTGTTGTCAAAGAGTTTTTTTTTTAGGTTGAACAAGAAGAGCCTTTCGGAGATATTACTATCCTGCCTGGACCGAAAATGATGTCTCCATTCGAAGAAAGCATCGTTCGACCTTTTACTGAACGAAACGCTTGATTTTTGGACTTTTATATTTGCTATATTCTTGTCTCATTTCCAGTACAAATCAACTAACCCACTCACACGTGTACAAAAACCAAACATAATAAACTTTTTTAAAATTTACATATGATACCGTGTCTTTTCAGAAGGTCATTCTTCTTTCGAAATTTATTTATACCGTTAAGTTTATTTTCTTCGTTTAAAAATTATTTTAGGATGGCTTCCCGTGTCAACGTTTGCTCCGTGAACTTCTTGGAGAACCCTGGCATGTTCACCGACAAATTCCGCTTGGAAATTACCTTCGAAGTTTTTGAACACCTTCCTCATGGTTTTTTTTTTCTTGTCGCACTAAATATCTTATCGAATGCCTTTTTCCGATTTGGAATGGGAACTCGTATATGTTGGGTCTGGAACATCAAGAGAGTTTGACCAGGCTCTCGACTCTGTTGTCGTAGGCCCAGTTCCAGAAGGTCGGCACAAATTTGTTTTTGAGGTAGGATTCATTTTTGATAGAAACTGATTAAGTATTCTAGGCATCTCCACCAAACTCGGAAAAAATCCCTCAAGAAGATTTGGTCGGCGTCAGTGTTCTGCTGCTTCGATGCAAGTACAACGAGCAGGTAGCTGATTAATTCTCTTTTTAGAAACTTTTTCAAAAAAAAAACTTTTTTTAGGAGTTCCTCAATCTTGGTTGGTTTGTCTCGAACGACTACAACGACGAGGAGCTGAAGGCAAATCCACCAGTGAAGCCAATCGTCGGAAAGGTTTTATCGAATTCACGCAGATATTGTTTGAAAACCAAATTTCAGCTGGCGAGGACTGTACAGATTGATGACCTCAGAGTGACATCATTTTCAATTAATTGGGGTGGTGAGCAGCCGGTAGAATATCCGCCAGAGGAAGAAACTGTCGTGGATGAGACTGATCTCATGCCGTTGAACGACGAGGGAGATGACGACGAAGAAGATGTAAGCTTTTTTTTCTAATTTGTTTCTTTATGAAAGGTGTATGAAAAGCTACTTCCTTTTTTTTTACCTCAGGGTTATGACTAAAATTTCTTAAAAGTGTAATTTGAATCAATGCTTCTGCAAAAAAAAACTGTTCCAACGAGTTTTGAATATATACTTATAAAAAATAAATCCGATAAAATACTAACATTTGGTTACCTCCAAATAAACTATCGAAAACGCAACTAATTATTAACCACCACTGAAAAATGTAACATTAATAGAGGCCTTCATTGATTTAGGGAAAGCTGGCATTTTCTTTGTCTTATATTACCTTTCAATTCAATACTTCAATACACCAAAATGTGTGAATATTATTTAATACTTCAACACACCATAATGTGTAAATATCATTTGGTAGTTTCTAAATTTGAGGACGAAACTGAAGATGAGAAAGAAGAAGGTGAGGTGGATCTTAACGAGAGCATCGAGAAGATAAACGATAATGTGACAAATTCACTGGATGAGATGGAAGTCGACACTAATCAAGGTACATAATTATCTAGATCAATGGAAATTAATTTCATCTATTCAGGGGGTGAAGGAATGGAAGTGGCTTCTGAAGAAGTCGCTACCGACGGGAAGTCAGCTCCGATGGAGATCAGCTCAGCTCCACTTGTTGATAAAACTAACGGAAACAACGAATGATTGCATTAAATTCCTTACTAATCTAACACTGTGACATTAACTATTTGATATAATTTGATGTGTGAAATGCGGAAATTGAATGATGATAAACGCTTTATTCATCGATGTGGTTATATTAACGTAAAACATCAAAATGCGGCAAAAAATTACACGAACCGTTGTCAATAAGGCAGGAAGTACCGGGCGATTGTAGAACGATCCGGTTGTTGATCTGAATATTTGACGTGGTGATTAGGGCTTTCGAAAGAGTTCCTAATGAACAACCCCGTTAGAAAAATCGAAGTGCGACTTGAGAACCCGGAGAATATCCACTTGAGATCCTCAAAAATAAAAATTAGAGTTGATATTGAATAAAGTGACCAACCTATATAATCATGACGGGTTGGTTGCACAAGATATGTAACTAACGAAGCCTAGTTAGATTAAACTATAATATGACAAAGAAATGGTATATAAGTTTAAAATAGAAAATATTTTTTGAAAGAAGAAATCTATTCATCGTTGATGCTGTAACAGAGGCGGAAGTTGCGAATCTGAGACTCGTTCATCATTTGGAGCAAAGATCGCAGGAAAAAGTTAAAAGACGGGTAGTCTTGTCGGACAACCCACAGCTGAGCACACGCCTCTTCTGCAATAATTTTGGCTCCAACAAAAAAAAAATTTTATTTCAACTGAACATGATGACATTAACAAAAATGTCCATTTCACATGTCTCATAAGGAAAAAAAGTTCAAAGAAACTCAAAAAAATAAACACTGAAGTATAATCTTGAACGAATTGAGAAGAGGGTTTTTTAACTATAAATTTGCTACTAAATGTAAGTTATAATGAACTTATTCAGGTCGAATTTCCATTTGGAAATCGACTTTGATTTTTGATTTAAGACAAAAACTCAAAAATAGTCAAGTTCGAAAATCGAATCTTCAAGAAGGTTCATAAAAAAATTATGATAGATACTTATCTGCTTTTTCTCATTTTGATGAAAAAAAAAAGTTTGATGACGTTAAATTCAGAGAAAATAACCTGATTCTTGCTCGGAGTACTGGAAAAATTGGCGCAAAACCAAAGCGAGCAAGGCTTCTTCGCCTCCCACGAAACGCTCAACATGAACTCTGGAATCGTGATTATAAAACTTCAGACACTGAAAACTAAACTGATGTTGTGAAATCAGAAAATGTGTCTTGAAACTCCATTGAATCCAATAGGATTAACATTTTTCGAAACTTTAACTCGATTTGGATATTTAAAAGATTATTCGACGAAAATACCTATCACAAGCGATCTTGCAATCACCGATGAGATCATAAGGGCAGACAGAACGAATCAGTTGACTGTCGTCGGAATTCTTCCCGACTTCCTGTGGCGTCACCTTGGGCGAATCCATCGGAATTGCTGTTCCGATAGATCTGAAATTTCGAAAAGCTCAACAAATATGAAGAAAAAGTTCAAAGTTTTGTTGGATATGTTTTTCTCACTGAACGGCAGTCAATTCTCTCTTTTTAGACATTTGTCAAGGACGTGAAAAAGAGTTTTTTAAGCACTAGTGTGAATAAAAATGTTATACTTTCAACAACCCTCGCAAAGAATTCCTTAACTATACTGGATTGATATTAAAATCTATTAAAATTACAAACCGATTGCCGTCCATCTTCTTGAGAAGCCTCTGGCGTAGTAACTTCTCGTCATACTCATCATAGTCCTCGTCGTTTCCCACTCCTTCCAGTCTTTCGGATAAGTTCGAAGAAGCGCGACCTTCCTCCAAAACGTTCGATTCCATATCCAACACGTAAAATTCACTGTAAAATGGATATATAGAAATAATACCTATATATTACTCACTCTACAGAACAAAGGCGATCGATCCGCTCCTGTGAAACAGCCTCCAAGCGAAGGTCAACCTCTTTTTTTTCTTTTTGAGTTGATGATATCCGATTTCTTATCACGCTTATACTGTTGTTGCACGATTTCAACGCAGCCTAGAACAATAATCTTCGTTGGAAAGAACTTAAAACTCACTATATATTTGTTCCTTTCTCTCACAGCACTTTCCAGCTCTCTCATTTGATCATCAATCTTATATTGGAGTTGAAAACTGTCCTTTCTCCTGAAAAAATAAATTGAAAAATTAATAAGAAACAAAAACTCACAAAGAGTTCTCAACATCTTCCAATTGCAAATCATAGCTAGGTTCGGCTGGGGATCTCTGGAAAGCGGATCGGCTATCGTGAGAGGCATTTGAGCCCCTCCTCGAGCTTTTCATACGAGGCTTCTCCACGCAGTTCTCTCCTAAACAACATCATGATTGAAACATGACATCTCAAAAAAAAAAAAAAATTACGATTAAACCCTTTTTGCGCGATCAGGAATATTTCCTATTCTGGATCAAATTCATAGCAATAGAGTTTCGATACATCCATATAATTACACTTGACGTCGATTTTTTTGTTTACACTTAGCTTAATTGTCCGAAAAACAAACCATTCAGACGAGTTTCAAATGATGGAGCTTCCTCCACGTCCATATCAACTAGTTCGTAATTATCATTCTAAAAGAAAAATTTTATACGCGTTCAAGAAAATCTCAAACCGTCACTTGTGGAATCGTAGTTGTTCCGGGAATTTCTATAGTCTCCGGCAAAATAGGAGGTGGTGGCGGAGGCGGCAGAACACCCAGATTTGTCTAAAAATTGATTTGAAAAAGATCCAGACACACGCAAAACATACATTATCTAGATCCAAGTTCATACCAAACGCGCAAAACGGTTCCTCTCTATTTTTTTTAGACTTTGAACTATCTTCAAAAATCGAAATGTTTCTTTGAGAAATGAGGGGTTGACGGAACCTCTATCCTTGTGAGAGTGCGAATGTTGTTGAGATCTCCTTGACCTCGAACGTTTCCGTGATTTCGACTTATCTAAAATAAACAGCTTTATATTTACAAAAAAAAAAAAAACCAGAATGGCGCCTCTGGCGATTCGAACTGATGGTTTTCTTGCTTCTCTTTTCTTCTCGACTTGTGGAATTGACTGAAAAATTTAACTTTCCATTTTCTGGACGAAAACTATACCCGAAGCCTTTCGAGGTCTTTTAGAGGCGCTTGTACGTTTTTTATCGTCCCCCGACGTAGTGCGAGCTTCTAATTTATTGGTTTTTTCTTCTTTATTCGCACGCGCCTTCTTCAATTGAGATATGAGTATTTCGCGAAGCTCGTCTGGGTCATCATCAATTTGAATGACGGGTATTTCCGTAGAAGTTTTTGTCTGAAAAACAAAATTTTTGAGAAAACAGGTGTGGAAAACCTGTTTGATTATTTCATCGATTGCGTTTTCATCGTCGCTGTCTTTTTCAAGTCTGTTTTCTACGTCCTTAGAACTGAAAAACGAGAACACTAAACTTGATAATTCATAACAAAGGTAACTGACCTTTCGCTGTCGGAAATAATTTCTCCGTCTTCCAAACTCTTATCCGACATCATACAAACTTCTTCCATGGTTTATGACACTGTAAATTTAGATTTAAAAAACCAGACGAGAAGATTGAAATAAGTGAAAAACAACATGTTTCGAAGGACGGAAAATATTTCAAAAATATTGTTTAAGAGGAAACCAAAAGCGTTGTAGCTTTTTTAATGTCATAAAAGACTGTTTCTGTGGAGGAAATCACATAACACAGAGTTCTAAAGCGGGGTTCAGGCGTGCTGCTGCAGAAAGCGCGCGAGCTAAATATAAATTTAAGATGAGGAAAAAAAATTTCAGCTTTACAAAAAAAATCTGCATGCAGCGAAAAGGCTCAATCTCTGCCATGGGCCTTTGGAAAGCCGGCACTGTAACTCTTCCTACGACCTCTCTTGTATCTGATGTTCTACGAGCGAAATTCACAACTTCTCTGCCTAAACCACAGCTCCGCCGCCGTTTAAACACAGTTGAAATCAATGAAAGTCGATTGCACATGTATGCTTACATTGAAGATGCAATAAACAGTTTTTTTAAAAAATCTCGATGAATTTGTTTGCGTTTTTGTCTAATAAAATTTTTTTGAAATGCCGTGTTCATCGGACACAATGAAAATTGATCCGAAATGCAAGAAGTTTGTTCCAAAACAAAATTAGTACTTTTTAGAGCAACTTTGGTGCTCAGATTAGCACGCTTGAAACATGTTCCCTGTTTCTACGATGAACACACCATAAAAATTTCGCATTTTGACGCAAGTAGAACGGCTGCTACTGATGAATATCAAGTTAAGAACTTTGAACTATATCTTGCACAAAAAAACTATTGCTTAGATCTAAGTGTTAAAAATTCATAAGAGACTTCTTCCACCTAATTTGCCGCGTTTCTCAAATTTGCCTAATGAGTTTGGATTGCGCCAGAACCTTTAAAACTTTCTAAAAATTTAAATGAAAGAAAAAAAAATAAAATCAAAAACCGGCTGGGTAGCATTTACAACGGTTCGCGGCGGGACCTCTTTTGCAGTTTGGCACAAGAAAATGGTAGCGCTAACCCCTTTTCCTTCATTATTTTATCCGTTCGAGGTTTTTTCTGGCCTATATTACTTTCCCTGAACCAATTGGCTCATTTAAAGAACGATTAGCAAAAACTTCTTGTGATCATGCAAAAATTATTATTGCAAAACCAGAGAAATAAATGCATTGAGGCATTTTTGGGCACAAGAATAAGCAAAAATTTTAAATTTTGAGAAATTATTCATATATTTTTTGTCCCTGAGTCTTTTTCAAATTAATATGATTTATTTAAATTCTCAGGTTTCTTTCCGATGATGAAGTAATATATATGATTCTCTTTTTCCGAAATAACTTGTGTTTGTTTTTATTTTTTGGGTCATCAGAAAATCGTTTAAAGGGTTCACCATTGCTGAATAATGTCTGACGGAGTCGTCGTTCCGCCACCAGTAGCCCAGCCAGCTCCACAAACGATTCGGCGCGGTGTCGTGAAACAAGTACGAAAAAAATCGAAATTTTTCAAAATTTGAAATTTTTTTTAGGTTCTTTCCGGAGATGCTGTTGTTATTCAAGGACAGCCAGTAAACGGTCCACCACCAGAGACAACCGTATATTTGAGCAACGTTACTGCTCCTCGATTGGGAAGAAGGCCAACGGAAACATCTACAGGAACTGCTGATGAGGTATATATGAAAGTTCACTAGTTCTCCTTCTCTTTAGAATTTTGAAATAATTTGAATCTTTAAAGCCATTCGCATGGGAGTCTCGTGAGTTTCTGCGCAAAAAACTCGTTGGACAGGTTGTCACCTTTGTGAAGGATTACACCGCAACTTCGGGAAGAGATCATGGACGTGTTTACTTGGGAGGCACAAGTGAGAGACCGAGATTTTTTTTCTTAAGTTTTTATTTCTTATTTTTATTTAGGTCCCGCGGACGCAGAGAATATCGCTGAAACCGCTGCCTCGGAAGGCTGGGTTGAAGTACGACAGGGAAAAGTTTCCGAGTTAGTGTTTCTGGTTTTTCCCTTTTCACGAAGTTCTTAGCGAGTACTCTACAAGGCTGACTGAACTTCAAGAACAAGCGAAACAAGCATCTCGAGGAAAATGGAGCTCGGATCACACCGCAGTCAGAGAGGTATTTTCGAAAGCGAGGATGACTAAATAGAAATCTTTTCAGGTGCGATGGGTGATTGAAAATCCCAGAGAGTTGGTAGACAAATACCATCAAAAGCCCGTCGACGCTGTCATTGAAATGGTTTTTACTCGTTTCTTCTATACCGAAAGTTCTTACGTTTAAGGTTCGAGATGGATCAACAGTTAGAGCGATCCTTCTGCCTGACTTTGAGTACATCACGCTTCAACTTTCTGGTGTTCGAGCTCCAGCGACCAGATCCAATACTGAGGGCAGAGTCGAGCCATACGCAGAAGAGGCCAAGTTCTTTGTCGAACAACGTCTTCTTCAGCGCGACGTTCAGGTTTGTTCCAAGTTTTTTTTTTTGAAAAACTGTTTGAAAAAAAAACAGAATTTTAAAGTACCTTTCATAAAAGTAATTTTTTAGATTGTGTTGGAATCTGTATCGAATCAAAATTTCGTCGGAACCGTGATTCATCCGCGTGGAAACATCGCAGAATCTTTGTTGCGTGAAGGTTATGCCAAGTGCGTCGATTGGAGCATCGGACTCTGCACCGGTGGAGCCGAGAAACTTCGCTCCGCAGAAAAGTCGGTTTTGAACTTTGGCTGTTTCCCTGAAACATTTATAGTTCTCTTTATCATCGAGTTTATTGATTTGCAGGCAGGCAAAAGAAAGCAAACTGCGTCTCTGGAAGTCTTACCAACCAACGTCAAGCGGTGTGAGCGGAGACAAAAAAGCGTTCACTGCTAAAGTCATTGAAATCGTCTTGTCTGACGCCCTTGTTCTGCTGAAAGACGATGGCAGCGAACTCAAGGTTCACCTATCTTCAATCAGACTTCCCAGGTTTAAATTTCTTTATTCTTTTTTCATTAAAAATTTTTTTTGAAGAGATGCCGAAGAGAAACCAGCCGTCGGAAGGCAATTCAGACCCCTTTACGACATTCCATTCATGTTCCAGGCACGCGAGTTTTTGAGAAAAAGGTATCTCACAAAAATTAATGTTTGTATTCATTCTTCCCCTCAGATTGATTGGAAAGAAAGTTAACGTCCACATCGATTACATCCAGCCGAAATCGGAGCAATTCCCAGAGAAAACTTGTGCGACGGTCAAGGTTGGCGATCTCAACATTGCAGAGGCTCTCATTGCTAAGGGCCTCAGCAAAGTCGTTCGCCATCGCTCGGACGACGAGAATAGGTTCTTCAGATGATCGATACTGTAAAAATTAATTTTGCCAGATCTTCGGATTATGACGCTCTTCTGGCAGCTGAAGCCAACGCTGAGAAAGGAAAGAAAGGGCTTTTCGCGGACAAAACAGCCGACAAAAAAGATACTCTGCGAATTCAAGAAATTGCTGGCGACGTTGCCAAATCCAAACAATTCCTGCCGTATCTTCAGCGTGGTGGAAAGTACTATTTATTTTGTTTTCTTTGAATATTATATCGGTTTGAAGAGCCGAAGGAGTCGTGGAGTTTGTTGCCAGTGGCTCTCGCATGAGGATCTACGTTCCCAAGGAAACTTGCTTGGTTACATTCCTTTTGGGCGGTATCAGCTGTCCAAGGGTGAGGATCTTCCTTTTAATTTCTGTGAACTTTTTCGTCCAAAGATAGTCACTGAAAAGACTAGTCGGATTTTTTTTGTTTCGTAAACTAAAGTTTTGAAATAAAAAAAAATCCGAGCAGAGTTTTCAAAGTTCTAGAATAAACGCTAACAAATTGTTCAATGTTCCGAAACAGGGAAAAAAATTTTGAAAGTCAATTTATATTGGACTTGCCAAAAGAACAGAGCCGTTCAATCACAAGGTGGGAAACTGTTCCGTTCCGCCGCTTTTTGGCTCGAGTCATAGAGTAGAAACAGAAAAACCCTGCGCGCGTGAATTTATCTTCGGACACGGCATACATTTTTTGAATCAGCCAATTACCAATGTCACACTATGGAAATAAGAACCTTTTCAGAGCGCACGAGTTGGCGCTGGAGGTGTTGTGAATGGAGCATCAGAACCGTTCGCTGAAGAGGCTGCCACTTTCACCAAGAAACTCATACTTCAACACGAAGTCGAACTGGAGGTCGGAGAAAAGATTACTTGGTTCTTACCTCATTCTTTTTCAAGGTTGAAAGTCTCGACAAGAGTGGCAATTTTGTGGGATACATCTTTGTGTCCACTGATGGAGGCCGACCTCAGAATCTGAGCGAGCTTCTTCTCGAACAAGGGCTGGCAACCCTTCACTTCACTGCCGAACGAAGTGGACATTACAACACGTTGTTGTCTGCTGAAAACCGAGCAAAGGCCGCTAGGTAAAATGGCTCGAAGGAAAATACATTATTGTTTAATTACAGGAAGAACATCTGGGCTAACTACACGGAAACGGAGGAAGTCTCCGAAGAGGCGGAGGTCCAGAAGAACGATACTGCTGAAAGAAGAGTTCACTATAAGAAGGTCGCTGTTACCGACGTTCAGAAAGTGAGAAAGCCCTGTCTCCGAATTTTTTATAATTTTTTTGATTCAGGGAAGTTTGAGATTCTCGGCTCAGTTCATCGAAGATGGCGCCAAGCTGGAAAAAATGACTGGCGAGCTGAGGGCTCATCTTGAGCAGAATGTCCCAGTCACAGGAGCCTACCAACCTCGCGTACGTCTTTGGTTCAAGTTTTTTTTTTACAAAATCGTTCATTTTTCTCTATGACTTGATCATGTGATTGATTTGCACCTTGCAAATCTGAAGGAATCGGGGATTCCAAAAAGAGTGAACTGGCCTTAGCGACCGCCATTTTCACAACCTCTAAGTTGAATGGCTTTCCTACAACATACCGATTTTTTTTAAACTGTCATAATAAGCAACTTAAATTTGAGTAGTTTTCAGCGTGGCGAACTCTGTGCAGCTAAGTTCTCTGCTGACGGACAATGGTACCGTGCCAAGGTCGAGAGCGCTCGTGGAGGTCAGGCAGAAATCTTGTACATCGACTATGGGAATGTGAGATTTTTTTAAAATCTCTGACAAAGATTAATTCTGGATAACTTCAGAGAGAAACTGTTTCTTCCACTGCTCTCACGCAACTTCCAGCTGGCTTCGGAAGTCACCCAGCCGGCGCCAGAGAGTTCACCCTCGCATTGACTGCTCTTCCAAGCGAGGTTCTTTTTCATCCAGCATGCTTTTCTTATTGAGAAATTAACTTCTTCAAATAGTATTCCCCGTTTGGATTGTCGAATATATTGTTTAAGGACTACGCGCCTTTCTGCCACGAAGAATTTTCCAATCTTCTGTTCTCGGTTCCTTCTGTTGAGATCAATGTCGAATACAAAGTCGGCACATCTGAATTCGCTCAGGTTTGCTCGAAATCCTCTCATCTCTGTCAACTAAAACATTCAGGTCCTCGTTGAACACAATGGGAAGAAGCTGGATGTTGCTAAGACTCTTATTGAAGACGGCTATGCCTTGGTCGACAAACGACGAGAACAGCGGCTGCAGCCATTGGTGCGTTTCTGGTCTCGAGCTTTTCATCTGAACTTGATGTTTCAGGTGCAAGAATACTCTATTGCTGAGGGAAAAGCCCGCAAATCACGCAAGGTCATCTGGGAGTTTGGAGACTTCACCGGAAACGATATTTAAATCATCATCTTTTTCTTTCTATCTGCCTTCTCTTCTCGGTTTTCTAGCCCGCTCGATTGTTTTAATTTTATATTGCCTCTTCCTGTGATCGTCTACACTGTTTTATTTGCCTTTCTTCAAGGCAGTTTTTTTCCGGGATTAAACGTACAGAGAGCTCTAAATTATTTAATATTTATTGTTAATACGTCGTTGTTAATAAATTATTTCTTGTCTGACAATTTTATCAGTGCGGTAATTGGTTCAGAGCCTTTCTCATACGTGAAGAAAAAGTGACGCGCTTTGAGTTTGAGCCAAATATTTCTAGATGAGCACAACTGGTCATCGAGCCGGCAGTTTCAAAAAACCGGCAAAAATCCACAAGTCCTGGAAGGGAAAGAGAACGAAAGGCGAGATCAATGATGCTAATCGTGGTGAGAAAATACTCAAGTTTCGAAATTTCGTCGGAATTTTTACTTTTCTTGCTTTGAGATAAGTTAAATATATGGTTCGAAAGGGGAATCGAGAAGTCGATGCAAGTTGGTATAGCTGATTCACGGCTGTCTTAAGCCATCGGAAAAAGGGTCCTGACACGATAATGCACGAGATAGTGCCTATCTCGTGGAGGGCGCAGACAGGCTATGCCCTCTCAGTGTCCCAAGCTAGGCGTGAATCAGCTATTCCGGGTAGCTACCGCTTGAGGTACCTACTTATTAGCTACTTTCATGATACCGGAAAGCATACGCTCGTCAGAAATCATACCCGGGTGGAAATTTTCGAAAATCGCTCGGAGACCTCTTTGATGGAGCAAATGAAGGTCCTGGAAATATTCACGTGCAAAATTTTCTGGCTATTTGGAGAAGTGCATTTCAAAGTCTCTTAATGGACTCTTTGACAAATTTTGATGGTCTTTTTTAGTGTTGATACGCTTTTATTAAAGATAAAAAGTTGTGCGGTCTGAGAGTTCTAGGATTTTCTCTTAGTGCATCAAGGAGTGTTCTTCAAAAATTTATTCATTAAGTTTTATTTTGATGAATTATAACGATGACGTTGACAAATTAAAATGAGCTTTGTTAGCTTTTTTCGAAACTTGTTGACGTGACTCGACTTTTTCTAGTATGAACTAAATTTGAGGTCGAGAAGGAGTCAAGGAAATCGTGAGAGGCTCCAGAGCCTCGCGCTCTATTTCGAAGGATGTTCGACGACAGCAGTCGAGGCAAATCCGCGCCGCCAAAATGCAGGCCGTCTTCCAGAAGCGCCGTTCATCCGACGCCCCTGTCGTCGTGGTCCGTTTTCCCTGTTGGAAGCTGAAAAAGAAAAAAGCTTGAAAAAATGAGAAAAAAAGCAGCGATAAGAAAATAATTCTTGAAATCTGTCAATTTTTGAGAGGATTTTTTTCTCGAAAAAGATTATTCCAAAATCATTTTTAGCCTCAAATTCATACAATCTTTAAAGAAATAGAAACATTGTTTTTTTTTTTTTGCCTTGCGCGCTTCAGAGAATTCGTGCCAAGAGCAAAAAACTGAGAGCGTATGTTTTCCAGACTGTTCTCTCTTTGGGGAATGGCGCCAGCGCCGGAGAATTTGTCTCGAAAGTCCTGAAAAGCGATGAAACTGTCGTTCGAACACAGGGACATCGTTCGATTCATGCGGCGTGAGTTTTTATTTTTTTTTTCTTTGAAATCTTTCTCAGGTGCTGAAATGTCGGTTTATGCTTTTTTTTTTTCATTTCTTTTTCTGTCGTTCCGAGTTTTTATCAACCTCATGAAGAACTTTCAAATTAAGTAAAATGAAATCACTATTTTTTTAGTTTTTTCCGGAGTGAGACCCTTCTATTTCAATTTTTTTGAAAGGGCTTTCGAAAAGGCAGTAAACGCATCGTTGAAAATCGTTTTGCAGAGTTTCTCGCTTCAAATCTCGTCTTTGCTTCCTAACGCCATCCCAACAAATGATGGACGATGTCCTGGACAGTGTCAAGGTAGGTTTTTGCTTTTGTAGTTCCTCTTTTTAATATGTATGTCGTTATCGCATACCTCATTGAACTTTCAAAAGACCAGATAAGTAAGGATTTTTAATTTCGAAATCAAAAAATCTATTGCGAGTTTTTGTGATACAATGCGGCTTTTTTCGAAAGTAAATGTGAATTTCGTACCTTATCAATTATGCCGACTACCTAAAAGTCCATCCTTCGACTTGCAAAAAAAGGAGGATAAATTGGAATATTTAGATCTGCGACATTTTATGCGTTTTGTGGCCTTTGGACGGGAACATCAGCGACTGGGACAACCTTCTCCTCAGTTTGGTGAAGGCCAACGGTATTAGCCATCTTTCATCTTTGCTCTCCTTATTTTTGTCTTATACTCGTATGAAAATACTTTCCATCGTCTTCTCAATTTTTGGATGAAAATACTGTCCCATATCGAACTTCGAATCAAAAGTTTATTTTTGTGAATAAGAAAAACTTTCTTTCACTCGTAGAAAATCAATTTTCTTTTAGGTGCCTTGATCTTTTTTTGGACATCTTTTTTTTATAGGGATCCCGAAGGTGGTGAACGTCGTTCCGGGGCTGAGCATGATTCCTGCCAAAAAACGCGAAGAAATGCGCAAGAATATTGAATCTCACATCGCCAATTGGTAATTTTTTCTGGCTTTGTGCGGATTTTGAAATTTTTATTTCAAGCTCTCATCGAATTTTGCTATTTTCTCTGTTAATTGCGAATCGGAGAAAGCTAGTTTCTGTATTTTTTGTGTAGCCGCTTCAATCAGCCGTTTCAGAAGTTTCCAGCGCCACTTTTTTGTAATAGGGAGTTTGACCAGACTTCGAGATCATACCGAATTCTGATGCAGAATATTCAAAGAAAAGCTGATATTAGAACTTTTGCAGGAGCCTAAACGCGACCGGGATTTCTTTGGCCGACAGTCCCACCGACGGAATTCAGTTTCTGCGTTCCCTGATCGAAACGAAGAAAAAGCCGCTTTCTCTCCAGACTTATCATCCTTATATGTACGTCGAGAAGCTCGACGTTCGGGATAGAACGGTAAATTTTGAATTTTTCATTCCATTATTTTTATCTAATGTCTTATATTAACAACTTATCAATCAAAATTTGTGTTAAATTGAAACCCATAATTTTGCCTTTCCCTCTCCAAAATGACCGTTGATCGCGTTTGACGTGTTGAATATTCTGACCGTTCAGTTCACTAAATATGAAATGAACTGATAAGAAATCACTGTTCAGTCGAAGCTTAGAACTCGATCGTTCATTTGAATGATCTGTTGAAAGTTCGATTGTTCGTTCATCGGTCATAATTTGACACATCAAGTTTTCGACATTTCGTTTGACGATCATTGAAATGACCTGCCGCTGAAAGTTCATACGATCATCGTCCAAACGGTCATTTTGGAAAGCTCTAATTCAATGTCCTAATGCCGTGTTCAACGTGATTCCGCGAAATTCAAAATGAACGTCAGAGAAAGAAACCTACAATTACATTTTTGAGAGTCAGAGATAATTTCACATTTCGCCGTAATAACTTTGAACATGGCATAAAACATATCGAAAAAATGATGGAGGAAATAAATAGGATGAAACGTGTACATTGGTGGCGAGCGGATATCTGCGAGGTCCTGAGTGGAATGCCAACCATTTGGTCCACATTCCTGGATTCGGCGATTTCCAGGTTCAGCTTTTCCTCTCTATTTCGCTCATCTGACGTGTTATCTAGATAAATCACATCGCAAAGGCTCAAGACCCTCATCCGCTCAAGGTTTTTTGTTTGAAAGAATTTTCAGTTTTCGGACGGTTTCAGGCAGGCGGCAAACCGATGGAAGAACTTGAAAAGATTGCTCAGCCGATTCCGCAGAAGCAGCAACAGTTGCAGGTAAGAAACTTAGATTCTAATAAATATTGTGACTTTTTTCTAGGTTTTTACTCTTCATTTCAATTTTCCAGGTGGAAATAGTTCCTGACGATCTGAACGCGGAACAAACTTGGCCCACTCAGGAAGAGTTGAATGCTGTTGAAAAAGGTTCGGATTTCTTTTGTTGATGGGTGAAAAATAAACTAGAAAGTTCAATATATGATCGGTAGGCGAAACTGATAAGAAAATCAATGAAATGAGAGGTTTTTCGTACAAATCAAACCGAATCTCACATGAAGAAAGAAAGTGACAAATTGGACTTACTCCATCACATGTTTGTTTGTTTCGATCTTCCTCTCACCACAGATAGTTGTCCTTGTCCTCACGACCTCATCTCCTTCATTGATCAATAATCTCTTTCGTTTCACCTTCATACCATTCACTCTTTTTCTTTCTTTTTTCAATTAAATCTTGCGCCTAGATGTAATTCTAGAAAGTTTTCGATGGTTTTTGGAATCTAGACAGGAGAGAAATTCTGACGATAGGTTGTCCTGCAAGCCGTCAATTCTGAAGACCAGAATCGCGTTATATGATAAGATCTAACTTCAAGAATTCCAGTTCATTGCTCAACTGCGGTAGTTTCTTGTGATTTTTTTTTTCTGGCGCAAAAAATATTGCGAAGAAAAAAGTTCATAGGGCCGAAAATCACCCATCAAGCTTTTTTTTTTTTGAAGGAACCTGAACGTATACCAGTAAGAATCGAGAATTATTTTCAGAAAAGCGAAGAGTGCCGAAAGGAACGTCTTCCTACCAGGCGACGTGGATCATCAACGACGAAGACGAAGATGATGACGAGGACGACGAAGACGAAGAAGATTCTGAAGAGGAAGTGGGGTCAACCTTTTCTCTGCGGGTTGATTTTGAGATTTTGAGATGGACGGCGACTTTGCCCCGGAAGAAGAAATGGAAGAAACCGAGGAGGTCGAAATGGAAAAATCAGTGTTTGGCGACTCGGAGAGCATCTTTGCCGGTGACATGGACGACGATATCGACATGCAAGAGGTTTTTATTTGCGCTTTCGAACTTCAGAGATCCTCCTTAAGTTAGTGTAGGCTCGAGTCTGCTCAGAAAGAGCTATAAGCATATAGTTTTTTTTTAATAAGAAGAAGATCAAAGAGTTCTTTTCAGGTTGAAAAGTACCGAAGAGAGCGTGAGAACGCCCAGTTTCCCGACGAAGTCGACACGCCGATTGACGTTCCAGCGAGAGTTCAGTTCCAGCAGTACCGCGGACTGAAGAGTTTCAGGTGCTGGTCACCAGAAGAGCTAGTTTATAATATCTTGATTCCAGGACATCCGAGTGGGATGTCAAAGAGAACTTGCCGTTGAACTACGCCAGGATATTCCAGATCGCCAACTTCAAAAGAACCAAGAAACAGGTTCTGAAGCATCTGAACGAAGACGACGACGACGCCGTCGTTGACTCGCAGTACAACGGCGTCTTCGCCAATGTCCACATCGCAAATGTTCCCGTCAGCATCGCCGGTAGGCCTTTCATTCCTTATCAGGAAGTTGCGAAACAACGAAACGTTTGAATCACGGAAATCGTAACCTCCAAACCTTTGGAAAAAGAGAAATTTTAATTATTGAGAATTTTTCTAGTTTGTTCCGCTGAAATAGTTTGTTTTTCTCTTCCTAGATAGTTCAGACGGTAAAAAGGAGCTTTTTTTGAGGTCCTCGGTTTCAGCCGCCTCTAGCAGACTAGATATATATACGAAATTGCAGTTTGGAAAAAATAAATATCCTTACGGTTTTTTTTTTGTGGTTCTGATAAACCTGAAGATTTTTGAGCACAAGTTTGGATAAAGAATTCTAGGTAGAAGCTTAGGAACGAGAACAGTCAGATAGAGTGAAGTATTTTCAAAGAATCCCGGATTTTTATTCAGAGAATTTACTAATCTCTAACAAAAACTTGTTTGCTTTTTGTGAAAAGCCCTTGAATGAGATGATCGTCGATAAGGGACTTCAGAGGCGTTCAACGAAGACTCGACTCTGGTGCTGTTCCAGTTGCTCCCGCACGAGCAGCGAATGTCCGTGATGAACATGGTCCTCCGTCGACATCCCACCTGCACAGTTCCTCTCACGAGCCATCAAGTTCCTCGTCCCAAACTCGGCTTTTTCCTCATTTTCCCATTGCAGAAGTTCATTTTCTACGTCGGATTCCGCAGTTTCACCGCCGAGGCTCTTTTCAGCCAACACACATCCGGGGACAAGTTCAAAGTCTGTCGAAATGGGCGCTTTTCAACCTAGGAGGCTTGCATTTCAGATGGAGAGGTTCATGCCGACGGATGGACCTTTCGTGGCCACCGTTTTCGCTCCAATCACCTTTCCTCCAGCTTCGGTGCTTGTCTTCCGTCTCGACGATCATGGAAGACAAGTGTGTATCTTTTTTCGAAAGGACATGAGTCCAAAATTTGAACATCAACGTTTTAGAAATTTTCTCCCAACTTTTGGGAGAAGCTTTTTGTAGCAATAGATTATGACATACGTAAACTTATATGCTTTTGTACAATGGGTTTTTTAGCCTTCATAAAGAAACATGTGCAAATATATGGGAATTATTCTTGATTCTCTATAACGTTTTTTCTCAGGAACTGGTAGCCACTGGATCAGTGCTGGACAACAACCCAGACAGAGTTGTGCTAAAGAGAATCGTTCTCTCCGGTCATCCGTTCAAGATCAACAGAAGGGCCGTCGTCGTCCGGTACATGTTCTTCAACAGAGGTTTCCGATTCCATCTGAAGCAAAAATTGTTTTTATTTTCAGAGGATATCGAGTGGTTCAAGCCTATTGAACTCTACACGCCGAGTGGCCGCAGAGGTCATATCCGAGAGCCTTTAGGTAGGATCTCAGATTCTAAAATGAGCGTCAGAACTTGTTCAGGAACTCATGGGCACATGAAATGCCGGTTCGACCAGCAGCTGAACGCCATGGATTCCGTCATGCTCAATTTGTACAAGCGCGTCTTTCCTACATGGACCTACACACTTTTTGTACGACAGTCGAATCTCTTTTCTGAATTTCTTCCTTCTTTCAGGATAAAAATACGGCCAAGCCGAGCAGAATCGCCGAGCGAGATTCTAAAACGTCAACTATTCTTGTAAATCGAATGGAGGAATAGATGAGCTGTTGTTTTATCTTGTTACTTGCTTGTTTTTTTCTGTTGATTTTGTTATCGTTACATGTTGTTACTTATCTGTTCATTTTTTAAAATGTTAATGAATGAAAAATAAGAAAATAATTGTTTCGAAGGACTAGCTCATACGAACAAAATAAACCACCGGTGGTAAACTTACTCAATATTGACTAAAATCTTACAATCACGGGTCATAGAAATACACGCTTACTGTATACAATGGGAACAGGAACACGTAATCAATCAATCAATAGTTTGATCTTCAAGCAATCTAACGGTTGTACAGGTAGGCGTCGCGGATTTGCAAGGCAAAATTAGTGCCGGAGAGCTGGAACCACTGGTTCACGCTCTGCCACTCCTGCTCGGCCCAGTCGTGCTCCAGGCAGCGCCAACGCGGAGCCGACAGGTGCAGCGGCTTACCTGAAAATTTTTCCATTTATGGTGATTGTTTTTTTCCTAATTTGAATGAAGAATTTTTCATTATCAGAAAATGGATGAGCAATAGAGAAAAATCCCGCTCTTATTAATACTGAATAATTTTTTTCTCAAATTTCAAAGATATATTATTTCAGTTTTCTTTATTTTTATTAATTTTTTAAACTTTTAAATTAATCTTTTCTCTGTCCTAAACAAATATTTTTCCTCGAGCACATGGTTTTTAGGATAGTAAAGATTTGAGAAAAGTTGAAAAGTTTCTCGAATTTGCTACCGACCTCGACGCAAGTTGCGGTCCTCCTCCATGTGGGCGTCGAGGTAGACTGAGCCCCAGATGGCGGCCATTTTGGTGCGGACGACGATGACCAGCGAGGAGTTGAGCGACAGAAAGAGGCCGCTGGAAGCTGAACATGCGTCGGCGTGCTGAAACCTCTGATTGAAGATCAACAGACTCAGCCTCGACCAACTCTCTCGATTTCCGAGTCCCGCTGCACACGGCAGCACTCGTCCAGACAGATCAACTGGGCACAGAGAAGACAAATAACGGGATTCGTCGGTACCTGTAGCTTTGGATAAGGTTACTCATAAGTTGGACAGGCTACGTTTCACGCAAACATATGTGACCTGCTACAAAACTCAATTAGTCCAGAAGGAAGGGGTGACTTACAAAAATGTGCTAAAATAAAAAATAAAATTGATTTTTAACTTCAGGAAGGTGACGAAAATAGTATGGAATCACCTCAAAATGCTCTACAGACTCGAGTTTAAAAAACACTGAGGCGGAGGTTTTGGTTGTCTTTGATAAGTGTCTGTCCATGTATGTACGAAACGCATTGAAAAAGTTTGAAAACAGTTTTAAAAAAAATCGAGATGTACAGCTTTTAAACTTTCAACTTTAAGCTCTGAGAACTCCTGGGTAACTTCTTCGTGAAATAAGTGAAACTTATGTGACGGAGGATGAAAAAAAATCAGTCTTTTCACGAAGAATCCTCTCACTGTATCGCTACAGATAACGCATATTGTTAAACTATTGTAAAATTTAAAAAAAAAACTTAACGAGAAATTCAAAAATATTCTTTCAAGCCACTGACCTTTTCGCAACAGCTGCAGACACGATGAAAATATCTCGAGAAGAAGTCATCATATTTGGCCGGCAACTGGAGCAGACGACGAGGTCGCCAGTTCAAAGGTTCGCCAACCAGAGGCTGCAAAAAAAGAAATTAATACTGAACTAATGGGGGGGACCGGAAATTGTAAACTATTCAATATTTTGGAAAGTAAAAATTAGATATGCCAAGACGCTATGCTCAGGTTTGATCCACCTCAGATTTCCAGATTTTTGCAGGAAAATTTTGAATAAGCAGCGATAAGTATCGTCAAAATCAAAATGGGGCGCGCTGCAGAGCAACAGGTTGTGTGCTTGTCTACAGTCCAAAGGGTCACAAGTTCGATCCCCGCCTCGACACAACCAAAGAGTTTAAGAAATGTTGGCAGTGGGAAAACCACGACTTCATAATCTCCAACCGTCACACACAAGGACAGATATGTCACTGCAGGAATTTAAAAAAAAAAGAGCCAAAAAAAAAGAGCCAGTCCATTGATAATCATTGATATCAGGATAGGACCACGGCTATTCGACATGGGACATTTTTGTTTATTTCATTTTCGAGCGTAAAAGGCTGCAGTAGGATCCAACCAACGTATGGGCAAAAATTTTTCGGCGAAATTCAATCAAGCATTTGCCTAGCAAAGAAATAATTTAAAAAATTAATTTTTAGAAAATCTTAAATAATATCAAAACGTTTAGTGGAAAAGAAGCCAATCAGTCGAAAACTGATAGCATTGAAGAAGCCGAGAATGAAAAGAAGGAAAAGCAGAAGAGACGCCGACGTGGCACAAACCGTCGAGACGTTGATACGCGACGGCAAGGAGCCAGAGAGGGGTGAAACGCCAGGACTTTTTGTCCATTGTTGACTCAACTCGTGGTGAAACCCACCCAGACACGCTTCATTCCGTCCATTTACTACGCTGAAAGACGTATTTTTTCAATCCCTATATATTTCTAATTCTGATTGAAAAAACTCGATAATAAATTAGAAGCTGTCCTTGGAGCGAACAACAGTCATGGCTCCACGGCCGCGCGACGAAACTTCGTTCCCAGCCATCGGAGTGAGTTTTACAGCCTCCTTTCGTAACGCATCAACGCTTCTTTGGCAAATATTCCCAGCAATGATCGGCACGATTTTTCGTGAGAGAACACACCAAGGAAAAAATAAAAAGTAATTCTTGAAGGCTTGAGGGAAAACTGATGAACGAAGGGGAAAAGAAGGAATGACGAATGAAAAAATACATGGTTTTTCAGAGCACATTCCGTCTTTTTCCTTTTACGTTGCTCCCCAAATTTGTCTTTATTAGACTTTTCTCTTGAAGATTACTGTTATTTCGGGTTTTCATAGGATTTGTGTAGTACAATTCTTAATTAATTCAATTTAAAAATACTGACTCTTTAATCCTTTTGTCATTGCCGATAGATAAATCGAAAACAATTGACAAAAGATTGTTTCAAAATCGAAGGCACGCGACATGCCCAACTGAGACAAGACAAACACCACCGCTTCGTGTTTATTTGCTTTATTCAATTCAACTCCCTCGAGCCACCAAAGTTTTCCGCTCTTGTTTCACCGGCTACTATTTCCAGAACACTTCGAGCTCATCGCACGCAACTTCTGAGCGAATGGGCGCATTCGGAGAGATGAGTCACTCTCCGAATCAACGAATGCGTGTACAAATGCCCCAGCCAATGCAGTGAGTCTCGAATGTCAATAAAGACCTGTCTCTTCATAAAAGATAATAAAGAGACCTACATTAGGAGGTATCAAAAAGATCCTTTTTAGGACCGTTCCAATAAGAAGCGTTCTTTTGATTGTTTTTTTTGGACAGAACTTGAAAAAAGAAAATGAATTTGCTTTTGAGAAAAATGTTCATTATCGATTCTCTATCCTTTTTTTCTCTATCCTTCGAAAAAACAAGTACTATTAGAAGACTGCTCTGAATCAAGATAACTTCTTAAAAATCTACTGAAAAACTACCACAGTAAAAAAAGGTTTTATCTTCGAAACGTGTTCACACGATGAAACATCTAAAAAAAAGCCGGTGAAATGAGGGTTCAAACAAATAAGTAATAAGGTTATGGATGTATTGAAAAAAAGTTTTGTTATTGAAGTTCGGATAAACTTCAGATTCCTTGAATTGTTCCTGAACCATAAATAAAGAAAAAAAAAAACGTGTTTCGATCATTCTTTAAACGAAAAAAAGACTTTGATACCTCCCCTCCCGTGGTAGATAAAAAAAATAGTGAAAAAAATCTAAATTTCTGCAAAATTATTACGAAAAACAAGAATTATAGAGCTTCTTAGGAAACATTTTGGTTTTCACGTTCTACAGTCTGACTTCATCCCTGAAACACAGCTCTAGCCCACTGAAACATTGCTTCTTACAGAAATCTTTCAGACAGATTCCAAGAGCGCCGTTGGGTCCTCAGCCTTCGACGGCAAGTTCTCCGATGCGCGTCGATCTGTCAACAGCGCCGCCTTCGCGTCAAACCACCAATAGCAGCTCCTTCGGCAGCAGAAGTCGTCCTCAGCCGCAATCAAGGGAGCCTTTGATGCCAGCGACACCCGTAAAGCTGCCGCAAGTCAACCTCAACACTACTAACCCTGCAGTCGTCTACTTGTCCACTACGCACACAGATTCCAATGGTATTTCGTTTTTTCTTTCCACCTCCCAGAAGCGTTTTCCGAAATTCTGATTATATGAACATTGTTTTCTGATTATATGAACATTGTGGAATACCAGTGAATCAAGAGTTTGTGTGCCATCACAGCTGATATAAAAGTCTAATCTATTATTAACTTGAAAGTTTTTTAAACTGTTATTTTTTCAACTTAACTTTTCTGAAAGCCTGGGCTTTGTAAGTAATTAACAGCCCCAGTTTTTTTTTTCGATAAATGCGAAACTCCAGAATATCAAATTCAGAACTGGAAAATTCTCCTACTTGAACCTGCCCAAATTTCAGCGGATTCGACAGATTCTCGGCGAAGGCACGACAAACTCTCAGACGTCTACTCAATGAGCGGGGATACGGTAGAATTCGCCCGGAACCTCAGCGACTACATAAACGAGCGGATACCATACCGTACAAAAAGAATTTCGAGAAATTAAACTTCTCAAGCCTAAAATTTCAGAACTCTCTATCGGACTTCTGCTACTTTTCAGTCTAATCGCATTTCTCTTTATTTTATGTGGTTAGTCGCAGAATCAAATCCTTCAAATAGAAGAAATGTTTTCAGGAACCTTGAACTTTCCATTTTGCCCCCTGCAGCCTATGATCCCTATCTGGCTGGCTCTTGCGGGTGTTCTCTTCATTATTTCCGCAACTTTCCGTATCTACTTTCTCATTCCGCAGCCGCCACGCAGTCCTATGCGAAGAAGGCAGAGAAAACTCGGCGCAGGGCTTTTGTGCAAAGGAATCGAACTGCTCTTTGCTTTGGCCAATATCGTTTGGCTTATTCTAGGTGAGTTGCGGAAAACACTCTGAAGACTTGAAATTCTCGCTTTGAGGATGCGTTTGGGTGTACGGTGGACGGCAGTATGTCCACTTCGAAGAAGGAATGTTCGAAAGACATTATTGCGAACCGATCGTCTACTGGACTGCTTTTGTCGCTTGTACTACATTTCTGGTGAGTTTTTCGGTGCTCGAAATATCTAGCCACCTGTAGCCCGAAAATAGCTAAGAGAGCTTCCAGCTATCGAATTAGGCTATTATTTCCAATAATAAAACTCCTTTCTATCTTTCAATATCTAACATATTTCCAGTTGTTGTACTGTTTCGTGATAATCGCCCTGATTTGTCTACTCGCAGTCGGTTCAATGAAAGAATCGGCACGAACTGAAAACTCCAACCCACTTCTCGCTCGGTGATACTCGACTGACTTCGGAAAATAAAACATCAAACAATGATATATAATAAAAATATTCCAACGACTTTCTCTGAGTTCTAAAAGAAAGCATACATTTGGTCGTATCCTCGACGCGCAGGAAAGTGTCGTCTGATAGTTGCCCATCCAACTGCTCACTTGGTCAGGCGAGTTTCGAAGACAACTGGTATCTTGAAGGAAAAAATTCGATTTGTGAATAAAGCTGGAATATTTACCAAGGCCAACCGCCTTCAAAGCTTCTCTGAGGGGAATATCCCCGTCCGGGACTTCCCGACTGATGAGTCCAGACTCGGACCACAGCTCGCAGATGAAACGGAGCAACTCGACGAGGTAGAAGTTGAGTTCGCGTGCGAAGTGCGCGTCGTCGAATCGCTCGAAATCGACGTCGTCGTCGTCGATCATCGCAGGCTCTTCGGATTCGTCGATGCCGACCAGCAGGACGCTGGTGAAGAACGGCTCGCTCGACGACAGATTTGTGGAGATTTGCCGCGGCAAGTCGGAGATGGTCTGAAGCAAGGAAAAGGTTTGGAAGTTTGGAGAGTGAAGGTGAGGAACCTTGTCGAGGCCCGGGATGACGGATTGCTGACCTTTGGCCAGACGTCTCAATCTGCGCGAGCCTCCGCGCAGCAACAGCCGCAGGGTCGCCCGAACCGCGGCCATGCCGACGATGTAGCCAGCCAAAACTTTGCACAGCTCTCAAAATGAAAAACTCCATGTCATTTTTTTTTCATTAATCTTCAAGTGCGCCATATGCTTCAAAATCCATTCAACTAATCTAAAGAGTTAACTATAGTTACGTTGTTTTGGAAAAAGCTTCTTTAGAAGTATCTTTCGAACCATATCTGATAGATTTCAATTACTACGCGAAAACAATAAAAGAAAACGTGAAAATTAGTTACTCCAATTTTGAGAGATACCTTCCTGAAATATGTGAAAGTGGAACATTTAAGTAAGTCAAGCCTAGAAGTGGTCAGGAAGTAGGGCAAAACTAACGAGTCTTGTCCTCCTTGGAAAGACTTCGGTTGTCGATGACGTAGGCGCTGAGACGAGTGAGAAGACTGCGCGGTTCGTAGAGGAGCAGGGGGACTTGCTGCGTGACCGGCGTCAGAGGACCGAGGGACTCGAAGGACATCGAGTGTCTCCGGACGCGTTCGCTGCGAGAAGTCTGCAGGAGGAACAGGGTTTTGGGACGGTAGATGATCAAACCGAACGGAGGGCCGCTCTTTCGTCTGCCATCAAGTCGGAGCCGTCACCAAAGTCGCTGTCCGGGTCCGACACAGTCAGCAAGCCTTCCAGGGACGTCTGAAGCCAGAGACTGTCTATAGTCAGTAAAATAAAACAGATTCTTGAGCTGTACTACTCGACCTTGTATTCTCCCTGTTTGAAAAAAAGTTCAAACCAAACTGGTTGTCACATTAATATTTAAGGAGAACCTGGGAAGTTCTAACGATGGTATTTGGCTGAAGAATGAGCTCATTGAGGGCCGCAATGCACGCGTTTTCGTCGTGTTGAACAGAAACAGCGACTGACGATGCGAGGAGATGTTCTAAACAAAGGAATTGGAAAAAAAAACAAATTCAATCCCAACTCAGTAAGTCTCAACAACTGAACACATGTTCATGAATTATTAAAGTTTTTAATGTTGCTTATCATACTCTTTTAAGTCGATAGCTTTTTTTTAATTCAAAAATTATTTCCACAAGTTCAAATATCCACTTATCGAAAATCCATTTCCAATAATAAATGCCTTCAGGCTACAACTTGTACTTTCTTCTAAATCACATCTGTCTCGAGCAGTGGAAAGCTTGGAAAAAAAAAATCATACTTATAGCAAAATTGTGTGCCTTCCTGTGAAATTTGTCCCACTTTTCAAACAAACATTTTCAACATTTTATGTTTTTTTTCAGAGAAATTCCGGTAGGTGATGACTAAACAGACATATATGGAGCTCAGCTTCAAATTCAGTGTTTTTCAAAATAGAAAATATCGTCTCAATCTTAAAAATTCTAACCAGATACGATAGAAGTTGTGTTCTTGCGTCTCTCCGAAATTTCCAGCTTTTTGAAGATCATTCTCCTTTCGATAGTGGCTCTAAAATAGCTCCTTTTTTTTTTGCAAAAAGAGGGCATTTTTACGCACACAACAATGGCCAAGAAGAAAGAACTGTTGGTGCAGCGAGAGTCGGAAATGCGGCGTTCGGCGGCGTCGTCGTGTCGCTGTCTGTTCAGCCGAATCTCCGAAAGAGCCCCGTTTTCCTCGCATCCGTAGTGCTTCCGGTAGGACTTCTCATCTTGGGGCTTCTGTGGGAAAAGATAGATGAGAGAAAAAAAAATAATTCCGCGAAGTTAAGCCGCCAGAGAGTGAAAAAGATAGACAAAGAAAAATTACTTTGTAGAATCGAATTCTCAAAAATATATAAACGGGAAAAAAACTCTCACCACAAAAGTTTTCCGAGCGTTGTCCACACATCCACGAAGAGTGGTGAAAGCCTGCAAAAAGTACAGAAACTGCTTTCTTCTCCGCCGAATGCGCACCTTGTGGCGATCGTCGAAAGATCCTTTACTGTTGGTCTCGAAGCCGAGGTCGACGGTGAGCGGCAGAACTCCGTTGACCGGAAATCGGCACAGCGGACAAGGAATCTCGCGATAGCGGTCGTGCTGGGCGCGAAGGTCTGCCATCTGAACAGAAACTGGCTTCTTTGGAGTTGGACTCCACCAGGACCGACCTGAACTGAGCGACGATACTTGGCGAAGCATTCAACGTGCGAGGTGTGTCCGCAAGTTTTCAGCTCCACTCCGGTCACGTTTTCCAGCAAGTTCGAGTGCAGTAAATGCTTCAAAATATTTTATGAGAACTAAAACTTCAAAGATCGTGCTTAATATGATAGGATAACTCTAAAATCAATCTCAAAACTGAGGAAAAAACTTGAGAAGACTTTTCTTACAATATTTATAAAATAAAAAGTCCCTATAAAAATCGGTAAAAATAGAAATAATAGCGAATGAAATAAGCTTAATTCTCTCTCATTCAGGAACAAAACCGTCAATAGCAGGTGGAAAAAGAGAGTAATTCTAACATAGTTGGCAAGTTCTTTGCGGACGTTGATCCAGTGACGACGAGTTTTGTTGGGCTTCTGGCTGTAGTTCTCCTTTTCGGCCTCCAGGAGCGTCTTTTCCTCCGACGACCTCTCCACCTGGTTTTCCGCCGCAAAGTTGGTCGAAACCTGATGGAAAGAAATTTTATAAGCGATTGGTCAACTGTGGAATTTATGAAAGTAGACTAGAAAAACTGAAAGAAAAATCAAAAACTACTGATGTTCGATTTTCCAAGCTTGTTCATTCTAGTTTTTATTCACGAGAAAGGTCAAGAAGGATTCATAAACTTTCAAAGTCTGGGTTTGTGGTTCTTTTACCTTAATTAGCATGCAAAAAGGCTTGTCGAGAGTGCAGGGCGAATCGATGTCGCCGCAGATCGGACACTCATAGAGCTTGACGTTCGGCTGCAATCTTCGACTTGTTTCAGAGTCAAAAAAAGATTCAAAAAATCTTTTAGAATGCTCTTAAAATCTATTCCAATTCTCCTATAGAATGTGAAGTGATCTTCATGTGTTCTTCCTGCGTCACCAGAAGCTTCGATAAACGCGCACTTCCTATTTTTCTCATAGAGCATTATCTAGCTCTTGATCGAGTGATTGATGAGAGACCTGGCTGGTGTCGATGTGATCAACGTCGGCCTGCGTCATACCCTCCTTGTCCATCAGATGGGCCATCACGGTCTTGTTGTTCTTGTTGAAGCTGGCCATCACCTTGGCCTTCCGTCTCTCTCTTTCCTCTTTCTTCCGCTGCTCCATTTTCTTCTCGACCTCTTCGTCCTTGACCGGAGTTGCGACGAGACTCATCTCCTGCTGAAGGTCGTCCATTAGAATTGCTCGAGAAACCTCATCTCTGGAAAAAAAAGATTATTCTATCCGTTTTCATTATCATCCAGCCTCACCCACTACACAAAACGGCCAAAAAACGAGCAAAATATACGGTAGCCCCGCCGCAAACGCGGATCGCGTTGAACCTCCCGTTTAGCACCTGTAAAATAGAAAATTGTCTTATGCAAAAAAATAAAATCCACCTTTTCGATTAAAACCCGTTTGCATTCTGAAACCTCGGCTTTGCGCAGAAAAACTCGTCGGAAAAAGGAGAAAACAGAAAAATTACTGAAAATTTATTTTATTCATTGGTGCGGAAAACCAACGTACGATTTCAATTTAGTGACAAAATATGATTTGTGGAACAGAGCCAGAGCCGACTCCCGTTTTTCGTCGTCTTCGATCGACATAGCATATCTGAGAAATGAAAAAATCGAACTAGGTTCAAAGAAAGTCTCTGAAGCTGACCTGACGCCCAAAGTCAACAAATAAACCGTCATTTGCAAAGCCAAATCGTCATCTGTATACTGAAAAAAATTGGATTGAGAAGAATAATGATGATTAAATGGAACCTCGGCAAGCAAACAAAGCGAAAGTTGGATGAAGCGATCGCACACGAGAATCCGCCCGATTTTGCTGACAGAATCGTGTCGAACTCCCTTTGAAAAGTGAATTAGCGATTGAATTCGACAGCGAGGAAAGTTCAATAGATTTATTTTTTTAAAAGTAACACCTTTTTCACAGTTTCCGAAACTCTGTATAATCAGTGAAGCTAATTACTTCAAATTTTTGCCTCTGGAAGTTTGATATCTGTTTTTTTTTGGTAGTTTTCAAGATTGTTTCTCTGAATTGTGAGGTAAATTTTGAAAAAAAAAACTGTTCCCATTATTTTTCGCAACGTTTCAAAAGTTATGCCGGTCAAAAATCTGATTTTTTGTTTGCAATAAAACTCGACTGAGATGAGAATTATTTGAAAGAAACCTTTTCAAACGAAACCAAACGGAAAGGCGTCCAAAAAACTTCTGACCGAAGCTTGACGCCATCTAGCGGAAACCATTTCGAAGCATTTTCCTTGTCTCTTCAAACCAAAACAGAGTTTTTCTGATGCAACGAATTCCTGAACCGTTTGACGGCATCCGCAAGGACTCCGGAACAATATCTCGGAGCGGCAGCGCGCATCATGCAGAAAACTGGGCAAAAGTCTTCGAACCACATCTAGAAGACATTTTTCTTGGATTAATGGAAGTGGTTCATCAAGGACTTCCGGTTTCAACTTGTAGTTTCCCTGTTTCATAGCGCCGCTGGTAGGGTCAGGTTCGACAAAATCGGCCACCTGCAAAGTCGAAGCTGAGAAGTTGAAATTAACTGCCGAATTTCGGCTTGATTTAATAATTAATAAAACTCCTTTCAAGCATAATTCGGCGGGATCGGAGAAATTGAAAAGACATAACAAGCTGAAACTGAAACTGAGAAAGACCTAAAAAGCAGTCCACTGAGTATCGCTGATATTAGGATAGTACCTTGTCTGATTGACTTATGGCGCGGACGCCGCTTAAGCGGTACGAAAGAAAAAGGAGAAGAATAAAGAAAAAGTTAATGATATGGTACGTGGTTCAATGAAAACTCAGAGGAAGTTTTCCAAAGACCACTGGGAAACTCTTTTTCGCGGAGAGAGTAGGAACCTCGGCAAGGATGTTGTCGAAGACAGGGTCGATGGTCTCGTTGCCGCGGCTGCCCTTCTCCGTGATGCAGCCGCGGAGTCGCGAGTGCGTCATCGACTCCATCGCCAGGCTGTTCACCACCTCCGCTCTCAAATCCTCACTTTCCACCCAGAAAAACTCGAGTTGACGCTTACTTGTACGTTTTTCGGTCCACTTCCCCACAGTTGACGCAAATCACTACGAGCTCGCACAAAAGTCTGAAAATAATATTTTTAGCGCTTTTCGGAAGAAATTTGGATCTAATTATATGCACAAAGTCGAGGATACTCTGACATGGAGCGCCAAAAGGGCGACACAACTCTTTCTCTGATACACACTATTTCGTCGTTATCTAGCTGCGAGAAAACGTCGAAATGTCAGAAAAGGAGTTGTGGCGCCCTTTTGGGGCTCCATTTCAGAGTATCTTTTCTTTCAAATCAAAAAAATCAGAAGTGTTTTATTTCTCACACACAAGTACTAAAATTCACGAAATAAATGTAGGGAGAATTTGGGAACATATGCTTTGATCGTGGAATGTTTCAATATTGTCCTACCTTTTTCAATCTTAATTCTAGCCCAAAAAAATTGATTTAATTGAACCAAGATGAAAAAAATTCTCAAAATTTTTCTTACACAAGATTTAAAAAAATTCTAAACTCATATCTACACAGTTCCTAGTTGAAAAAAATCTCAGATCAAAGCAAAAAGAAAGGAATTATCTTCTCTGAGCCTCGTTACTGAAACGAACTTGAGCATGCCGTGAATCATGGAGTCGAGCCACTCGCCGATCATGACGACCAGCGGATGTCGGTGATTCTCGACGGAGGAAGCAGGGTTGCTGATTTCAACCTGCTTCCGCTCAAAGAAAACTCTCGGTTTCGCCTCCTCCAGCTCATTTCCTTCGTCATGTGGGTCCTCCTTCAATGTATAAGGTATTGAAGAGTTCAAATAAAAAACTTCATTGAAAACTTTCCATTAAAAAACGAACGGTCACATGCTAAATTTGACTTCGTCCAGCTCCAAAAACAAGAAAGGCTACGAGATCTTCAAAGTCCTCTCTTGTACCTGACGTTCTACGAGCAAAGTTCACAACTTCTCTGCCTAAGCCAAAGCTCCTGCCGCCGTTTAAAAACACACTTAAATCAATGAAAGTCGATTGCACATGTATTCTTACATTGAAGATGCAATAAACAGTTTTTTTTGAACACTAAAAAACAATGTATACAGAAAAAGTAAAACTCACATTCAAGCCCTCGGCTTCGTCCCGAATGAGGTCCACCTCGTCCTCCATCGGCTGCTCGTTGTTGTTTTCGTTGTTGGAGTAGTTCTCATTGTTGGTGACGGGAACTTGAACCAACGCTCCTGTCCGATTAGGCAGGTGGAAGTTGCCACTGAGCAAAAAGTTGTCGAGAAGCGCCTCGATCAGCCAGTCCGGATCGATGTTAGCCGCACAGAATCTGAAAGAAACTTTGTTGGGCAGAGAAAACTTGAAAGTCTTTACCTTATGAGATCGATGTCGGGACTTTGGAAGGCGGTGTTGATGTGCGGCTGCGTGTAGATGATCACCTGGGCCCGCAATTGGTTCCCATTTCGAACCCACATATTCGCGTTGAATTCAGTTCTCGCCACCTGAAAATTAACTTAAACAAAATTTTTCTTTTCTTGATTAAAAGCCAGGGCCGGTTGAAGCTCCCAAAGCAAATATTTATCCCTCATTTTAAATATACTGATCAAAACTTTTTCGCTGGTCAAAATTAAAGTTAAACTTCGTCAGACACCATTTTTGTATGAAAATAGTATGAGAAGTCGGAAATTTGGCTTAAAATGACAAATGTAATAAAAAGGAACGGAGAAAAACCTGAACACGGAGCGGATGGAGCATCAGCAGTCGAAGTGTGAGTTCATCGTTGAGAAGTTCGACGAGGTGCGTCCGGAACTCGTCGAAAATGTAAAAGTGAGAGATGGCCGTCGAGAGATGTCTGTAAACTCTTTTCATAAATTTAGTCTGAAATTGATTCTCCATTAAAAATACGTGAGCTGGATCCCATTCAATTCTTTTGCGCGCGAAAAAAAGACAAAAATGCATTAAATTAGGCCGTTTTTTTTTTTTGAAGAGTAGGCCGTACTTTGAATTGGAAGCCCGGAACTCATGTACTCCGGGGCTGGATCCAGCACAATTATGCTTGAAATCAGGAGCCATTTTGTAAGAAGGAATCAAGCTTTCAAAGAAGTTTTTTTTTTCTTTTTAAAGAATTGCTTAGATTCTAGCCAGAAAAGTTTTTTTTCAAACCCACTTCGTCAAGTTTTATTTATATCCGATCCTGGCTTGAGCAATTCGAAAAAGGGTCTTGAAATGATAAAAAAAAATGAAAAAAAAAAAGAAATATCATCTAGTTGATGGAGAGCGCAGACAGTGACACGGCTTTTCGAGTCTCAAGCTAGCCGTTGGTCAACTATATAGAGAAAGCCACAGATCAGCACGACTTTATCGAAAAGTGCAGGTTCAAAATGAAAGATACAAGAAAAATATGTTTTCACAAGACAAGAATATGCCTTGAACAGACCTGTGCAGCGGAATGTGGAAAGAGACCGTGTAGGCCGGACAGGCGCCGATTTGGTCCTTTGGAGCCGTCGTTTCTTCAGGATCTTGGTCTCCAGAAAGGTACAGCCGCAGTTCATCAAGCCATATCTAAAACTTAGAGAGTTCCCCTCGTCTGAGGTGCGTCAGACCTTCAGAACTAGGAGAATGTGGTCGAAAAAGGCGATCGCCGCATTCGTATCTTTCTTGCTTTGAATCGCCGAAACAATGTTAAAAAGCGTTACCGCCGACGTTTCAAACTCCAAAGTGAACGCTCTGAAATGTTATTGGAAGAAAAAAACTAATTAAAAAGTTGAAAGAATTTCCTAAAATTTCCTCTATTCTCAAACTTTAGGAGAATATGCTTATAATAAAATTTCTCAGAAAATTAATTATTTATATACGCGATTTTTTTGTTCTCCTCACTGATTCCAAAAATCTTTTTTTAATCTTTCTGAGGTTCTGATTCTCTCCTGCAAATTTATGGTTTTCTTGAAAAAGGACAGACTTCTGAACAGGCTCGCTGACGTCATGCTCCCGATGATGTCCGGAAATGATTCGCCAGGACTGGTTCATCCCTTCAAAAGATCCCTCTCCAGAGTTGCTCCACCTCCTATCCCACCTTGCATCCGACACAACAGGTTGGTGTAGGTCTCGCAGAAGGCCACCGGATGGAGTACGGTATCGACGGCGATCGACGCGTGCGACAGCAGATTCTGCATGTCGCCCATCACGAACCAGTAGCCGTGCTGCGACAGCGACTGCAATCCATCTCTACTGTTGCTAACAATATTATTTTTTTCTGAAAGAGATTTCAATTCACTTTGCGGTTAGGCTCATCCTAAGTTCGGCCAGATTTTCGAGGAATCAGGGCTCAAAATCTGAAAAAAGGCTTATTCAGGGATTTTGATTTGTTTTTCAACTTTGATGTGTGTTTTTCCATTTTCCATTGAAATAAAAAACAAACCGCGTTCTGTTCGATGTTCATGACCCTCCAGGTGAGGCTCTCGCTCTTCGGAAAATCGTTCTCATAATCCCAAAAACGGAGCTTTGGGTCTGGAATAGAGAAAAACTTTAGCTTCAACAGTTTAAAATTGAAATTCTCTTTTGGACACATTTTTCTTGTCTCAGAGCTAGAAACGTACGCAAAGTCATGGAAGTGAGATCGGTTCGCTCGGCGAGGAGGAAATAAGTCGCGCGGAAGACGGTATTCACCAAATTGCACTTCCTGTTCAGCTCTTTGCACAAAGCCTCAGAAGACAGCATCTAGAATATTTCTCTTATTTAGAAAATCAATGGACTCATATAGCCTCTGAGAACTAAAGGTTTGAAATTAGAAAACTTCTGTAATTTTGGACATCTATTTGAAAGTTTACTAAAGTTTCAAGTTTCTGAGAAAGAACCGCTCAAAAGATAGACCGAAAATTTTTTTCTTCTCTTTTCGCTTCTCGCCCAGTTTCTGATTGAAATATTGTCTGTATGGAAATTTTTAACTTCATTTTCTAAGAAATGTCTACAATAAAACACATTTTCATCTCTTTTTTTTTCGTTGTCTATTTACAAATTACAAAAAAAGATGAACGTGATTGTGTGAATCGGTCGCACATCGATTCAAAGCGTTTAACTTCCTAAACTTCGAGATTTTCTCTAAAAAATAAGAGCCTTGTAGAATTTAAAGATGATATTCATAATCTTTATATGAATGTCCTATTTGAAAAATTAACTGAAACAAAAACTTCGAAAATTTAGAGCCTTGACAAAGAACGGACTTGGACAGAAACGTGAATGACGCGGCTGCAGGCGCCCTGAACCGCGTCGGCCTGGCGACCGTGCTGGTTCTGGTAGAGACAGAGCTCGTTGATGCAGTTGGCCACCATCGGGTAGCTGTTGAAAAAACGGACGGCGAGCTCATTCTGCAACTCTTTTCCAATATAGTCCAGTCATCGCTGCTCAAAAAGAAAATGATGGAAAGGTGTGAAGTCTCTGGTAGACACAGAGCGGAAAAATACTATTTTTGCCCTTCTGTGATACGAACCGAGGAGCTACATAAGAAAAAGCGTCGTAAATTTACTGTAGATAATTTAGCACATAATCTTCTTCTCCAGCTCCAGAAACTCAGTCTCCAACAGAACCTCATAAATCCCTCAAGTCTGCACATCAAAATCAGTTTTGAAGAGTATTGCGTAAGTCCTCATTATTCGACAAATTGTGTCTCTCACTCGGTATTCCGTTTCAGACAGCATACTGAGGGAGAAGTTGATCAGATTCTGTGGGAAAGTCTGACGAATGATCCAGAAAACGAGTTCGTCGAGCAGAGAAGAGCATCTGAATCCGCGTTAGAACGAAAGAGAGAATGGCTTTCGAAACTTGAGAAGGCGGTCCTGTTCTTTAATGTCGAAAATCTTGCAACGCTCTTCGGACAGTTTTATCGACTGTAAGCAGGATCTTAGAGAGACTCAAACCCAATCTCGTGCTCACGTTGACGTCATTTTCGAAATGAATCCGAGTTCTCCAGTCGAGGCTCACATCTGCACGAATTATTGCGCCGCCTAAAACTGATTTGTTTTCCACAGAATGAAAGAATTGAATGTGCGAATGATTGCGGATTACACAAAAAAGGTTAAAATTATTGTTGCTGCAGAATATTTTTGAAGCCAGAACTAAATATAATTTCTTCAAAAACTGACTGAAAATTTGAAAGCACAGCGATCTATGATGACCTCAACAAAAGCTAACGGAAGTTTTTCGTCTTGGGACCTTTATTGCTATGCTCCTTTAAACACCACAGCGATGACATTTGAACAAAACCTATCCACGTAAAACCCTTTTTTGAGCGTAATAATAACAGAATTTCAATCATCCAAAATGATTTGTTTCTGAATATCTGTGCACCGACCGTTAAAAACTCTCTAACTAAAAATATTTTTTAAAAATACAAAAAAATGGGAGATAACAAAGGGACATTCGCAGAAGAACACACTTTTCTTTTTTTGAAAAAAAGGCCTATATATTTTTTTCCATTTAGATAGCTTCAAACTTATTTAAGGTGCAGTTCTGAAATCGAGAAAAGTTTAAAATGAAAAAGTGAGAATCTTGTTCCAGGTAGTTTAAAAAACTGACTATTAATGTGGTCGCTGGACTTTTCGGTGAGCGCCTCGTAGAGCTTTTTGTCGAGAAGAATCCGCGCCATGGACTCTCGCATCGGCCCTCCGTAGTTCACGCATTCCTGGAAAAAACGGTATCGTTTCGAATGTTAAATGCCTCAGCTGTGAAAGCAGTCTGAGACCATCTAAATTTTTTCGATTGTAACTCATCCGTTTCTGAAATAACTTGAAAAAAACCCTGATTCGAGGATTAACATTCATAGAAGCATGAGAAGGTGAAACAAAGAAATTTGTCAGCCCTCCCTAGCCATTTTCTCTGAAAACCTGCAGAAAGGAAATGAGAAGACGAGCGGATTTGATGTCCTCGTCGCAGTGGTAGCTGAGGCTGGTGACGGAGGTCGGCTGAAGGGTTTCCATGGCCGCTTCCCGGGCAATTCTCGCTTCTGCGAACCTGTCGCTCTGCAAATACCGTCGTTCCGAGAAATCTTCCGAGCGTCGAACCCAGCCGCGCCACTCCAAGAAGAGGCGCACCAGCAGTTTGACGTAGATGAACTCGGGCAGGGAGACGTCGAGGAAGTTCGTGTCGTGTCGCAGCGCCGAGGCTCCGTGTTTGCAGCAGAACCTGCAATTCAAAACGTTCAAGAGAAATAATTTTCGATGATATGGCCTTTTTCGACTTTTGAAAACAAAAAAGCCTTGTTTTGAAAGAAAAAAAAAACAGAATCCGTTTTCAAACAGTGAGAAGGCGCGTTTTATGGCCCTTAAATTGTTCTGTGTCCAATGCGAATGAAAAATCCTCCAAATTTGATTCAGACGAACCCTTGCGGCTTGATGACGTCCTCATTGCCGCAATCACAGGCGCCGCCTTCGCGGGAAAAGAATCTGGTGAAGTCGTGGCCGGCATGGCCGTTGCTCTCGAAGCAAGCCGCACACAGAGACATGCCTGCAGATCAAAGGAGGAATGGCTCTGGAATGGATTGAGGACTGACAGGGCGTCAGGGCGCAGGTGCTGCAGCGGTAGGCCACCGAGTCGTTCTCCCAGATCTCGTTGCACTTGAGCGAGAAGTCCAGGTTTTTCACTGAAAGCTTCATTTTCCTCAGAAAACCAACAAGTCGCCTGCATACTACCAACTGATTCCTTTTAACTAACTTTTCTCTTTGAACTTGAGATATTCGTCGCCTTGAGCGATCAGAAGCCTCAGCTTCTTATACAGGTCCTCTTTTTGGATCGATTGCTTGGTGATAAGAAGATCCAAGAAATCGTCAAGTTTCAGAGCGTCCTCTCTGAATGCACTATTCTTTATCCTTTCTGATTTCCAGGCTAACCGCAGCGCATCATTAAATTTCTCGGTGTTACTGACGCCAGGGAACAATGGAAAATCTGCAGCTCTCAGCCTGTCTGCGATTTCTTTCCAATAGCCGGCCGCTTCGTAAACTTTTTTGAGGTCCTTCAAAATCATTCAAATCTACCGATAGGGAAGCAATTCAAACCGGTTCCATGTCATTGTAATTCATGATTTTGTTGACATACCAGTCATCTATAGTGAACGAAGGCTGGTACTTTTGTACATCTTCTGTAAATCCAATGCATTGGGGAAACAAAAAAATCGTCATTACACCGATTTGAAAGAGAGCATACCGTTATGGGCAGAAGAGGTACGGCCATCGTCCATGTTTTCCGCGGCAGCAATTGCGTTTGCAGAAGATTTGTCGTATAAATCACCCGGTGGCATTTCCCAATAAATTATAAATCCCGTGAAAACGTCCTCACAACATTAATTGACCGCTAAAAATCATGTAGAGGTTTAAAGGGAAAAAATGCGAAAAAGAATGCCGATAGACGCGGTTAAATGCCTCGTAGGGTGAAACTTAACTTTGAAAGATTCATAATGTTTCTAAAAACATTTTCAACTATGAAATAAACAAGTTTTGAGCGATGAGAACAAGGATGAGCAATCGAAAAAAATGAGAACTTGTTTTGAAGAACGGAAATAATAAAATGAAGACATATTCACATTCGCTCCAGCGAAGTTCCAAGTGATCCCTAAGCCATTGCCGAGGTCCCCAGCTGCCGAAGAATTGAAAGTTTTTTCTTTTCTGTTTTTGATTTTTGGACGTTTTCTTTCTTCTTTTCCATTCATAAAGTAATTTCCGGTATTTTAACACGTCTGAGTGCAAGGGGGAGTTGATGACTAACGTATGATTTCCATGTTTTCAGACAGAAGTTTTTTAAGCTGAGTTAATTTTCTTCTTCTGCGTGGAAAGACGACTTCGCCTCATTTTTCCGAGTTCCTTGATTTGAATATTTTTCAATTTCAACAAACAAAAGTAATAAATTTGGAAAACCTGAATTTTCATTTTTAGACAGCGTTAGCCGTCCCTAGATAGCTTATTTACTGCTTGCTGATGCAATATTTAAAAAGAATTTTTCAAACAGACAGTGGAATTATGCAAGAAGAAGGAACTTAGACAATTTTGTAGTTTGTGAATAGAGAATGATCGTAAGAATTTTCAAAATGAAAAGTTTGTGGATCTAACGCCAAGTGTGCCTTGATAAAGATCCTGGAACAATCGTTCATCAAGGTGTCAATTTTTGGCCCCCAAAAACCAGTTTTAAGAGAGAAATCGTGATTTATTGGCAATCGGCAAAAATAAAAAAAGAAACGGATAGGGAAAATAAGTTAGCTGACGCACTCGCGTCCTTCGTCTTCAAAGGCGCCTTCGAGGTTGAGGACGCCGATGTCGACCCATTGTTCGGGAGTCGGGTCACCGCCATGGATGAACTTTTTCGGGATCAGGAACTTGAGTTTCCTTGAGCATGGCTGAAATCGACGGTTTATCGAGGTCGAGGTCTTCGGTCTCGCATCGATAAGGGTGCCATAACAACTCGATTTCGATTACTCTGTCTGATAAGACGGTTTCGTCGCTGTCAATAACGAACCGTTTGTTCGTCTCTGCACTCGTGCCAGATGTAGAGGACAGGATCGATGGAAGTGAGCTCGTGGGTGGTTCCAGTCAAGGAGAATTCTCCTTTCTCGTCGGTTCTCTTCTCATCCAGCGTGTCATCCGGATCCGGTCCTGAAGAAACTTCTTATTTGATTTTGGATCTGAGACTAACCGGTGTCGATGTCGACGATGCGGACCTTGGTGTGGTTGGCTGGAACGGCTCCACAACGCAGAACGCCTTTGACGGCGACGCCTTGTCGGCGCATCTCCCAGGAAAGGCCGACGCAAAGGGCTAGAAGCACCAGCGTCGTTCTCATTTCCATCTGAAACGGATAAAAAATGAATACCATACACAACGAAAAATTCAAGTAAAAAGGCTTTATATGGTATAGAGAATCTCGACTTCGTGCAGATCTTTCATTCTTGTGAACACTGGTTTTCCATGGACAAGGCCATATCGCCAAGCAAAAATTACTTTTCTTATTTGTTTATTCGAATTTCTATTATTATTCTAAAAAAAACTGTTTCTTCAACGAGTAAGCTGGAATAGTTAGGAACCGAACGAAAAATAAAAGTAGGACAAACAAGAGCGACGGCGACGTTGAAGACTGTCAGTCTTATCAACGTTGCGCGGTCCTATCGAAACATCGATTAACAAAACAACAAGGGCTTCGCTCTTCAAAACACCACAAACACGCCTCTCGCTTACTTTTTTTCTTTGAGGTTCATTTTTTCTTTGATATCTGGCGGAAATTTCCGAACCATACATGTTGGGTCTGAACTTTTAGGGTAGTGATTGAAAACAAAAAAATTATCTTCTAAGGCTCACCAGGTACCATGAGAAATAATGTGGAATGTTTGCGAAAACCCCTTCGAAACTACCTAATTTTCTTGGCATTGGTTATGATTAGATTTTTCAAGACAGTCATTTCAAGATTTTGTCTTTTTTATGCGAAAATTCGACTGTTTTTTTCATGTTTCTCAGCAGGTTGTTCATTTTTCTATCACAATTAGCTAAATCTACCTAAGAAAAAAACTTGTAAGGTAGACCTTTTCCAACTTCCTTATCGGGCACAAGAAAAAAAAAATCCAAACACGAATTTTTGAGATTTAGATTTATTGTATAAATTAATAAAGTTAAAATTAAATAGGATGGTTGAGAAGGAATTGCTGGATGGCGTAGTACATCTGAGGGGCCTTCCACTGCGGAGCCATATGTCCAGCGCCACGAACTGAAATTCTGTCTAATTAAGGATCTTCGTGTTGAGATCACCTGTAATGAAGGTGAGACCGTCGAAAAGAGTCTTGAATCCTGCGATCTGTCGGTCGAACTTCCAAGGCGTCTTGCGCAGGGTTCTCTGGAATCTCATCATAATGGAGTTCATGGAAGACGGAGTCGTACGCGGAGGCCGAGCTGGTCGACGAATTGCTGGCCCATCATGAAGTTGCAGGCCATGTCCACGTCTCCGTAGTAGAGCAGGACGCGGACGTGGGCGTTAACGATCTTCTTGATGAACGGCGCCATGTCGCCGTACTGCTTCTGGTAGGTCGTCGTCACTTTGTCGCTGAAAGAGTCAATTATTTGAAATTCTCCACGAACACAATTTATCCCATCCATTAGAACCGTAAAAAGCTGATTTATTCTAGAAGCTACAGAAAATTGGAAGGCGTGAGAAAAAGGGGTTCGCTTTCTTGAAGATAGAAACCTGCAGATGTCCCATTTGCCGAGGTTGAAAGGCACGTTGATGGCCTTTCGGACGGCGGGGTTGTTCATGTAGGAAATGACGTCGGTATCGTTGAGGCACGGGGCGTCGCCGTAAAGAGGCGCGTTTTTCTGAATCCGACTGGATGATTTGATTATTACTTAATTGATATAATATTTTTCCACTTTTTTATGCGACGTCACCGTTCTGAAAAATTAACAGTGGGATAAGAAGTATGATTTCGAAAGCCGGAAAAACCCCTTGAAGTTTTTTTGCAAGATTTTTCATAAATAATATTTATTTTCAATTCTTTCCAAAGCGCATTCCCCAAAAAATGTTTGGGTATTTTTTGCACAGAAAAAAAAAGGAAAACTGACGCGAAGGAACTTGAGCAACTTGTCGCTAGTCTTGTTCTTGAACGACTTTTCGTAGCTGACGGACATCGGAGCGACTCCTGAATGGTTCCTTTTTGGTCAGAACCCAGAAGAAAGCCGGAAAAACCCTTAAGCATGTGCTTGAGGCGGTTGCTGTTGACGTCAGGATTGGGATCGCAGTCGCGGTAGAGGTCGTAGGGATTGAGGCCTCCAGCCCACAAGAACTGGAAGATGTCTTCGACCATGGTCGCGCAGTGTCCCTCCACCTGCAAAGGATTCCGATGGGACTCTTCGGGACAGGCCGAAAGACCTTGGTGAGGTCGCAGCTGTCGATGCAGCCCTGGCAGCAGTCGCGCTCCAACGTGTTCCACGTCTTCTCGTCGATGAGTCCGTGGCCGTAGGCGTACCTCACCGAGGTGTCGATGTTCAGCTTCTCGTTTACGTATCCGTTGCCGAGGGCCATTCCCTGAAATATTTCCCTTTGACTGAGAGTGATTTTCAAATAAATACTAAATCAACGCGTTATCACCTACACAGAAACTTTTGTGAAGGGGAATTTGAATATTATTCTAGCTTTTACTTGTTTTTCAAATTTTGAAAATATGTTCAGAAGAATCAAGCCGCACAAATCTTTTACTAAAATCTCTAGCTTCTCGGTTGTTATAACTAAAAAGCGGCAAGTGGAAATAATAAACTCGAAGTGACTGTGTAGCGGTTTTTACACCCGACTTAGAACGGCTTGCGCGAGTGTCTATTTAAAACTATCCGAGAGCTGCTGAAGGGCCATAAGAGCGATTCAAACAGCAACGCTTTAAGCTGTTCTAGCCTATTTTAAATTATTCCTTTTTGAAGTTGTATCACCTGTTGAACTGACTGGTTAAAATCTCGAAAACTTCCTCTGCTTCTCATTAAATTGTTCCCCTGGTCACTTCATTTTCTGAGGTTCAATTGGATTTTGTGGGTGATAATTAGTCTTTTTTTTTGTCTAAAGACCTTCAAATTGATGGGGAAATCAGCCTGTCCGTCGACGATACGAGCCGTGAGAGTGGGAACGTAGACGCCGCCGTAGGACTCGCCCATGATGAAAGTCGGCTGATGACGGAACTGCGGGTACTTCTGGAAATCCATTCGTTGCGGTCGCCCCTCAAGAGTTGGAAACCTTGAAGAAGAGCTTGACGGCCTCGTAGTTCTCGAGGGAGGTCAAGTCATCGTTGGTGGTGATGTTTCCGTCGGTGGCGTAGGAGTAGCCGACGCCGGCCGGCGCTTCGATGTAGACGACCGAAGCGAGCTGAGAACAACACACTTACAAAACATTTCCTGAGAAGGAAAACATTTTTCTTTGCAACGCGGATTTTTTTCTCGCATATATACTTATTCTTTCGAAATTCTCGATTTCCCGCGGATTTATTCACCGCTCGGAGCAAAGATAGTAGGTAGCAAATAAAATATAATAAATTCACCATTTAATATACAGTACTGGCCATAAAGGTATTTCAAAGTGGTTATTCGAGCATAACTTCTCTGAAAGTGACTCAAAAGACTTGAAACTTCGCACAGATCTCAAATAGCTACGCAGTAACATTTTCTCGAAAGGAAAACTCACTTGCTCGAGTCAGACAGGATTTGAAAGCAAAAAACCAAAAATCTGGAAAATGAAGATTTTTCTCTAGAGATTCGAAAAATCATATCTTCAAAGAAACTTCGATTTTCAATCAGAAACTTTTTTCCCCAGTAAAACAAGTCTTCGGCTTTCCAAAAAACCTAATCAGCCCCTTACCAACCCGATGGTAAAAGCGTAGTGACTTTTTCTTCGAAAGGCCTTTGCGTTTTGACGCCTCGTCATTCAAATGGACTATACGAGGTCATTTTTTTGTTTTTAGAACACCCTGTTTCATGTTGAAAAAAACTTCAAAACCTCCTCAAGAATAGTTTCACACTGTTTTCCTCAGTTTTTCTCACTTTTACCCGCTCTTCAGAACTCACTAACTTCTCTGGGACCGATTTTTGAACCTCTGATTTGAAGCGGTTATGCTCGTTTTTTTCAAAAATCAGAACACTCTCGATTTCTCATTTCAGATTCCAAAGCTTTTTCCAGAACCTTGATGAATGAAAATAAAAAGGAGACTCACTGTGTTTCGCTTACTTATTCAAAAAGATATATTGAGTTATAATGAGTTTCTTAAAGTTCTCAAAACTTCGTTTCAGCAAGTGTTGCTTAGAAGGCTCCAAATCTTGTGAAAGATGATAAAAACCCCTTTTTTTCATATTTTTTAAATGTTTTAGATCATGAGATAAATTTGTAACTCCTCTTCCTAGCTCTCAGATCGAAAATAGGCACTGTAAAATTTTTCTTTAAATTTTATGGGAAAATAAGCTTTTGGTCTTGTGAAACTAATGCTTCAGCAAAAAAATTAGCAGTCTTTAGGAAGTAGGAGCCTGCATTTCAGCCATTAATTATTTTCGAATTCACGATTGAAAAGCGATTGATCAGATAAAAACTCCTTTGAATGCCCGCAAGTCCAGAAAAACTGTTCGAATCAGAAGTTCAAAGTCGGTCCCAGAGAAGTTAGTGAGTTCTGGAGAGCGGGTAAAGTGAGAAAGCTGAGGAAAACAGTGTGAAACTATTCTTGAGGAGGTTTTGAAGTTCTTCAACATGAAACAGGGTGTTCTCAAACAAAAATGACCTCGTATAGTCCATTTGAATGACGAGGCGTCAAAACGCAAAGGCCTTTCGAAGAAAAAGTCACTACGCTTTTACCATCGGGTTGGTATGGGGCTGATTAGGTTTTTTGGAAAGCCGTTATTCATTTTCACGATTTTTGGTTTTTTGCTTTCAAATCCTGTCTGACTCGAGCAAGTGAGTTTTCCTTTCGAGAAAATGTTACTGCGTAGCTATTTGAAATCTGTGCGAAGTTTCAAGTCATTTGAGTCACTTTCAGAGAAGTTATGCTCGAATAACCACTTTGAAATACCTTTATGGCCAGTACTGTAATTGAAAAAGCTCGATAAATAATATGGATACACGAAAGTGATAAGCACCCTGACCCCTGTATATTCGAGTACTATGTCAATTAATTCAATCATTTCATCCGAAAGAGTTCGAAAAAAGGTCCCTAAGACATAGAAAAGAGGAATAGTTTGCAGTTCCTTTGAAAAACAGGCCTCAAACTATGAGAAAATCAATTTTCGAACCAACAGTATAATTGCGGAACAATCAGAAAGAACTTGATTTTTTTTTTCATAGAACGCACCTTATTCCAGGAATATTCATTCTTGCGGAGCGTCTTTCCGTCGAGATTCGCCACGTACGGGCCCATTTCGTTGAGAAGACCATCGAGCGAGGAACATCCCGGGCCGCCGTTGAACCAGAAGATCAGCGGCGCGTTCTTCGGGTCGTTCTGTGCTTCGACAAACCTCAAAAAACAGAATGAAAAAGTTTTCAAGGGGAAAGCTGACCAGTAATGAAGGACGTGGTTGTCGGAGACCTGGAGGAAGCCGGAGTAGTGCTTGAAGTCGATGTCGAACTCGACGCCAGGCAGCGAATTGATCTCGTCGTCGCAAAAGACGGCGAGGAAGGCGCAGGCCAGGAGAAACGCTAGCCGCGACATTCTCTTCGGGAGAAAGACTGAGCTGCGGCTCGGCGACATCGGCTCTCCGAGAGGCGGCGCCTGACCCTTGGGCTCGTCCTCATTTATCTTATCTTATCTTTATCGCTCCCTGATCCTCGCCACTAACTTATTGACGAGTTTCATCGATCGATGAGCCGTCAGTTTTCTCGGAACTTGATAACCTAGAAGTAGGGATTCTTTCGCTCTGAATTGAGTCCAAGAAACTGTTCAAATTCAAGTACGGGAAAATTTTTAGTGGTCACTCAGGGGTTTCGCCGTTTGAGTGGCCCCTGTAGTTGTAGAATTATTGACCACTTAAGAGGCTTAAATTTAGTGACTCTTTAGAAGTCTTAGTGCGACTACTATACCACTAAAAACTACTATAGTGGCCACTAAAACGCAAAATGGTCGCTTCTATAGAGGGGGTGGTCACTTTTTTGTCCTCTCCAAGTAGTCCCTGAACAACTTCTTGAGTGGCCACTAGAGTTTTTCTCATTGTGGATATTTCCGATTCAACATAAATTTTGCTTTCTGAATCAGAAATAAATTGGCTCTGAAAATGGTAGTCAGAGCAGAGATTTGACATTTTTCATCGAAAATTAAGACGTCATGCCTTCAATACCTTTGAAAAGTACCAATATTTTCTCACCAATTTCCTTTCTATCTACACGGCATTTCGAGCATAAGTACAAATATTTATTATGTTTACAATGGATAAGAAATTCAGAAAGCCTTGTTGAACAAGAACGACTGGATGATGTGGTCGGCGACGGCCGGCTTGTCCGTAGGAACCATGTGTCCAGCGCCCTGAAAAACCCTATTATTCTAGCAATTTCCACTCGGAATCTTTGGTATCAAAAAATAACTGACGCGAACAGTGACAAAGTGAAGATTGTTTCCGTATTGAGTGTGGTAGCCGCCAACCTGACCTTGGACCATGTACCGCGCCTTTTTCTTTTGGAGCTGTAACGAGACATTCATATCAGCAAGTCCAAAAGAAAAAATGGTCGAGTGAGCTTCACAAAAATATCAAAAATGATTATTACCAGTCTCTGTATGATTATTATTTTGAGTTCTGAGAAGGAATACATTACACCACCGATTGAAATAATTTAGCCAGATTTCTTTCACCATATTACTTAATATGCTACGTTCGAAGGCTCTCACAGTCATTTCAATATTCATAGATCATAAAGTAAAGTGGTCATTCAGAACTATAAATAAAGGGAAATTCAAGGTGCTGCCTTTTTTCCTCAGTTTTTTTTTACAATCAAATTTTTTACTTTATCTCATTTACAGTAGTGTGTCGACAAATAAGCCAAGAAATTTCACTCTAATCAGACTTTTCCGTTTCAATGGAAAAATGGCGTGATGGAGTTGCAAGTTTAGTTGGTGTCGAGCCTGGCGACACCTGACTTGCCAGACAAACGATTAATCTCAAAGTGCTCTTTTGGCTCAAAGAGCCGCCGCCAGCGTTTTCCGCGAAGCTCACCGGGATTCCAAGGTTGTGCGAGAATCGCTGGCCCATCAGGGCGTTGCAGGCCAAGTCGACGTCTCCGTTGTAGAGCATTCCTGGAAGGTGCTCCAGTTAAGAAGAAAGGCCTTTTTCGAAAATACTTGTTTGGGTGTTCAAAGGAGCTTAAACCCGAATGGTAATGCTGATAAGCTAATTTTTTGAAGGTATTACATGTCATTCAATGCTTCTACGAGTTTAATAAATCTATTCAAGATTTACGAGAAAAGGACCTTAATAATCATTTGAAAAAAAAGAAAAATTATATGGTTTTTTGAAAATCTAATCAAAATCAAGAAAAATACCTTTCAAATTTTTGTTGACAACGGCATTCAAGACTCGCGACGTCATGTCACCATACTGGCGCTTGTAGGTGTTTGAGATGACGTTGCTGGAAAAAAAAGTTTTCATTGAATGGAATTTTCTACTGTTTGTCTAATATTACTAGTCCATAAAAAACTTTTTCAAGTTTATTTCGAACCGAAAAAAAATTGAAATAAAGTCCTGATGAACTGATGAGAAAAAAATACCTGCAAATCTCCCATCTGCCGAGGCTCGAAGGAATTCCCAGAGCTTTTCGGACAAGAGGTTTGTTCAGGTAGTCAGTGACCGGATTTTCGTTCAAGCACGGCACCGACGAAAGCTGAAACCAGAATAAAAATCGCAAAAACAAGGTCACAAAGCGGATCGAGTAGTGAGAAGAGGATTCGAAAGTTTTCAAAGTTTACAAACTAAGAAAACAGTGATTAGAATTGTTGTATTGAAAAAAAAAAAAACTAAACAATTTCTGGTTCCGGCTCGCGGTTGAAGCGTCGCTGGTAGTCGAGCTTAAAGCGAAGCGGAAGGTCAGAACCGCCTTGGTAGCAGTTGGCGTACATGTTGTAGGGATTCAAACCACCTCCCCTGCAATTTTTGAATATGACTGCAAAATGCCGTTTTTAATAAAAGACGGTTTGCGAACCGACCAAAAACTCTTCAACTATTCCATGATTCAGCAGATTTTTCTCTGAAGACTGAACAGACTTGTAAAGGGGAATTTCATCCAAAGTACACTTTTCTTTGACTCAACCCCTATTGAGTACAAACCAAGCAGTGTTCTGAGCGGCAAAGGCGAACTCTCCGCAGTAGGACAAAGTGCTGAACGAGTGGAAGGCGCAGTCGTCCGTGTTGTTGGCGCAGCATTGCGACTTGACCTTCTGCCATTGTCTGAAGACGTTCTCGGATACAGAAAGCGTCGGAATTCCCCTTACGTTTCGTCGAGGATGCCGTGCGCGTGGAGGAAGAGAATGAGCGAATCGGTTCCTTCGTTGGCCGACACGCAGCCGTTACCGATCGCAAAGCCCTGAATGAGATTCTTTTGCTTTTCAAAAAAGACAAGGAACCTTGACAGAATTTTAGGTACACTCTCTTGACTGCGAAAGACTTGCCAGTAAGAAAAATACAGAATTTAGTGTTAACAGAAAATAAAATGTTAATGACAAATATTCTAAATTACAGGAAATTATGAATAAATTTTTGAATGAAGTTCCGACATCATATTGAAAAGATGTCAAAAGACGAAAAAACTGTGATAAAATTCGTCGTTTTTCACTCCTCATATCATATCTGATTAAATTTCGTAAGCCAATTTTTTTCCTGTATGTTATCTTTTGGCCCAGTAAAGTTGTCATCATTTTTTTTATCTAATCGGCCAGGTTGCTGTAGCGAACCTTGATATTGATGTTAAACTGTCCCTGTCGGTCGAGGATCGTTTGCGTCAGCATAGGAACGTAGATTCCTACAGAACTTTTCGTTTTCATCGATTCAATCGGAAGTTACCTCCGTAGGACTCGCCAGTCACGTAGAAGTCGTTAGATTTGTACTGAGGGAACTCGTTGAAAAAGGCAACCAGGGCTTCCCAGTTCTCAGACGCGCTCTCAAAATGGAAAAAATACCATGATTTTTAAACCATCAAGTGAAAAAAAAGAGTGGGAAGCTGGGTTTCATTATTTTTATATATTCAAGACAGCATTTTCAAACTTCATACGTACGATTTCATGCATCAATTCCTAAAATGAAAATAAGTTACCTGGTCATCGCCGGTAGAAACGTCTCCGTCGATAGAGTAAGAGTATCCGACGCCGGCAGGAGATTCCAGAGTCAGGATCGAAGCATTTTTGTTCCACGAGTAAGGATTTATCGACAGAGAGGCACCGTCCGAGTTCACCTAAAATAAAATCTTCTCAAATCAATCTTCAAACATGTTTCAATTTTTGATTCAAATGAAGTTCAAGCTCTGGAATTTGGGAGGTATATGACGCTCTAGAGTCATGAAAACCGCTTGTATTCAATTCTCGAAAAAGATTATTTTTATTGAGGGATCAGATTATTTTTCGAATTCTTTATGGGATTGTTTTCATTGGCGAGATAAGAACATTCAACTAACGTTGAAGGGTCCCCACTCGGTGAGCAGAGCCGACAGACCAGAACAGCCTGGGCCGCCAGTCAGCCAAACAAGCACCGGATCCTTGGCTGGGTTGTTCTGCGATTCGACAAACCTCAACGGACTGTTTAGCCAGCAAATTATGATTCATAATTACCAGTAGTGGAGCATGTGATTTTTTTTGGCGCCCACATTATAGTAGCCGGAGTACTGCTTGAAGTTCACCGGTGGTTGTCCAGGAAGATCAGTGATCAACGCTGCGTTGCTAAAATATGAACTTTTCAAGAACAAAAAAAAAATATCAAAGCGTTGTCTTTTTTTTTCACGTTGAAACGCTGTACAACATCCAAAACCCTAACAGTTATCGACAAAGTAGCCTGAAAAAAAAAAACAAAAGTTACATCTTCTCAGACCAGTAATTGCAAAAATCAACTGTGAAACGTAAAAAACTAAATCTTAAAAATAGAACCTTTTAATTCTACAAGTTGAATCACTTTCATAGATTCAAAGCCACAATAAGACTTCTTTTCACTCATAGATCTAGATATATAGATTGATGCATCAATGTGATGTTGAAATGAAATAATATTTTGAAAATTATTCTGACTAGGAAACGTTTTTTAACCCCCGGTTGAACTTTTGCTGAAACTTTGCTTAAGTGTACTTTAAGACTCCCTGATTCCAGAACAGAAAGATAATTTCTCGCAATCTTGCAATAGATCTCGTTTTAGAGTTAGGACGCTTCAAAAACCCGAAATAGCGATTTTTTGGCCTAATTTGCGTATTTTGCACACTTTGAAGCTATTTAACTAGAAAACGAGATCTATTGCAAAAAATTTTTGTCTTGATCTGCAATCAGGGAGTCCTAAAGTACACTTCAGCAAAGTTTCATCAAAAGTTCAACCGGGGGGCAGGCTTGTGCGAGGGCCGGCCCGTCACCCTCCCGGCCCCCGACCATTTCGTAAGCCCGGCCTGGCCCGGCCTTAGCGAGGCCTCAAGAAAAAATGGCCCGCCCGGCGCAAAACGCGCAATTTTTTTCTAGTCGGATATCAAATTTTTCTCCGACAAAAATTACGTTTTTGCTCAATTTTTCACTCAAAGTTTAACAAAAACTATGATTTCAAAAGTAAAAGTAACATTTCGGTGAAAATTTTTAAAGTGAAATTTTATATTTTTTTTTCCCCGATGCCCGGCCTGACGCACAAGCCTGCCGGGGGTAAAAAAAACGTTCCCTGGTGGGCCTGAAAGCGTGCTCTAGCGCTTTTCACCAGTATAGCGCGTTTCGAGACCCATTAGAGTCAGCTCTCGGACACTATTTAGTTTTAATTTTTTGAACGAAATTTCCTTTATATACTAAATTTAGTATTTCGAATTAGTTTATTAATTATGATTGACCTTGTTTTTTAACTTGAAAGGCTTGCTGTCCTAGATTGGCAGTACCTCATCCGCAATATTCGGTCTGATGAACGTCTATTTTTTATTCATCTCTCCACTCCAAAAATTATATGTTTTACTTTATTCAGACTATAGATAGAATAGACTATTTCGATATTTGACTATGTTATGAATTTAGACTTTCACTTTTTTTCGCTACTTTTTTTCCCTCATAAAATCAATTTGACAATGAAACTATGAAATCTGAAAGCTAGTTTTAAACTCCAGAAGTTTTTTTTATTTTTTTAAATCACAAACCAGAAGGCGAAAAGCCCAAATACGAGCAGTAGTTGCAACATTGCGGGTGGGCCGCAGCTTCTCGAGTGATGAGCTCGTTATCAGAAGCGCCTCGAGCCATCGGGTTATCTGATAACGGACCTCTACATACGTCAGTAATTGTCTCTGAGGTTTCCATCTAGTGGTTTGAACTAAATTTATTAATTCATTGAGCTGCGATAAAATTTTTTACTCACGACTAATCAGTAGAGAGGTCAAAGTATAATTTGACTACACCGTATAGTGCAATTATAATATTTTTCCAGTTGAAATTTCACTTTTTGACACAAAATTTTTTAATACTACTTTGGCTATCAGAATTTTTTTCCCATGGAAATATTTTCCGTTGAACAAAGTGCGTTTTTTTTTTTTGAAGATCTTAAAAGAAAATGGTTCGGTGACTATAGGAGGACTCAAAACCACCGCTTTCAATTGGAATGAACGGCTTCACATTGTCTTTGTCCTGTTCTTCTTCGGCTGAATGTTATAGTGATATCGAGACTAGTTGTACGTGTCTATGTAGGTCAATACTTCTCCGTGCTGATGTTCATCAGTCAGTTTCAGTCTAGATAAACCGACTATTAATAATAGTTTCTTCTTAAGGGACAAATAATCTTTCTTTCTAATCGAAAATCCTCGTAATCTCTTCAAAAGTTTTTCGTTCTCTCATTCTATTCCCTATCATTTTTATTTTTATTTTACGCGACCTTGTTTGGAAGCGAAACTGTATATCTTGTTTTTGTTTTAAATAATTTCATTTTTATATATTTTATTTTTCCGTAGAACCTTGGCGTTGCTCACAGGCGTGAGGTGTCCATTTCTGAATTCGTCCCAGTTCTGAGAATTTTTTCCCTATTTTTCGATCACATTCACTATACAGTGGAAGAATTTTTCGATTTCTGTTTATTTCCAACCTCCGTTTCCTTCTCTCTCATTGTGCGTGCAGAAAGTCCGTTGAATGTCCAACTTCCTTCAAAACTTCGAAACCGATTTTTTTATATTTGAAAAATCGATTTACATTGTCAAGATGACGAATGAGTTTTTGATTAGGCTTATTAAAAAAGAAGGAAAGGTGCACAGAAACTAAGTCCGATCGCGATGTTTCTTCTTTTCAAAATCGAATTTTAAACGCCCTTTTTTTTCCAACCCAGCCTAAACCCAAATGGCACAGAACAACTCTGCGCCTAACTATTTCATGTACACTTTTTTCCTTGAATTTAGATTAAATGTTATTTTTTCCTGATGTTTATATAATTCCAGTGTTATTTGTTTCGAAACGAGCAGAATGTTAGGAGAAGCCGCAGGAAACCGGTCGTCGTCATGTGTAATGCCCGGCGGAAAATCATCACCCAATAACCGATTGTCTGTTCCGCCACTCGTGATCCCAACTAACAACTATTTTCGGCTGTTTTTTTGGCTGAAACAGGCGAACTACTCGGTTTGTTGAAATCGATGCCGGTTTAGTCTCGTATCTCCCTTTGAATTGTTTTTTTTTTGTCGGATTGAAGCGAAGAGAGAAATTCAGTTCTTCAGTTATATTCCCATCTGAAAAAGTTTTTATTTAGATGCTTATATTTTCCATTAAATTTTTCAAACAGTTTTTTTGGAGACTCCATAGAGATTCCTCATAGTCGCCAATTTTTTTGCTTGCGTTAAGGTTTAGTTTTGCAAAAATAAAAAATTAATTTTGCAAGTACTAATCCTCTATCAACATGGTCGCCTGCTGTCCGTGAGAGATTTATAAACTTCAAAATCCAAATTTCGCGCACTTAGCATCTTGCCCGAGATTTGAGAGATCTTGATCTAGACCTTCAAAGAGCTTTTGAAAAAAATTCATATGAAATTCGAAACTACTAGAAAGAAGTCTCTTGTGAGAGATCTATGAGTATAGCAACCTGAAGCTGTTTTTTACAATTCGAAATATTAAGTCACGGCGCCTTTTGTTTTAAGGATATTATTTTTCTTCAACTATTTCAGTCAATGCGCATGTTTGCTCTCAATTTCACTCCGTTTTCTCTCTTTCATAACTCGTTCAGTTCTCTTGATATCGACCCAAAGCGTTTATCCAATTCAGAGTCACTTGTTTTTCATGCTCATCCATCGAGTTTCATCAATACCAGTTCTGTTAGAAATGTTACACGGAATTTCATTTTTTTTTCCCTCTGTTCTATTTCAGTCCAAGTGTGATACATTCGAAATTTCTGGTTAGCTATTGTATTTTAGATACTTGAATGAAAAAGCTCCATTCACAGAAGCGGGTGCAGCTTTTTTGGTTTTACTTGGATCTTCACTAAAAAGTTTTATGACTATTTTCGGAAATCAAGAGGAGCCATAAAAAAGTAGTTTTTAATCTCACCATCCATCAAACACGTAAACTCTGACCGAAAAAACGAAAAATTAAGAACTGAGGATTTTTTCAGTATGCAAAGCTTCTTCTAGGGCTTCTTTGTCGAGCTTCGCACCGCAAATAATCCTCCTGGGATCCAACTGCAAACGGCTCCAAAAGCCAAAAAATCGCGTAATGAAGACAAGAATTTCTTTTCTTTTTTTGACGCAAAACTAACTTTCGAGGCCCTGTCAAATGTTTGTTTGCATCGGCTCTCGTCCGATTTTCAATTAAGCTTCTCGAGCAACAAAACCAATTATTCGCGAGCGCTATCATAGGGAACTTTTCCTCAGGAGAAAAAGGAATGCAGAGCTTTCTTGTCGACTGAACTCACGTCTTCTAGGCTCTGTGATTTTTTAAAAAGAATAATTCGCACCTGCGCCGAGATGATTCCATTTTTTTTTCTTTAAAAAGCAAGTGCAGGTGCGAAGATATTGAATGCGGCTGAAATTTAGGCAATTATTCATAAAGTTCTTTTTTTTCTCTCTGCTCGGAGTTTGGTGAGTCTTTCATCGAGTTTTTTCCTCAACATATGCCTCTGTTACCGCAGTAATTTTCTCAGTAGTGACCTTTTGAGACTATTTTTTTTTCGTAAGGCTTTCACATAAGCCAGCCTGATGAAAAGCTGCCGAAAACCCGGAATTTCCAGTCCAGTGCTCCAATAATTGGCCATTTCGCATTCTCGCTCAGGTTTTTCTTGAAAGCTTTCTCAGCACTCATCGAGTTCGTGATGAATTTTTTTTAAAACGTTACTTGATGTTTTTAACAGATGAATAACACTTCAAAAACCCTATAACTAATTTTTTTCAGGGTAATTTTTTTAAATAGAAAAAAAGTTGAGCATACCTTTTTAGTTGCGCATATTTCAGAAATATTTTTTTGAGTTTTTTTGTTTCTTGGTCACTTTCTACAATTTTTTTAAAGATCGTCTTTGTAGTTTTTTTGGATCATACTTATAGATCTAATGCTAAAAATAAAATCGCACAAAAAAAGTTATGAATAAAGGTTAGGAGGTGTTTCAGAAAACTTTACCGTGTTCTCAATTATTTTCTTGACAAAAAATACCATTAGGTGTTAAATCACTTCAAAATTTTATTTTATTCATCCCTGGAAATTTTTTGAAAGTTTTGAATTATTTTATACCTTTCAGACTTGACAATTGCCGTTTTCTTTTTGTGTCCTTGTTCTTTTCCTTTTTATACATCTTAGTGAGGCTCACATGGATCTCATAATTGCGTATTGATACGTTAAATAATTCTATTTTTTGTCGAGTCTCTCATCTTCTGTTTTACCAGGCTATTTTTTTTTCTTATAAGCTCTGCAGTGTAATTTTGCCATACTCAGTTGTTAAAAAAATTTCTTTTTTTTCCCATCTTTGTTCTCTGAAGAGAAAAATAGCGAGAACGAACTTTTGACTATAAAAAAATGAAATAATATGAAAAGATGAGAAGAATGTTTCCATTTTCCGCTCCAATTCATTTCACCTGCCTTTCCGGAATGTAATTTTTTTTTCATGTTGAAAATTGGAAGATTTTTCCTCTTTTCTTTACTCTGAAATTTTAAATTTCCCTAAACAGTTGAAAAAACTGTTTCAGCAATCTCTCGAAAACTTCTACTTCTTCTCATACACCAGTTTCATCTAGCAACTTGTAGGCACAGAAAAAAAAACGCATAAAGCGAATTAAAAATGAAGTTTGGCGCCGATGCTTCTCAGATATTCAGCTCCTGAGCATTTAATAAGTTTCTCAAGCATCTGGCAAACTCCGTTCGTTTTTCCTTTTTCTTTCTAGCTCAGTGATCACTAGTGAGTGAGACAAGTTTCGAAGAAAGTCTTCAGGGATTACTACCGCTTTGTTTGATGCTTTTCTCGCGTGTTTAGCGTTTGGGAGTTACTTTTCTGGAAGTAAGAGTTGAGAATTGAGGAACAGAGTGGAGCCGATGACTGGATGCGTTGCGTGGCGCGCGCCGTCCTCGGCTCGGTGCTGACCGTCGTTCTTCTTGTCTGCTTCGCCTTCTCTCAGTTTCGCAGTACCTTCCATCCCTTTGATGAGAATGGTTCGTTTACTCTTTTCTTTAATCCTTTTAAGGTATGAATATACCAAATTTTTTTTCTCATAAAGACGCGTTTTGAAAGAAAGCCTCGCTTACGATCTTAGAAGCAGATATATATATATTCCTTGTGCTGAGACTCCCTGAAAATTTTATAAGACATAATTTAAAAAACTTAAAGGCATAGGGGCAGTAAAAAATGGGGTTTCAGGTGAAAGCAGTATCTTATATAGTTTTTCTTTGCGAATCGAACGGTTAACTCAAAAAAATTACTGATGTGACTAATTTTGAAGAAAAACGCGATTCTACTTTCCCGCCTTTAAATTTGAAAAAAGCTTTGGATCGGTATACAGACAACTGTTTACAGTAGCTGTGTACGCGATGTTGCGGACGTCTTATTAGACCCGCATTTCGTGAGAAATAACTGGATATCTGCTTCAAATGGATTGTTTCTTTTCTGAAAAAAATCATTTAGTCAAACAAAAAACAGACACAGATAATAAAGGAAACACAAAATAACGCTATCCCAATCGAAACCTGCGTAAAATCATCATTTTTCACCAAAGAAGCATTTTTGCAATCAAAGTTTGCAAATTATACATGAATAGAAAGCTTTTGTGACGAAAAGAACTTTGGTGACAACAGAAAAAATTGAAATTTGAAAGAAACGAAGAAAAAAGCGAATATCCGGAAGATGGCGAAGCTGTTGTCCATAGAGCAACTTTACTGCAAAGTGCCCTTTTCGCGGGAACTCAATCTTTCCTCTCTCCGACTTTGAATAATTTCTTCTCCAAAACTAGGAACTTCTGTACGTTCCCAAGTTCACCGTTCGATTCGCAATTAAAAGCTCTACAAAATACTGTTTTGAACTGAAACACCGTTTTTTACTGCCCCTATGGCTTAAAGTAAAGTCCTGTAATTTTCAACTTGCACAACTTCCTGGTTTTCGAAAACGCACGCTTGAAGGTTTCAACTGGCCGAAAATTTTCGACCATTTTTTAAGAAATCTAATCTTTCAAATATTCCTTATGAGGACCCTTTTTTTCCAAATCTTGAAGATAAGGAGAAAATGAATTTCATGTAGAAAAATTTTTTTCACATTTAAAATTTTATCTATGAAATTTTTCTGCACCAAACAATCCAACAAAAGCTAATAATTTCGGTCGCGTGGCAAACAATGGTCATTAAATTACTACTATAGCAATTTTGAGCCAAATCGGTTATATAAGTCATCAGAAAACATGCAATTTGTCAAGTTTGTGCCGAGGTGAAGCAATTAGAATAAAAATTCGCTTGATTTTCAGTTATATTTCATGGAGCCTGATAAAAACATTTTTTTTTATAGTCTCTAACACTGAAAGAGATCTTTTCCTTGATGATATGGAGGTTCTTGAAAACGCTCTAGCGAATACTTCTGAAAGAATCTAGCAACATCAAAAAGCGTGATGAAATCAATTTGATATTAGAGATCATTTGAGGAGAAGAAAGATTTTGCAGACGAGGAGACGCGCCGACTACTGGAGGCCAGCTTTCCGGCGGCGCCGACGACGACGAGCACTTCTAGAGCCCCGCTCTCGCTGTCCGTCGCCCTCGTGCTCATCGTATCGCTCATCAGCGTCGCTCTTCTCATCACCGGCATCATCATCATTGCGGTGACGTTGGATCCGTCGACTACCGACGACGGCGACGAGTCTGACCTGGAGACGGACGACCACTCGGTACCCGTACTCAATAAAACTCAGGGAAAACAAAAAATAGCTGCAGACGCCACGTTGTGAGTCGCCACGCACTCAACCGGCCATGTACCGAACTTCGTTTGAACACGAGTACGAGAACATGTTCACCGACACTTTCACCAGTCTTTGACTACGGCTCGCCAATCAAAATCAATTCAATCAATTCGGGTCCATTATCTCACTTTTCACCGCATTTTGTGAACGGAAGCAGAGCTCAGAAATAAATATACATTTATATTCTCTTTTTTTTTGAAGTGAGCAATTAGTATGGCGAGGTTTGTGCACTAAGCGATTATCTATTTGAGCTGAGGGAATGACATTTGGGGTTTCAACTCGGTCAAAGTTTCGTTCCAGTATTGCGTGATAGTTTTCCACTGCGTGTAGAAGTTGATACCAGCCTGAAAAATAAACATGTTGTTCGGCTCATTTCTCGCAGGAGTAGTACCTTTCCGTAAAAGTTGAGATCACCGTGGAATGAGCCGCGGGAGCCTGTGAAGGAGAACATTGGCAGAGGAACAGGAATGGGGACGTTGATTCCGATCTGACCGACATCGACCTCGTTCGAGAATCTGCAAATTGACCGATTTCTTTACTTTCAAATTTTTCCCCATTTGGGTACAGGCGGAAAAAAGCTTCAAACAAACTTTCTAGCGGTGGCGCCGTTGGTGGTAAAGATGGCGGTTCCGTTGCCGTAGGGGTTTTTGTTGATGATTTCGATGGCTTCGTTCAAATCCTTGGCCTCCATGGCGACGAGGACTGGGCCGAAGATTTCCTCCTTGTAGCAGGTCATGTGAGGTTTGACTTTTGAGATGATGGTCGGTCCGACAAAGTTGCCGTTCTCGAAGCCAGGCACGACGCACTCGCTGCCGTCGAGTGGAACTTCGGCGCCTTCCTGAATCAAGTAGGAAATTATCGTGGACAACGATCAGATAGCCACCTTCTTGGCTCCTTGGATGAGTCCAACGCAGCGGGCCTTGGCCGCCTTGGAGATCAGAGGTCCGATGTCTGTGTCGTTCTTCCAGCCGGCGTTCACCTTGAGGTTCTTCACCTTCTCGACGAGTTCGGGAAGCCAAGCGCGAGCCTCGCCGACGAAAACAGCCGTCGTCAGGGCCATGCATCGTTGACCGGCGGCGCCGAAAGCAGCAGCGGTCAGCTAAAAAGTTTCTTTCAGTTGACAAAATTTAAAACTCGCAGATTGAAGTAAATTTAAGTTCTTATTCATAATCATACGTTTCTGAATGATAGAAAAATTCACATTCAAAAAGGTGAGATCAAAGTGATAAATATATGGCCACGAAGATATATTTTGCATGCGTTAGGAAATCGTTATCATTTGCTGTTAATTTCTAAAATTTTAGGCGACCAAATGATAATATTTTTTTGAAAAAAAAAAGCATTTTTCAAATGCCTTCAACTAAAAAGGTTGACGTTTTCATAAATAAAGTTTTGGAGGAGATTGACTAGAAAATTTAGACTCTCGGACCGAAGAATGTTTGAGAGGACTACGAAATTCATATCCTTCGCAGAAATTACTTTTCTGCAAGAAAAAAAACTTTGAGGACACTCGTTTTTTTTTTCAAAGCTTAAAATACTTTCATAAATTATGAACTCGTGAGTTCGTTAATTCGCTAAATGCTCCTCTGGAAAATTTTCAACTAGACTTTGACTTTGAGAAAACTTTTCCAAACGTTCGGAGTCAAAGCAAATGTGGCAAAAAATCTCCGAAAAATATTTTCCTTTAGAAAAAGAGAGCTGACGACCTTGAATATGATTCAAAAGCATAAAAATTAACCTGGTTGAGAGTTTGTTCCTTGCCAGCGTCCGGCATGATGACGCCGTGGTTCTTGGCTCCCATGTTCGACTGAACTCTTTTGCCGTTCTTGGCTCCTCGCTCGTAGATGTGCTTACCCTGAAAAACTCCGTCTGTTCCAGAACGGCGCTCCAAAAGAACTCACAGCAGAGTCTCCACCGACAAAGGAAATGGCCTTGATGTCCGGGTTGTCACAAATGAAGTTGACGGCGGAGTGTTGGCCGTGTATGACGTTGACACAGCCGTCAGGAACGCCGGCCTCCTGTGAAGAGACATTCTTGGCGAGAGTTCAGACCTTCAAACGGACCTTGGCGAGCTGGACGAGGTGCAGAGCTGCTCCGGGGTCCTGCTCCGACGGCTTCAGGACCATCGTGTTACCGGTGGCCAACGCGAGAGGGAACATCCACAGAGGGATCATGGCAGGGAAGTTGAACGGACAGATTCCGGCGGTGACTCCGAGAGGAACGCGGTAGGAGATGGTGTCCATGTCACGGGAGACGTTCGGGAGCGCCTCTCCGAGCATCAGGGAAGGCACCGAGGCTGCGTGTTCCACCACCTCAACAAATCATTGACCTTGATAAACTTTTTCAGAGTCAAACAACTTTAAATCCCATTTAAAAGGATAGACTATAGATTTCCAATGATCAGAAACACTTATATCTGAACGCACATGAAAAAAATTGAAGAATATTTGAAAAAAATGAATTTTTCTAAAGTTTTTTTAGATTTTTGCAAAAAAAAATTTCAGAAATTTTTTTGAAGTTCGCATAATTTTTCAAAAAAATTCCAACTTTTTCGAAACTTCCAAATACAAGATGAAAGACAACTTTCAAACTAAAACTTCCTTTGACTACTGTTTCCAGAACTGAAAAAAACTTTTTATCATTAAAAAAAGTTTAAGATTTTTTTCTTTTTCTTTGCTGTTTTTTTCTTTAACCTCTTTTTTTGTTTACTGAAATATTTCTTTGTCTTCCTTTTTTTCTTCAAATTTTTCAAGATAATCGTTCTTACACTAGATTTTCGAGTTATTGTGTCTTTTTTTATCAATTTAAAAATCATTTTTTTCTTTGAAAAAAACTAGTTAGTTTCCAAAGCTGTCTAAGAAACTACTGATTGAACTCAAAGCTAGCGGATCGCGTCAAGAAATAGATTATTCATCTGAAAACTACCAATCTTATGAAATAATTAAAAATCGGATTATGGAAGAAGGAGTTTGAAAAGAAGTTGATACGTTGGGTTCCCCTCATAAAAATCGCTCAATAAGTGGGAATTTCAAAACATATCTTGAAGCTTATCAATGTCGCATGTGTGGCTATTTGTAAATATTTTGACTTTTTGGCTTTCAACTGTTTCATTTTATCCACGAGACCCGCTGACTCGAGATTCGGTTGAAGAGGGCTCAAAAAAGTTCTTTTTCGTGTAACTATTTCAAGACCTGAAGTCCGCGGCTGACATCGCCCTCTGCGTCTGGGATCGTTTTGCCCTGCTCCTGTGTAATGTTCTCGGCGAGTTTTCGCATGTCGCGCTTGATCAGAGCCTGCAGCTTGAACATAGTCTGTTGGCGCGTCAAGGGAGACCTAAAAAGCGTCCATGAATTTCGATTCATTGCAGTTCATTCACGTCTTGCCCCATGTCTCAAAGGCTTTCTTGGCGGAGTCGACCGCGGCTTGCATTTCAGACTGTGTCGCGTTGGGAACCAATCCGATCACTTCGTTTGTGGCCTCAAAAATACTTTCAATTTCTTTATAATTCATTTTCTTACCGGGTTTGTGAGCTCGACAAAATCGGTAGTCTTTGAATCGACCAACTGACCATCAAGCCACAGTTTTACAGTCTGAATAGAAGATTGAAAAGAACTTCTTGTTTAAAATCTCACTGGAGGAGCTGGAACTGCGCGAGTTGTGCTGAACGCCGCTTGGCCGCATTTTGACTGAAGACCCGATTTTTATGGATAAAAAGCGTTGCTACTCACCTGAAGTCTAGCAACACGAGAAAGCATTTTGACGAACCACCCAAACGTCAAAGTTTACCACAAGCGCTGAAAGAAAAAATTATAAATTAGAACTTTCCTTTTTGTGGAACACTTTATCGGGTTTGCACAAGAAGTGGAAAATGAAATTCGTGATTTCTAACAATAAATCAATACTCAGTCGTTGTGAGAGAAAGAAATGAACAGAATGGCCAAAAAAAATCAACCGGTCCAAGTTTTTCATATTTAGCCTAAAACTTACTTTTTCATCTACAAAAGTTTTATTTACGAAACTAAATCTCCAAAATTAATTTTTTTTAAGAAAAGAATGACGGCGATCAGTCCGAGAGAAAAGCAACTTTCAAAACGAAGAAAAAACGGAAGAAAAAAGGAAGGAAAAAGCGAGAAAGCGACTGATATATTGAACTCGGTATATACGCCCTCGATAGAAACAGTTGTTCGGTGCGTCCACATAAAAAAAGCGACAATTGGCAGACCGATGATAGAAATGTGGGGTGAGAATCGAGACGAAAAGTCTCCACGAGACTTTTGAAACCGCGTGGCTGCGGAAAAACGTTCGAGAAGTTAAACATAGCATGTGCAGTTGGTAAAAAGAAAGGAAAAGAGGATCAGAGGCTGAACGAGACACTCAAGTTATCAACAGCTAGCTTCTGGGTATTTCATTTGTCGGGAAAGTTTTTGATTTTCTTTTGTTTATCATCTTTTACTCATAAAAAAATGCGAAATTTAAAAGTGAAAAAATCAACTCACATCCAAGAATAATAAAAAAAAAAAATCACCAATGGAATATTTTTGACACCAGAATTATAATGAAGTGAAGAACATTAAAAAAAAGAAAGCTGACATTTATAAGTTAACAAAAAAGCAAACGCTTCTATCGTTGTCTTCTCTGAGAAATGAAGATCAGAGAACACTCAAAGCAAGGAGAACAAAGAACGCTCACTTATAAATAAACGTGTATATAGCGAGGTTAGGAGATAAGAAGGCTAATATTTTTTTCCATAATTCAATGAGAATTTTTTTCGGGCTATAAAATACGGGCGTTTACAAAATGCGACCGCCTAATAAATGCAACCGCTTTTTTTGCTCCACTTAAAATTTATGAAATACGGGCATTTCTTAATCGTATCTCTTTCCCTTTTTTTCTGAAACTTTTTAACTGTATTTTTTTCCTATCTTTCTTTTTTTGGAGAAAACAATACAAAAAGTACTACGACCAAATTAATGAATTCATTATGACAAATTTATCTTTAACTGCTCAAAAAAATTAGGCTTCTCATTAGGAGCTTTTAAAGACGATTTTTTCAGAGTCCATGAACCTGTATTGGACTGGAAACCAGGTGGAAAAAATTGGAACAAAAATCATTAAAAATGATTTGCAAAACGAAGCTGTCAAAAGTAAAAAAAAGAGGCACCACTATAGTTATCAGAAAGCTTTCTTTCTAAAGCTGAAAATTAAAATTTCGTTTGAATTTAAAAAATAATGAAACTACAAAAAACTCCCGTATTTTATCAATTTGCAATAGAGTGCAAAAAAGCGGTCGCATTTTGTGAACGCCCGTATATAGCATGTGTATTAAAAAACGCACTCTTCTTTTTCGGCCCGCGGTTGTACAAGTCAAAACGCTTCGTAAATTATGGCGCTTAATGTGCCCAAAAATTGAAAAATTTGAAATTTAAAAAGGTTTTGAGTATCCACTAGTTCTACCTTTTGCGTCATATCCATATGACGAGATTCATTCAGAATAAAAACTGCATTCTCTGCAAAAAAAAAAACGTGAACCCCGTGGCACGGTGTCATTTTCTTCGAAAAAAAAAAAATAACACGTACAAAAAACCACGTGGCAACGTGTCATTTTTCTTTTTTCATGACCTGGTTCGAATGTCATTCTTGCTTCCCTCACTAGTCGTCTTCTTCTGAATTCAACGTCAAGATGAGTTTTAAACTTCCATAAAACTTTTAATTTCCGAAATAAGTTTCTGAGTTGAAAGCGCTAGTAGACTAGGCCCGCGGGACTCCCGGAGTGCCGATCCTCTTTGCTTGCAAATTGGATACGCAAAGTCACGCCGAAGCCCATTCCAGTGGCCGAGGCACAAACTGTTGGCAGCGCGATGCTGACAAAGCGATGATGGGACCCCCGCGGAAAATGCCATCACGGCTTTCGGCGTTTAGGATTTTTAGTTCTGACAAGGCCGAGCGGAGCTCTAGCGCACCGCCTAGTTAGTTCTTCTGACTGGATAAAGCTTCCTTAACTCACTCATGACTTTTCTTAGCTAATCAGGCAAAACATTGCAATTCGAATAATGCAATCGACCTGCTTTTTTAATGTTGAAATTATTGCAGAAAGCTTTCAAAACAAACTAGATCCATGGCGGACGGAGTTCGATCAACTGCGAGGCTGAGCAGTACCAGGTACCAGCCCAATGCTCTTAAAAGCAGCTGCGGGTTTTTTATTCTGTGTTCAATTGCAAAGGAGAAAAGAAATAACAGTAATGTCACAATGGCTGAAGTCGCTCCGTACTAGTACAACGAATGAAATTATGGTTCATTCAAACTGGTTGACACCTGTTCAAAGCAGGCTAGCCAGCCTTGTGCGAGGTCCAGATTGTCCTTATTGGCCTCCGTCCATTTCCATAACTTTCGATAAATTTTAATGGAACAAGTGAAAAGTAATTTTTTGGTAAAAATTTTGAGTTATGATCGAAAAATTTTATTTCGCAGCCTGGTATTCTATTGAAGATTTAAAGGCATAGGGGCAGTAAAAAACGGTGTTTTAGTTCAAAACGGCACTTTGTATAGCTTTTCATTGCGAATTGAACGGTAAACTTGAAATCGTACCAAACTTCCTAGTTTTGGAGAAAAAATAATTCGAAGTCGGAGAAAGGAAAGCTTGAGTTCCTGCCAAAAAGGCGTTTTGCAGTAAAGTTGCTCTATGGACAACATGCTTCGCCATCTTCCGGATATTCGGTTTTTTCTATGTTTCTTTCAATTCACGGTGTTTTTTTCATTACGCAAGGTCAAGACTTTTCGTAAATTATGATGCTTAGGGTGTAAGCACACCGAGACGCACTATCGCATACTCAAAATACTTTTTTTCAATTTTAGAATTTGCGATTTCAGGATAATAGCTTCTGAAATGTTCGAAATTTGTCATTTTGAAGAATATGATGTGAAAAAACATTCACTTACGTTAAAAAAACATTTAGGAACGATTTCGAAAGGGGAAAACTCTAAATTACTGATTACAAAATAAAAACAAAAAATATTATGAAAATGAATCAGCTCCCATTGAATAAGCATTTATAAATACGAAAAATATTGAAATGAGGAAAATTCGAGGAGCAAATGAAAAAAAAAACATTTTATATACCTCGAAAACCTAGCTTCAGAAAAACAAATAATGGATAGAAAGCAGAAATTTTAGAAAAAAACCTCGTATGGCGAAATTTTTGTTTAAATCCGAAAAACCATCAAAAAACTAGAAAAAAAAAATAATTTAGATGATTCATATATCAAAATCATTAAACTGCATCAGCAAATTCAATTTGGCTCTAATTTACGCGATACCGGTTTTAAACTACGTCAAATGAACTAGATAATAACTTTTTATTATTAACTGATTAAATTAAAAAAACTATAGTTTCCGAAATAGAGTGATTATTTTTCATGTCGCGAAACAGATTTCAAAAATTTTGAAAAAAAATTAGGACTTTTTAGAAAAAAATCTTCAGCTCTTTTTGAGAAAAAAAGTTAAAGATCTGAAACCGGTTTAGAAAAAAATGCGCAATTTAAAGCTTCACAAGATGTACCCATAGAGAGGCGGATCACATAAATGCAAGAAATAGAAAAAAAGTAAAAAAACCAATGAAAAAAAGTGAAGAAATTCAATTTTTTTGCATCAGAAACCATGAGAAGGGCGCAATAATGCGCCACGGATAATATGCCGCTGGGACCCAAAATTTCGCATTTTTTTTCATTGCGCGGAACACCGTGAATTTTCAATTTTTTCTGTTGTCACCAAAGTTCTTTCCGTCCTTGAAAGTTTCTGTTTATAATGCCGTGTTCAATTTGATTCCGCGAAATACAAAATGATCTCTGACTCTCCAAAATCTAGCTAGTGATCTTTTCCTTTCTCTAACGGGTATTTTGCATTTCGCGGAATCAAATTGAACACGGCATAAGAAATTTGCAAACTTTGTTAGCAAGATGCTTCTCTGATAAAAAATGATGATTTTACACAGATTTCGATTGGGACAGCGATCTTTTTTGTTTCCTTTGCACAGCTACTGTAATCAGTTGTCCGAGCACCGATCCAAAGCATTTTTCAAAATTAAAGGCGGGAAAGTAAAATCGCGTTTTTCTTCAAAAATAATCACATTTTTTTTTTGATAACACCGTTCGATTTGCAATGAAAAACTATATAAGATACTGCTTTCACCTGAAAACCCGTTGTTTACTGCCCCTATGCCTATTTTAAATACTAATTAGTAACACGAAACGGACGTGCTCCGGACGTTTCTGGGCGATTCTAGGGGGAATAACGCCGATTTTTCTTGAAAAGCGTTATATATTCACGCGGTAATCCAAAATAAAAAGTTCACTGGCGCGTATTTACTTTTATCTTTCATGAATAACCCCAGGTTCGTTAAAATATTTTTCAATTTTGTTTAAAACAGTTTTTAGAGTGTAATCCATACTTGAAGCTCACTCGGCTGTTTTTAGTTACATGAGTGATAGTGATTTGTTTATTTCATTTTAAACTCCATTCTGAATGATTTAAAGCTTGGACTTCGCCTTGCAACCTCGCTCCTGATAATTGACGTTCCCAGTGAGCTTTTCGATATTTTTTATGATACTCATGTTCGAAGGAAAATTTTACTTTAAATCCGCTGCGCCTGTTTCATTTCGACCATGTTTGCGCGTGCTGTGCTGTACCACCACAGAGTTTCTCGCGAACAAACTTGACCCCCGATTCTCCTTCTTTCTGCATTATTTTCTCGTTTCATCTAGACAACCTTGACCCGTTTTTTCTATGGTTTTACATCATTCCAATCTGAGATTTATTCATTTCTTTCTCTAATTTCGTTTTAGTTTAAAAAACAACTCACTCAATTTTTTTTAAATAGTTTATATTTACTTTTTTTTATTAGTGGTCTTCTTGCATAATAATTCAACTTTCTTATATATTCAATTGTACAAAAAAAGCTTTCTGGATGAGTTTTTCAGAAAAAGATCAAAGATAGAGCTTTCTAGGACTAGATTTTTTTTTTCTCTTTTGTGCTAGTTGGAGCTTCCGGTCACGTAAACGGCTCTGAGACCGTATGCAAAAAAAAAAAGATGTAAAAGCGTTCACAGTGGGTTGCCCGAAAAGAAAAATTTAAAATTGAACTTCAGAATTCAAAATAAGCTTGAATACGACCCCTGATCTACTAGCCTCACTAATGCGTTCGATCATCAAACTTTAAAATTTAAATTTTGACTCACTACATATAGCCTATTCCGCGTCAACTTGTCACGTTTTTGTCTTTCGCCAAGAAGACCGTATACCAAATTAAATCAAATTTCTGCTTTGATAACGGCAAGAAACAAAGGTTTTGAAGCGAAGTGGGTTAAATTTGACCTGGCCTTTTGGCGGAAAGAAAAACGTGACAAGCTGGCGCGGAATGGCCTATAAGTTTTCTAAAATTTTATTTAATCCTGATTCATTTCGGTATATAATATATTCGACTTCATTTTGCAGCTACTTATTTCGATTCGCTGTTTTTTGCGAAGAAGTTGGGATATATAACTGAGCGTTAAGAAATATGTGCTCTTTGTGCGCGATTATGATTTTGAGCTACAGCTTGGGAAGGAAATTATGGATCTATGTTTATTAGTTCAAGCGGTAGTTACTACGGCTGACCACATACTGAGTGCGTTGCGTGTCGCGCCGCGGCCTTCATCACTGGCGGCAGTCCACGTTTGCTCTGTCTCCACTGAGCGAAGGACACGTCGAGAAAAAAAATGCCAGCGTGGAGGTCACTGCGGCACAACTATCGGCTGCGATTCACCTGTGGGTTGCTAGTTGTTTTTGGGCTTTCTTATCTTTCTGGGTCATCCCGACCCCTTCTGTGTGCCTTATAAGAGGCTTGGAGTCTCTCCTTAGCTCATAAAGAGCTCATAGAAGCGACGGTCATTCTTCTGTGTCTTGCCTCTCAACTTCTTTTTCATAGTACTACCCTTCTCTGATCTTTCATGAACTAGTTATTTCGAGAAGAGAAGTTTCTAAAATTAAAAAAATTTTTCTTTTTTTACATTTTTAAATTAAATCTGAAGTCTTTATGAATTTCTTCTCTTTGATTTATTAAATGATTCTGGAATTCTTCAATGTCAGAAAAAAAAAATCCGTCAAACACCGGTTAAAGAGATCTTGTAGAAATTTTCTTGATCCCCAACTAGGAAGCTGAGACTTTCAAAACTTTCAAATCACATTTTCAAAGGATTTTTCACTTCAAACTAGAAATACCTCACTTGTTAGATATCCAAATAAAAAGGCCTGCCGATTATCGTTTTTTTAACAGTTTCCCGCTTTTTGTCAAGAACGATTGACGAAATTTTCAGTGGGTATGATTGCTTTGTGTGCCGTTTTCGCCCTCGCGTACATCTCGCTTGGCCAAGCCGCCGATACGGTCACCGTAACCAAGCAGGTGTACTTCGATATCTCGATCGGAGGCAAGGAGGTTAGTTCCCACTTGAGTTGGCTTGAACATGGCTATGGCGTTCAGGCTGGCCGCATCGTCATCGGTCTCTTCGGAAATGATGTCCCCAAGACCGCGGAAAACTTCTTGAAGTTGGCCACCGGCGAGAAGGGCTTCGGATACAAGGGCAGCAAGTTCCACCGTGTCATCAAGGACTTCATGATCCAAGGTTCCTCCGAAAGTCTCCTTCTTTCTATTCGATTGTTTTTCTAGGAGGCGACTTCACCCGAGGCGATGGAACCGGAGGCAAATCCATCTACGGAGAGCGATTCGCCGACGAAAATTTCGCTCTGCAGCACTACGGCGCTGGATGGCTCTCTATGGCCAACGCTGGACCTGACACCAATGGATCTCAGTTCTTCATCACTACCGTTCGTTCCATTTTTTTTTTAAATTTCAAACTATAGACACTCTAATACTGAAAACTAATTCTCTTTTGGAGGTACTTGTCTTTAGTCATCACTGCTTGTTTTGATTAAATCTAGAAGGTTGAAATCACAAAAAAAAATGGTTTTTAAGAGACCTTGATGTCCTACAAAAAAAAGGAAATTCTCGGGACTGAATAAATTCACTGAAATTCTTTAACGGCATAAGTTCCATGAGGTCTTAGTTTACATGAAAAACTTCCACTCAGAACCCAAATGTGAATTTAAGAATAGCTTGAGAATGTCCTTGTTATATTTTTCAAAAGGCTAATAAATAAATATTCCCAGAAAAAACTTTTCTCTCTTTATCCTCTAATTTTTCAGGTGAAAACCCAATGGCTCGACGGTCGCCACGTCGTCTTCGGCAAGATCATCGAGGGCATGGACGTCGTCCGGAAGATCGAGAACACCCGCACCAAGGTGAATTTATCCGGAGATTAAGTAATGTAATGTTTGTTCTTTGCAGCCAGGAGACCGACCAGAACAGGACGTCGTTATCTCTGCCTCTGGAGAGCTTCCTCTCGCTGCCCCATTCGAGACCGACAAGGCTCCAGTCGCTTAAAGTCGAAAAAATCTGTCTCATTCTTTTTTCTTTGTTGTTATCAGGATAATTTGTACTTGTATTTAAATAAGTTATTTTACGACCTCAAAACGGGCGATTATTTGCTTTTAATGAATCGATTTACACCAACGATTTCATGTTATATACAAAATTTAACCGTAATTATTCGTTCTAGTGAGGCACGCCTGTGTTGGAGTGAATATAGATTAGATTTTGAGAGAAAACGAAAGAAAAAAGCTTTGGCACTAATGTTTGAGGACTCTGTAGTCATACACTGGAGCGCAGAAAGGAAAAAAAGTGACCGAGGCTGAGCAATCGAAAGAAAAAACCAATTCTAAAGCAAAGGTCAAGTGAAGAGAGAAAAAGAACTGTGTGCTGTACAATTGTACAATTTGTCGACAGGATCACCAGATCGGCCAACTGTGGTCTTCCAGCGACTTTGAATGGAAAGCCCTGAAGCATACATTTGTATTTCGATATTTTCAATATTGAAAGCTACTTCGGAAAGAAATGTCGAAAAATGTTGATACTTATAAAAGCAAGCAAATTTTTGATACCCAAAAAAACGCACAAGTCGAGGATATGAAGCTCGAAGTTGTCGCCGATGACGGTGTCTTCGTGTTTTTTGATCTCCTCCGTCACGTTCTTCTTGGTGCAGTTGGAACGGATGTCGTGGCCCACGAACATCATGTAGTTGTTCGAGTTCATGAGCGAGCTGTGCAGAATTTTGTGGTAGTCCCCGGAATCTGTTGACGGCTCCAGCCTGAATTGAATACGTTCGAAGCAAAGAAGACATTTCGAAGTTTGAAGACTGAATTCGAGATAAATCGAAAAGTTTTGGTCATTTTATTAACAGATGTGAACTGATACTGTTATTCAAAAACTCTAACGGAGGCTCGAGTATATGATGTGGTCCAAAAATAGGATCTAATTTTAAATAAAAAGCGTTGCCAAGTTTTGAGCTTTTCCATGCGAGTCCATTACGTTTCAAAACGTTGAGAGCCCTTTGAATACTGACATGACTCGGAGGCTCCGAAGGAATTCGACTTGCTCCCAGGACAAGTATTGGTCGAGTTGCGCCGTGTCGTTCAGGTTGGCCAGGCAGTATTGCTCTGAAAAAATACCAAAATTTTGAAATTAAAACTTTCGATAATTTCGATAAACTACTTTTTTTTATAAATTCTTCAACATCCCAAAAAAAAAAAACGCACCAAGAAAAGATTTGAATCGATCTTCCGCGATCGGCGAGACTTCCAGCTGAGCAATTGACCACCGCTCAAAGATTCTCTGCAATGTTTTTTTTCGAATTCAAAAAGATTTTTCAACTGGACACGGCAGTTCCATAAAAAAAAACCTTAAGATTTTATTAAATGTTTGCTTCAGGCAAATAAAAAGCTGAAGGAAAAGGAAAAGCCACCGAGCAAAAAGTTGATGATGAAACTTTGAGAAGGACGAACCATTCTGGTGAGCTGCTCTTTGGGTGTAGTGAGCGGCGTGACTTCGACAGCCAAGAGGACGACATTCAGGAGCAGGGACGCTTGTATGAGACCGGAGCACATGCCGATAGCATGGAACACTGCAATCGCTCGACGGCTCATTTGTTGGTGCGGAATCGAACAAAAGCGGTTCGAGAGGTGGGAATACAAGTGCAAAAAAGAGAATTATAATTCCCTGGGAAAGAGAAAAATCTTATTTTCTCGTGATTGTTCATACAATTTCGGTGGGTACAAACGACTTTTTCTTGCATTCGGCAGCCGATACTTTCTCAGAACCAAAGTATATGAATCAAAAATCAACAAAGTTTTCGAAAACAAGAATTTTTGTAGCTTTGAGCTCCTACAAAAGTTTTTTTATTTTTTTCTTGTTCAAGGTTTAAAAATGCAAGATTAATACAGATTAAAAACTTAAATTAATTGCCAATTTATGAAAATTCCCGAAATCAACTCAGGGCGGTTAAAAAAAGAGAAGTTATAAACAAAGAGTGGCATGGAAAAAAAAAGCCAGCGAAATTTCGAATGCCGACTTTTCCGATTTTTTCATATCGTTAGGGATCTTTCCGACGAATCCTTTTCCGACTTTTTTCCCTCATATTTTCCGCTTTATAAAAGATCTATTTTATTTTTTTTTCGAGTTTTTGAGCAGGGGTTAACTACCTATTTTATTTAAGGAAATTCAAAACAAAGAGATTATTGAGAAAAAAAGTCGGAAATGCAATAGTCGGAAAAGTCGCCCTTCGAAAATTCGTTGGCTTTTATTTCTTACCTCCAAAAAAAAAATAAGGCGGTCTATCATTATCAGCATTATTTTTATAATTTCATCCACAGCCCAAAAAAATTAACAAGAATCAAAAAAAGTTGAAAAGACTTGAAAAAAAAAAGCGTAGACATCTCATTGGCATTTTGAAAAAAAGTAAAGAGGAAATTAATAGCCAAGTAAAAATTTAGAAGCAAGCCAAGTGGAAAAAATTTTGTTTCATTATTTTATATTTACCTGAAAAAGCCTCATTTGAAAAATCTAATTAATAATTAACGCGGGAAAAAAACTAAAGCTCGAGGAAATGATGTAACTAATTCAGCTAATAAACTTGCAAAAGAGCATTTGGTAAAATATTTGAACGTCTAACATTTCCTCTTACTTTTTCTGAGCATCACTCTCAAAAATTAATTCATAATAAACAACCTCGAAAAGAGAGCAAGCCAAAGCTAATCCAAATGACGTTAAACACTCCCATTAAAAGAAGAAAGTTATAACTTTCATGAGCGAGAAGAAGGACAAAAAAGTGTCAACGGGCCTATAGGCCGCCTAATCGATCAAAAATTTCGAAGCTTCCAAAGAAAAAAAACAGGACGAGAAGCTGGAGATAAACTACGGCGTTGGTGGAAAACGCTGCGTCACTCGCCTCGAAAACAACAAAACGAGACCGGCCGGCCTTCTGGCACACTCTCCTTTCGCAGCACTCTATCACCTTTTCCAACCTTTATCGCAAGACCTTTTGGTCGAAAATAATAAGTGCACACCGAATAGAGCAACTTTTTTGGCACCATGGCGTTGCTGGAAGCTCTAATTATAAAATCCATTCAACGCTAGCTCGAGACGCAAAATAATGAAGAGGCAAAACAACTGCATTGAATATTTTCTCGAGGTATTGGTGAAAAAACTTTTTGTTTATTTGAAATTCTCGACCGATATCACCTGCTTGACTATCGCTCCGTTAAAATTTTTTTTTTGAACATGCCATATAAATATCGTGTTTTTTAATTTCTGTTTTTGAATGAACCGCTTTTCAAAGCAATTTCCGAAGATATTCATGAGATCTTTAAACCAATCAAAAAATGTTCTAAAAAAGACAATATTCTCAATCTTTATTTATCGCAAAATCTATTTACAGAAAAGATGAGAGAAAACTCAGAAAAAGTGATTATTGTTTCAATTTCGTTAAAAAAACGTGGTTGTTTCGGAATAAAAAAGCACCAATGGAAGGTCATTTTGTATTGGATTGGGAGGAAAAGGATACACAAGGACGTGAAAAATAATTTAGCAGAATAACACAGCCAAAATGCACTCGGATGGTGACAAAAACAAAATTAAGACATGAGAACTGAGGAAAGATCGGAGAAATGGAAGATAATCGAATTTCAAAAAAAAAAACAATTTTCAACGCTAACTTGACCACAGATTTTCTTTTTTTGTATATCGTGAGATTTTTTTTTAGATATTTGTGACAAGATAGCGATGAATTAAGTATGCATATTACTTTACGAAAGTTAGGAAACTCCTTAGATACAGCTCCTATAGAAAATGTGGCAAAAATGGGCAGCTTGAGATGGGCATAAGAGCAAGTTGAAAGTACATATGAAAGTTTTAAATTTTATGAACCGTCAAAGCTTTTGAAAAGCTTTTTTTCTCAAAAATGTTTGCAAACAGTGTTTTTTTCCATAATTAAAAATTTAAGCCAATATCAGAAAGCCTTTCTGTTTTGAAAACTTTTCTAACATGATCAGGCTGAAAAGTCTGCATTTTTTGAATGGATCCAAAATTTTGAGAACTTGTTTCGTTGCTTTCAAACATTTTTTTTGAAATATCTTTCCTAAAAAGATTTCTCAGGAGATCATCGTTTCCTACGCCACTCCCAGTCTTCAGGAAGGTCGCCTCGAATCGCGACGTCGTTGGGATCCGCCATTTCGACTTGACAGGTGGCACCGAGCCAGCCAGGGGAGCACGAACATTTTCCGCTGAAATTCAGACGTTTTGAAACAAAAAGGCGGATCCACAAACGTTTTGGGATGACACGAGGCGCCGTTGAAGCATTGGCATTTGTGTTCGCATGAGTCTCCGTACCTTCCAGGTCGGCATTCTGCAAAAATTGTCCCTTTGGAACTACCTTTTTTCAAGGTTTTCTGGAAGTTTCAAAAAAAGAAATGCAGACAAAAAAACTCCTTTATGAGTAGAGACAGGAATTTCAAAGAAAGGTCAACAAAACCAATCTCAGTTCCAACTTATACATTTTGACTTGAAAGTTGTTGAGGTTGGCTTTTCATACGAATATGAGAACCAAAAAAACTAAATAAAAGTTGAAATCTTTTTTTAATTTTTTTGCCAAATTTTTTTTTTGAAAAAAGCGGCTTTCAAAAAGATTCAAAAATTCTATCAGCTACATGTGAAAATGTCAGTTTTGGTCATTTTTTAACATTTCGAATACCTTGCTCGCATTTGGCCCCGTGTAATCCAACAGGACAGATGCACGATCCTTCGACCGGATTGCAAGGAAAGTCGCCGCAGTCGCACTTTTGGCTACATGCCGGCCCATAAGTTGAGTTGGAGCAGCTTTGTTCGCACTATAAATCCATCTTTTACAGTTGGACATCGTCGGAAAAAGACCTTATCGCCCTGGAAACCTGCAGGACACAGACATCGGCCATCAGCCGGATCGCAGAATGCTCCGTTTTGGCAGGAGCAAGACTGAGAGCAGTACCAACCATAGAAACCCGTAGGACACACTGAAAACCCCATTGAGGAAATACCAGTTAATATAAAATCAATAAAGTAAAGAAATCAACAGTGGCTTGGAATCAAAGAGAAAATGAATTCTAATGAGGATTTCGGATGTGAGACTACTCTTTTCTTCAATATTGTGTCGCCATTTTATTTAACTTCTCAACAAAATATTTCCAACCAATTGCTTTTGATCGTCGGTTAAACATTTAATATTTATTTTATTTTCTATCGTTTGAACCGTTCACACTTAGAACATAAAATTTGATAACACCTGTAGTAAGTCCGTTGAGATGACCGCGAAATAACAACTTTTTTCGCAGAAACTTTATTTTACGCTGAACAAACGTCGGAAAAAGCGAAACTTACTGAATTGACAGCGAGTTCCATAGCGCCCGGGAGGACAGTCACAGCAGCCTTGTACTGGATCACATCTGGAAACAATATTGACTTGCAAGAGTGAAAATAGAACGAACTAGCAAAAATCAAGACGAGAATGGGATACGACAAAGCTTTGGCTCAACGCTAACCCCAATTTCTGAGATTCTACCATCCCTTTCCCTCGAGATCACGAGAAAAACTTCAAATATGCACCATCAATACGATTAGAAAATATTTGACAAAAATGTTCCAAGTTCTGTTTGGCAAGCAGCAAAGAAAAAGTGATACCTGGCTTGGCCGTGGCACTCGCAGTCGAGCGTGCAGTTGAGGCCGTACTTCCCTGATGGACAAGACTGTTCACAAGTTGGACCCATATATCCCAGGTTACATCTGAAAGCTGCCGATTTGGTCTACAATCCGAAAAAAAAAAGTCGGACCTGCAAGAGCCGGTTGTGGGATCACAGTGACCATTCGTACAACGGCATTTTTCTTTGCATCCGGCGCCCCAGCGGCCATCGGGGCATACTAAGGAAACTATTTTATAAAATTGAGAGCTCATTGAGAAACCTTGGTTGCAGGTGATGCCTGTGAATCCAGGTGCACATCGGCATTGGCCTGTCAGTCTGTCGCAGGCGCCTCCGTTTTCGCAGTTGCAAATCTTCTCGCATCTAGTTAATTTTCACGGTTAGATTCTCAATATTCTCAATATTCTCAGATCGAGCCATTTCATAACCTTATGAAAAATATGAGAACACTCGGGACAAAAAGGACTATGTGGCTTACAGTAAAAAAGAAATACTCGATTCACCGTTGTCTTGAACCATTATTTCCCGGACCAAAGATATTATTTTATATATGATCAAAAATAATAGTGCGAAGAAGGTTTAAGCGTGGGTAAATTTTTTCAGGACTACGTATCAAACTCTTTTTTAGCTTAAAAAACGCACAAAAGACGTACAAATATTTTCTCTTCGCACTTCTTCGCGTGTGATTTTCAAACCGCCATTAATTCTTATTATTTTTCAAGACACTATAAAAGTTCCCATTAAGTTCATACTTTAAGGAATTTCTCGATAAGCGACGATTCTTAGTTTATCAAAAATTGTACTAACTTCAGCCAATACAAACACTTTCTTCTAAAAGGCATCCTTCTTATAAGCCTCGAAATATGTTTGTATTCTCGAAACTAACGTTGGGCCAAAGCGATCCGACGGACAAGCCGTCTCGCACTTGGTGCCGATGAAGGCAGGAGGACAGATGCATCCGCCGGTCTCGACATCGCAGACGCCGCCGTTCTCGCAGGCGCACAACTCCTTGCAGTCGCTGCCGTAGCGGCCCTGCACGCAGCCTTTTTTGCAGTCCTCGCCGCCGAAGCCAGGTTTGCAGAAGCACTTGCCAGTGATCGGATCGCACAACGAATTCTCGCCGCATTCGCATTTCATCGAACAGCTCTCGCCGTAGGTTCCCTCGGGGCAAAGCTGCAGGTTTCTATGTTTAGAACGGTAGCCTTGGTTTTCTCAAAACCTCTGCTTTTTTGGTGGTATGAGAAAAAAAAAACACCAGCGAAAATTCAAACGGCGACTTTTCCGATTTTTTCATATCGCTAGGGAACTTTCCGACGGAGATGTTTCCGACTTTTACCCTCAAGTTTTTCGGTTTATAAAACATCTATAAACATTTTTTTCCTACTTCTTTGTGTTTTAATCATGAACCAACTACCTACTTTATATAGGAAGATTTAAAACGAAGATTTTATCGAGAAAAAAAAGTCGGAAAAAAAGATTCGTCGGAAAGGTGGCCGTCGGAAAGTTCCCTAGCGATATGAAAAAAATCGGAAAAAGTCGCCGTTTGAATTTTCGCTGGTCTTTTTCATACCACCGCTTTTTTTATAGGTTTATAGTTTGCTTAGCTGCTTTGAAATGAAATATGTGATTAAAATGAATCCTCAGTTTTTATGACGCCTTTGAATATTTTCTGAGAAAGAAAAATAGCGAGTTAGATTAGATTAGAGGTTGCACAACCAACCCTTATGAATTCGCTCGAAACAATAATCGCCAATATTTTGTCAAGTTTTCAAACTAATCTCAATCTTATTCATTAAGTTTTTTTTTTTGAAAAAATTTGTTAATTTTTCATAGTTCCGTGTTGTCAAGAGCGGTGTTGGTACAACTTTTCCGTTGAAAATTGATTAAAGGATCCTAATAAACTTTTGTAATATCACGTCTCACCAAATATACTCTTATCTCCTGCATGAAACGGGTACATAAGGTGTCGTGTCTATCATTCTGAGACTTCTTCACTCGGCCAAAAACCTTTGTTCATACCTCGACTACCGCGAACACAACATTAAAAAAGTAACGAACCATCTATTCCTTGGGATAATTTGATAACGCGAAGAGAAAATTATGCGTGAAAACAAGGCAAAGATAAAAATGGCAATTGAACGTTTCAAACGGCACATTTGACCAAAAAAAAAACCGACCTCGGTGCAAGAGTGTCCAGCATAACCCTTCGGACATTGACAACGCCCAGAAATGTGGTCGCAAGCCTTGTTGTTGGCGCAACGACAGGCCTGAGAGCAGTGCCGCCCAAAGTATCCCTTGAGACAAGCTGAACAAGGAGTTAGGTTGAAGAGAGTCGCGCGGAACCAACGTCGGTTGCATTTTCGGCCTCGCCATCCAGGTTGACAAGTGCAGTGGCCGCTGATCGCGTCGCATTGGGCGCCGTTCTCGCATTCGCAGGCCTCCTCGCATTTCAATCCGAACTGACCTCCGGGGCAACGACGCTCACATCTGTATGGGAGCTTTGAAGTTTTAAGCGATCAACCAACTTTAATATGTTGCTTTAATAACAAGCTTCAGGTCGGCAAATGAGTATAAAACCCCAAATATCAGAATTCTAGAACTCTTGCTGAAGAAGCAAAACCTTTCTTGATGAAGACATAAAATGAGATAGAAAAACGTCGAAAATTGTCTTATCATAATGCGGAACCGTTTCGGATTTCAAAACTTTCCGAAAAACAATATTTTATGAATGAAACTTTTTTTTTTTGAAAGACAGTGAAAAGTACCTCAAGTTCTACACAGCTCAATCTTCATTTTAGCCTCGATAAAAAACGAAAGAACATGTTTTTCTTTCTCCTTGGATCTTTTCAAAACTATGAATAACCTGTCGCCAGTCCAACCAGGAAGACATTCGCAGGTTCCAGTGGTTCGGTTGCAGTTGGCGCCATTGGAGCAGTCGCACTGCTGTTCGCAATTTTTGCCGTACTGACCAAAAGGACACACTGAAAACCAGAGCTGGGTTTCTTTCAGAACCGTGAGCCAACTGACGGAACTCGCAGGCCGGTCCAGTCCAGCCGTCGACGCAGGAACATTGTCCAGTCAAGGAGTCGCAGTCGCCTCCGTGCATGCAAAGACAGTGCTTCATGCAGTTGGCTCCCCAGAGGCCCGAAGGACATTCTGAACCCCTCATCGTCAAGTTTATACGGAAAAAAAAGATGAAACAATTACTGGATCTAATAAAAATAAATTAAGGTCAGGTATCAAAAAATAAGGTTTGTAAGCACGTTTCTGTACAATTTTTCTCCAATATATTCATCAGAATCTGGACAGAATCGCCAAAAAACGGTTTTTAGATTTTCCAACAAACTGTATAGGGTTAAAACTATGATAGCTTAAAGCGTTTTCGAGTAGACCGTTGCCATTTTCTCCAGGAGTTTTCAGATAGCTATCCGCTCAAGACTTCGTCAGAGTGTAGCTGATTTTGATTCGATTATGGTGCTACGGGATACAATAAGGGTAAAAGGGAATGAAAAATATTCCTGCTGAATTGATTTTTTTTTTTTTTGATTTTATAGGATGCACCTAAAGAACTATGGAAAAAAGTCTGAGCACCCACCAGTTTCACAGTTTTTGCCCATGAAACCAGTCGGACAGTCGCAATAGCCGGTGAGACGGTCGCAGGTGGCTCCATTCGAGCAAAGACAGCTGTTTTTGCATCCTTCGCCCCATCTGAACTTAACGAAAAGTACTGGGGATATTTTGATGGAACGAACCGGCCAGGCGGACAAGGCGTGGCGCAGTCGGGACCAGTCCATCCGGCAGAACAGCGACACTCGCCGCTCACCGGGTCACAGCGTGCCACGAACGGATTGTAGGTCGTCGTGTCATCTGAAGGCCATTTTTCCCTCTCTTCTGCGCTCCAACGACAAACTCGAAGTGGCGCAGTCGCAGATCGCGTTGCAGCCTTCGCCGTAGCGGCCGTCAGGACACGGTCGTTCGCATCGTTTGCCTCTCCAGCCTGGCTTGCAGCTGCATGATCCGCTAACAGGGTCACACTGAACAAAATATTTTGAATCTAATGAAGCTAGAAGTTTATAATTTTTTCTAATGAAACATCCTTGAATACATCAGGAGATCATGGACCGACCATTCTATGAGATTTTCGATCTTTCTCCCAAGTTTCCTTGAATTGAAGTCCTCGTGAGATCAGAACGTACTTTTATTTTTTAGAAACGATCTCTTGGGGTTCAAACTCAAATATGTATCCTATTTCTTGAAAATCAACCCCTCCTCTCGGACTAATGAGTTTTTAAATGCCCATATTTTCATTCAGTCAAGTTTCGGGAAACTGTTAAGTCTTCAACAAAAAAGTCGGAGTTGCTATACTATAAACTTTCAAACGAAAATGCTAAGGAGAAAGCTTTTGAAAGTATAATGTTTACAAGCTGATTCCAAAAAAAAGAGAGAAAAATGTCTACCTGTCCACCGTTCTGGCACATGCAAACGCCTTTGCAGCCGGCTCCGAAATGATTGGTCTCGCAAACTGGAATCGTTTCTCGTAATGAATGGAACCGTGGATAGATGAACAGACCATCTTCACACCGTTGTCCTTTCTTGCCTGGTGGACAGATGCACTCGCCGTCGGACGGATCGCAGTGCATACCATCAGCACAATCGCATTTCTTCGTACAGTGCTCAAATAGTTTCGATTTTTGAGAAACAACAAAAAAAGATCAAGCTTATTTAAATGCGATTTCTAAACCATCATATACTTAAAGTTTGCCCTGTTCATTTTTTTTTTCTTCTAAAACCTTGCCGTAGGTTCCCTGTGCGCAGCTCTTCTCGCAGTTATGACCGCTCCAGCCGGCGGCACATTCGCACTTTCCGTTGGCCGCATCGCAAAGTCCTCCGTTTTGGCATTTGCACAACTGCATGCAGTCCTTGCCGAACCTTCCGGACGGACACACTGAAACGTCTCCGTGATTGACGGCTGAGGCTTAAGGCCGTACATTCGCTACAACTAGCGCCGTAGAAGCCTGCCGGACACGCGCAGGATCCATCTTTGGAGTCGCACTCTCCGCCGTTGATGCAAGCACACGAGTGAGCGCAGTTAGGACCGTAAGTTCCAGATACGCATTCTGGAAACCTCTGGACTGTCAAAAATGAATGAAATATTGTTAAACGGTGTTTGAATCGAACACAGATTAAAAAAGGTCCCGAAAAAATTAAAACTCTCATTTACTGATATAACGGATGCAAAGGAAACCTATTTCAAAATAATCTGAGTGAAGTTTAATTCATCTTATTTGAAAAGCTGTTGAAAAATTCTGATAGGACCCTCTGTGCAATAAAATCTGAAAAAAACTCAACAATAATACATTTCTACATGACCAATGATAAAAATCGAGCGTTTGACAGTGCTTGGTGAGCCGTGTATCACTACTTTTGGCTAGAGACATCGAAAAAGTGAAGACGAAGGTGCTCACTTTGGTCGCACAGCGGACCGGTGAAACCGGCGAGGCAGGAGCAGGTCCCGGTGACGTGGTGGCAGACGCGGCCCCCAGAATCTTCACATCCACACTTCTGCTCGCAGTCGTGGCCGAATCTGCCCGCGGGACACGCTGAAACACGTGCTCAAAAACTCGTCACAGGTGAGCAGAGTGTTCCGAAGTGGGTGAACTATTGCAGAACTGACAATACTACAAATATACTTTTCGTGAATCAGAAAATAAAATCAGAACTAGTCAAAGTGAGAGGCCCAGAACCTAAGCCGCAAAGTATTCTCGCGTAAAATCGTGACTGAAAACTATGGAAAAAATTACACGGATTGTCGCTCACTATTAGTTCATACAATAATTCAAAACATACAAACGTGTCATTAATTACTCTACAATCACGCTGTGAACTACTTTACCATCAAGTGACACAACATGTGATTTCAAAATTTTCATGAAAAGAAATGTCTTCTGAAGTCACTACACACAGAGAATAAAAAAATCTTATTCTATTCATCGCCAGCTTTAGACAGTACTCAATGAAGGTTTTTTCACTAGAAGCCGAAAATTTTTAATAGAAAGAGTTTATCAACAATTTTTTTCACTCTCTGACATCGAATGAGATTAAATTTGGAAGAAAACCCACTCTTCTCGCATTTTTCTCCAGTGAATCCAGCCGGACACTTTTTCGTGCATTCTCCGGTGTTTGAATCGCAACGGACGCCTAATACTCTCAAAATGAAGCAATCGAATCAATTTCTTGAAAAACCATTGGGACATCGGCATTTCTGAGCACAGCCGGCACCGAAAAAGCCAACTGGACAAGATCTCTTGCACATGGCGCCGTAGAATCCTGGCTTGCATTTGCACTTTCCGGACTGGAAAAGTCCGTGAAAAAAGAGATAAAAATTTTGCACTTTTCTCGTATAGCCGACTCCCGGCTAGCTCGGGATCTTAGCCTGTCTGCGTTCTTCAACAAAAAAGAAGACACTATCTCCTTTTCTAAAAAGACACTATCTCTTTTTCTATCGAGCCAGGAGTCCTTTTTCAATGGCTCAAACCAGCCGGGAAACAACTATACGAGATTTGGATGATTCATAGGAAAACAGTAGAATTTCCTCAGAATAAACGTTTAGGCTATCCAACATCTCTTTTCTTCAGAAAACTTCAAACCTTGGCATCACAACCATCGCTGTTCTCCCGAGCACATTTGCAGACGTGTCGACAATTTTTGCCGAATGTGAAAGCTGGACAGGGCTGAAAGAAGGGCAGACAAGGATATAATGTGAAAAAAGGAAGATTGAACCTTGTCGCATTTTTCTCCATAAAAGACCTTCTTCACAGGTACAGTAGCCGAAAATGGGATCACAACGGCCGTCGGCGCAGTTCATCCGACACTTCAGATCGCAAGACATACCGTAGAACCCTCAAAAAGAAAGGATTAGCTCATAAATAAGAACTAAATGCACCTGCAGGACAAACTTCCGAGAAACATTTACTCGGATCGTCACATCGACACACGCCAGTGTGAGCATCACAATCTTTGCAACGGCAAGTCTGAACATTTCTCACAATATAATTTTTAACTGTCTTATTTTGACAATAGCCTTTGACTAAATTTAATTTTAAAAAACCTGAGTGCATCCGATGCCCCAAGTTCCCCGAGGGCAAATCTCATCGCAAGTCGCTCCAAAATATCCAGATGGACAATCGCATCCGTTGGCCCACAGCCGTACATTGTGCTGGAAACAAAATTTCTGAACCAACTTTTTTCCTTTTCCTCCGAAACCTCCATTTTTGCAATCTTGACAGCCGAATTCACAATGTTTACCAAAATGTCCAGGTGGGCAGTCTGTAGGAATCAAAAATCATTGAGAATATTAAAATGAAACAGATAAAACGCAATATTTTTGTGAGGAAAATCGGAGTAAAAGATGCAAAGAAAACTTTTTATTGCGGTCTCACACAGAAAATAACAATGGGCTTGAATTTCAATCAAATTCAAATCTCTTCAAATCTACCATAATTCAGCAGAGCCTTTTTGAATTCTCTGAGGTCTGAATAAATTGAATTGAATTGTTGAATTTCAATATTGAGAATTTTTAAAAAAACTTAGTCGTTTATAATTTTTTTCAATTTCAAAAAGAAATGGAAAGGAAACTCTGATAAATTCCTGAGTAAAGCTATAGGAAAAGATAAGTCCAGGCCGGGAAATGAATCTTGTAGAAGGAGCAAAAAAAAAACGCACAAAAAGCCTTATTTTATTGATTCGTAACATTCATTCACTCAAAAATCTAACTTCAAATGCCACAGAAGCTAAAAGCGGAACCTTTCACGTTCCGACGTCGTCCAAAGGAAAATCGCCGTCGATGGGGTTTCTTCTTCTTCGGAGATTCTTCGGGAAAACTCTCGAGACTCGAAATGACGTCATCGATGGCAGCGACGTCTTCGGGGTCGATGGTCTGCAAGTCGGCGTCGATGGAGGAGTCGAGCTGCTTCGGGAGCTGTACCACATCTGAAGTACAGACGCCGTGCAAAAGCGAAATAACAAGCTCTGTTAGAAGTCGGGTTTCTTGCAATTCAGTTCAAAATTAAATGCGTAAAAAGCTACAAATGCTCACAACACGTCTACCATTCAAATCTCCTTCTACGTGTCTAAAAACTCACAAATTTCTTCATCGGCATTCGATAAAGCAGCTGTAAGAAAAGTTCGGTGACTAATTAGCGAGTCTAGAAAGACGAACCGACGCAAGAGTGTCCGTCTTCGGAGAGTACGTAGCCGCCGAAGCACTCGCACCGTCTGGAGCCCTCCTCGTTCCGACAGAGCTGACTGCAGCCGCCGTTGTTCACCAGACATTCATTCACATCTGTACCTTTCAGAATAGAGTACTCTTCCCTTTATTTCGCTTCCTACCGTGACAGGTATGCCGGTCGTTGCCAAGGTAGAATCCTTCGCTGCAGGAACATTCGTAGTCGCCCGGCCGATTCGTGCAGTTTTGCGAGCACCCGGCGTTGTTGTTCACGCACTCATTCAGGTCTGAGAAGAACTGTTTGAATCAAACTTCAAATACCAAAAGAAAATGGTAAGTTTATTAGGTTTCAATCAAAATCTGTTCAAGAATGCTCACTTTCCCAACTTTTGAACCATTTGAAAGTGTCAAAACATTTCGAGAAGAAAACATTGTGTTTTTTTGACTATTTTTTTCAGTTAAAAATATATTATTTTTGAAATCGATTTATTTTTCTGAGATAAACCTTTCGATGAAAAATAATGAGAAGACGATTTAATGACTAGATTTTTGAACAACCTGATTTAAAACTTTCCGAATTTTTAAATAAATATGAACTTCTGAAAAGAATATATACGAAGCCCTTCATGAATTTGCTTATGAGAAGATAGTATAGTATGAAAAGGTACCTTCACAAGTTTTGCGGTCGTAGGTTAACATGAAGCCCGGCTTGCATTGGCATTCGTAAGAACCTGGAGAAGGAAAAAATAGAATGGGAGATGGCAAATTTCAAAAAAAAAAACCTGCAAAATTGACACAGATCTGATCGCAGCCCCCATTTCCATTTGAACATTCGTTAATATCTGAAAAAATTAAAATTTGAAGAAAAAAAAAATGAAAATTAAGAATTGGTGTGAATCTACTTGGTGGTTTGAAAACAGAGATCATCTACAACTGAAAGAGAACTGTGCGCAGTGAGGTGCAGATTTCTACTTCTAGAGCCATCCACAACGTGTTGGAAGTCACCCTCGCAGTTGTGGGAACCGCGAATTCGGAACCCCGCATCGCAGAAGCAACGGAGCTGTCCGGTCCGCGCATCCATACAGAGACGGTGACAAGAATCTCGGACGACGCACGTCATCGTCTCATAAGGATCCCAGACGCGGTCTCCGACCACTTCAATTGGTAAAGTTGCCAGGCAACACTGTCTCACTCGACAGATCGAGATCATTTTGATGGGTCAGAAGTTCTCTCCGGAAAACAGACCTTGGCACATTCGACCATCGGAAAGCAGCTCGTAGCCTTCGCGACAGCGGCAAATGTGGCCTCCATCCGGCTGGTCGAAGCAGTTGTGCTGACAACCGCCGTTTGCTAAAATTATAATGGCTACTGCAGGAAAGAAAAATTTAAAGACTTGGTCAAAGCAAACTCGAAGAAAAGAAATGATCGTTAGAGAGTTTAAAAATAACTAAAACTTTGGAGAGTCAAAGAAATTTCATATTTTCGGTTTTTCTTCAGTTTGAGAATATTTCCCATGATAGAAAAAGGAAAACATAAATAAAAAAGAAAAAGTTCCTTTGAGATGAAAAAGCTGAAAAGAAACCGTTGAAAGCTCCTAAAATAATGAAAAACAAAGCTTCAAGCTCGTTTTTCATAGCCTCAGAGGGTCTTTTATGAGTTCCATGAAACCTTTCTAATTGCTTTCCAGAATCTTTTTGATAGAGGATGTAAAAACGATGCAAAATTGAAATAAAAAATCTGTGGAAACCCTTAGAAGATATTTTGTTTTGAAAAAAGTTTTTGAAGAGCTTTCCCGTTTTCCCTTAAAATATTTGTATAAAAACTTTTCTTCTTTTTTTCGGAAAGTAAATCATTTCGCACCAATTTGACAAGGAGTCTGGAGCTCCTCGCAAGTGCGGCCGTCCTCGGCGAGTTGGAATCCTTCGCGACATTCGCACTTGTATGAGCCACGGATGTTGACGCATCGGTGTTGACAGCCGCTGCCACTGTCGCACTCATCGACATCTGATAGAAGCTGAAGGTCGTCCCGGGCAACCTTCAGAAGAGAACCTATGCAGGAGCGTCGGTCGTAGGCCAGACGGAAGCCGCCGAAACACTGACACTTGGCCCGGCCATTGTCGTTGATGCAGTGGTGCTCGCAGCCGCCTTTCCTTTCTGCGCACGGATCTTCGGCTGAAACTCGAAATTAGCGATAAACCTGTGAGAAACACCGAAAGATCGAATGAAGCAGAAAGTCAAAGAAGCGGAAATATTTTTCAACGCTTTCTTTTCACATTTTTGCAAATTTGTCTTAGTAGAGGAAAGAGTATGGTTCCGATCTTAATCGAAAAATCGGCAGTTGAAGAAAAGTTAGAAAAGAAGGCGAGTCAACTACAAAGTAATTTTAAAAAAAGGTCGTTCAAACTTAAAGCTTCTTCTGAAAATCAACAAAAAACTAAAAGTTCAGAAAGGATCAAAAATGAAAAACTTAACAATTATCGAGATTAGGGGTCTCAAGATTCGTTTTTGCGGTATCGCAATAAATATGATGAGCTTTGGATCAATTTCCCAGATTTCGTTTATAATCACATTGTGCAGGTTGAAATTATTTGTTCGCCCAATGCAGGTTTTTCAGCCGACTTCCAAGAATATCAAAAGTATTGAGTCAAGGAACTCTCTTACTAATGATCTGTTGCAACATTTCGAATGTTTTTTTTACATATTCCTAATTTCTCCAAAAGACCGACTGCCGCAAAATTTGAAACCGACAAAATCCTTACGTTCACATTTGCGTTTGTCCTCAGCAAGTCGGTAGCCGACACGGCATTTACAGCGATAGAACTTTCCATCTTTCTCCTCACAAAGATGAGCGCAGCCGCCGTTGTCGACCCCGCAAGAGCTGGCTTCTGTAAACTCCTCAACCATTTGTTGCCATTATTCGGAATCGGTGCCGAAATCGGGTGATGAAGAAGAGCACTCAAATGTGACATGTGCAAGCTCAGGTCAAGTGCGCTTCTCGCCATGTTTGCTTGCGTCGAGACCAACAAGTAATCACAACAATTGATTTTTTTTTTCATCTTTTTCGAATCCAGAGAACTCATAAACGGGAAAGAAAACTGATAAAATGTTTTTAAATGGCTCAAAATTACATTTTTTTTCAAGAAGGGCTTTTCCGATTTTATTTGAAAAAAAAAATGCTTCCCTGCATTTTCAGGCTTACCAAAAAAATGCTATCTTTTTTTTGTTGGAGACAGTTTTCTGGATTTTTAGGGCAAAAGCCGCAATCCTCAATAACTCTTCGGCACGAAGTTTCATGGATGGAATACATATATTCATAACAAACCATCATCCAACATTCAAAACTAAATTTCTGGAAGACTAACCGACGCATTTCCGTCCATTCGAGTGAAGCTGAAGGCCAGAGGGACAGTCGCAGCGGTGGCCGCCGTCCAAGTTGATGCAGCGATGAGAACAGCCGCCGTTGGAAGTCAGACACTCGTCCACATCTCAACTTTCCGGTCATCGCTGATCTCACCTGTGATTCTACCTGTACAGGTCCTCGCATCATAAGAGAGCTCGAAGCCTGGCCAACAGCGGCAGTAGAACGTCCCTATCGTGTTGACGCAGTCGTGATGACAGCCGCCGTTTCCGACGACGCACTCGTCCGTATCTACAAACGAGTTTAGGATGAGTTGGGAAAAAAAGGGCGTTATGATAACTTTTTCTATAAATCAACTTATATTCAAAATCTTCAAGGTCACGTTTGTAAGGGGCTTTAGGGGCTCAGAGGTCATATTTTGAATTATGACAATTCATAGTGAGAATCTATTTTTTCGAAGTCTGCGAATTGGATGATTCTCTCCACTCATAGCATCTTATCTGATCTGAAAATTTATCTGAAAATTGAATAAAGGCAAATTATTGCTTTTTCCCTTCTCAGATCAGCTCTTCCGTGTCTTTTTCAAACTTCTGCAATAAGGCGTCTTCAAGAGTCATCTAACGAAAAATAAGTATCAAAAAGCTTACCATATTGACATTTGGCGCCAGTGAAACCCGGAGGACAGGCGCAGATTTCCTCTTTGGAAGAACCATCGAGGTTCGGGATGCAGGTGCCCCCATTGTGACAGAGGTCTACCGTGCAGTTTGCTGTAAAACTTGTTTGAAAAATCGATTTCCCAATGAGAATTTTTCAAAACCAGACTTTCTAGACGAGACTTTTATTGGGTTCCGACATCGTTTCAAGCTCTTTGAATTTGAAAAATGGCATTTTATGTAGCCATAAGTTGAAAAAAGTGGCTTTGTTTTCTTCTCCTTCTTTTCAAGTTTTAAAGCACTCATATCAAATTGTTGAATCATTCTACTCGGTGCCAGGTTAGCTTCACCCACTGCGCTGAACCTCTGAGTCAAACATATTAATTTCGCGCACATGCCCTCAAACTATCAGGTTTCAAATTAATCGAGTGGCGAACAAGAAGGGTCAACCGTCAAACAAATTGACCCCCCTGAGAGCTACTGAGGCCAAGGAACGGAATGTTTTTAGTCAGAAGCCGCCGTAATTTGCATAAAATCCCGGACGATTTTGATGGATGGGCCGATTTGTCGAGACGACGAAACGTCGGCGCCAAACGACACGTATGTAGAACAATGGAGGAGTCCATATGACACGGCGACGGTAATTACCGACGTCGTTAACTCGGCCGGCGGCTGTTCATGAATCTTTCACCGAATGAGCATTGTCTTCCTGCCAAGAACGAGCGTTCGTGAACATCGAGAACGGCCAGGTTCGACATCACCTGTCGGCAGCCTGGCTCCCATGTTCTCCAGATGGCCGGATGGAACTTTTATGGGAAATTATACAAACTTCACATACTTCAGCTTTTTGATTTGTTGAAGAAGTATTGGCTGGACTAAAAAAAGTCTAGATGCGAAATGCTTTTCGGGGAAAGTATCCAGGGCTAACAGGACTGCTAAACCTCAAACAAAACAAAAAAAATAATGAAATCAGACTATTTTGCTATCAACTGGATGCAACCTGTTGTTATAGACACTGTTTTGAGCCAAAATCAAGATTTTTCAAAAACCTAACTATGAAAGCAGCTTCAGACTAGGTAAATTTCAGAGAAGGTCACAACAAGAATGAACTTTTGTTTCTATCGAACAGCTTCATAGAGCTTTTTCTGATATTCAAACATTAGCTTACATTAGTTTTTTTTTTATCTACCAAGGGATGGTTTCTGCTCACAGTGGGACCAGTGGAACAGAATCTATAAAAGCACCAAAAATGAGCTTGATCGGAGTCATTGAAATTTCCGACTTTCAAGAGCCCCTAACTTTTTCCACATATTTAGAATCAGCGTAAAAACTAGATCTAGATGGGTCTAATTCACAATTCCGACTGTTAGCTGAGACCATACCTTGGTACGATTCTTAAAAAAAGTCTTCCACTAGAAAAAAACAGAATCCGAAGATCCATGAAGCAATAAAACTTTTTGATGCATCTAACAGAACGATTTGCATATTTTGCGACGTTTAAACGACGATTAATTCGATTCTCGACGAGCAGGTGCTCTCATCGTCTTCAGCAACCACCCTAAATTTGGCCTGACATGTGCGGCATTCCGGCGTGGGACAATACAAAAGCTTCGCACATGGACGACCCCAATTAAGCGTAGTTCTTGTCGCGTTTTCCGGCCAATAATCACGTGGCTGTGTTTGTCAGGACATTGACAGAAGATTTATAAGAGAAGATAATCAACTGATTTAGAACTGGATCAAACTTTTCATCTTTTTGGAATCACCAACAGAAAAACTTCAAATGGGAAGAACCTTTTTGTAAACTTATTCCCAAACCGTCACTTTTTTCTATAGAAGAAATCGAACCTCGTTGACAGCCGACCTGTCCAGGAACGTGAACCCAGCCAGGACAACACTCTGCGACTGTGTGTCGTCGAGTCCGGTTCACCTTGTTGTAGGTGTGGAAATAGACGGTCCTGAACACGAATCAGCTCTTTTAGAAACTCCTCGCTGTGTCGAGCCATTTTTATTATAACTTTATTCCTCTAATTCCGCAAGATCATCATTGAACACGGCATATAAAAAGTAATATTTATACATTTTTATTTTTTTTTAATCTAGGTTAGAGAGAAAACAATTTTTTTTTTCGCTGGTTCTTTTTTTCGGCACCGATTCATCAATAAACTTTAAAAAAATGTTAAATTTCCAATTTAAGTTTTTTTTTTTCGTAAGACGGAATCAGGTATTATGGCTGGATAAGGAATATCAAATATCAGACCAATTGGAAATTTTTTAAAAATGCTTTTTTTAACTGAAACCACAACGCTTTGCATCGTAGCTTGAAATTAAAAGTTTCGCGTTCATCGCTAATGGATGCCGAGGAACTTTAGTTGGCCACTGAGCAATTTTTGGAAAAAGAAAATAAAAAACCGAAAAATAGCTATAAAAAGTATCTAACCTTCTCAAAATTTGAAAATCAAAACAACTGACTTTGGTTCCCGGACGGAGCAACTGCGGAACTTTCCGTTGCAGCCCGGCTTCCGACTCCTCACATACTTGGTGTAGGCCTTCACGCAGGGCTCCTTCAGAGTCACGATCTCGACTTCCTCGTGAGGACACACATTCTTCCTGAAGCTACTTCCTAATAACGTGTTTCGAAATTCAACTTTCAATGGTAAACTTGTTCATTTGGTGTCACTTAAAACAGGCCTGAAAAAATCGTGAAGGTTGATAAATTCATATCACTACACATAAAGGGAGAAAATCGTTTTTTTTTTAAAGATTTTCAAGATATTTAGCAAGATTTTACATTTTCCTTCAACTTGAATTTCGGTTTGAAGAGACTTTCAATTCTTCAAGTCTTTTTTTTATACAAAAAGCGACTCCAGAAAGGAAGACCCATTTTACATACGCTTCGTCGACTTCCTTGCCTGCAGCAGTAAAAAAAAATGAAAAATATTCCTGGTTTCTCATTGAAGAATTTTTTTACAAAGTTTGACAAAAAACAATCAAATTTTTTATTTTTAAAACTTTGAAAAATAAATTTTCGAGGTAAAAACTGTTTTTTTTTGTTTTTTAAATAGTCGAGATCTTAGAGATGAAGTGTTTTACAAGACAATACAATTTTTGAATATGTGAGCCCTGTTTTTTCAGGGTTTTTTTTATCCGTTCTCGAGTTTTCAGTGAAAAATAATAATAAATTTGGAAATGCGCTTCGGTTCAGTCACTTCAATGAAACTTTCCTAGAGACTTTCGTTGCAAATCCTCTATTCAATTTAGAAAAGAACTTTTTTCTTTTTTTGTGAATAACTTGTTCGGGTGATTGTTTGCTGATTTCGCGCTTCTCATTGATATCATTGTTAACGATCCTTTTCGTGGAATTTTAAAAGTAGCCTTCGATTCCCGACTCTGTAGCTCTCCCAGGGATGGAGATAAGAGCCAGCTGCTATCTGAGCAAGACTTCCCATGGACCAACGTCCTGTTTGCTCTTCACATAATTTGACGGCCGGACAAACACGTGGCGCAACGCCTTCTACCAACCTTCCATCGGTGATCACTTCAATTTAAGTTAGCCATTCAATCCATCAATCAATTCCCAAACTTCTAAAAAAAAAAGACTCATCATTTCACGTTTTGCAGCGATATTTCATGCGCCGCCGATGGGATCGAATGGGCCGCAAACTTTTTTTCTGGCATAGTTCCTCATCTCGTCACCACGAGTTAGAAAAAAGCGAAAGATTGAAGTTCACAGGGAGGAGGTAGAAAGAGCCGTTTTGGAATTGTCCTCTGATATGGTGGAGACAGAAAATCGTTTCTTTCACAAGGAAAGGAAGAAATATTAACACAAAAAAATTAAAAAAATAAAACTCCTCGTGCCTTATATTTAGATTCAAAACTCAGATTACTGGCCCACAGAAGATTATTCTAATAAAATTTCCAAAGATTATAAAAATTCTAGTCAATTTAGCTTCATTTTTCGTCGGCTACACACTTACTTCAAAAATTTTCGAATTACCAACACCCCATTGATATCAGAATTCCGCCGAACCAAGAACAACAGTCTACAAAAAAAAAGAAGCGGCACTCGAGAAAGCAATTTGAGCCGGTTTCAGGCGTCGTCGTGGCAAATGAGCCGTCACGCCATCTTTTTTTAAATTCCCGCGCTCTGAATGACGATTGCCTTTTCGAGATCAGAATTTGATGATCAATTCGAAAGTTGGATCAAAAAAAAAACAATTCCCTTCCAAAGTTTTAAGATTGTACTTTCATGAATTACCAATCTAGTTAATACCAAAACTTCACTTTCGTAGGTAAAAATCTTGTTCTTCTAGCATTCTACGACGTTATAT